CGTTGCTCCTCAGCCAGTCTCTGCTCCTCTGCCAGTCTTTGCTCTTCGGCCAGTCTCTGCTCTTCGGCCAGCTTCTCTGCGGCGAGCTTCTCTGCTGCGAGCTTCTCTTCGGCAAGTCTCTGTTCCTCAGCGAGCTTCTCCGCAGCGAGTTTTTCTTCAGCGAGTCTCCGTTCCTCAGCCTGTCTTTGCTCTTCAGCAAGCTTCTCCTCTGCTAGTCTCCGCTCCTCGGCGAGTCTTTCTTCCTCTGCAAGTTTCTCCGCCGCAAGTTTTCCCTCGGCCAGCCTCTCCTCCTCAGCTAGTCTTTGTCCTTCAGCGAGCCTCTGTTCCTCGGCGAGCCGCGCCTCCTCAGCGATTTTCTCCTCTTCAGCAGGCTTCTGCTCAGCAAGTTTCTCAGCTGCGAGTGTTTCGTCAGCGAATTCCTCCTGGGCGGCTTGTTCATCTGCAACCTCATACTTAGGAAGCTGTTCCTCTGCGGCCTTCATCGTTGCGACTGATTCTGTAGGCTCAGATGTTATCCCCTGCGGGAGACGTCTCTTGGGGCCCCTTGCTCGGCTTTTCGTCATATGCGTGAGCGGGGCGGAAGGTTGCGATTCCTGCTGTTCTGAATCTGCCGATGAAAGACGGCTAGTGGAGGGGCCAAAGCTTGCCATAGGGCCATTGCCAACGGCCGGCGACCCGCGAGATAGAAGTCCGGCTAAGGCAGGATTGACTCGGCCTGCAAGTTTACTTTTAGCAGCGGTACTTTCAGCCGCAGCAGGCGCTTGTGAGGTCTGGTCTGGTTCCAGTGGAGACAGAGAATGCACAGACGAACGCACCGAGGATTGCACTGAATGCACCGAGGAACGCACCGATGAGTGGATTGACGAGCGAGCCGATGGGAGTTCCCTGTGGCTCTCTCCCTGATCGTCTGTAGTCGAATGCTCTAGTTCGCTGTGCAAGGGTGAGTCGGCATCGTTGGGGACGACCGCCTTCTCGGACGCTTCAGCTTCTGTCTCAGGTTGAGACCAATCAACGCTAGGCTTGGGTGTTTTAGTTGGTTCGTCTGAAACTTCAGGAGTTTGTGACAATTCGTTGTTCACGTTGACATCAGATCGCATTGAAGAAAGGCTCAGAGGCTGAGGCTCTAGAGGTGCCGGCGGCTCTTGGGGTGAGAGCGGCGAGAGCGGCGAACGTGGGGAGGGTGCGTCAGTAGCGGAGAGGTTGCTTCTAGAACTGATGGACTTGGTCAAGTTGTTTCTCTTTGCAATCGCCTCTGGGACGAACTTCATGGGAGCGTCCAATTCTCCTGCAGTGTTTCGTCTGGCTGATCCCCCGTTAGTTTTGATCGCTTCCTTCTGTTTGAGGATGCTTTCTTTTAAGTCGTCGACCTTGGTTGATCTCTGGGATCCGTTCATTGTACTGAGCGCCGCCTTGCCTTTCAGAATGTTCTCTTTCAAATCATCAGGGGGTACATAGGCCGAGGTTCCCGCCCTTTTAAGCTTTCCGAAGACGTTCTTGAATTCCGGCTCCTCTCTGGGCGCTTCATCTTTGACAATTTCGCGGCGTCGAAGGTTGGCTCGGAAGTCAATCACAGGTGACTGAGGCTTTGGCCTGTTCAAGAGGGGGTCACGAGTAGGAGACGGAACAGGCATATCAAGTACAGTCTTGGTGATAGGGCTGAGGTTCGACGGTCTCCGTGCATGCTTCGTGGTACTTTCTTCCGCGACTTTTGCTTCTGCGTCTGCTTTAGTGGGAGACAGGCCTTCCACACTCTCCTCCAAAGGTGCTGGCTCATTGTCCTCCGGAACGGGGGTTGGCTGACTCTCATTGGGCGGGAGTTCCAGCTCACCGTCCTTGAGATCGCTTTCCGCAACACCATCCTTCGGCTGAGGGACTAACGGCGAGGCAACTTCAGCTGGAGAAATTTCCTGCACTTCGGATGCTGTCAGATCATCTTTAGATTCAGCCGTTAATGCACTCTCCTTTGGTTCAGCTTCAGGAGTGTTCCCATAGGAGACGGAAGTTGGGTTGGGCTCTTTCACAGGAGACAGACTGTTGGCAGAATCATCCGCTTTGGTCTTAACTACATCTGGCGCAGGGAAGAGGTTTGGGATCCCAGACACACTTGATGATTTGGAGTGAGTACCAGGAACAGCTGTTCGCATGAGACCCACGGGTGTGACTTCTTTGAAGCTAGATGTTCGGCCCAAATCAACGCTGCTCCTCAGTTGCCTCTCCCTGACCCACGACGGCTGTTGGAAGGACTGTTGCCTCTTGTGCTTCGGCGAGTCAGGAGGACGGTTCAAGGCACTTTCCAACCAGCTCGCTTTAGTTGGACTCCATCTTCTGGGATCCATAGTCCTGGAGACTACCGGACTTGACGAAGGCAGAGAGCTGGATTCTGGACCCCTATCGACAGAGCTAGCCGACCGCGTGTGAAGACTGAGAGAGGGCCTGGCGGCTCCCTCATCAGCTAGTGCATTGTGCTCTCGTCTTTCGGGAATAGAAACTGGCGGAGTTGCCGGTCGCTCGCTGTCTTTGGCAGGGTCGATGATGGTTGCCTCGCTATGACTTGAACTGGGCCGGTGGCTGGATGTAGGACGATGGCTTGAGGTTGGCCGCTGAGGTGAGATGCTTGGACTATCGCGACTCAGCCTATGTGAAGGCGAATTCGCGAAGATATCGCTTCCGACGAAACTGTTGCGGCTGCTAGCAACCGAACTAGGCCGGCTAAGGCCGGTTGGAAGCTGGGCGCTCCACCTCTTTGACACACTGTCGGACCGCTTCATCATGGCGCTCTGCACGAATCCACCGAGGCCCTTGGTCGGCGACGTGGAACGTTCCGGGGAAAGGCGCCTTGGTGATGGAGGAAGAGACATCTGATCATCCAATACTTCTTCGGGTTTGCGGGGCTCCAGCTTCTGAGCGCTTGACAAAGGCAGCGGTGAGCCGAGACCCGTCGCCGTCGAGACCGAAGAGACACTTGAGTATCGGTGGCCCAAACTACTTTCTGCAAAGGTTGAGCTGGCTCTTGATGGCGAACGGGATCGTTCCTCGACGCTCTCTAGGTGATCGATTTCCTTGGTGGGCTCGGGAGTGGACTCCTTTTCTGCGTTTGGCTGCTTGAGATTCGCTTCGGAGCTGGGTGTCTGTGGCCTGTCTTCCTCCACGTGCTTGCCGCGAGTTGGGGAGCCGGCACCGTCTGTCTGGCGCGCCCACGACACATCTTTGAATGTTGGGGACGATGCGAATGAATTGCGAGCAGCGCTCTGGTCATCCGTCGAAGCGGTGGACAGGGCTCGCCACCGAGAAGGTGATGATGAAAAGAATTGTCTGTTGCTATCCCGAGATGTCGGCCTTTGCTGCCAGGACAAAGTTCCCGTTCTACTCCGTAAAGGTCTGGATGGTATCTCGCCTTCGACTCCGGTCAGTGTGGATCCTCTCCGGCCGCCGTCCGTGGTTGTCGATGTGTCATCCCGAATGGACTCGGGTCTGCTGCCGGATTCACGAGCGGGTGTGTGGAGGGTTGGTTCGAGGTGTTCAGGGGGGTCGATCGCACGGTGGCTGAGAGTTGAAGATATGCTCAATCGAGCCGCGTCTAGGATGGGGGAATCTTTTGTGGGAGAAATCGATCGCGCCCGCTCTGTTTGAATGCCATGCACAGTCAGTTTTTGACCTCACTCATTCGGAAGACAGCAGATTGAAGACAAAGCAGGATGCAATCAAGCATAGAGATAAGATAGATTGAAGATGATTACCAGCTCTGCGGGCCTGTCTCTCCTTGCGTCCCTGCAAAATTTCCTCCTCGAGCTTTTTCGTGCGTTCCTCATCCTCCTTATCGCGCTTCTCTCCTAGTTCCCGGATGCGCAGAAGAAAGTCATTGACATCTTCCGAACTGTCAACGTCTGTCATAGGAGCCATGGCTCGCTGAATGCCAGATTAATCCGGCCAAGATGAGAAGAAAAGGGGGTTTGAGAAAGAATGAAAGGAAATATGAAAGGGAAAAAAAGGTAAAATGGACCACGAGGAAGAGAAGTTCCAAACCGGACAAACACCGGACAACGACCTAAGAACGGTGGGGGGGGAAGGATTTCGTTAGAGGCAATCAGGAGGGGAAAGGTCGTGCGTTTAGGGGGAGAAAAGAATTTGGGGGAGAGGATGGATAATAGTTGGGCGATCAATTGTGGTCGTGACTCGTGAGTCTGTGAGGGTCGATGAGTAGAAAAGGAAGAGAGAAGGAGGAAATGGTGTGGATGCGCGAGCGAGAGGGAGGGAGAGGATGGAATCAAGGGAAAGAAACCCCCGTGGCTTCGCCGCCCTGAGGCGAGGATCGATTCGCATCCGACGAAGAATGAACTGCTCATCTTCCACATCCTGTTGGGCCTCTCCGCTACTACTGCTACTACTATTACTCAAGTGCTAGTTAGTGAGATTGTGGATCCGATAGCAGGCAGCTGAGAAGCCCGTCCAAGGGCAAATAATAATAATCACCATCGCCATCATCATTAACAAGTTAACAACATCATCATCAGAAAACGAAACCCGGCGCCCATCAGCAGCCGCCCCACAATTGTTTTAGTTGGTGAGGCGCATGGGAGAACACAGGCACATCAACCCTTGTCATTGTGATGATCTTATTCTGATCTCCTGAAGAACACAACATTGACTGAAGAACATTTTCTTTCTTCTAGGACTATTGTTTCGTTTCTTATTCCCTTGTTCTTTTTTTCGGCGACACCAACACAATGGGTCCACAGTGTTTTGATCTTGCTCGACACGGAAGATTGTTTACTTTGTTCCCGACTTCGGGACTTGCGGTGGAGCACCAAATCGTACCCTCCGTGAATTCGAAGTCCACACGCAATCCGGTTCCTGTTCGTGTCAGTTATTCATCGCGATGAGTGAAGTTTGAATACATCCCGGGCAACTATTCCTGATTACCGATTCCAGTCTGCTTCCGCCCGTGTCGTCAGTCCGGATCGGATGCGAAACCCAGATCCATGGATGATCCTGACGATGGGGTTGTCGGTACAAGGATTTGTGACCGTGACGCGGCATTCCAAGGCTGCAGCGGCGGCGCTCTCCAAGCTCCAAGCGAAGGCCGGGCAAACCGCTGCCCCATCGTCCATTGACGTAAGGCGCAAAGGCAAAAAGCACCACCGGTTCTCGCTCTGCCATTTCCAGCGACCTGGCCTTTACCGTGTTCGACAAAGGACCGTCCCAGAATCGTGGACCCTGACAGACCGACGAGTGTTTGATCGTCCATCCGAAACCCCGACAGGGCCACACTAATCGGCTCAGAGCAAGGAGCCGCAATAGAACGCAGTCAAACCCTGTCTAAGGATTTTTCGCTAATGCTCCCTCCCGTTGTACATGTCGGCTAAGGCTGCACGTCATTCGATTCCAGGTTTTCATCTGCAGGGTCAGAGATGTCCAGAGTGGCTTCATGGTTGACCAATAGGCCCAACCGTGGTCGGGCGTCACTGCCGCGCGGGAGGGCAGAGAAATATATCAGGCCGTCGGAGATTACGGCCGGGAGAGCCTCAACTCGTGCTATTGGATGGTTGTGTTGAAAACGACTTGATTCGATGCATTTAGGTAGGTCAAAAGCAGTAGAGTTTCTTTTTACTCAAAATCATAGGACTAGGGTACTAGTGGTATAGGATCATCACTATCATCAAAATGCTGATGGGCGGACAAACCCCGTCCAGTTGCTAGCTAGTATAGAAAAAGTCGATCCTTCGCATCCTGCACCACCCACTCCAGTCCTTCGTGCAGATTCTTTCCTGTCATCGCACTGCACGGCAATATCGTCCATCGATGTGTAACAATCGAGTCCAAGCTCAGCCGCTGTAGTTGAATAATCATTAGAGACACGACTTCGGACAAACTGGTCAGGTAGAGCAGTAAAGAATCGCAGAGGCGGGGGCGCAGGGGCAGAAACACGCACCTCACGAACTTCTTGCTCAGTCATACACCCATCCACATCAGTCTTATTGAGGAAAATCAACAGACTTGCTCCCATCAATCGCTACATGTAAACCCAGTCAGTAGGTGCCGCAATAACACAGGACTTTCCCCATCTGGCCCGCCCCCCGAGCGGCAGCAAACCAGAAAAAAAAAAGGACGTACCTCTTCCAAAAGCAGACCCGCCAATTCGGCTCGACAATCGTCCACGCGAAGGCGATCGGTCGCATCGACAACCCAGACCAGGGTATCAGTCTTCTCGAAATAGTTTTTCCAATAGGATCGGAGCGTTTTCTGGCCTCCGACGTCCCCTGAATATTAGGTTAGTCTGCGAAAGATACGACGACGGATGAATGAATGGGTGCGGCGAAGCTATTGTGCCGTACAGATATTGAGACGATATCTTTCCTCGGTGGTCAGCTCAGAGTCTCTTCTCTTTTTGTGCAAACAAAGGGAAACTACCCTTGAAATTCAATAGTCTTGATGATGAAACCCAAAGTCGGACTGACGGTGGTGACATCCTCCTTCATAATCTGCTTGACGATGGTCGTCTTGCCGGCGTTGTCCAGACCGCTGAATCCGGATTTAGCTTGTCAACGTCGCTCAGCTAATCAGCGTGGATTTGCACCTACAGCATCAGGATTCGCATCTCCTTGTCCTTTAGCCGGGCTTTGCGTAGGATAGACAACATCTTGGCGGGCTGTCTTGCTTGATCTGTGGTTATGGGGTGTCGCGTTGAGAGTGATTGATTAAGTTGGGGCGGGTTACTCGGGCTGGGTTTATAGACCGTGGATAAGTATACACAGGCGAGCGCGTTATCTTGAGATACATCTCAACCGCACAGCAGCAATTAACATTTAATATAAATACACTCACTAGACCTTGGAGACTACACATACTGCCCACAATCTACTGTATTATCAGACTGACCGCTGTCACGCTAATCGCCATCGTGTTGCACGTGACTAGCCACTGTACTGTTAGCACCAGAACCCAGGAACGGCATATTCTAATGGTGCATTACCACTCAAAGATGTAAAAAGCAAGCAAGACCTGGATGCCCAGAGCGAAGCTGCCTGTTCTGTCCGTGTTGACTCAGCCTCGCCTTCCGCAACGTCCATCCTCACGCTTGCCTAAGTAGTCCCGAATCCTATCTTCGATTTGCTTTCCGACCAAGCTTTGGAACTTTTGTCTGATTGTGTACCCTAAGCCACCGTGTTGTGGAGGTACGCCATATAGCTCTTCCTGAGACTGGACGGTGTCTGCCATGAAGGCATACCCGGGCAAGCCTGACGCATCGGTGGCATGCACGCCATGGAGGAGCTGCTAGCGACTCACACCAACAGCGTCGACAACCTCAACAAGTCGCGTACCAAATAGCTCTATTACACACCTACTAGGCTTGCCATCCTTCATTGAGTTAAGAACCAGGTCTGACATGCTAGTCAAGGGTATGTGATGGAGGACCATACTTAGGAAGAGAAGACTGACCAGCATCAGAACCCCCATCACAAGAACCTCAAGATACCAACAACAGCGATGTTGATACCATCGGTTCTAGAGGAACTCGAGCGAAGGTGTATCCAATATTAGATCACCTCTGATCGGTGAGGTTGGCGTAGAGCCGGACAGACATTCACTTTTTCTCTAGTGACCAGAGCCGGATGTTCCCATCCTGTCCATGCAAAGCTTTGGACTCACATCCAGTTGGACAGACATTATAAAACCATCTGTTTCGCTCGCGGGTCCGCGTTTCCGCATTTTGTCCCCGCATTGGGTTTCATGAATCAGCTCCTTTGATAAATGACATGAGTGACAGCATTCACAACACGCAGGACCTCCCCAGTGGACCCTAACCCGCACAACACGAAAAGCCTGAGACATATACAAAAAAGCTCTGGATGAGATATTATGTATGTCATGGTAAAGAAGAGATTTCAGTGTCTGTAAGTGAGTCACCCGCGTGGTGAGGTTCACCAACAGAGTCCCAGCTCAGCCATCTTCTTCCCGTCTTCTTTCTGTCTCACCTGCTGAAGTTCCTTGGAATTTCTAAACCATTTTTCATCTCTCCATTCACCGACTCCCTTGGAGTGTCTCGCGTTTTTGTTGGATACTCCCTTCTATCAGCAACCGGAACAAGCGATACACCATCTCTTGAAAAGAAGACTTTGAAGTTGTTGACTGCCTAAGTCATCCTTGAACGACAAACGAAAAGGACCTAGCATCTACCGCCAGCGGAAAAGGGCAGAAACCACGTTCTCGATATCGATCGCGCATAATAGAAAAACCTTCGTCTCTCCAAAGTAAGTACTTCATCTTCATCAAATCGCATCGCTTATCTCTAAGTGATTCGTATGACAGAACTCAGCTTTCCTTAACACCATCAGGAAGACCCATTATCTGTTTCAGCAAACGAAAGGCTTTCTCTTTTCGAGGTAAGTGTCCAGGCTCTTGATACTTCGTGAGCTCTCAGTCACATAGCAAGTTAACACTGCGCGAACCCCACAGGAAGACGGCGACAACTCGAAGAAGCACAATGGCATTCCCAAGAAACAGGCACAACTGGCAAACCAGGGCTCGTCGGACGACGCCTCCTCCCATGAACAACAACAGCCGAGCAGTTAGATCCCCGTCCGATGAACCACAGCCCAACACCTGGTGGGATGGCGAGCACCAAAACAGTAACCAGGGCAGGCCGACACCTGAAGCGTCCGAGCCTCCTGAGCACACTTCACGCTCGCAATCCGAAGTGAGAGCCGAGATCAAACGCCTCCAAGACGAGATCATCCTGAGGGCCCATCTGAACGAAGAACACAAGGACGACGACGAACAGTTAGCCCACCCCGAGTTGCTTGCTGAATACAGGAACGGACCGGGAACAGACCCCGCGTCTGGCAGATACAAGTTTCTCATGGAACGCCGAAGACTTGGCCGGATCGAGGCAGATCTCAGACCTCCAGCAGCACCCCCGGTCGATCCCGCTTCCCTCGTGGAAGAAGAGGAGACAGGAGAGAAGGCTTGGCGGTCCGGTATCACACGCGACGATCCTGTGTTTAAGGCTCAATTCGAGGCGCAATTTCCCCCATACAGAAATGCGGAGTCTGTCTACCCAAGACTAGGTTTGGGAACAGTGGTTTTGGCAATTGAGCCGAGCGAGGAACAAAAAGCATTGAGAGTGAAGCATCTCAGGCGCGACAAGGTAGCACCAACAATTCCCGAAGAGCCTATATGGTTGCAAGCGAATTGGGATTATGCTCCTGCGGTAGATGCCGACAAGCACCAATGGCGACTCTCCTTCGATGCCTGGCTCGACAGAGCTCTCAACTCCTCTCGTGTGGTGGACATACATCGCAAGACATTCTTCGCGGGGGACGCTTTGCCAGACGGTATACACGAGATGTACGAACCGAACTGGCCGTACGACTGGACGTGGCCCGACCCCAATGACGAAGAAGGGCGTCTGCACCAACACGAAACCAGCCAAGGCTATGTCGACAACAGGGCGGTCCGCATAAGAGAAGAACGAGAGGTGGAGCGCCGCCTTGCCCGAGAGCGCGAGCAGGCCGCGATCGAGTTCTACAAGCGCTATCCGAAACCCAACGAGACGCGACAAGATCTGTACCTGCGTCCAGTCCAGGACGGCGATGTCGAGCAGCTTCAGCGCATTTGGAACCATTTCTCCGAGAACTCCCCCATGAGCCTAGACTATGGAGTCTTGAGCGAGGAAACCGTCCGGAAGCGGATCGCCGATATCAAGAAACACCGACTGCCCTTCATCGTGGCCGTGGAAAATCCTAAATCGAACGAGGATGCGGAGAGCTCCAACAAAATCTTGGCTTTTGCGCTTGCTATCGACCACGATGGACCATGGACCTCGGGCCAGTTTGCAGTTAAGCTCGAGTTCTACATGATGCCAAGGGACCAACAGCATGGTATCGGGACCTGCCTGATGGACAAGATGCTCTCGGTGTTGGACGACTCCTACAAACCCCGGCGAGGATACTATTTCCGTTGCTCGGAGGAGGACAACGCAGCCTACCAGCCAGGAGGCCTGCGGCAGATGGCCCGGGTCATCGTGACATGCAGCTTTCCCCGGTCGGAGCGTGACCAGTACCAGTATATCCGCACCTGGCTACAGCGGAAGTGGGGGTTTACCGAGCAAGGACACCTGCGTGGGACGCGTTTGAAGCTGGATAACTTGTGAGATCTGCCTCATTGTCTTCGTCATGATGAATAGGTAACTAACAACCATCAACCAGTCTCGATGTGATTTATCTGGTTCGAAACCTGGGCGGTAGCTGAACGCAATCGATTTGCAGGTCGTGATTCTGCAGGTCATTGAAAGACCTTTCTCACAGACATGTTTTATTTTCTTTTTCAAGTGTCAATTTTCATTATTCCTACTCCTTTCCACTTTGAAGATCCTTGAATTGCCTCATGACTTACTTTCTGTATTTTCTGTATCGCTTTTCAGATTTTATGTTCATCTTTTCCCTTCTCCTTCTTCTTCTTCTTCTTCCTGGAAACAACAGAGTCGGTTCAGTTTGTTATGATCTCATTGCACGGTGGAAAAGCGAGAATTCTCGAGCCAGAACAAAAATGAAACGAAAAGCACAAAGCAAATCTTCACTTCCGAAAGGAAATAAAATCTCAGTGTCAAAACCTCACATCCATCCCGAACCACCCGTAGAGCGAGATTACCTGGTCTACGCATCCATAAAGAAGCGTAGAACCCACCTACCTCCCCAGCAACCAATCACCCACCCCCAGCCAAGAAAGCGGAACACATTCTGCCGATCATTCGAATACTCACCGCCAAGGAAGTTTCAACTTTTTTTCCCTTTCCCGCCCATGCACGCCGCGGGTTTTCGGTCTGAGTTTGAGAGCAGAAAAGTCGGGGTTGAGATTTCTTTCTTTCTGGGTATCTTTTTTCTGTGGTTCATTTACAATTGCTTTTGAGAAAATAGGGAATTGCTGAACACGACAGACATCCCCTCCACAATCGTTCGCACTCGTTACGAATTGCGTTTTACGCCGCGCGCCGACACCACAACCACCCCAAAATGGCGCCAAAGCGGAAGGTGGACGATGATTTCGTCATGACGCTTTCGGATGATGAGAATGATACGTTGAATCAGATTGAGGAAGAGGAGGAGGGTGATGAATTCGCTTCGAAAAAGAATCAGAAGAATAACAAGAAGGATTCTACTGCTACTGCTGCTGCTGCTGCTGCTGCTGCTGCTGCTACGAAAAAGCGCAAGAGGGAGGAGCTGGTTGATAATAAGAATAAGAAGGCGAAGAAGGGTGCGAAGAAGTTGGCTGTGCCCGAGGCAGAGGCAGAGGAGGACAGTGAGGATGAGGATGAGGAGAATGCGGCTGAGGATGATGGGGCGCTGAACTCGGATTTCGAGTTTGATGTTGGTGGCGTTGCGAATGAGGTTACGGAGTTTGATGGGTGGGCTCAGAATATGCCGGATGATGAAGCGGGTAGGAGAAATGGGGATAAGAAGGCCGTGGATATTGATGATATCATTGAGAGGAGGCAGGCGAAGAAGGATGCTGCTGCTGCTAAGAAGAAGTCAAAGAAACAGCAGGCGGCTGAGGAGCTGGATAGTGATGAGGAGGAGGAGGAGGAGTCGGATGGCGGGATGTCTGTTGATTTTGGGGATGATGAGTTGTTGGCGGAGGATGGGTTCGGTATGGGTGCTGATGGTGAGGATGAGAGTGGGAATGAGGGTGCCGAGGAGGATGAGGATGATGCTGATGAGGAGGATGAAGAGGCTGATAAGGACTCGGACGACTCCGACGACGACTCCTCTGTCGCGACGCCTGTCGCGCACCCGGACGACGTGGGCGCTGAGGAGGATTCCGACGCCGAGAGCGAGGTCGACGCCGAAGAAGCGGCCAAGCGCAAGGCTTTCTTCGCCCCCGAGGAGAAGACCGAGACCTCTGCCGCCGATGCGAAGCGCTCCTTCCAGGACTTCAACCTTTCGCGACCGATCCTCCGTGGTTTGGCCGCGGTCAACTTCACCAACCCGACCCCCATTCAACAGAAAACTATCCCCGTTGCGCTCATGGGCAAGGATATCGTCGGTAGTGCCGTCACTGGTTCCGGTAAGACGGCTGCCTTCGTCGTCCCCATTCTCGAACGTCTGCTGTTCCGGCCGCGCAAGGTCCCCACGAGCCGTGTCGCTATCCTGATGCCCACGCGTGAATTGGCGGTCCAATGTTACAATGTGGCTACCAAGCTGGCGACCTACACCGATATCACCTTCTGTCAGCTGGTCGGTGGTTTCAGCCTGCGGGAGCAGGAGAATATCCTGAAGAAGCGGCCCGATGTGATCATCGCTACCCCCGGTCGTTTCATCGATCACATGCGCAACTCGGCCAGCTTCACGGTCGATACCTTGGAGATTCTGGTTCTGGATGAAGCCGATCGCATGCTCGAGGACGGTTTCGCCGACGAATTGAACGAGATCCTGACCACCATCCCCAAGTCCCGCCAGACCATGCTCTTCTCCGCTACGATGACCGACACCGTCGACAAGCTGATCCGCGTTGGTCTGAACCGCCCCGTGCGCCTGATGGTCGACTCGAAGAAGAACACGGCTTTGACGCTCACCCAGGAGTTCGTGCGTCTCCGCCCCGGTCGGGAGGACAAGCGTCTGGGCTACCTGCTGTACCTGTGCAAGGAAATCTACACTGGGCGGGTGATTGTTTTCTTCCGTCAAAAGAAGGAAGCTCACCGCGTCCGCATCGTCTTTGGTCTGCTCGGACTTAAGGCTGCCGAGCTGCACGGTAGCATGAGCCAAGAACAGGTATGTGAATCCTTATCTATATGAGTTTACGAACTTGCACTAACCGTCCTGTCTTCTAGCGTATCAAAAGCGTGGAGAGCTTCCGTGACGGCAAGGCTGCCTTCCTCCTGGCCACGGACCTGGCGTCTCGTGGTTTGGATATCAAGGGCGTGGAGACGGTCATCAACTACGAAGCGCCGCAGAGCCACGAGATCTACCTTCACCGTGTCGGTCGTACTGCTCGTGCGGGCCGGTCGGGTCAGGCCTGCACGATCGCGGCCGAGCCAGACCGCAAGGTGGTGAAGGCCGCCGTCAAGGCCGGTAAGGCTCAAGGCGCCAAGATCGCCAGCCGAGTGATCGACCCTGCCGTTGCCGACTCGTGGGCGGCCAAGGTCGAGGACTTGGCCGACGAGATCGAGGAGGTGCTGGAAGAGGAGAAGATGGAGAAGCAGCTGGCGCAAGCTGAGATGCATGTGACCAAGGGAGAGAACCTGATCAAGCACGAGGCGGAGATCAAGTCCCGGCCCAAGCGGACGTGGTTCGAGACGGAGAAGGACAAGCGTGCCGCCCGGAAGCTGGGCGCGGAGGCTCTAAACGGACCTCAATCCAAGAAGGAGAAGATGAAGCTGAGCAACAAGGACAAGAAGCGACTGGACGACAGCCGACAGCGTCATGAGGGAAATGCCGGATGGAAGAAGGGCAAGGCCACGCGCGAGACGCAGAAGAATGGACGCGTGCCGGAGAAGAAGAGCAAGAAGGGGAAGAAATGAGGGTAGATGATGACTGAGCCTGTTGGAGTGTATATACCTTATCAGTTTCCTTTTTTTTTCCACACCCGCCAGATACATACATACACCTGCATCAAAAGTTGATAGATCGATCTACAAGGAGCGTAAATGGCGGGCAGCATCGGCTATTGGCGGTGGTGGATGGAAGCCTGAGGCAGGCGCGGCTCCGGTCATCGGCGTGCCCCAGACTTGCCCGAGTCGGCGTCGAACAGCTTCGGATTCCCGGTCGGGTTGCTAATCACTGCACGATGATTGATGGGCAGGTGGTCTAATGGGATGGGAGGGCTGAAGAGGCACAACCATATGTCGTCAAACGGATTGAAGTTTATGCTTGAGCTTCTCATTCAAATCCAACCTGCAATGGCGTCAAACGAGACGAAAGGGAGGCAAGCTGGAACCTTGAAGTGCGTTTGACAAGCCATGATGGGCGGTATGCAATGAATCCTCCTATCAGACCTCGTCCCGCCATCCGCTGTCGGCGCCGTACAGTAAAAAAAATCCCAATGGCGCGTCATTCAAAGGAAATCCCAACTTGACTCACTTTCCATTCCTTCCTTATAATTGATCCCGCTTGTTCTCTCCCTCCTCAACCCTCTCCTTCTTCTTCTTCCCTCATTCTACCAAATACTGATACCGTGTCTACTTACCTCGGCGTGAGGCAATTCCTCTTCTATAATTCCTCTTTACCTCCCCCCTCCACTCCCCAGCTTGTCTTATCCTCTACCTTCCCCTCCCCCCACCGTCTTTCCCTCCCTCTTCCCCGCTGCGGATCCCCTCCTCCTCCTCCCCCCATCCGCTGTCTCGTCCACCATGCCCATGTAAGCTCCCTTCTACTGGTCCCCTCGATTCTGGTTCCTTTGCTGCACGCAGAAACGACAATGGGCACGACTTGACCATATTAACCACATTCCATTACAGGCTCAAAGATCCCTCCAAAAAATACAAGCGCTTTCAGCCGCTCCACTTGCCTGACCGGCAATGGCCCAACAAGGTCATCGAGAACCCTCCCCGCTGGCTGGCCACGGACTTGAGAGATGGTAACCAGAGCTTGCCCGACCCCATGGTAGGTTTTCCAATTTTTTCCAAATCCAGAAGTAGTGTTTCTTGTGAGCGCAATCAGTTGTCACCCCCAGCAGACTAACAGGTATCCCTGCGCAACAGGACGGGGAACAAAAACTCCGCTTCTTCAAGATGCTCCGCGATATTGGCTACAAGGAAATCGAAGTCTCCTTCCCCTCTGCTTCTCAAACGGACTTCGATTTCACCCGTCGCCTGGTCGAGACCCCCGGCTTGGTTCCCGACGACGTATGGCTGCAGGTCCTGTCCCCGTGTCGCGAGGACCTGATCCGCCGCACGGTCGACTCCCTCAAGGGAGCCAAGAAGGCGATCCTGCACATCTACCTGGCCACGAGCCCGTGTTTCCGCCGCATCGTCTTCAACATGGACAAGGAGAAGAGTTTGGAGATGGCCGTCCGCTGCACCAAGTATGCGCGCTCAATCACCAAGGACGACCCGGAGATGGCCGGCACGGAATGGCACTTCGAGTTCTCACCCGAGACTTTCTCTGACACCGAGCCCGAGTTCGCCGCGCAGGTCTGTGAGGCCGTCAAGGCCGCCTGGGAGCCCACAGAGAAGGACCCCATCATCTTCAACCTGCCCGCCACGGTCGAGATGTCGACCCCCAACGTCTTCGCCGACCAGGTCGAGTTCTTCTGCCGCCACGTCTCCGAGCGCGAGAAGTACGTCGTCTCTGTACACCCCCACAACGACCGCGGCTGCGCCGTCGCCGCCGCCGAGCTGGCCCAGATGGCTGGCGCCCAGCGTGTCGAGGGCACCCTGTTCGGTAACGGGGAGCGCACCGGCAACGTCGACCTGGTCACCTTGGCCCTCAACCTGTACACGCAAGGTGTCTCGCCGAAGGTGGACTTCTCCGACATCAACGCGGTCATCAAGGTCGTGGAGGAGAGCAACAAGATCCCCGTGAACGAGCGCTGGCCCTACGGCGGCCAGCTGGTGGTGTGCGCGTTCAGCGGCAGCCACCAAGACGCGATCAAGAAGGGCTTCAAGCTCCGCGAAGAGGCGGGCGCCAGCGACGACACGAAGTGGGAGATCCCGTACCTGCCGCTGGACCCCCAGGACATCGGGCGCACGTACGAGGCCGTCATCCGGGTCAACTCCCAGAGCGGCAAGGGCGGCGCTGCCTGGGTCATCCTGCGCAGCCTGGAGCTGGATCTCCCGCGCGCGCTGCAGGTGGAGTTCAGCAAGATCGTGCAGCGCAAGACCGAGGAGGTCAGTCGCGAGCTGCTGCCCAGCGAACTGGTCGGCCTGTTCGAGGATGCCTACCACCTCAAGTCCAACCCGCGCTTCACGCTGATCGACTACAACATCACCACCGACCGGTCGACCTCGCCTGCGCCCCCGGAGCCCGGCAAGGCCCTCAACACCAAGAACCTCAAGCGTCGCTTCACGGGTATCATCGAGATCGACGGCGTCCAGCACGGCATCACCGGCGTCGGCCCCGGTGCCATCTCCTCGCTGGCCAACGCCCTGGCCACCCTGGGCATCGACCTCGATGTCGTCGACTACAAGGAGCACGCCATCGGTCTGGGTCGCGATGTCAAGGCCGCCACCTACATCCAGTGTACGGCCGCCGGCAGCAAGGAAGCTGTTTGGGGCGTTGGTATTCACCAGGACGTAGTCCAAGCCAGTTTGATCGCTCTCCTCAGCGCCGCCAGCTCCGTAAGCTTCCCCCCTCTCCCCCTCCCTCCTCTTTCCTCCCTTTGCCAAACCCCTCTTAACCCCACCGAATAATAACTCTAACAAAAACAATCAACAGTTCCTAACCAGCCGCGCCGGCTCCCCCGCCCCCTTCCGCCCCATCCGCTCCAATACCCTCACAGACGAAGACCTCGAAGCCCTCGAAACCCTAGCCGGCAGCTCCAAACCCAAGGTCGACCTGGGCAGTTTGACCAAGCAAACCGAGAGCCAGTAAACTTGTTTGCTGTTCACGTTCCATTGCGCTTTGCTCAAGGCTCTTCACGTCACCCCCATTGTAATCCTCTCTTCTTTTTACCTACTCTTTTCTCCAAAAATGTTTCATCTATGATTCCATATTTTTTCGGGAGTCCTTTTTCTTATATCTTTATATCTTGATTATATCAGGGGCGGGTTACTCTTGGGAGAAAATATATCTTTTTTTTTTTTTTACTTCAAAGTTTTCGGGTCTTGATTGAGTTGATGGATACCTTCTTGATTTATGTATTTATTCTCTCGAGAGAAAGAGGGGGGGGGGGGGAGATCATAAAAGTGATGATGGTGGAAGCACGCATGTTTGGCGTATACCTTCCCATCTCTAGTAAACACATCCATAAATTGCAGGGGATACAAAGATGCCACGAGTGTCGATATGTGTTTCTCTTTGCTACATTACAACGCTAGTAGGAAGTATAGGGAGGGCCTGTTCTCTGGATTGGATATAGTAGTTATATCTGCGTTCGCTGAGTATTGTGCCAGCCAAGACAGGTAGCAGAGCGGAACAACGTTGCAGAAGCCCACTCTCTCGATCGTCTGTGACATACATACATACATACATATACTGCGCAGCACAAGAGGTGACATGATGATGATATCATCAGGTAACAAAGGTCTTCATGCTAATATAGGGTGTGCTGTCCATCGGGGCTATAAGAGATGCGCACTTCTCTGTCTATATCAGGCAGATAATAAATAGTATAGGGCGGGGACCCGACAAGAAAAGAAGAAGAAGAAGAAGCAGAACAAGAAGAATAACGGGGGTATGCTATGTACAGAACAATGCATGTCGTTCATCATGGGCCAGGGGGTAAGGGGAAAACAACAATACTGTCAAAACTTTAGAACAATAATCAATAAGGGGGTAATGAAGCTGGGACAGCCGGCGGAGTCAAACAGTGGAAAGATAAGCAAATCGTCGTGATGGCAGGCAGGCAGGCAGGCAGGCAGGCTATGCAAAATAGAGAAATGGGAAGGCACAGAGTGCCCATGTGAGGATGACCTGAAGTCAGTCACAGTAAACACATACAGAGCCAATTCGGTCAATCAGGTCTATCATGTACAGGACAACTGTCACTCAATCAACGCTGCTGATAAGGAGTCGCTCCGTGGCCGGAGGCTTCGTCGTCGTATCCAAGGGTGGATTGATACATCAGCGCTTCCTGGGGCCAGTCCCCAGAGCTGCGATCTAGCGTGTCGGAGACGGGTCGCTGGTTGTATGAGTCGGACCGCGCGGGGAAGTTCCCACCCGCTTGCTGTGGCGGTTGTCCAGGGCCACCTCGGTATGGTAAGGTCTCGGGTACAGGACCCCCCGGTCCTGCCTGGGAAGCGGAGCCGGCACCTGTCGTATGCGCGAAGTCCCCAAAGTCGAAGCCGAACTCAGGGTGGCCAATGGTTGAGGGAAGCTCAGCCCCTGTTACAGCGCTAGCTCCATTGGTCGAGGCGGTCGTCGGCCGCGGCGGTTCAGAAATCTGCGGAACAGCGGGCACGCCCTCAGGACCAGTGCTCGTAGGGCTACCAATGCCAGGCTCCTGCATCCCAGAAAACGAGTGTATCGATGCCTCAGAATGCTCGAGGAGGACCGGGGCTGGATCCGGTACAACGGTAGACCGGCGAGCGCTGTTGCCCATAGTGCTTCCAGGCTTCGAGCTTCGGCTCATCCGGTGCTGAGGTGCCGCGAAGGGGTTCTCGGAACCTTCCATATCACGAATGCTGAATTGCGCGATGGTTCGCAGTTTTCGAGTGACCCACGAAGCCAGCACCTTGCCGCGTTGCTTCTCTCCGAGACGTGATCTGGGGAAGTCTCCGTGGGAAACAAAAGCCACAATATCGGCAACGACTTGGTGCTCATTGAGAATGGCATCGACAATGACAGGAACGAGTGATGCCAGGTAGGCCTTCCTTGTGACCTCGACAACCACCACAATGAGACCACCCGCTTGGAACACAGCACTAATAGCTTTGGTTAGCAAGGACACGCAGAAGAGTGGGGTTCTAAGCCACTTACCATCCTCCAGTCACAATATTGCGGTGACACCTCTCAACAGAAGACTCAATATCCATTGGGAAATGGTTCAATCCGTTAACCTCAAATGTTTCACCAATACCGCCAAGGACGAAAAGAACCTGCATTTCCACAGGTTGACCGTTAGGGCCGATCGGCCTGGTAACCGTATGAAGGAAGCCCAAATCACCGGTCCGCACGTAGGCCACGTTCGGGTCGCCATCCACCACCCGACCATTAAAGCGTTCCATGTCAAAATCCTGCCTGGAACCATAGAATGCCTTGGCACATGCGTCAGATTGGACCCAGATCTCACCATATTCTCCCACATGAGACAAGGTACATGTCTCTGGGTTAACAATCGCGATTTGTGTGTTGACTGGCACCATCCCTGAGTCTTGAAGGACAAGAGCAGTAGGATCAGTATCCGGGTCTACTGGACAGACAAGTCCCCGACGTAAGGAGCGCAGATCGAGCCATAATTCCACAGGCTCGATGCACATATAAGATCTGGTGACAACCATAGGATTCAAAACATGGGAGTAGACGATGTTGATAGCGGTGCGGTCCAGACTGGTAGAAGCGAAGTGAAGACGCACTTTTTGGTCTGTAGAACTATTAGCAGGTACCCTCGCAATTGGCACTGTGGAACGTACATATATCGACGCGCGGCCGACCTTCCGCAGAAATCATCAGGTTCTTCAGCTCTTGCAGCTGGAAACCCTTACCAGCCATGGCGCTCATTGCATAATCCAACATCTGGGCTGTAGCGTATGTATCCTTGACCTTGTACCGAGAGAGCGTGACGAAAAGAGTCATGGGGTTTTGCGCGAAGTCGACGGGGGATACTAGATAAGTTGGGGCACCTGGAAAAGCTGATCAATACACAGACTCTTTGTTAGGGGTTTGAGCCACGACCTACCAACATAGATACCCATAAGACAGGTATGAAGGAAGCCAAGCCCGAGCGTACTCCGCACACTACCCAGAACCGGCCTCATACTAGTCATCTGACATGTCTCTTTCTGAACCTTACACATGCCCATAATGGTATCATGGCCAATCTGGACCGAGATTCTCCTCTGGTCGGGTGTCCAATAAGTCCAAACCATGGCCGCCTGACTACTTTGTATCCAAGTCTCTTTGGCGGTAAAGCCAAGGTCCCTACAGCCGTGAGACTGCTTGGGAGGCTTCGTAGTGTTGTAGATGGCCGGGACCCCGATTCGTAGGACTTGCGCAGATTGCTTGATGTGCTGGGAAACCAGCTTCTGCCTCAGGACATGATCGACATCACTGTTAACAATAATCGCCTTGACATGGAAGTCGTTGATGACGTGAAGGAATGCAGGAGCATCTTCGGAAAGGCGGTTCTGATCAATGGGGGCAAGAGGAACTGCAACCGCGCCCAAACATAAGCAGGCATGGACTGCATAGACATACTCTTCTGAATGGGTGTACATCAGGATCACGTGGTCACCAGGTCGAACCTTAACCTTGTTTTTCAGATACATGGCCACGGCAGAAACCTTGAGATCGAACTTCTTCCAGGTGATGCCTTTGCCTTCCTTCCCACGACCATCAATGGAACAATAAGCAAGCTCCTCGGCTTGCCGAGAAACACGCCATTGAAGAAGGTCCACGATGCTGTTAAAATTGTTGAGTGGTGTAGACGTACGATCGTCCATGACGACATCACGATAATCCACGCCTGAGTATTGCTTCTCTTGCATGGCAAGCATCTCCTGCCTTGACATCAGGGCAAGTGGCGACCAAATACCGCCGACGGGGTCGACTCCGACCGGCAGGTTCAGGACTGACCGCTCAACACCAAACTTGACATGCACACAGGGTAACGACCCGTTATCGAATTCTTTGCGGCAGAGCATATTCCCGATCTCGCGTCTCCCATTCTTGGTTACCCGAGGGAGGGTATTGGGGGCTGTCAGCAGTACACAGTATACTCGCAAGTGATGCTCCTGATAGAGAACTTCCATACATCTCTCAGCCAGAGACTCTAGCAGGACGGAATCTAGCTGCCGTGGAGGGCCACCTGAGGTGGTTGGAGCTGTCGAGGCTGCGTATGATTCTAAGACGACTATCGGAAGATGTTCCTCGTTGACGAAAACATCGAAAGCCGTGCAATCATGAATCTTAGGGATGTTCTTCAAGATGCTGACAATCAAGTGTTGGACGAAGAAGTACCGGTGTTCAACGATCTCCTGCCCATGTTCCACCCATTCCACCTTCTGGCGGAGTCGGTCTTCGTAGAGACCGAGAACGAAGATCTTGCCCTCGATCACACAGCCTAGGAGACCCGTGCGGAGAAACTCTGGCTCAACCAAGACAGGCGTGGGGTTTCCTTCTTCAAACTTGTACGGTCGTGCGTGGAAGATAGCTTCCGTATGTTTTGGCAAGGCCCAGAAGCCTCCTGAGAGAGAAGGCGAGTCTACCCAGATCTCGCCAACTACATTGGGCGTGCAGAGCAGATTACTCTCGGGGTCAACAACCGCCACTGTTGCATCGGGGATAGGATAGCCGAACGAGCCAACTCGTACAGCATGAGGCATGGTGGGGGCGAATTTCTTCGCTTCCTCGCCCATAGCTAGAACCACAATCTCGTTGCTCTTGAGAGCCTCCTTATCCAGAAGGACTTCTCCCATTTCAGTCTTTCCTTGTTCTTGCGAAGAGGGAGCGGGAGCGGAAGAGCCGCCACCCAGAAGACTGCTGCCAAACCCGCTGCTGTGAGTCTCAGCCTTTTCGGATTTCTTCTCTTCCTTCCTGAGACCCTCTCGCTGGTTGGGATCCATCTCATGCGTCAAAGGACAGCCCATGCGTTCTTCACCACCCAGCCAATCCCGCACACTGATGACCATACCCCCATGCTCAGGAAGACAAAGCATTGGCGCGACGATTTCTCGGGCCCTGGGGTTCCTCATGGGCCTGAGCCATCGGTCTGCCAAAATCTCATGAAATTCAGGATCCACCGTGAGCGAATCAATCAAACAGAGCTTCACAGATCCAAAGTTGGGCTCGGAATTCTTCTTGTAATGGCGTGTCGCCATCGGATCCTGCTGGTAGTTGTAAGCCGCGATCTTCAGCCCGGGATAGTCGGCAGCCATTAGAGTTGCCCTGTACTTTGTGATCAAATGAGCGTAAAGGCCAGGCATCTCTACGGCGCGATCTTCAAGCCAGACCGTTGTGTGGCCACCATAGACAGTAAGAAGAACGCCCAGAATCATACCAATACCTTGTCTAGGATCTAAGTAGCTGATGAGAGTCTCTCCGCGTTGCTTGGCCGCGCTAGAAGAGGCGGGTACCGTCGAGACAATTGCACCGAGGCAAGCCATCTGATGCATGATCGTTCGATGGCTCATGACGACACCACGCAGATCACCGGTAGGGGCTCTTGAGAATTCAATATAAGCCAGATCGGGCACCACGAGGGGTGGGGTATCGTCTTTCTTCTTGGGATGGAAGCTGCCAAACTCGTTCGTCTTCCACCATTCAACCCCTCTGGGCCAGTTCAACTTCTGCGTTGTAATGTCTCTCTGGAAGCTCTTGAGGTTGTTCTCCGTGGTCAGAGCGAGGTGCGCCTGTGTCGAAGTCAGGATCAGGTTGAGGCTCTGATAGTCCTCGAGGCTGTTGATTGGAACAGCTACGACACCGGCGATGAAACACCCCATCAGGGCCACGGCGAACTCGATAATCTCAGAATCACGGTAGATCAAAGCCACCCGATCCCCGCGATAGAGATTGCTCTTATCGCGAATTACCTGCGCTACCTTCTCCGCACGGCTGGCAAGTTTGTCCCAGGTGATCGACGCAATCTCCTTTCCCTTCTGATCCAAAACCCAATAAGCAGGCTGTTTCGCATGCACCCGAGCACGATGCCGCAGAACAGCCGGAATATTTTCAAAATTAGACATGGGGGTGTTTTTGTCGTGGGGGTCATGAACGGCAAATGGGATGTCCCGAGGCTCCAGGGGCAGTAAGTGGTCGAGTGCCGGTCCGTGTGGAAGCTCAGAGGCGGGAATCAGCGGGGGCGCCATGTTCGCCGTCGGTGAGAATGTATCAGATTGGGAGTAACGGTGGAAACCACCACCGTAGCTATCGCGATAATCATCTTGCTGCTGTCCAGCAAAGTCGGAAAAATATCCTTGCTGCGAGTCCAGCATGGTTGACTGTCGCGTGCCCGCGCCCGACGGCATATCATAAGCTCCGACGGGCTCATCGTATTGATCGAGAGGCGGACCGGGGTTGAAGGCGTAGTTCTGGCTTAGCAGGGTTGCCGTCCTTGAGTTCTCCTGCAGCGGCGGTGGAGGCTGAGGTTTGGGAAGAAAAAGAGAATCGTAGGAGGCGGCTGATGGGGCTCTGTCGCCCGGCAAGAGCATGCTGTCTCTTTCGTAGGAACCCTGCGTCTCGCCACTTATCCTGCGATCAAATCCGAAGCCTCCATTCTGGAAACTATCACGCCCATTTGAGAACGAGTGCGCCGGGCCACCATGGCTCGTGGAATCGGCGGTAGGGGGTCGAACGTTAAGGATTGCCGCAGGCGGATGGGTCGAACTGGTGATTGATGATGGAGCATTGCCGGAGGTAGGTGTACTGAGGTCTAGTGCCATATTCGGTCCAAAGTACTGCGAAAGGAGGAGGGTGCGCCGTTTCTGATATCTGGGGCAAGATTAGTCAAGGCATAGCATAGCGGTGATGGTGAGCCAAAGAAACATGATCCCTAAGACAGTGGACGAATGCTTGTGGACGTCGTGCTGAAGGACGCTCTTGCCGCGCTCACTGCCCCCGAATCGGCACCGAACAGGATGCTTACCCTTTTTCGGTGATATCACCCTCCTAGTCGGAACAACGCAACAACAGGTCAGCGAAAGAGTTTCCAACATGATACAAAGGCCCTCAGAAGGCGAAGAACATTCTTGACCCGCTCATACCTCCAATTCCTTGTCAAGGTCGCGCAGAGCGGACTGCAGCTCGGGGTTGTCGTCCGCCATGATTACAGAAGCGCCAAAGGGAGACAAATCGAGGGGCTGTCATTCGAGGGCGCGCACGACTGGGCGTGAAGGGATGACACTTCCACCCTCATCGCAGGGTTTCTGAATTGATAGTAGAAAGGCACCGGGGGAGGGGAGAGTGAGAAAATTCCCCGGGATATGCGGCCTCTTGCGATGGGAGTGGTAGAAGTATGGGGGGTGGAAAGTAGAGGAGGAGGAAGAGGGGGTGGATATTCTCTCACGTTCCTCGGAGTGTCTTTCGCTTTCTCCGCGCCCGAAAGAGCCACAAAGAGCCACAACGTCACCTGCGGCGGGTGGACTATAATTAACTAGGGCCTGGGAGGCGGGCCTGCCACGCACAATTGACAATTGGCGGCAATTAGATTAAGTTAGGATGGTTAACTACCTTCCATCATAATATCAGGGGATGCTCTTGGCTCCCCACCTTCATTCACCCACAGAACAACCTGACTTGTCATTCTGGAAGAACAAATTATTCTGTGTTTCCATGACAGGTACGCACTCTTCCAACGAACCAATCCTCACCTTCCCCAACGTAGTGCGGGAGGGATAAGTTCTGCATGACTGTGACCGGCTTATCCGCTATCCAGCCCGTGCGGGATGGGATGCCCCTTTTTGCTGCCATCCACTGAATCAGTCCTGAGAATTGGTCTCACTGGCAAAGGCCGGGTTGATAGCAATCAATTACCGTGGGCTTTTCACATTGACAACCATAATTGCTGGTGTAATACTACGCTAGCCACGGATGGCCATTTGGCAAGTGTGGAAAGTGAAACCATACAATGTAGCGCGCCTCCGATAACGACTCCGAACATAGTTCAAGATCGTGTCGTGCTGCTGGACTGGGTTCTCGTACAGTACATGTTCATTTGAGCTGTTCTCCTCGTCAGGAACGAAATCTATACCTGAGTCTTCAGTTTCTTCGTCATTTGCAAGACGCCAGTTCCAAGAATGATCGGTCAAGTAGTGGCTGCCGCAACATGCATGCTGCTCGACCTGAGGTTATGTGCCGCAACTGCGTAACTCCAAAAGGCTTCCAAGGGTAGATAGGCATCCTAGCAAATCCATCGCAACCTGTAATGAAGAGCAGGTGACCCTCATCTTCGCGACGTACTGTTATTCCGTCACTAAGCCCTGGCTTCAATGTTACAAAAGACTGATTCGTCCCGGTCCAAGCAGCTGCAATCAGATATAGCGCTATGAGCCCAAACCGAAAATTCCGCAATGTGGACTTGGCAACGTCCATGATCATCGCACCGAGCCATAAGCTGTTAAATTTAGGTTCTCGATTTGCTAAAACCTTCGCGAGCATAGGCATATCATTTGCTTGGACGAGCGGATCTAGTACTGCGAATGCAGGGTTTAGCCATGCGCTGACCAAGTTACATCGGTCTTCCATTAAGGAAAGGAACATAAAGTACCGCAGCCAGAGCAGCAGAACATTGACCGTCAAGGCGATGGTGGGAAAAAAATCGAGCTAGCCATTCAAGGGCAGTGTTGGATGACGGCAGCTCAATACCAGCTGGAGCAATTCAAGGATATCCCATAACAGCAATGCGCGATGTGTCCGAGATCGAAGCAGACCACGGAGACGAATATGTTTTTGGTTGTATTATGCTGTTATGTGCCGGCAGCCCCTGGAAGATGAATTGATCGTCCACCAACCAGCTTCAATTTCACCGGCATGATATCCTAAGTCGACCTGAGCCGCACAGTGATGGTTGGGCAGCCTCGAAGATGTGACATTTTCAGTCGCGAATTTGGCTTTGCAAAATCCGATGCACCCTCTAATAGTTCTGCCCATCGTGCGGAAAGAATATAGGTTCAGGCAAGGAACAAGATTGCAAGATAGTTGCCTGCGTCATGGCCCGATATTCCCTGGATACCCGGCCACTCCGTCAGAGGAGCAGAGTCGGAAATGTGCACGGTGAGGGAACTCTGAACTCCCAGTGTGAGATGGCTAGGCATAGCTGTAGGCTCAAAGGGGGCATTTGCTACAGAAGGTCCCCCAACCTGAGCGGCCGCTGGAGGTAGAGCCATACTGGCCATCTCTGGATCCTTTTTCCACCAGTTTCAAGAGGGTAAGAGCATCTTTGGAGAGCAAGCCGTATCCAGGTAGAGAAGGGGTTCGCCTGAAAGGCCTCTTTAAGTCATTACAAGCATACGGGAGTAGAGATGTAGTATGGGATATGTTGAGGTAGGAGGACCATAACTTAGAACTTTCCAAGAGAACCTGGTCAAGTGTTGACCTATTCGGACCAATGGCATCTTCCATGGTGGACGACACGCTTACATGAGGATTGCGAGGAGCCCAGCCATTCATATAATGAAGGTAAGGTTCCGATTCTGAGGTTTCATCTAGCCATAGGCCGCACACCTGCCAGAGGAGGCGGAACAACCTGCCCCATAAATAAGAGAACCGGTATATGATACCATGTACAGGGATGGAAAGGTAGTACAGTGACGAGAGAACTGAGGAACGGATCAAGTGGGCCAGAATACCTTGACCGATGAATGAGCAACTATAAGTTGGATAAACTATATTGAGGAGTGGATGAAAGGAGCTTGGAGATGCGACCACTCTCTCCAGAGAGTACTCCGTACAGTCTAGATCATCGACGATTGAAAGCGGAGTCGCCAGTGGTTTATTTACCGGGCCATCATGGGCTAGGCCGGATCAAGGTTAGTACGTCGGAGCTGGTCCGTTAGTGTCGTGTCACATGACACTGTCCGCACCATTGGTGGTCGGCCCTGCCCTAAGCCCACCCACCGCTAAGCGAGTCGCACCTCGAATTTCCGTGGGCTCAGCGACACATTTCAGTCGACCGACTGTATTCGTCGACGTTGCAGGATCACCCAACGACACCGTCCGCCACCCTTCACGTATCCCTCCCTCGACAACAGGTGCATACGTCGTCCAACATGTCTGAACACGGCGAAGTCGAGGTCGAAAACCCTGCTGCGGCCTTCCAGGTCCTGCCCAAGGATGCTCTCGCCGAGCAGGGCAGCGTGAAGCTGTTCAACAAGTGGAGCTACGAGGATGTTGAGATCCGGGACATCTCCTTGACGTAGGTGCTTCCCAATTCATCGCGATTGATATTACCACGAGGCGGAATGGATTTGGTCGATGGGGAAAAAAAGGAACCAGCCCTATTTGTTAGGCTTGGTGGAATGGTCGATGCGAAACAATGGAAAAACACACCGGGAGGACTTGCGCAAATTGAAAAGAAAAAAATCTTGAATCGGGATGGAACGAACAAGGACACACAGCGAAGACTCAGAATGAGATGTGCTGACTTCGGGTTTCACGCAACCAGCGACTACATCCAGATCCGCTCCCCTGTCTACCTTCCTCACTCCGCTGGTCGCTATGCCGCCAAGCGTTTCCGCAAGGCTCAGTGCCCCATCATCGAGCGCCTGACCAACTCCCTCATGATGAATGGCCGCAACAACGGAAAGAAGCTCATGGCTGTCCGCATTGTTGCCCACGCTTTCGAGATCGTATGTCACACCAAGCCCGTCCCACCGACAGGAAAAACGCAAATCTCGAAAGGGGTCCTTGATAGATTAGGCGCTAACCATTTGGCATCTAGATCCACATCATGACCGACCAGAACCCTCTCCAGGTTGCCGTCGATGCCATCGTCAACTGCGGTCCCCGCGAAGACAGCACCCGTATCGGTTCCGCCGGTACCGTCCGTCGCCAGGCCGTCGATGTTTCTCCCCTCCGCCGTGTCAACCAGTCCATCGCTCTCCTGACCATCGGTGCTCGTGAGGCCTCTTTCCGCAACATCAAGAGCATTGCCGAGTGCTTGGCTGAGGAGCTCATCAACGCCGCCAAGGGCAGCTCCAACTCCTACGCCATCAAGAAGAAGGACGAGCTCGAGCGTGTTGCCAAGAGCAACCGGTAAAGTGGGAACTTTGGGCGTATTCTCCGTTTGGTTCTGGTTTTGCGTGTACTGGAGTGGACGGGGGGTTCATTAGGATTCAGTCGATTTGCATGCATCTGCGCGACTGTACATACCTGAAAACAGTCACGGGAGGGAGCGAGATCCTCAACAAAATGAGAGAATTGGACGGCTTTCCTTCCATAGTAGTTGAGATGCGATCATGAAGACCTCTGGCTTTGTTCGGAGTCAGAACCTACCATTTTTTACTCTAAACGAAAAGATTTTTTTTACCTGTTTTCACCAGCCTCGTTTATCTGTAGTATGTACGTACATGTATAATTAGCGGTCTTAAAAAAAAATGAGATCTGGATCGTTTGTCTATCTATCGTCTATCTCATATCATCAGCATCACGGAATTCCACTAATAATCGTGGGGCAGCGCAACAATGCCTGCTTAATAGACAAAATCTGATGCAGCAGTGGTCGCAGGGACCTTCTGTTGTTCCCGCCGCCGCCTTTGGGCTGATCGCTTATCGATAGGCCAGCCCCGTAGCAGGGGAAGGAAAAAAAATGTTCTGGGTCTGTTATCAGCCAGAGCCAACCACCATCCACCTTCTTTCTTCCCCCCCATCACCCCATCCCTACTCCTCTCTTTCTCACCACAATCACTCGCAAACATGGTGAAGAGGAAGTTGGGGGCCTTGGAAAAGGTCGAAGCTGACCTGTAAGTGCTGCCTGCTCACTCACTGTCTGGAAGCGAGTAGCAGTCCCCGACTCGGGCAAGAATTTCCACCCCCCAATTTCTCTGACACGTTTTGATCTTTAGGCCGAATCTTCAGCACAAGATTAGACGAGACCCGAAGTAAGTGACTCCAGTTCTGAATGAAGCAGTGCTTTGTGCCATTGAGAGCGTGGGGCTGACTACGGTGCCCTCCGTCAGGTCCTACATCGAGGATTTCCGCGCTCAGCACTACCAATATGAGAGTCACCGCGAGATCTTCATGGCGGCGCCTTCGTCGGCCACCGATACGGGTATCATCTCGCTTCGTGAATTGATCGATTTCATTGCCCACGTGGCCGACTGCTACCCGGAGATCACCAAGGACTTTCCTCAGCAATTGATGGATATCCTCACCCAGCATCACCTGATTTTGCAGCCGGAGTTGCGCGAGAAGATCGTCGGAAGTTTGGTACTTCTGAGAAAGAAGGAGCTTCTGGACTCCGCGACGTAAGTTTGTTTCAAAGGCTAGCCGATAAAGCTGTCGCTAACCGTCACGAACCGCTAGTCTGCTTCAGACGCTGTTCCCTATCCTCATTTCTACGCCTAGCAAGACACTGCGCGCATTACTGTTCCAGAAGATCCTGATGGACCTGCGTTCGTCCAACGCGAAGTCTACTAATCACAAACTCAACCGTACCATGCAGACCGTCTTATACAACCTGGTCACCTCCGACCGCACCTCCTCCAAAGGCCTGTGGGCTATCAAGCTTACGCGTGAACTGTGGAAGCGCCAGATCTGGACCGATGCTAAGGCGGTTGAAGTCATGAAGGAGGCCAGTTTGGCCACCAACGACAAGGTCATTGTTGGTGGAGTCCGCTTCTTCCTTGGTGGAGACAAGGAGCGTGAGGAGATGGAGGATGAGAGCAGCGACGAAGAGGCCATCGATATGGGACGAGTCAAGCACGTTGTCGGTATTAACAAGAAAACCAAGAAGAAGGCTCGCGCGGTCGAGAAGGCCAGAGCCACCGTCAAGCGCCGTGAGCGCAAGAAGAGCCAACCGCACCCCTTGAACTTCTCCGCGCTCCACCTGTTGCACGATCCCCAGGGATACGCGGAGAGCTTGTTCTCCAAGCACCTCCAGAACACCAAGTCGAAGCTGAACCTGGACCAAAAGCTGTTGGTTCTCCAGCTTGTGACCCGTCTCGTCGGTCTGCACAAGCTTCACATCATGCACCTGTACTCCTACTTCCAAAAATACCTTACGCCCCGCCAGCCCTCCGTCACCTCGTTCTTGGCTTCCCTTGCGCAGGCCTCCCATGACCTGGTCCCCCCGGATGACCTTGAGCCCTTGGTCCAGAAGATTGCCAATGAGTTCGTCTCCGAAGCTTCGGCGGCCGAGGTCGCATCGGCCGGTCTCAATGCTATCCGAGAGATTTGCGCGCGACAGCCTCTCGCGATGAACGAGACCCTTCTGCAGGATCTTGTCATGTACAGGAAGAGTAAGGACAAAGGTGTGGTGATGGCTGCTCGTGGTCTGCTCAGTCTGTTCCGTGAACTCAACCCTGAATGGCTCAAGAGACGGGATCGTGGAAAGGAAGCCTCTATGGGTCTGCGATCCGGAGAGAAGAAGGAGAAGCGCTTTGCGGAGCAAGCGGCTGGCGGTATCGAGGGTCTGGAGCTGCTCGAGCAATGGAAGGAAGAGGAGCGCCGCAAGCGGAGGGCTGAGAAGGGCTTGCCATCTGACGCGGAAGATGACGAGGAAGACGAAGACAACTGGGACGCCTGGAACGTCGAGTCGGACGAAGACAGCGATGACTCTGATGGCTGGATTCAGGTGCAGAGCGACGCTGAAATCGAACTGAGCGACTCCGATGACGACGAAGATAGCAAACGTCCGAAGAAGAAGGCCAAGTCGGATGAAGAGGCTGGTGCAGAGGCGACCACTGAGGCGACCGAGGAGACCAAGGAGGAGAAGCCCCTAGACCCGAAGCTCAGTCTGGCAGCTACTCGCATCCTTACGCCGGCCGATCTGGCCAAGCTGCAGGAGCTGCGCACGGAAGCGGCTGTCAACGCCCTTGCGGGTGTGAAGGGACGTCAATCCGCAGCTAACCGCCACCACGATGATCCACTGACGGCTGAGGAGATTGAGGGTCTGGCTGCTCTGTCTGCGGGCAAGGCCACGCGCGAGGAACGTATTGCCCATGCCAGGGAGGGCAAGACCGAACGGTCTGAGCACAAGAGTGTGACTGCTAAGCGCAAGGAGAAGAAGGATTCGCAGGGCAAGAGTACGACCAACAAGGAGAAGGCTCGCAAGAAGAACTTTTTGATGACTCTGGGCAAGGCGAAGACTAAGAACAAGCGGAGTTTGGTGCAGACGCGGGCGGTGCTGAAGGCGCACCAGGAGCGGGCGAAGCGTGGTGGTCGTCGGGGAAACACTGGTTCTTGAGGTATATGATACCCTAGTTGTTTTTATTGTAGAGTTAGTCTTGAAAAGCTTTTTGCAATTATATATCTGTCTGTGTCTGTTTTGTGTGTTTATGAATGAGTATAGTGTAGAGTTAGAGTGTACCTAGAGTATATCATGGATATCTAGGATATCTAGGGGACTAACCCAGAAAGGATAAATTAAACATCACTCAATGGTCGACACGTGCCAAAGTCCGGGCAGCGCGTCAGAAGCGCGTCGCGGGATGCGACCCAAAGAACCTTCCCCAGCCTCAATGATTCCTTCTTCTTCTTCTTCTTCTCCCCGCCTTCTACTTTCTTCGTCTTCCTCATTCTCCTTCTTCAATCTCGCACTCTCCTCTCCTCTCCTCTCCTCACACTCTGGCCAACCAACCAAATAACTAATCTCACATTCTTTACACCATACACTCCATTCAAACCAATCATCAAACCAACGAATCAAAACATCTCAGTCCCACCTACAAGAGCCTCCACCACCACCACCACATTGAACAACAAACCACCCCACCACCTAAAACACAATAACCAACACCAACTTCAAACACCCAACTCGCAACCCACAACTCAATCCCCAAAAAGAAAATGGCCCCAACGGACCCAACAACCAAACGCCGCCGCTTCCAACCCCCAATCACAACCTTCTTCACCACCGCCACCACCACCACCACAACAACAACAACCACCTCCGGAACAACCCCCCACCACACGCACAACCACTACTCAACCTCCACCAGCTCACCGACCCCGACCCTAGCCCCAAAAGTCCAAGCCTCGCTCCTCTCCGTCGGCATGCGCGTCCGCAAATCCATCGCAGAGGGATACAAAACCCAGGCGTCCTTCGAAAAATCCATCACGCCCACATACCAACAATCCATCCACTCAACCGCACAGAACCCGATGATGATGACAGTCACTACGGCCGCCGATGAAGAAGGCGATGCGTTCTCCCTCCCTGCTAGCTCGCAGGATTCTATGGATTCGTGCTCGATGTCTTCGGCTGAAGGTAGTAGGAAGCGGGGGTTCGATGATTTTGATTTTTATGGGTGTGGTTATGAGGGGGTTGATATCCATAGTGAGGGCTGGGGGTTGATCCCCGGTGCGAATATCGCTGGTGAGAGGACGATTCTCGAGGCTAAGGGGAGGAGTAGTGCCCTGCGGAGACGGTTTGCTTGCTCTGCTACTGGTGCTGCTCCTGGAGAGGGAGAGTTTGGGGCGGTGGACTTCGAGGAGCCGGCTTTCTTGCGGAGCCGCGAGGAGGTGGAGGGGTATGAGTATGAGTATGAATTTCTGGGTGGCCGGTGTAGAGAGGTGGAGATGGGGGGCGTTTGATCCCTTCTCTCTTTTCTTTCTGGGTGTGGGGTGACGTGACTGTGGGCACCGAAGAGGTGGTTCGGTTTGTTCTCTTGATGATATTGCTTTTTCAGCCAGCGTTGGATTGCTCTTAGCTGTACTGTACTCCGTACTGTACTTCTAGGTTTATTTTTATCTAGTCTTCATGTCCGGGTGTCACCGCTGGTCCGGTGGACTTTTGTTTGGGTTTTTGTTTGGAGCGTTACGGGTTTTATGTCTGGGTTTGGGTTCTTGTTAGTGTCGAATGAAAGGATGCGGGACTTGGCTTTTATGCTTCTTGCACATCTTTACTTTTACCTCTTGCTGGCGACAGCGTCTAGTGAGGAGCGTCTCGCATAATAGAATCTTGATGGTCCACGTTTACGCCTGTTCTTACGTCTGGATCTTATACAAGTCATAATCTACATCTTAGATGCCTGATAGACTCAGCGACCCCCTAGGGCCGCTTGAAAGTACAATACATAGTCACAAGATACACTCCCTAGTCCAGCATACCATGCATGATACAGAGGGAGACCCGGAAAGGGAAATATAAAAGACAACAGTGTGCAAAACGGTCAACGCTCAACCAACCTAAGAACTCCCTCCTTGATTTTCTTCACCTCCAAGTTATCTATCCTTCCGGTCCGATGCCTACAACTCGTCCTTGACGTTGCTCTTCTTGGCCTCGGCGGAAGTAGTCGTCGTGGACGACTGCTGCTGCTGCTGCTGCTCCTTCTTGGCGCTGCTGCTCTTATCCTTCTTGGCGCTGCTGCCCTTCTTGGCCTGCTCGGCCTTGCCGGACTTCGCTGCGGCGGCGCCCATCTTTTCGTAGATGCGGTTCATGACGCGCTCCAGTTCGCGGAGGCGGAAGTCGAGCTCGGCGACGGTGAAGGCCGGGTCGTCTGTGACGGCGAGCTTCTCCTGGATGGTGAGCTGGGTCTCAAACCAGGTGTTGGTGGATTCGTAGGTCTTCGACAGGCTGGTCAGGTCGTAGGGCTGGAAGATGGAATACTTGGGTCCGCTGGGCTTCGGGGTGGTGGTGGGGACGGACGAGGTCGTAGTGCTCGAGGTCGTGGCGTAGGGGTCCTCGTCGAGATCGACGGGCTCGGAGGGAGTCTCGCTCGCCGAGGTGGACGAGGTAGAGGTAGAGGCCGTGGATTCACTGGCAGCGAGGCTGGACGAGTATAGGTCATCGTCTTGCTGGATCTGCTTCTCCATGAGGTCCATCACGGTCTTGGCGTTCTTCAGGACATCTTGGAAGAGCTCGACCTTGGCCGGACGCTCGGCGCTCTCCTTCTTACGCTTGAGCGCAGGGTTGACGATCTCTTTCAGGGACTTGAGTCGCTCCCGGAATTCCGAGGTCTTGGCATCCGCGCCGTCGCCGTACAGCCAGTCGCTGGCGGCAGCCGCCTTCTCCTTCAGCGTCGCCAGCTGCTCAGGCGTCAACATCTTGACGAATTCCTCGTCCTCCACGAGATCACGGCTACGGTAGATGAACGACTCCAGCTCGTTGAGGGCTTCCTCGCGGAGGAAACGCTCGCGGTCCGAAGCGTCAAACGCGGCCAACCGGGCTTGGATACGAGCAAGCTCAGCTGTGGACGGGGCGGGAAGTCCCAGGGCGGTCGTGGTGAAACTGACAGGGATGGTCTCGAGCTTGGGCTGGAGGGAACTCTTCTTGGCTTCTTTGGCGGTGGTGGTGGAAGTGGCTTCATCCGTGGAAGAGGTAGTCGAAGCTTGTTCCTCTGGCTCCAGTGTGATGGATTCGCTGGGTTCACCCTCTTCGCCAAGAGGCGCCTGCTCATCCTTCTTGCCCAGGCCGAAGAAGCCCTTGACATCCTCCACGACACTTCCCTTCTTAGCGCCTTCAACTTCGCAGCTGACGGAACCGCCCACGACTTCGGGAAGTCCATCAACAGGGCTGAGGCGAATAGAGAACTTAGTGGTGATGTTGGCAGCCGAGCAGCCGAATTCTTCCTTAAGCTTGGCAACAGAAGCAGTGAGATTCTGGGTCTTGACGCCTAGAACAGGAGTCTCAGCAACGTTGTTGGCAAGGGGAACCTGCTGGTAGAAGCTGAACTCGAAATCATCCAGGTTCTTCACGGTCACCTGCTTCTCGGGTCCAACCTGGGAGGTGGGAGTGAAAAGCTTCTGCTGTCTCTCCTTAGACTCGGAAGCCCACTTCAACACAACACTGTAAGCGGACGCATCGTTGGCTCGGATATCCTTGACACGGAAGCTTGGGCTGAGGGCTGCACCCTTAAATGCAGCACCGAACACGGCGGCTTCATCAGCGTTGACGCTGGTGCGGATCTTGCTTTCCGATCCACAAGTGCTCTCCAGTTCCTTTTGCACGAATGGCGTGCGAATTGCACCACCGTGAAGGATAACGGAATCAATGTCGTTCATCTGCAGTCCGGCAAGCTCCAAAGCTTGCTGGACGGGCTTTCCAACGCGGGCAATGTGTTGCGCGGCAAGTTCCTCGAATCTAGACCGGGTAAGCCGGTACTTGAAGTTGATCTCTTCCTCGTGCAGGCCCTCAAATGAAGCTCCAGTCTCAGTGTTAGCGCTGAGAACCTGACGGATCTTCTCGGCATCCTTCCAAAGTCTGGCCATAGTCTTGCCGTGAGCCTTGATATCCGCCGCCGTGACACGGCCCTTCAGCTTCTTCTCTTCGGCCAGGTTGGCGATCATGTCATCGACGATCAAATCGTTGAGAGAGTCTCCACCAAGAGTCTTGTCCCAGCTGGTTCCGAGAACGTGAACTTCCTGGACAGTCTTGTTGAAGCGGCCGATGTCCTTGACCGCGCGGCTTTGGAAGCGAACAACACTGGCAGTGGTGGAGCCAGCACCCATGTCGTACACGATGTGGTATTCGGGCTTCTCTCCATTCGAAACACTCGGGAAAGTGCGGCTAGTCGCGTAGTTCAGAGCAACAGCCAGACCTTCGCTGATGAAAGCTTCAACATTCAAGCCCGCCAACTCTGCCGCCAAGCGGAGACTTCTCTTCTCCGCCGCGGTATAGAAGGAAGGGTAGGTGATCACCGCATCCTGAATGTTGGATCCTTTTCCGGCCAGAGTGTCGGCGTTGGCTTTGATCTGCTTCAACTGCATGGCCAGAATCTCCTCAACGAGGAAGGCGTCCTTCTTCTCTGCCTCGCCAAGTCGGTTGCTCCGGAGTCCAACAGTGTCGCGGTCGCCAGGGGCTTTCTCAAGTCGCAGCGCAGGATACCGGCTGTGATACGTCTTGATCGTCTCATCATCACTATCGAAGGGAAGTCCGAGCAAAGTCTTGAGGTTGGCGTATACGTCGTCGGGGTACCGGGCCGCTAGTGCCAGGGCATCGCCGCCGTAGAATCTCTCGGGGAACAGGGCATCACTTTCACGGGTAGGCTTGAACGCAACGGCAGCTGTCTCCTTGCGCTTTGAGTCCTTGGTGAGAACAATTTCCAGAGGAATACCTGGTTTGACCAGAGCGGCTTTCAAATATTCTGTGCCGACATCGATACCGATGACTGCGGATCCGGCTGCAGCTGCAGGGGCAGGGAAGCTCAAGAAAAGCAGTAGGAAGGGAACGATTAGGAAAGAGAGGACGGGAGAGGATGTGAGCGATTTTAGGGAGCCATATGTCCGTTGACGGCTATAGGAAGCCATGATCTATGTATGAGTCTATTATGGACAAAGCAAGTCAGCACCCATGTCACTCAGTCAACCTGCGCCTGGAAGTCGCATACCTGTGGATAGCGCTTTTATGCAACGCTGGGCATCTATCGAGCTCTATCTCAAATGCCCAAATATATTCTGATCGTAGTTGTCGTCGTAAGCGAGGGACGCTCTAATTATTGGGGTACATTAAGATGAAATTAGCAAGCTAGTGGTCGTGAACTATGACGGAAGTCGAGGTTAGCGAAAGACGATAGCGATCTCTGGGGTCAAGAAAGGGGGGCAAGGCACCAAAGTCTTTTTTTTTATCTCCGCAGAGCCATCTAGAAGACAACGAAGCTCTAGATTACTGGCCACCTGGCAGTAAGCATGGACAAGGACCGAAGTACAAGTAAAAGAAAGATGCAAGTCGAATGTTCGATGATTGGACTGGAGAGGCCACGTTTGGCCGACCGGAGGATGCAAACACTGCACACCGCCCGCCCGCGGTGTTTGCATCTTTATTCAGCTGCGGATCTCCAACCAAACAATTGCCGGCGGGCAAAGTCAGGGTCCTACGCATTGTATAAGGTCCTGTATGCACTATGCATCATGCACATCCACATGGTATTCATTCTTCATGCGTTTAATCATCATCGAAGTCGGAGTCGCTCATCCATCCAGTCTCATACGACTCCCTAATCTCTCCCAACCCGTTGACCAACGCCTCCCTCTCATCCACCCCCGCAACCCGTCCCGCGAGCGTCTCCAGTCCTTTGAGCTTCTCTGCCGTCCGTGAGGAAGCTGTCAAGGCTGCAAGCACTTGCACCTTCTCCTTCGCCTGAGGAAGTGTAAACATGTTGCGTGGGAAGCTATCCAAGATGGGAAACGGCAGCGGTGCATGGAACCTATCATTCTGGTCAGCATCAGCATGGTGAAGAGGCTACAAGATCTCTGACCTCTGGAACATGGGCTCGGAATTGTACAGCCGTTGCCTGCGCACGGTACCCAGGTCCTCTTCTGACGACTGGTCTTTCCTCGTAGTGATGATGCCACGTGAGACTTGAAGCTGGTTGAAAATATGGGCTTTGTCGCTGTCCAGACCATCGTACGTGAAGTCCAACTCAAACTTTGCGTTGGACTTGGTGTCTTCCTTGTCTTCCGCTTGCTGGGCCTGTGTTGTAAAGCCTTGGTTCGGCCGCTCGGTATTCTCGTCCTCTGGCACAATCGTAGACTGGAGCTCGAATATCTTGTGAACGCCATCGTCTCCTGCCAGTGATGCCTCAAAATCGTGGTAAGGCCGAAGGCGAGTGGGCAACGTCACGCTCTCCAAAGCAGAGCTGATCAATGCTGATGTGTACCACTCGGAGTGAGGGTCGATGTGAATTGTGGACGGTATGCGACTAGGGGGGTCAATGATAGGCGTATACAGAGAAGCTTGTGGAGCTATAGCGTATATGGACCGAGATTTGTTCAAATTCCGCTTGAATTGTGTTTGCTACGGGAGTCAGCGATCGCCGTATGAACGCACAAGACTGGATGGAACTCACCCGATCAACCTTTCGGCCATTCTCTAAAGCCCAAACCCAGACTGCCTTCTTGCCATATTCATCCCGAATTCTGTCAACATACTTAGCAGCGAAGCCACCCCAAGCGTCATCTGAGCCGGTAAAGATCTGGATTGCGCGCATTTGATCGCACTCCTCTGCAAAGGGTCTCAGATCCCGATCCAGCAGATCGTGTTCCTTGTCGAGGTCGTTGAAAAGTTCCTCTCCAACGCCCCAATCCTCAAATGGCATGATCTTCGAGTTCAGCTCATATTCATTGAGCTGCACAATTGATCGCGGGTGGTAGAAGAGACGATTGTAGTCCGACCAATATCGGACCGTCTCGGAAGAAAGTGCTGGGGCGGGGAGGCCTGCATCCAGGTTCCTCTGATAGTCACTCTGAGGGATGGGAGTCTGTTGCTGTATTGTTTCTTTCCCGTCCCTACTCCATGATTGGATTAGAGACCCAAGGGCTACTACTGCGAATAGAAGAGGCCAGGCTTTCAAGCGAAGGGGTCGACTCACCACAGGCCTTGACCGGGGTTGGCATCTTCGGACAACTGGTAGAGAGCATTATATTTGCGCAGAGTGCCAAAACCCCCCTTCAAATCATAGATGACGGTTCGAGGGGTGAAGGTCTCCGAGCCATCTGCTGCGACACCGGGTCGGAAATGGACGTCATGGTCTACCGGTGACTCTTCATCTTCGTTGTATGTAAAATATGATTCCTAGATAGCACTTTAGCTGAAAACTAGCTGTGGACCAGTCACAGTCATAGCGTACTTGAAGGTTCCAAAAATGTGTGGCCAGATAATTTGCCCGTTGGCCGAGCTGCAACGTGATTATTTCATGCATATTCAAATCGAAGACACGCCGCAAATTCAATCGAGGCTAATTAGAACTCCGCGCTACTAAAATATAGTTGAACATTTGATAGCATCACATCTTCGAAGCACAGACCATCATCTGCTTAGCTAATCACTTCCTTTCAAGGCTAGACTCCCGCTTACCCAATGCAGCCAAGCGCATGTTGTCCCGAGCAACAGTCAGGTGATCGCGCGGTGGGCAACAAACAAGCCGGGAAAGAGTGGGTGCGTCACCGATAGGAGAAGATCAGTGGGTTCAATTTCGACGGGGAAATCTCCTTTCCTCTATCTGACTATCATCCGCTCTCGGATATGACTGTCATGTTTTAACCCGAAGGCGAACAGTCCTCGTCACCTTTACTTACTTTCCCCAAACATTACAGCACACAGGCTTTTCGCCATGGACTCTCCATTCTCGAGCCCGACGAAGGCCCTGAACCCCCTATCGCCCGAGCGGATGAATCAACAATTCACGCCTAACTCCCCATTAGCATCCAACATTCTCAACCTTCGAGGAACACACTCCAAAAATCTCTCTGATGTTCAATCCAAAGTCGCGTATCTCAATGGTCTGTCCTCTCGAGGAAACAGCCCTGCCCATGCTCCACAGCAACAATCTGCGAGTAATTCAGCAGCTTTACAGCGCGCCATCCTAGGACGCGAAGAGGCCGAATCTGCTTTAGCGCATGCAAATTCAGAACTCGCCGAAGCCCAGTCCCGTGAGCGTCGCATCAGTGAACGACTCGAATCACTGCTGGAGGAACTCCAAACCGCCAAGGAGCGACAGGCTCATGAGAGGACGGTGTTCGAGAAGGAAATCCGTAAGGCCCGGAAGGAGGCTTTCCGCGCTGGCTCAGTGGTCGTCAAGGTACAAGAGGACTTGAAGCATGCGAGAGCCGAGGCCAAGGCGTTCAAAGATGAGGCTCAGGTGGAGCGGCGCGCGAAGGAGCAGGCAAAACAAGAGGCATTCGAGCGTGCTTACGCTCTGGCCGGGCTCACCGAGGAGATGGAAGTTCTCAAAGAACAGCTCCGTGCCGCGGAGGCTAACATCAGGTCGCGAAGCCAGAAAGCACAAAACCTCAAGATCGGCCAACAAGACGCTGGACGGATGTCCCTGGTGGAAGGCGATCTCGCTCTACTACTAACCCCTACCCCTCGGAGACCTAAACGGGTAGCCGAGGATTCCGTCAACTCCCTCCTATCTCGTGCCACTAAACCATCGCCTGCACACGATACCCCTCCCAAGCGACAGAGACTATCGGACGTCACTCCCCGAGCGGAAGCTGAGGAAATTGCCCTTTCGGAAGCGCAACAAGATAAGATGGAAGAACTTGAGCGAATTCTGAAACACGAGCGCCAGCTCAGGACGAATGCCGAGGATTTGATCGAATTCCTCAGACTCGAGTGCCAATTTAAGCGCTGTTCTTGCCGGTTGACCGAGACGGAGGAATCCGATCATGTGCATGAAGCGGGAACAGTCGAGGGTGCCGAGCAGGAGCATGAAACCAAAGTGCAGGAACATGGAGACCATGTTGTCGCCCCGTCGCGCGACGAGAGTGAATCGCACACTCACCTTGGCGAGCCTGCTGGTTTCGCTGCGCAGGAAGACGTGATTGAGACTATCGACGAAGATGATGACTTGGAAGAAGCTCAGGAGATCGAGGAAGAGATAGTGGAGGATGCTGAAGACGATGATGACGATGAACTTCAAGAGGAGCCGATAATCACCTTTTCACCTGCGACCGGCACATTTCACACAATCCCATCGCCTATTCGGGGATCTCCGCGGAAACAGCTCCATGAAGCTGCGTTACGTTCGCCATTGGCAGAGGTCGAGGACGAAGTGGAAGCTCCAGCAGTGACCGGTAGTTCTGTTCCGAAATATAACCTTCACAGACATGAGACGCCGTATGATCACATCATGGATAACGAAGCCCCTGCCTTCACCTCTACCCCGGGGACTCACCGGTCTTCGATGGTTGTTGATGTTCCGTGGGACCCTGTGTTGCCCGTGGTACATGATGCTCCTCCCTCACATGGACACGATGACCTCAAGAAGATCCCTACACGAACCGACGAGTCCGCAAGCAATCGCTTCGCCGATGTCCCAGGCACGCCCATCAGCCGGGAGGAAGCCCTGGCTCAGATCCGAGCACGCAGAGGCAGGACCAACACGATGAAGCGCTCCATCAGCGCCGGCGAGAGTGCTCTACGCTCCGGCGGGATGGGCATCACCCCCGTGCGATCCGCCCGGCGCATCCCAGGCGTCCAAGTCCACCACGCAGAAGCACAAAGCGATGGCTCCATCCGCAATCGCCGCGATCTGAGTGCTCCTATCCGAATGTCGTACCACTAGTCAGTGGCTCAGAACAACTTTCACGCCATTCCCGTCTATCTCCCTCTCCCTTTCACATCCCTACCTCAAAACTCTTGGTTAATGACTCGAACTCTCTCTCTCACTCTCACTCTCTCTCTCTCATGATACCCCGGTACTCCGAGTGGCAATGGCGTTTATTTTGGGGGGAAGGAAGTTTCACCTCGGCTTTCATGATTTTTTTTGGGCTTCGATTTTGTATTTCTTGGTATAGATGGTGGCACATCCCAAAAGATCTTTGATGAATATTTCCCGGTGACTTTGTGTGTCCGACATATCATGAATCAGGTACTAATACGGCATAAGGATTACTATCCGTCTCTGCGCCCACTCTCACTCCCTCCTCTACAGTTAATTAGAGATCTCCTTTGTCCTGGCGTGTGTGTGATGTTTGCTTGGTTTCTGGTTTTCTCTCCACTTGGATACAGCATCTGTTCTCCCGATATTATGTGACTATTGGTGATACTTGGAACATAGCTTGTTACTTGTTATGAAGGTAGAGAAATATCGACGAATTTGAATGAAATCCTGCCGAGGTATTTGGGGTTTATTCTCGAGTAGAAGGTTTGAGAACGTAGACAGGGAGAAAGCATCCTGGATTGTAGACTATATGGCCTGCTGGTAATATATACGATGTCTTCTTCTGTGTGTGCATCAAAGATATTCCAGTAATGAACAGATGACGAATCAAAGAGAAGCAACAAGGAGTATCATAGTAGTAGTAGGTACAAGAAAACAGGCTGACTATAGGATGGAGATGCCACAGCATCTGATGCGCGCGCTGTCGACGTACGCCTTCCGGCCCCACCAGAGCATGACGAGCTCCTCGACGAAGACCCGGTCGGCGGCGCTCCACACGTCCAGGCCCATCTCGGTCAGGTCCTCGGATGTGATCTTGACGGGGCCGCTGTCCTCCTGCGTGCTGCCGCTGGAATGCTCGGTCGATTGCTGCGCGAGGAGTGGGCTGCGGGAGTCGTCTTCTTGGGTGGATTGGCGGCCGATGGCAAGGGAGGGGTCGGTGTCGTCCTCTGATACGTCGTCGGGGAGGAGATCGTCGTTGTCCTCGTCGTCCGGTAGGTTGCGACTGTCGTGGCGAGCAATCACGTCGGACAAGGTGATGAAGATTTGTGTGGTGAGACGACGGAAGTATGCGACGAGAGCAATTTCGGGGGGCTGTTGCGCTGACTCGTGGGGTTGAATGCTGCGACGGCCGACGGAGCCTGAGGGTGGACTGGGGAGGGTCTCGATGCTGGCGAGGAGGCGCGTGTCTTGCTCAATCTGATGCTCTTCCTCCTCTTCCTCTGTTAGACCGTCGCGCTTCTCGCCCGCCGAGGCCCACCAGATGAAGGAGGTATATGCCAGGCGTGCCCAAGAGAGGGGCTCGACGATCGGACTAGAAGAGTAAGTGGAGGCGGCGTCGGAATCGTCATCGGAGTCGGGTTGAGTTTCCTCGTTTTGGGAAACGTGGCGAAGACCCTTGCGGAGAGTATAGTAACGTCGCGCGTCCCGCTGGGTCGCCTTCAGGACGACGGAATGGGGTGTTTTACCCTTGGTGGGCTGGGTATGGAAAATCGAAACAGTGGGGAACACCTTCTCTGCAGCGTTCCTGGAATGTGGGGGCGGTAAGGTGACTAGAATATCGAAAAGTTCGGGCTTCATGCTTAAAACGCTGTCCGTGCTGCAAGCGATCCATGCTGAGTCACGGTCGGAATTAGGGGAGCCGCCCACGAAGGAGGAAAGGGAGGGGATATCATGGATGCCCACGTTGAACAAAGGACGCGGTCGGGGAGGAGGAAGTCCGTTTTGAGGAAGGAGTGGAAGGAGGGAATTAGGCAACGAGGCCAATAGCGACAAATCATATACTGCCCATAAACGTTAGCAGCAATAAGGGTGAAGGGGCGAACGAGCATACCATAACTGCAAGGAACATGGACTGGAGGCTCTGCCATGAAAAGGACCCGCTTGCGCAGCAGGGCCGCTCTGTACAGGGGAAATATGAGGGGACCAAATGAGTCGAGGAAATCTGGGAGGGAGGAAGCTGGGTGGAAGGGCGTCAGGGCCGGCCTGGGCGTTTCCAACATGATCGCGTCGCTGAACGCGCGACCCCGATGTATGCTATCGGTTCGGTCCCCGTGGGCTCTGAGACGGAAGCTGAGCGGAGACTCCAAAGGAGAATCGGGAGGCATAGCAGACAAGTCGCTTTCGCGAGTCTGATAAGCCTCCCAGTAGTCTGCTAGCGGCTGGGTATTGGACATGTCCTGGGCATAATCGCTACAGCGATCGCGGGGTGTCAGTTACATTGCGATACCCGCAAGTCGGCCCAGATCACACTCACTGTGCCAATTCCTTGAGCTTAGGCGCGTGTCTCCAGCTCTTTCCCAACCTCCCTGAGCTCAAGGGTACAAGGACTCCAATGGCGAACATCTTCGCATTGCGCTCTGCCTCCTCCGCAGGCCAGTTGACGAAGGCACTGATGCCAGCATATTGCTCGTGAACGAAGTACCTGGAAGAGACGAACATCCGTAAGCAAGCGTTCGGCATAGAAAATGCATGCAATCGCCAACATACACCAAGTCCTCTGATACATTGTGTAGGCCAGATGGCAGCGACTTGTATTCCACCGCTCCTTCAATATCAACTGATCGATCGGGTAAGCTCGGGCGGTCCTCATATGTTGTTACCACCACTCACCTCCAGGGGTCGTCCGTTTCCAGGAGATAACGTAGCTGTTAGGATTTTCAGTCGGTGCAAGCTCCTCGCGAGTAGTAAAGTCGACCACAGATGCTAGAAAGCACTTACCCAGCCTTAATGTCGAAACGAATGACGAAGAGGGCCGCAACGCCAGGCGGCGACTCGACCGCAACGGTGCGGGGCACATCCAGACCCAAGGGCTTCCTTCTAAACGGACCAGGGGCCATTGTAGGATTATATGTGAAAGGGTGAAGAAGAGAAAAGGTAGAAGAGAGTGACAGTCTCCATGGGATGGGTGTCCAGGAGGGCGACCGGGGAAGAAGGTCACAGCAGAAGCTAGTTGTCGCGTCGTCGCAGCAGTTGGAGACGGAGTCGGTCGGCAAGTAACAGTAAGTACCGCAGTGGGAGTAGGCGTGGAGATGTCGTGGCCTGAGGTTATCAATCTAGCCGGAGTCGGCTAGCGGCTCATCCCGTGGCTACCTAACTTGATCAGGACATGTCGATGATGATCATCTATAAGGAGAGGCTCAAAAAACAAATTCAACAATGGAGAGAAGTAATGATGCACGCATCTGGGACAATGATCTTATGAGGAGAGATAGCCGAAATCAATCGGAGATTCGAGATTTTAACTGACCAGCATGACCTCATGAAACATGCCAATGTTGTGAAATATCCAACCTACTAGAAACTCCGTACGATGTAAAGCGTGGCTCAAATGGCAGCTCGAATATATATCTTCCGCTGGGAATGCGATCTCGCAGATCCAAGCTGTTCTCAGTCGGCAAAACTTATGGAGAAACCCCCACAGAGTTTTCACAGCAATTGCACACGATTGAAGAACAAGTCATCATGGCACTTCAGACTCCCTCCCATCCTTTCTACCCCATCGATGCGATCATTGAGGACTACGCGCCCAATGAAGCTCCTCTGCTCACTATCTTAACTACTGCAAGTCTTGGTGCGACGGCTCTCCTGGGTACAACTTGGCTACTGACCGGCTTCAAACGACCCCAAATAACAACGGTAGATCGGATTGCCATCCTGTGGTTTGTGCTCTGTAAGGCTCCTGTCGCTTCCTAACAGCAGCCACTGGCTTGATGATCGAAGTCCCGGCGCGCGCGCTAACATGTAAACAAAACACCGGCAGCCGGAAGCATCCACTGCTTCTTTGAAGGATACTTCATGATCCATCATGACCGCATGGCATCCGCACAAGACTTCTTCGGGCAGCTCTGGAAAGAATATGCCCTGTCTGATTCCCGGTACATGACCTCCGACACGCTTGTGCTTTGCATGGAGACTATTACTGTGGTAAGTCTCTTCCTCAGTGCTTGGCGGGGATAGCACGCTTGTGAGTCGCACGGTGGCTAAAGGTCGAGCGAATGGCCCTTATCGTAGCTTGTCTGGGGTCCCTTGTGCTTTTTGGTGGCATATTTCATTGCGACTCAACACTCCCTGCGCCATCCGTTCCAGATCGTTGTCTGCATGAGCCACCTCTACGGCGATAGCCTGTACTATGCCACCAGCTTATTCGATCATTATGTGCATGGAATCGCCTACTGCCGTCCCGAAGCCCTCTATTTTTGGGTCTATTACTTCTTCATGAACTTCATCTGGATTGTGGTTCCCTTCTGTAAGTCGACATTGTGAATGTGAGGTCGCCCGGTAGGCGCTTACAAAAATAGACTACCTCTACCAGAGTATGCGGACGATCTCAGCGGCCTTTAAGACCATGGGAGAGAGATCTATGCAGCAAAAGGCGCGATAAATCCCAAGAGTATGATGTCATCGAATCCCGGGCGGTTTGAGACGAGGGGAAAATGGAGACGGCGAGCCTCGACTAGTCCTGATTACTGCCCGGGTGGTCTAGGCTAGGCAGACGATGAGGCCCTTTTCCGCGTGGGATCAACATTCCGGCCGGGGATCGGACATGCCATCATCATTGTTCAGATTGAGGGGGCATCTTTCATCGATCTCTCGCCCACGTCGTGCCGGTGTTGACAGCACAGTCAAGCCCGGGAAAACAAATTAGCAGAGATTGCATGACAACGCAGACCGCAAAGCAATCAATAGTCAGGAATGATCAATAGTGCGCCCAGCTAGGACGCAGTGCGGTGTCTTTATCCCTCTTGGCCCACTCTGACGCGTAGACTCCGTAGTGGACCGTCCCAGGCATCCTGATTCTTGCTTGTTCGCTGTCCAGGCAGCTTATGGCCGATTGCCTAGTTGGGGACGTGGAGAGAGAGGAGCTTGGCCTTCTATCCTGGCACGTCCGTCGATCAGTTGGGGTTGGCAGCAGGGGGGAGATGAGCGAACCGTGGAAAGAGATAATCGTAGGAAGAGAAATCCCATGCGCTCGGTCAGGAGGACTTCAAGTAGGAAAAGAATCTCGTAGGATATACTTCGTGGCGTCCGTGCAGGGCGCTGGGACCGGGAAGGGAAGGGAGGGAAAGAAAAGAAAGAAAGAAAGAAAGAAAGAAAGAAAGAAAGAAAGACTGGGGCCAGGCGTGGGACAGAACCACTGTAGGTACAGTACATGTATGTAGAATGTAGATATCATTTGACCGTACAGCAGAGTAAGCCAGAATCCCATGGTATTAAAGGATGACCAGTCCCGTCCTCGTGCGTGCGTACCTGATGGATGACGGACGAACCACCGGTCGCAGAAAAGCATAGCAGCAGAACACAACACCCGGCTTATCCAGCCTGACGAGAATCAATCAACTTAGTTATATTCATGTATTGTCTGCTTCTCGTTGGCTGGATCCAGCGACTGATTGGCTCGGATTGGGCGCCAGTGTGATCGGACAAAGTAAGTCATCTGAATGGTGGTTTGTTCGTCGTTGTGCTTCGGTTTCCCGGGCAGCCTGTGGTTTTTGCAGGTGTTGCTAAAGTATCGATAGTGTATACTCAGTACTCTGCCTTCATCGAGTCTCTCACTCCAGTTGCCAATCTTCAAACTCCACTTTCCTATTCTTCCCCTCCCCTCCCCTCATTCCTCCCTTTTCTTTTTTTTTTGTCTTGCTTCTACTGCTCGACCACCACGGATTGGGTTGGATGTTTGAATGAGAAGTCGAAGCAGGCAATTGACTGATCATCAACATAGTCATCTTCAAACTCAATTTAGTCAATCAGTGGCTGTTTATCGTCGTGGTTATTGTCCGCCCGGTGAAGAACCGCAACAAAGACCCGATCTGCTTTTGACCGCTTGTTTTCGCGCTCGCCTGCTTTTCGTCCTTCCCTGGTGGAATGTTCGAATGTTCGCTTCTATCTCTTTCGATTCGGCTTTCTTTCGTCGAGTCTTCCCATATCCCTCCATTCATTTATTCCCTGCAACCCCCCGTTGTTGTCCGCTAGGGTATGCATGAGCTGTTGTGCCGATCTTAACTTGTGAGTTCCTCCTCCCCCCCCCCCGTAAACAAACATCAAGTGACGTCGGCGGGTTGCCGTCGCTCATGTTTTCACTCCCCGACCTTCCTACCTACTCAATGACTGCAGGCACAGCTCCAATGGAGAATCTACTCCGTCACTTGCTAACGGATGAGCGCGATTGTAGATTCCCATGCCATCGCCTGTCAACCCGCCGCGTCCCTCCAACCGCGGGGGAGCCGCCAAAGTGTCGCCCACGAAATCAAAATCCCTCGATATCGGTCGGCCTTTGGGGATCTACGATACGAACTCCGTGCGAGAGAAGGTGCGCAAATGGCAGCAGCAAGGCGGCGGGGTCATCACCGCCACCGACGCAGTCTACTACGAGGACGAGGAGGAGAACAATCCCGCCGCCGAATCCAAGCCCAAACCGGCCAATGATAAACCTCCCGCCAGCTCCAATGGTTCCGCAGTCTCCAGGATGCGAAGTCAAAGCACTCCGCGAAAACGAGTAATCAGCGACGAGCACTGGAAGCTGAACCGCATGCCCACGCAGACCCAGGCTTCCAAGCTACCACCCCCCAAGCGCATTTCCGAGTACACGACAAATGATGCATTGCGGTCGCCACGCAAAGCGGGGAAGGACGAGGATGGGGGGTCGCCGCCAACATCGCGAAGTCGCGAACGCGACCGATCGACGGACCTCGCGACGAGGGAGCGGAGGAAGTCCCGTGCGTCGCGGGATGTGGAGACAATACCTGAGAACCGGGCGGAAGAGGAGATTGCGTCGTACAATGGATCCGCCAAATCGACCTCGCTACCGTCGACGGAGAAAGGTCATACTCGTGCGAAGTCTGAGCAGCCGCAGAGTACCAAGTACAAGGATGCCCCGCCAGATGACGACTCAGAATGGGCGACGAGCGAGGCAGATTTCTCAGAGCTGTCCAGACGCCGGGCAAGAGGTCCCAATCCGGCACCGAAAGGTCCTTCCCCGAAAGGCCCTGGCCTCAATGCCCTCAAGAGCCGTACGGCCGTGAAGCCACCTAAAGGGGGCATCTTCGGGCATATGTTAGACGCATCAAGAGAGATCTTCGCCAAACCTGAGCCTCCTAAACCAGCGCCAGTCCGGGGCGCCAAAATCCAAGCCTGGCTGTCTAACACCACCGAACCCTTCATGGAAGGGATCGAATCGGATGTGGAGATTCCAGCGCCCCTGAAGATGCGGTCTGGTAACAACAAATCGACCACAAAATCCGAGCAATCCCACGCTAGCGATGGGGAACACTCCATGGATAGTGACACGCCCCGCAAAGATGCGGCTTCACGGCGAAGGAGGAGAGATGGAAGCTCTCCGGCAAGCGACCGAGCCAAATCGATACAGGAATCAGCTGCCAGCTCGGGATCGCAAAGAGATGGTAGTGCTTCCTCTTCGAAGAAAAAGCAAAATGAAAGCACAGGCAGTCGTCCGTCCTCTAGAGGCAAAGAGCTCCCCATCCGAGAGCGCCCCCATGATGTGAAGGATGTGGTGTCTGAAGCTGGAACGCAGCCGCTATCAGAAGGCTCGGAAGTGTCTGGCAACAATGCGCCTGTACCGCTCGGGCGCACGAAACCATTCCCTACCACCGGCGCACATCCTCTATCAACAATCGCATCTGTCGAGTCAATGAGCAAAGGAGCTAATTCGGCGGCGCCATCGGTTCCGCAAGCACAGGATTCACCAGCCCAGGCGAAGGAAGAAGATGAAGAGCGGGACTCATTTGACCCTAACTCACTCCCTGTAGTTTCGTCCCAGCTAAAACGACGACTTACTACCCATGACGATTTGATCTCCGTGTTGTCCGCCCCTAATAGCAGGAGCAGGAGCCTTCGCTCTGCGAGGAGCTTGAAGACGAAGAATCGCGTGGTCTCCGAGACTATTCCAGACATACTCAAGGAGCTGTCTGCCGACGAAGCGAAGTATATGCGTGAGCTGAAGACTTTGGTCGGCGGTGTGATTCCTGTCCTCCTGACTTGTGTGCTTTCACGGTCTGATTCTGCAATCGCAGCTGGTCTCTTCCGACCTTCCACCGATCCCAAAGATGAGGTGAATTTCAGCAAGCCCATTGTGGATATGGGTGTCGCCATCGAGCGTTTGAAGACCTTGCACAAGCGGATCCCCGAAGATAGCGTAGATGCGCTACTCAACTGGGCGCAGGGGGCGCAGAGGGTATACCGCGAGTATCTCAAGGCGTGGAGATTGGGATTCAAGGACGTTATTGTGAATCTGGCGCCCTTGGAGGAAGGAGAAGGGGGCGATAACGCTGACACCAAGAGTTTGGATGAGGGTATGGCAAGAGACGAAAATGGAGATGTGGTGGATAGTGATGGCGAGAAGGTCGATGTTGCCTACCTCTTGAAGCGACCTCTGGTACGCTTGAAATACCTTGCCAAGACATTTAAGGGGATTAAGACGATACAACCGTCCCCCAAAGCGGAGGAAATTGCCTCGGCTTATCAGACTTTGGTGACAGAAGCGCGCCGTCGTGCGAGGGAGGAGAGAGCCAGACTTGAAGATGAATCTGCCGCCACCATCGATGCGACGCGCGCGCGCGATCCTGCAACGCTGGGTGCCTTGACCGAGGTTACCGTGGACAGGTCTCGACGAGTTCGAGCCCGCGATTTCTTTAACCTATCTCTTTACCATTCCAGTGGGCAGGTGATCGACTGTCGTGCAGAATTCCTTTTGAGAGATGCATCCCCGCAAAACAAAAGCGAAGGTGACCTGCTTATTTGTGAGATCGATCATACGGATCGCTGGCTACTATTTCCTCCCATACCGCTGGGATGTGTCTCTGCTCGGAACGGGGATGCCAAGGGGGAGATTGTCGTCATGTTGCGAAGTGCTCCGGGGCAAGAGAGAGCATGGCAGGAGCTCCTCATTCTCCAAATTGACGAGGAGGAAATCGGGAATGAATGGGTGCAGATGCTGGGTTTGGTTCCTGTCCCACCGGCCATCTGCCGTACCCAGAGCTTCATCGACCGAGCGAAGCAACGGCAACGAGCACAGACAATATCCTCCTCGACTGAAGCTTCTCAGGCACAGAGAGCGCCTCCAAGTCCTACAAACGTCAACATTCCGATCGGAGAAAAGGCCGACAGTCGGGCTAAGCGTCGATCTCTGACTCCTCGAGATCAATTCTCTGATCCAAGCACTGTCGGTTCTTCATGGGCCAACGATTCATATACATCATTGCATAGCGCAATCACGCGAGAGTCGGATTATGCTACGGGAGACGGAGAGGGTGCTTCGAAGTCTTCGTCTCGATCTCAGCCTATTCTTCATGCCAGAGAACCGCGCAAGAGCTTCACGAGCGATGACAGACCTCACGGGCTCAAACGATCCAAGGCCAAGAGGGTTTCGCGTTACGGTGAAAGTAGCCCAACCACTCCTACGGAGCCAACCCCAGACAAGGGGAAGGCCCGGGAACCCGAAGAAACCAAACGTCCCGAGGAAAGAAAGGCCAAAGAACAAGCTCCCCCTCAAAGGCCGTCTATGCCTGATAGAAGGCTGTCCTCCGTGCCATCGATGGACCTTCCCGTGATCCCCAAGCTCCGAAGAGGCAGTAGTCAGACCTACATCTCAGAGTCATTTGCATCCACGTCGGATGACGAATATTCTGCCATCGAGTCTGCCTACTTTACTGAGACCCCAACGAGGGACCAGGGTGGCTCTCGAGCGAATTCCGACTCGGACCAGGAGGAACCTCCCGCACCACCACCGCATTCACGCTCACCAAGTTCGACCGGCTCGAACCTTTCCAATGCCCCGGTTTTAAGTCCAAGCAATGTGCGCCTAAAGCGTCGCGGCTCTTCGCCTTTGAAGCATGAATACGAGCCGTCCACTGCTTCGGACTCTTACTCAGATTCTGACACGTCAACTGTGCGGCGCTATGACATGCAGTCGGGGTCAGAATACTCGGCAACGGACAGCTCCGACGACGATACAGAAGATGAACTCGCGTCTTTGCCAGCGCGCCATCTTTCCAAGTCCCATGCGCAGGAATCCGTCATGACCTCTGCCAGCAGCTCCTTGTCATTGACGAATGCAGCATCCGAGGGCGGATATAGGTCTGTTCCGTCGCAGCCCGCCAAGTCGTCTGCTGCCATCGCTGCCGTCTTTGCCTGGTCCGATAAGGGCTGCTGGGAAAGTATATTCCCCGACGAATGTAAGGTTATCGTTAGCCCAGGGCTGATCGAGGCGTACAATATGAGCGACGCTCCCATGGGGATGGAAGACGAGGCCACACTGAAGAAACTCCGCCCGCTTGTTGCGCTTGAGCTTACCCCCCTTGTTCCTATCCGACGTGGTACAGCCATCGACATCAGCATCCGCTCTCCACCCACCCAACGATCCAAGATCAACTGGAGTAATAACATCATGTTCCGCTCGCGCAATGCAGATGAATGCGAAGTTCTGTACGGGCTCATCAACCACGCGCGCATCAACAACCCCACCTACATCGCTCTGCAGAACGCCAGAGGGCCGTATGCCGACCAGCCCCTTCCAGAAGAAGCCCCCAGTCGAAGCGGCGGCCTCTTCGGTTGGCCGCGACGCAGGAGAAGCTATCGTGCATCCACCTCCCCACGATCGCAGGCCGACAACTCCGACAGCAGCGTGGGCACCGTGAGCAGCGCCTTCTCGGCTCTCAAGCGCTTTGGCGCCGGAAGCAAGATGTTCAACATCTCCCGGTCCTCTCTGACATCTCGTAATGGCCAGAAAGAGGACAGTCTGTACTCCGAATCTCTCGGCTCCAACGCATCCCCGTCATCCGGCATCGGCCGCATTGCAGCGGCCATCAAGGGCGTCGACGGGATCGGCCTGTCCAACGCCAAGATCCGGCTCTACATGCGCGAGACGCAGTCCAAATGGCGCGACATGGGAGCCGCCCGACTGACCATCATGCCGGCGCCCCCGGAGCCTCGCGACGCCAGCAGAAGCGAATCCAACACATTCTCCGATGGCATGGACGGCAGTCCCCCCGGATCGGGCTCCGCTTCCCCGCGTCGCGCCACGGAACCAGAGAAACGCATCCTCATCCGCGGCAAGACCCGCGGCGAGGTGCTGCTGGATGTCTGTCTGGGCGAGAGCTGCTTCGAGCGGGTCGCGCGGACCGGCATCGCCGTCTCGGTCTGGGAGGAGACCGAGGGCGGCGCCATGCCCAAGAAGGGCGGCGTCATGGTGGGCTTCTCGCGGATCTACATGATCCAGATGAAGAGTGAGGCCGAAGCCGCGTACACGTTCGGACTAGTTGGGAAGTCCAAGTATTAACCAGAGGTCTTTTTAGCCTTTGACGTTCGATGTTTCCCCTCTCCCCTCCTTTTTTTTCCCTTCGTTCATGAGATCAAGATACCTCAAGCCAGCTATCTATCTATCTACTACCTTTCTATTTACACTCAGTTTACGAAGAGCATGTCCAGCGTGATTTTTACCCCCATGTTTTAACTTTGTCTCTGCCTACACTTGTTCCGTGTTGCTTTGCTTACTGCTAAATATCTTCTGCGCATACCCATACCCCATTCGTACCCCATCTGTTCATAACTATTACTTTCCACCGTACACAAGTCAATGAGATCATAGTGTCTGTGTCTACGAACTACAAGAGATGTATCCTAGATCCGTAGACGCGAAGTAACTGATCCTGGATTCAACCTGCATGCTATGGTCATTGTGACCACCCCAAGCAGCAAGAAGAACCAACAAAGCACTACAATCCCTCAGAAGAGCAAAGAGAAAGCCATGATCTCTATACTCTATATTATGGAAACCCTATATGTATATACATACCATAATCGTGATCCCCGAAATTCATTAGACCCCGCACCCATCCATCCACCCATTCCATCAAACGCATATCAAATACATACCATAAAATCAAGCATAACCCGAACCAAGGTATAGAGACCTCGACCCCGACCCAACACCCGGAATTCAGGAACGCCCACCACACGTAACGAGAAACAACCGATCCAGAATCATACCCACCCCACCCCACCCCATGCAGTCTACCGCTCAAACATCCGCAGCCTCACCCTCAGAACCTCGATCCTCAGAGACAACAACACCAGATTTCTTGAAGATATACCCCACGCGATTCCCCTCATCCTTCAGCATGGCGACTAGGACCTCATCGTCGATAACAGCCTCCAGGGCCGCGGCGTCGAGGGTCTTGGGTTCTTCGTCGTCGGTAGGGGTCGTGAGGTGGTAGGGGTCGATGTGGCGGTATTGGGCGAGGGATTGTCTCATGCGGTGTCTCTGAGTGGTGGGTTTGTTTGGGTGGTCGGAGGATTCCGAAAAAGTGTCTGATGCGGACGGGGAGGGGGAAGGGGAATTGCGGCGGCGGCGGCGGCGGCGGCGGGATGATGATGATGAGGTTCGGCGCTGCTGGTCTTGTTGTTGGTTTGTGTCGAGGAGCTGGGAGGCTTTGATGAGCGTGGGGAGGTCGGGGAAGGTTTCTTCTTCTTCTCTGCCTTCGGGGGCTTCGTCGTCGTCTGCATTGGGGGATTCGCTGGATGGCTGCTGTTGCTGTTGCTGTTGCTGTTGCTGCTGGCCAGTGCCCCCACATTCGCACCCCAGTAATACATGCGTCTGGCATCGACTCTCTTCATCCAACCGGAACAGATCCCTCAGTTCGTCGCGCGAGAACTGCGCCATTGACGACGATGACGACGAGGAGGCTAACGAACCAGTCCCCGCGGTATCCATTACACTGTCCGCTAACCCTAGCTTCGTCACCTGCCGCTGCCAGATCTTCTCCTCCAGACTGCCCTTGAGCAGGATCCGGTAGATGCGGCACGCGCGCTTTTGTCCGTCGCGGTGGATGCGCGCCATCGCCTGGATGTCGGTGGCCGGGTTCCAGTCGACGTCGAAGAGCACCAGTCGGCTGGCGCCGATGAGGTTCAGCCCCGTGCCGCCGGCTTTGGCAGATAGCAGAAAGGCGAAGCAGAGGTCCGCGGGGAGGCGGTTGAAGTCCTCGACGAGGGACTGGCGTTTCTGCGCGGGGGTGGAGCCGTCGAGGCGGAGGAACGGGAGCGAGAGGGACGACAGGAGGTTGGCCAGGAGGTTGAGAGTGGAGGTATAGTTCGAGACGAGGACGATCTTCTCTCCGTGGGACGAGGTGCGCAGGTGGTGGAGGAGCTGATCGAGGACGCGGATCTTGGCGCTTGAGGCTGGCGAAAAATGTCGGAGGAGATTCGGAGGGAGGGAGGAAAGTAACGCGGCGATGGTCGCGTTGGGTTGGCTGTCCTCGGTGGCTTTAGGCGACAGGAGCGACGGGCTGTTGCAGAGCTTCTTGAGGATGGTGATGAGCTGCAGCGCGCTCTCGGAGTTGCCGATGGCGCTCTGGAACATGGGCGACGCTAGCACGTTCTGGTAAATGCTGGCCTGCGTGCGCGTCGGATTGCAGAAGAGGATGTACTCGGACTTCGGCGGGAGGTATTTGGCGAGGATGTCGGCCGTGCGGCGCAGCATGAACTTGGAGGTGAGCTCCCGGAGCTCCTCATTGCGGGCTTCACCCTTCTCGATGTCCTCCCTAGTGGCTTCGGGCTGTCTGCTCTTCACTATGGGCGTTTCGAACTCCTTGATGAAGGCCTTGAACGTGCCCAATACACCCGGGTTGACAAGGTCCACGGCGGCGAAGAATTCCTTGAGGTCGTTCTGGATCGGGGTCCCGGACAGAATGACCCTCTTTGTGGCATTCAGCGACTGGATGGCCTGCCCACTTTTGTTCTGGAGGGTCTTCAGCCGATGCCCTTCGTCGGCGATGACGATATCGACTCCATTGCCGCGGGCAAGCCCCTCCTGCACCGACCTCAGCTTCTCGTATCCCACAATCATGACACTATACGCCTTGCCCTTGGTGAAGTCCGTCAATCGCTTCCGCTTGTCGTCGAAGACGAACACGCCGATGCGTTCATTGCCTAGCCACTTGCGGAACTCCTTGCGCCAGTTACTGATCAGGGTGACGGGGCAAACGATGAGCGCCTTCTTCACGACGGGGCCGTCGCCATAGACGGGGTTCTGTTTCAGCAACGTCCACAGGAGAGTGATGGTCTGCAACGTCTTGCCCAGCCCCATATCGTCCGCTAGAATCGCCCCTTCGCCATTGAACGAGCGCATTCCCATGACACACTCGTAGAGGAACTGGACTCCCTCGCGCTGGTGCGGCCGGAGATGTTTCGCCAGGATAGGGTCGACGACCACGTCCACCAACCTCTTGCCGCTAGGCACGGCATCCGGACGTTTCATGACCAACGCCCCCGGCAGCGTCGGGTCATGCCGCGGGACCGGCATCTCCGTCGAGGAGGGCTGTTGCTGCTGTAGCAGCGCCGTAGAATCCAGCAGCGGTCTCTTATACGCCCCGCAGATCCCACCCTTCCTGGAAGCCGGGTTCGCGATTCGAATAGGAGCGGCGGGGGCCTGCTTCTCCTCCTTGCTACCGCCCACAACCGTGTTGCCAGTGTTGGTGTTGCTAATAACACCGCGACGCTCCAACACAGAATTCCTCCCAGACCCTGCTGAAGCTGAAGGTGCAGTTATCGAAACCGTAGCGCTGCTCGTGACCGCGCCGGAATCCCGACCCTCCCCAGCAGCCGCCACCCGCCTCCCAGCCAGATACTCCTTCCGGGAAATCTCGCAATCGACCTCGACCTCCTTCCCAGCAACAGACAACATGACCCCGGCCTCCAACGCCGGGCGACCCTGCGCCACGACCCCGCGCCCCATATCCTTCCCAGAGGCATGATCATACAGGAAGGCATACCCATCGCGCACGCGAAGAATGCCATCGCCATCCCAGGTCTTGTTCTTCTTGGTGGTCACTTTACGCCTGTCAATCAAGTAAATCAAACATTAGCCTGGACGTCCCGAATAACAAACCCGCATAATCCCAGCTCGAATAATCTCCCTCGTAGACAGGAAGTAAGAAGAAACCCACCATAAAACATTATAATACCGCTCTCCCCCATCGGCCTCCTCACCCGCACCCTCCTGCCCATCCTTCTCAGACCGAGACCGAGATTCCGAGCCGGAAGACCGAGAAGATTCCCGCGCCAAGCACAGTAACGTCTTCCCAGTTGCTGTCTTGCGTATCCCTGTTATAGTTCCACCACGACTACCACCACCAGCTGTGGTGGTAGTAGGAACCCCGCGATTCTCGATCCCCGTCACCGCATGATTGAGATGGAGGCGTGGTTTTTTCGTTGGCGGTTCTCCTGCGGTGGAGGTGGGTTCTGTTGACTTTGTTGGAGGAGCAGTAGTTGTGGTTGTGGCGGCACCGTCAGCGGGTTTGCGGATGAGCGGCGATTTGAAGGGTTTGAAGACCATCGCGCCCTTTAAGCGGAGGAGGAAGGTGCGAGGCGCGTTTGGTTAGGTGGGAGGGGTTTCTGGGAGGTTGTTTTGGTTGTTTCTTCTTTTCTTCGCCGCCGTGATGCGTGGGTAAAGACCTGAGAGAGGGAGACGCGCCGAGGAGACGCGGTGTCACGTGAAGGCTGGATGTTGAATGTTGCCGCTTTTGTGTTTGGGTTGTTCACCTACCTAGCTGGAGCTTAGAGGGGGTATTGTTATGGATAACAGTGATTGACATCGGCTTCTGGCTTGCTGGATGGTGTAGTGAGTATTGAGGATCAGATTTGGAGCTGTGGTGAGCTGAGCTGGAGATGATAGCTGGATAACTATAATAGACATAATACATATCAGGTACTCGCTGGCCACAATTCCACCATTCAATAGGTTTATTCCAAAACATGCACTAGCTACCCTACCAAAACTAACAGCTTTCATTTATTCATCTCTCTCTCGCGAAACCACCGCGCAATCTCCCCCGTCTGGCAAAACTCTACCTCCTCCCCCCAGCCCTGCAGCCAGCGCAGCAATCGCTCCAGCATCCCGATAACATGCGCCATCCCACTCGTATCCGGATGCATCAGCACGGGGAAGATGGGCTCCTCCTCATTGTCCCGGATCCACAGGAACCGGTCCTTCCACAGGTTCTCGATCACCCGCACATCCGTGTACCCGTGCGAGTTGTGCGCGTGCGGCAGGAACTGCATAGGCGTCATGTCCTCCATGTACCAGTTGCAGGGGACGCAGACGAGCGGGCGTCGGTCTGCGGTCGTTTCCGGGATGGGGTGCATCCAGGTCGATGCGGGGAGGGAGAAGTTGATGGGCTCGAGGGGGGGACGGCGGGGAGCGAAGAACGGGTGGCAGTCGTGGTCGGTTAGGGAGGCGTCTTTGTTGCCGATATCAATTAGTAAAGACAGCCCATTAGGAAGTAAAAAGGTAGGACGGACCATATTCAAACCCATACTCCTCCAGCAGATCCATCGTCGACTCCCGCAGCTGGTACAGGGGCGCCCGATATCCGACGGGTTTCTTGCCGGTGAGCTTGGTGGCGATCTCGATGCATTTGACGAGGACGTCTCGCTCTTGCTCGACGGTGAGCTGGTAGGCTCCCTCATGGGCGTATCCATGCAGACCGATCTCGCAGCCAGACTCCACCACCTGGCGGACCTCGTCGGGAAAGCTCTCCGCAGAGTGGCCGGGGATGAACCACGTGCAGCGCTCCGCAAGGTTGAGCTTCTTGAGCATGCGCAAAAGTCGCGGAACGCCGACCTTGGCTGCAAAGAAACCGGCAGAGTAGTCGGCTAGGATGTTGTCTGGGTGTTGACCTGCGTTTTGTCGAGGATTAGAATACCTGAACCAGAAGAGACACGGTACGAAGGCACAAACCCGTTCCCAGCCATCCGGAAACCGCATCCAAATCGATGGACACGGCGATACGAATCTTGTTTCGCTTTGGCTTCGACAAGACCGGTGGAATAGCCGAGACGATAGAGCTTTCTAGACCATCAGCTGCCGTCTTCTTCGGCTCTTCGCTTTCCTTCCAGACCAGACGGCCCTCCATACCCCCGTCGACACTCAAACATTGTCCAGAGATATGTCCAGCTGCACGATGGGAGGCCAGGAAGGCCATGGTCCGAGCGACATCCTCGGGCTTCGCGATCTTTCTCAGAGGCACGCTATCACAAGTCAGTGGCATCCGCACCCGAATCAGAACAGACGAACTCACGTTGCCTGGGCCTCAGCCCACATCTCCTTGGGGTCATCCAGACGACCCTCAATCATCGGTGGATCCACCCACCCCGGAGCAACAGCATTGATTCTGGCCTTGCTATTCAGCCGAACAATCTCGTTCTTCACACTTCGGACCAGTCCATACTGCAGGCCTGCCTTCCCAGAGGCATACTCCGCATGTCCTTCCTGGCCGAATTTGCCCGTCTCGCTACCCGTGACGACGATAGCGAGGTTGTCCAGCTCCTTACCCAGTGTCTGCTGAGACAGCTGTGCGGCTCGCAGGAAATGCTTGATAGTGAGGAACGTGCCGCGCACGTTGACTTGGTAGGTCTTGTCCCAGGTTTCCACGGGGAGCTCCCAGATCGGATAGTCCCTGCTCTCGTCGGTGATGCCTGCGTTGGCGATGAGGATGTTGATCGGTCCAAAGCGCTTGCTGGCCTGCGACACGCTGGAGCGGACGGACTCTTCATCGGTGATGTCACCTCGGAGAATGTGAAGACGTGAGTAGACGTTCGCGGATGCTTGGGCGATCTCCAAGGGCTGGAGATCCAGTGCGGTCACTTTGCATCCTTGGTCTGTGTGGATTGTTAGCACTATTTGATGGCGACGGATATACCACACTGTACAGACTCGTACAAGGGATCTGCTTGCAGTATCGGGTGAACAGAGTCGCGCTCAGATCACAGTCAAGCTGGTCATGGCTGTGCTGCCGGAACTCAAGATGACACAACACAAAACAACTATCCTACTCACCCAGGAACTCCTGCACTGCCTGTCGACCAATGCCACCCGCAGCTCCTGTAATCAGGACATGGAGCCCTTCTAGTCCCAAGAAAGAAGAAGACATAGAGGCAGCTGTCGTTGATGCCGATTAATCCCTGGTATCACACGAGCCGATTCCTTATCGTACGAATCGAGGGAAGTCGTCACCACGACTAGCGCCGACGATGAACAATCTTACTACAGGCAGTTAGCCAATCGCCGATATTCCGTGCACGAACGGCAATTTCTTGTAGATTACTTGAAAATGCACAAGCGCTTACAATTTAAGATGTTATTCTGCAGGACATAGGGCTGCAGGGAAGAATTCCTTCGCAGATGCACAAGATGACAAGGGAGCCAGTCGCTTTTCCCGGAATAGTCCTCTGCCAAAGACTTGCAAGCGAATTAACACACAGATCCCAGCATCGACTGAGATAATGACAACCAAAGTTGGACTTACACTTGCCTTTGCCTTCCTCGTGGGGTCCAAACATGCTCATCACGTGCCCCTCCCTCCCCTTAATCGGGCATTACGATAACCGAACACTAATTTGATTGAAAAGCCAACTTACAATCGGCATCGATAACGAAGTCCCCCTAACTCTGCGGTCTATCAACTCGTGCAGCGCCGGCGTCGCTAGTGCTACTTTCCAGATGGCCCAAGATTATTCCTAGACACGGAGGATGACATTTACGGTGTTGTTGAGCCGAGGATCCAAGAAAGCTATCCCGTAATCTCTGCATGCTCAGAAGAGCCTGCCTTAGCCTTTTGAAGGATCTACTTCGGTGAAATCCTGCTCGTATGTGGCGGGGAGTTGCGTGACCGTCGGCAAGCGCTCTCATAGGGGCGCACTAGAAACACTACAGGATGAAGAAATGTCTAACCGCGTGGCTATCAATGGTTCATGGTTCATGCTGAAGCCCAACGGCAGACCAGCCCACAACATACAGGACCAGAGATGCAGCCGGAGGGACCTTGTTAGCCAGCATGTGGATTCGACTGAATAACTAGGCTCTGGCATCGCATGCAGTGTAAGCCTCGTGGTGGTTACTCGATGTGCTGAAGACCCCGAGTTTCCCCTCGTACGCAAAGCAATAAGATCTAGAATAGACTCCAATGCACCGTATAATGAGCGAGATTCCGTGGTCGGCTCGTTCAAACCGAGGGCAAAGTTTGGTACGCTCAAAGTCTGTGCATGCAGATGGCCATACCGACGGTCGATCGGCGATAATAAGCCTCGTGCGATATCCTCAATTCGTTAGTGTAGACAATGAGGTCTGGAAGCATTGACTCAACCATCTGTATCTCCGAAAGTATAAATCAAGAGTCGGCGGATCTCCCGCCATACATGAGCCAGGGAGTGTGAATACAGCACAGCTGGTTGACAGAGTTTCTTGTGGTGTTTTGTGCTTTCTCCAAATCGCATAGTACTGGAGGACACTGCGACTAGGGTGGAACGAGGTCCTGAGAAGTTCAGGAGGTGGCGAAATCCCCCTCTAAACCATCCACAACTATCCACTCCCGAATTTCTTCAAATGAACAGATTCTCTGTCTTTTTAGCACTTCGCGAGGTTGTAGATCGATTTGGGGAAAGGCCAGCCACCCATGGCATTGTAAGCGGAAGTTTCGCGTTGCATCCCAGCCTGCATTGTCCATACAAGATGATTCACAGGCGGCCTGGGTCTGGTGGTCTGTGGGTCGATTGACGCCGAAGGTCGACGTCGGCCGAAACCGCAAAAAGATCCTTACCCAAAGCGGTTGTTGCCGGGTGGAGAGAGAGAGACAGTGTGGCCCATGGGACTGCAAGCTCAATAGAAGCTGGAGATGCAGCCAATGATCAAGTCCAGAGTGTAATGTTACGATGGCGGGGAATTCGCCAGATCCGGATTCATGCTTCTGGTTGGCCAAAAAATGAGGTCTCTTCCTGCCTAGTTTTCACTGAACACTTCACTGTCTTTGCTAGGAATCTTGAGAAGGCTGAGAGAAGTGCGTGTGCCTGTGCAGTGCCATTATGGTCCTCGCTCGCGTAGAACTCTACTGAATGATCCGGGTAATTTTTCGGACAATTGCGCCAAAGTCAAACGAATCCTTGCTCAGCGACCCTCTTGGATGCTGGGGTCTGGACCTTCACACTAGGACGAGTAGCGAGCCAAATCTCGGTATTATCAGTTCCCCTTTCGCTGGGAGGAAATATTCGGAAAAACTCTGGCTGATGGCGCACGTTAGTCCGCGTGGCGGACTCACCGTTGCCTGCAATGCCTGCTCCTTGGCTTGCGAAGAATTTAATCTAAGAGACTTATTTAACGGATGCGGACGGGCAGCGTAAACCGTCCTGTCAGACACTCGCCCCGTGGATTTTGCCCCATCCGATAACAAGCACCGAGCGGAGGGGTTTTCTCTTCGGGGGTTCCGATTTGCTTGTAGGTTCGCTGAAGTTTAGACTGTTGAGTGGGACCTGTTATTGAGATTGAATGAGAATGAGAAAGAGAACTGGAGACTGAGAGAATGGAGGAGAGGGGAAGAAGGGGGGAAGGAAAGGACGGGATCTTGGCCCGCCGTGGCGTCGGGCCGCTCTGTCTCTATTCTTAACGGATGGATGGATGGATACCCATGGATACCGCCGTAAATACATGTACTGTACATACCAGTCAGACATACCAGGCTCACCAGGCTTACCGTCCCGTCCTGTCATCTCTGGTAAAATATGGAGCTGGGCGGATCCCCGCACGTGATCCCTTCGCCCATTGCACAAGCATAGTATAGTGTATGGTACTGCCAGTGGTACTGTGGAGGTCACTATCGAATCTTATCGAATCTTCGCCTTATCTCGATCCATTGAATTTGCTTCATGTTTTTGTCTATCCGTGGTTTGTCTGGTCGTCAGACCAATGCTCGTCATAATCACTCGGTTGGGGGTGTAAATCCCCACATTCGATCGTGCTGATCAGTGACGGGGTGCCGAGCAAGTTTAATATGTACAAAAAATGGTTGCCAATCAGGCATTGCCGGCAGATCATGCCATACAAGTATGTCTATCAATATCGATCACAGAATGAAAAAGGCAGTCAAGGAGAGGGGAAATGGTGGAACGAAGGTGGGGAGGACTAATAGGATGCAGTAGGAAATCAAGGATGAATTGAAGAAAGGGAATGAGTGTAGACGATCGAGCCTCTTAAGGCTGTGGGTGCTGACTTGGCCCCACGCCCCGAGAATCCCAATACTCGGGAGGTCGTGTTTCGCGCTCCACGGTGACGGTGACGTCCTGTCGGATCCGGAGCGCTCGTTCAGAGCCATCGTCACTAGGATCGCGATCATCGACCGGCTCCGTGCTAACATCGGAGACAGCCTTGCCGGGAGCAACAACAGTGCTCTGATTATAGGTGCGCATGCTGAAGTCTCCGGACCGCAATTGACTATGAGGCCCATAGTGTTGATACGCCGACCCTTTCGGCGCGTATGGGCCTGTTCGATAGCGGTCCGTCCCTCGGTGGGACCCTCCAGTCCAACTTTTGAGGGCAGGGAACACATCACGAAGGAGGGACCACACCAGTGGTAGATTCGTAACCAGGATAGCGACGGTTGCTTCGCGGAAGTACCAGTTCATGTAGACGTAAGAAATGAGCGACGGAACCAAACAGTAGAGTTTGTTCAAAAGAGCGGCGACAATGACGAAGATTCCCATGCCGAATAGGAGCATAAGAATCAACTTCTGCTTCAGAGGAACGCGCACTTGGACTAGAAGCGGAATTCCGATGAGAAGCATGAAGACATCGGCGGAAATGGAGATGACGCCTTGTACGATTTCGTAGTATTGGTATGTCGAGCATTGTTCTGCGGTGGGGTTAGCAAACAGAGCGCCACTTTGATTGAGGAGCACCGACCGTAAGGAGTAGGCACAGCCCAGTAGTTGGGAAGAGGCCGGCATATGAGAAACAAGGATAGCTCAGTAACCACGAAGCCAAGGGCAACGTAGATAGAGAGGTAATTGACCCATTTTCTCTGGCGCAGTCCCTCGCTGCATGGAAAAGGTCAGTTTTCGAAACAGCGGCAGCTCTGGATGGACATACGTGATGCGAGCATAGATCACTAGCATACAGGCCTTCATCGCCCAGATGGCGAGGAGAAAGGAATGTTCCGACACAAAGACCCATTTACTTCCTCGGATGCGATCAGCTTTGATGGTGGGAGTCAATGCTTTGATATCATCCTCGCCCATCAAGTTGGAACCTCCGCCGGACGCGACCTGGTTGAGTGCGACACACAAAAGAGTGTACCAGACGACAGCGAACATCATCAGGTAGTCATCTGTCTGGAGATTTGTGACCCCCAACCGACGTATTCGTGCGATGCTACAGGTCACCAACAGGTCGGGGTCAGCGCCACAAGCGAAGACGAGGACAAGACAAGAAAAGTCTTTCCATGATGGAACAAGTTGGAGGTCACTTACAATCGCAGCACCGCACCCAGCACCCCTACACCATAGAGCGTCCATGTCTCTCGCGCAAAGTTGCGTGCGAAAGCGGGGCCTAGACTAGCCATCGTGCTGGAGTGCAACCTGAAAAGCCACGAGGGAAATCGGTCAATCGAGATCATCCGCTGCAAGGGACCGACAGGGACAGGGCCCCAAGTAATATAAGTGAGCTGTACTCACATCTTTGCTAAGATAAGGTTAGGTACCGGCACGTCGGCCAGGGGAGAAAACGTCCAGACTCAATCAAGCAATCAGCAACGGCGAACCAGGATGTATGATCCCGGCTAGCTTGATGACTGCGTGCGTAGATGGATATTGGACTCAGAAGATAATCAAGAGGAGGTGGGCGAACGACAACTCATGATCTCCAAGCTAGGCCAGATCAATCAGCCGTCGGTGATTGAATCGCCAGCAAAACCCATGCAGGAGGAGCCAAGGGTGCATTCCAGGCATAGGGACCGTCACCAGGCTGATCCATGGTCCAATTTGGTTGCGGGGCATGTGTCTCAAGGATTTGAACACGCTGCCATGCTCGTCAACTAATTCGAACCAGGATGTTTACTTCATTTGTGGCTCTGCCCTGCACTGGCTCATGGTGTCAGGTGTCCATTCTCATCCATTCTAACTCCGTATAGGCTCGTAAAAACACACCGGATTCACCGCGGGACCACCTATTAACCACCCTCATCATCGGAGCCACGAAGAGTCCGTGGTCCAGAGGGAACGGAGTACTAAGCCAACCCTGGATCGTGTATGGGGAGAGGGAAGTCGGGCGGGAACTGGAAAGATCGGCCATCACCCCACTGAGTGCACCCACATGGATGCACACGTACTCAGTATGTTGTGTACACTGTACAGTACAGAGATTATGATGGAACCACCGCACTTTCTTTGACTTTGGGGAGGTGGAGCCTACCCCGGCTAGTTGCAACTTAAATTCAAATCTCCACTTGGTCGGGGAACTTTGATGCACCACAGCTGAGTCTGTCTAACTCGGAGTGTGTCGCTTTGAACACGAACTCCCTCCTGGCCGAATTAAATTTCCCTCCCCCTCCCCCTCCCCCATTTGGGGTCTTACACGCGAAGACCTGGCGTAAATTCAGTTTTGGGCCGAAACAGATTAAGCACCAGCTAGGAAAACCTAACATGATTGCACGTTGCTGGCGCTGGCTCGAGGAATCGCTTTCAGCTGAAAGGGATATTCTCGCCTGGGTGGCGTATTGCTCCAGTCCAAGTCGATCCTTCATCCAAGCAAGGCAGCAATAATATGGCCACCTGAGCAGTGTGGATTTCCTGAGCCCCGGTAGTGGTAGTTTTCAAGGGGAGGACCAGTTGATTTATTCCAAACCCAGCAGCTCCTGGCGCAAAGTAGAAGGAGATTGTCTGGCGAGACAATTTACAGTAGCGGCTTCTACCGTTCAGCACTGTGAAATGCACTAAAGTGCACCCCTGCCGCATGGACGTAAGCCTGCGAACAAGCGACGTCACGGTAGGGAGTGGAGCTCCTCGTTCTGCTCCCCTATGGCGTGAAATGGTATGACTAGTTAATTCTTTTGTTACTGTGAACTCACAAGCTTCAAAGTTAGGGTCAGTACGATCCGTTCATCTGACGCATAGGACTTCTACCTAAATAGATCACGATGCCTCGAATCGAGTATGATGAGAAAGGTTAAAGTCTAAACAGTTTGGAAAAGTGGTCATCGCGATCGTAGGTATATGTGAAATACACTATGCAGATCTGTTAGGTGACTTCAGTGCCTGCATCTCGTGTGCCGGATCAGAACTGAAAAATTCTCTCGCCCACCGAGGCAGACTAGCAGGGGATGTGCGGCGGTCCGGAACATGTAGTCTATATTTGCACGTTTAGCTTCGAGAATCCGCCGCTAAGCTCGTGCCATCTCGATCTTGACTTCTCGTTGGTGGGCTGGAAATGAATGCTATTGATCTTGTTTCACCAATCCGCGGCCTGGAAACCTAATGGTCCGTGTTCTGGAACAAGAGGATTGTACGGTCTCAGGACTTCTATGCTGCGATTTGCCATAGCTGCCAAGCCTGAGCCGTGTTAATGATGTGCTTGTATCTATATCTTTTGGAGAGTATTTGCCCCTGTGAGGAATAATAAAATCCAGGAGTAATTGCCTGGGAGTGATAGAAAGGCTCTCAAAAGGAGCACGCGACATTAGCGCTGCCATTGGAGCCAGGGAGCCGGCCCAAGACCCTAAATCGACCTAGAGGCGAAGTTTTGCCGCTAGATTCCGGCCTTGCAGGGATTAGAAATGGAATATTTGGAAAAGAAACACTAGTCGAATTCATCCTGTAAGGATTCAGGAGCGCGGAATTAGGTGGAGTCGGGAGTAGTAGCACTACTGTATGTACCATGAGCAATGCAGGACAGTGTGCCAATCCTGTCCTTTGTTGCAGAAGCCGGAAGCCCACCGGAGGCTACTCGGAGAAAATTCCTCAACATCGTGCCCGGAACTCAAAGTCAATGACTGCACTCTCCCAGATATTGGTTTTAATATTGCTGCGCCAAGGTGGTTCGTAGGCATACCTCCGTAGCTTGGGTAGATGAGTTGGCGGGGAGTTCTGGGTGGCTCTATCGATGAATAATTGGGATTGATAATGGGTGATCGGCCTCGGCTGTAATGAGAACCTGACTTCTTGGCATCCGACAACGGTGGCTGCTTGTGATAAGGTAGTAGTCCTAGTGGACGATAGTATTAGAGGAAGACTAGCAGTATTATCTCAGTGCTGAGGCCCAAGACATTTGATAAGCGTGAAGAAGGCATACATAAGACCTTGATGTAGTTCAGTCGCGTGCTTCACTACTTCGAGATGCTGCGTCTGGGGGAGCGCATTACGGCCCACAAATGAGCCGGCTATCTCTGTCCACCCCCAGGTCTTATCAGTGAGAGATCCAGGCTGGATAAGCGGTATTGCTGGAATGTTTTCCACCTTGTAGTAGGTTCATGAGGCATGTTAATGGTCTCGGTTGGTAGCCTTCCCCAGCTTCCCCAGATTGATGGAAGGATTTTAATGAGCCAACAGACCCCATATGTGGAGCGGAACAAGCATGAACAGATGGGCAACCTGGCAGACCCTCGTCTAGTTCCCGATGATGGACAAAAAGGACACATACCTAAAATCAACCTCGAGGGAAGAAGAAGAAGAAGAGGAAGGCAAACTTGGAAAAAGAGTGTATCTGCTCAAGCTCCCCCTTTGGGACTAGTGGCTCTAGATGCCTGGCGGGTCTCTCCGCCAATCGGAGCCTTCCATCAGCGGGGTTGTCCCGTGATTGGGCGATAACGGCCCTTCCCACGTTCTCGGGGCCCACCGAGTCTGATCAGTTGGAGTATACGGAGAGGGAAACTGAAGAGAGAGTACATCAACTCTTGTCTGGCCCTACTCCAGTTCCCTCTCCCTCTCTTGCCTCTATATATCCTCTCATTGCCTGCTGTCACCTTATTTCCACTCTCTGTGTGTTCTTCATCACCACTATATGGCTTGCCAAAGCGTTATGATCGACTGCAGTCTTTAGATCCTTGGTAAGCTTTACGCCCCCGATCATCCCTCGTTTGTCAGTCAGGCTGATTGTCACCAACACTCTATGTCAACGACTCAGCAATCATAGTCCCAGATCAACCCGTCAATTAACTGTCATCTTATCAGACACGCTTAAGAGCCAATACCTGCACGTTTCTTCGACATCCGTCATCATTCACCCTCTTTTCGAGCGCCACCATCGGCACCCCTTGTTTTAGATTTCAACATGACAGCAGAGAAGGTAGCAGAGAAGCTGGACTCCATCGAAGGTGGAGAGGATACGTCGTCCGTGGAAGTGGTCAACGCCTCGGGTCACCGTCAGGAAGTCGACCGGAATTTCAGTCTGTTGAGCATCTGTGCTGTTGCCGTCACCACCGGAAACACATGGATTGCCCAGGGTGGCAGTGTGGTATGCTATGCAATATCATCTCTCCGGGCAGCGACATTGGGCTGATGGTGTCTAGACAACTGCTTTGAGCAATGGAGGACCATCTGGCGTCATCTACGAATTGTACGACTTCATCTGGTCCAACAGGGCTAGTACAGAGTGCTAACTTAGTCTTAGTATCGCTGTTTCGGTATGCTACTGGCTAGTTGCAGCATCGATCGCAGAACTGGCATCCGGCATGCCATCTGCTAGTGGAGGTACGTACCGCTTGTTTTCTTTGATGGACTATTCTCTAATCCCGAATGCAGTCTACCACTGGGCCTCCATAACCGCAGGCAAATACGGACGAGTGTGCGGCTTCTTCGCCGGATTCTGGAACTCTCTGGCCTGGATCCTAGGAGCAGCCTCGATGTCAGCCATCCTCGGGCAACAAACGGTGTCGATGTACGCCCTCATGCACCCTGGCTTCGTGCCTCAGTCATGGCATATCTTCGTGAGCTTTGTCATCTGCACCTGGATGTGCTGCTGCATCGTGCTATTCATGAACCGATGGCTTCCTCACATTGGGAACCTGGGGCTATTCTTCATCCTGGCGGGTGTGTTCATCACGATTGTTGTCTGTGCGGTGATGCCTCACGTCAACGGCACAGGCTATGCCTCCAGCAAGGACGTATGGAGTTCGTGGGAGAACGACACGGGCTACACCAGCCAAGGGTTCGTCTTCGTCGCTGGAATGCTCAACGGAGCGTACAGCGTGGGTACCCCGGACTGTTCATCTCACCTCGCGGAGGAAATTCCCCAGTAGGTTCCCCTCCCCTCATACAACGAATCCCCCTACCTAACCCAACCGCACCCAGACCGAGCCGCAATATCCCCAAAGCCGTCCTTGCCCAGATGACCGTGGGTTTTATCACGGGCATAGTGTACATGATCGCGCTCTTCTACAGCATCACGGACCTCCCCGCGGTCCTCAACAGCGTATACGGTTTCCCACTGGCAGAAATCTACTACCAAGCAACGGGCACACGCTCCGGCGCACTAGGCCTACTGGTCGTGGCCTTCCTACCGACAGTCATCACCTGCGCCGGCTGCTACATCACAGCAGGGCGGACACTGTGGACGATCTCGCGCGACCAGGCGACGCCGTTCCACAGCTGGCTGGGGGCGATCAACTCGCGGATGCACAACCCGTTCAACGCAACGCTAGTCTGCGGCTGCATGGTGACAGTGCTGGCGTGCATTTACGTGGGCTCGACGACGGCCTTCAACGCGTTCGTCGGCTGCTTCGTCCAGCTCTCGAGCCTCAGCTACTTCGCCGCCATCTGCCCACACCTACTCACGCGCCGCGCCTCCTTCGCACCCGGCCACTTCTGGATGCCCGGCCCGATCGGGTTCGTCGTCAACGCCCTCAGCTGCGTCTACATCCTCGCCTTCGTCGTCATCTTCTGCTTCCCCGCCGCCCTCCCCACCGACGCCCAGACCATGAACTACGCCAGCCTGATGACCGGCGGCCTGACCGTGTTTGTGGCTTGCTGGTGGTTCGTCAAGCGAAGTGACTACGAAGGCCCCAAGGAGGTGCCTGTCTCGGATAAGGTCGTCGTCGAAGGCGTGGTGGAATAAGCCGGATGTCCTTGGAAGGGCCATGCACTACGTACCCCCGGCCCCGGGTGCACGGCGCAGGCTAGACAACATGCGGATCCACCTCCGAGTATATAGTTACGAGTATGGGTATCGGTTCATGTATAAAGCTTCTTCTTTATTGTTACTGGATGGGGGTTACATGGAGTCAAGGAATGATTAATGATATCTTGGTTTTCTAGTACATAAGCAATTGTCTATGGATGGACTTAGTATACAATGGATATTACGACGTGGCGTCATCATACAGTCCCGTTCTTTGTGCCAAAGACAAAGTAAGAATGATCGATACCTGCCTCGGCTGGCCCTGCCCTTGCTCGCGCGTAGAAATATGGAACTGGGAATGTGTTGATGCTCAGACTCGATTCTTGACTAAAGGTTCTACATTATAGGTAGCCAGAATGCATTGAGCCTACTTTGATAGAAGAAGATGGTCAGCTCATAAGGGCGATGGATTGGAAAATTCAGCTGACTGCAATATATCTAATTAACCATGCTTACTTTATGTGTAGGAGAGAAGAATATTAAGAAATCTTTTTTATATATTGATTTGCTCTATTAATCCTTAATCTGCAGACACATGCCAATATATACTCGAATATGTGCTCATGTAGAAACAAATTTCAAGTCCTGTACAAAGGTAAAAAGAAACATGCCGAACAAGAGAAGGAAAAAAATATAATAAAAGTCATATCTCGTTAATCGTAAGAAAGAAGAAATGAACACCCGAACAAGATCAATCAATCGATGTCAAGACTCTGCATCTCTCTTTTTTCTCGTCTTCATCATCTGCACGTCCACGGCTTTTTAGTCGTACAAATCCATGTCACCACTGCCATCTTCCATCTCAGCCAATGCTTCCTGGTCACTGTCGATCATGTCTAGATCTTCGTCAAGCTCGGTCTCGTGGTTGGGAAGCACGTCGATGCGACCCTCGCGCATAACCACGCGGGCCTCTTCACCTTCGCGGATGCTTCCACGGAGGATAAGGACGGCGAGGCGGTTGAGGACCTCGCGTTCGATGATACGGCCCAGGGGACGAGCGCCATAGGCAGGCGAGTAGCCGGATGCGCCAAGGTAATCCTTGACTTCATCCGTGCACCGGATGGTGACCTTGCGCGAGTTGTCGTCGAGACGCTTCTGCACTTCAGAGAGACGGAGGTCAACGATCTTGCGGATCTCGCGCTTGGTGAGACGGTTAAAGATGACGATGCTCGAGATACGGTTGAGGAATTCGGGCAAGAAGTAGTCGCGAAGGGCACCCATCACCAGCTCGCGCGTCGCGGGCTCAATGCGTCCGTCCTTGGCGGCAGCGCGACCGAGGAACTCGGCTCCCAAATTGGAGGTCATCACCACAATGCAGTTCTTCGCGTCGACGATTCTGCCTTGTCCATCGGTGATACGACCATCATCCATGAGCTGGAGGAGGACAGTCAACACCTCCTTGGCGGCCTTCTCGACTTCGTCGAATAGGAGAATGGAGAACGGGCGCCGGCGGAGGCTTTCGGTGAGCTGGCCACCAGCGTCGTGGCCGACATATCCGGGAGGTGCTCCAATCATCCGGCTCAGAGAGTGCCGTTCCTGGTATTCGGACATATCGAACCGGATCATGGCCTTGGGATCGTCGAACAGGAACTCCGCCAAGGCCTTGGTCAAGAGTGTCTTACCCGTACCCGAGGGACCGCAGAAGAGGAAGCTGGGCGGCGAATTGGGGTTACTCAGACCGGACCGTTGCAGGCGGATAGCGTTGGAAACCGACGCAACGGCCTCCTTCTGACCGACAACCACCTTGGCAAGATGCTTCTCCATGTGCAACAGCTTGTCCTTCTCAGTGGTTTTGAGACGAGTCACGGGAATACCGGTCCAGCGGGCCACAATCTCGTTGATTTGGTCGGGGCCGACGGCATCTGCCAGCAGAGCCTCGCCCGCGTCGCCCTGACGAGAGCGTCGCTCTTCGTCAGCCTTGGCACGGTCAATCTCTAGTCGTTCAATGAGTTGCTTGGTCTCGGGGATAGCATAGTACTCCAGATCGGCGGCGGTCTGGGTATCGCCGGAGCGTTCGGCTTCGTCACGTTTGACCTTGAGAGTGTCGAGCTTCATCTTGGCCTCTTGGATGGCCTTGCTACGCTGCTTCTCGCTTTCGTACTTCTCCCGCAGGGGGCGAAGCTCTTCGGCGACGTTGGCAGCCTCCTGCTTGGCAGCTTCCAAGCGGGCCTTGGAGGCATCATCTTTCTCGCGCTCGAGAGCGTGAATTTCGATCTGCAGCTGGCGGAGTCTTCTTTCAAGGTTATCAAGAGCTTCGGGTTCCGATTCTCGAGTAACCCGAACCGCAGCGGCGGCCTCATCGATCAAGTCGACCGCGGAGTCGGGAAGGCGACGAGCTGTGAGATACCGGGCGGCCAGTTCAGCTGCGGAGACAATGGCGCCGTCGAGGATGTTGACACCGTGGTGCACTTCGTACTTCTCCTTCAAGCCACGCAGAATGGAGATGGTTTCGGAAACACTGGGCTCCTTGACCAAGACCTGCTGGAACCGACGTTCAAAGGCCTGATCCTTCTCGATGTACTTTCTGTATTCGCCCAGAGTCGTAGCACCGATGCAGTGCAGCTGACCGCGAGCCAGCATGGGCTTGAGCAAGTTGGCAGCGTCCATGCCACCCTCGCCACTAGAGCCTGCACCCATGAGGAGGTGGATCTCGTCGACGAATAAAACGATGGTGTCCTTCGATTCTTCGATCTCTTTCAGAACACCCTTCATGCGCTCCTCGAACTCACCACGATACTTGCTGCCGGCAACAAGAGAACCGACGTCAAGAGAGAGTAGTCGGCACTGGGCCAAGTTGGCAGGAACATCGGCATTGACGATCCGACGCGCCAGGCCTTCGACAATGGTGGTCTTACCGACACCAGGCTCACCGATGAGCACCGGGTTGTTCTTCGTGCGCCGACTGAGAATGCGGATCACACGTCGGATTTCTTCCTCTCGACCAATAACAGGATCGATCTTTCCTTCTCGAGCCAGCGAGGTCATATCGATGGTGAACTTCTTCAGGTTCTCATTTTCGCTCTCGGCGTCTGCGGTCTTCGAGTCGACCCGCTTCGTTCCGCGGATCTGCTGTACGGCACTGTCGATCAATTTGACGTTGGGGATGTTGGCGTCTGACAGAGCGCGCTGGACTTGTGAGTCCTGAGCGCAAGCGGTGATGAGGTGATCGATGGCGACGTAGCTGTCCTTCTGGGTCTTGGACAGGTCGCTAGCAGAACGGAGAACCTTGGCCAGAGCGGGCGAGACGCTGACGGACTCGGGAGGAGGATCTTGACTGGGCAGACGAACGAGGAGCTTCATGAGGGCACGTTCGAGTAGTTGAGGATCGCCATGGGCGCGTTCAACGACCTGACGGAAGAGAGGAGCGGAGGCAGTGTCGTGAGAAGGATGGGCGGTAGTTTGTTGATCTTTCGATTCATCTGGAGTAGGGTTCAAGAGGGAGACTGCCAGGTGAATGGGGAGAATTTGTGAGTGTGAGTATTGTTCAGCCAGACTGCTGGAGTCCAGCAGGGCCTTGTTGGCTTTGTCTGTAAACTGAGCACCGTTCATGGTGTAAAGGTGGGGTTATGTTGTGCGGATAGAATGAGATGTAAGGTAGGAGATAGATAGAGGTGAGAGAGGATAAAGAGGTAGAAGTAAGGTGAAAACGAGGAGGATTGTCTCGTTTAGGGTAGTATTAGTGATGTCTGATATTAGTTGTGTTTTGAATCTGTATGATGAAGTGAAGAGGGACAGCGAAGGCAGGCATTGCAGGTGAAGATATAGAAGCTGGTCAGGCATCGCCGGCTTCCCGTCATGACGACAACGGCCGCTTTCCACCGCCTTCCAGAACGACCGCGGATTTCCTCGAGCTTCCTCGACGTCACGTGAAGGTCCTGGAAGGTGCTGGCCTGGTCCATCAGGCCATCAGGCCACCGACGGAACGGACGGGATCAGGTGATCAGGACCTTGATCATACTACGAGTATGATAGACAGTTACCAACTCAACAACAACGGAGTCATCTTCCCTCTCCGGATACTTCCCGTTGTCTCCAGGTCTCTATTTTTCTTAGTATTCGCTTAGTTTCTAAAATGACAGGACTTGACCCTATTTTCGACTTGTCTTTGGATTTCCTCAATGCCTCATTCTTCCCCTCCCCCACAGACATCATGACCCGTCTGTCGCACGAGACAGTAACGCCCCCCACGTTGGAGAGGCATGGTCGTGATTGGCATGTCGCTGGTTGGTCTGGCCGGGATTAGACTACTTTAGAGTTACTAGTCAAGCCGGACACATCATGATTGCAGCTTCAAAGAATGCCTCCGAGGTTAATCCGGGATTACGATAAGAAGATAGACGGAAAAATGAGATATGCGAAGGCAGCAACCAGCAGCAGCAGCAGCAGCAACGACAACAGCAACCGCGTCTGCAATCTGCATATTCTTACGCACAGAATAGACTATCCACTCACGTCGCAGTGGAGTCCCATGGCAAAAACTCCCAGACAGGAGATCAGACTCGATGCTGAGAAGCCTAAGCCTGGGAAGAAAACCACACGCTTACTCGCGCGGGGCATTGACTCCCTCCCCATTATTGGGTCCAACTTTTCCTTCCCTTGATAGAGGGGTACTCGGTACTCTTTCTCTCTGAGACTGGCATTTTCTTTTTCTTTTTCCTTTCTTCCCACCCCGCTTCTGCTATGGAGAATGGCAGCCATGGAAAGGTCCGTTTCCAGGCCAAGCCGTGACGTCAAAGAGTGGGCATCTCCGCCTCTCCCTCCTCCTTGTGTCCACCGGACCGCCACAGGGATTGGCCGCTGAGGGATTTCGCTCTGGGCGCTCACTCACTCGCTGGAGTTGCAACTTGCAACTTGCCAGACAGGGAATGACCAACCGTGCGCCAGGAACGGGGAACCTCCGCGATCGGGCGGGCTGGGCATGATGGCGTTTTGGTGGCTCAACCCAGCCTTGACGCGAGCGCCGGCAGCCAAATCGACCTTTCGAATCCAGGGCAAGTTTATTTAGTTCGCATATACAGGGGCTGGGTTCGAGATGATGATGAGACCGCATTCTCTGACTGCGGGATTATTGACTTTATGCCTTGCATTATTCTACTGTTTATCGTTATCGTCACCCACGCATTCCTCGTGTGCGGGATTAACCGGACAGCACCAGCACCGTACAGCACAGCCCAGCACAGCACAGCCAGGGAGATTTCAACCGCGCAAAATGCATTGAGGTGATCCAAAAGAACACCAAAGGGAGTGGATGAAGAAAAAGTCGCACTACGCTTAAACTAAATTCCCCGGCCTTTTGACGGTGATGAATCATGATCCATGACTCTAGGCCTACAAATAAAAATAGCCAAGGGGAACAAGAACGAAGTGGATAGAATAGGCTCGTAGTACGAGTCCGCCGCCAGCCCTGCTCTATCGGGGTACGATCCACGGGTCAAACTGCCCGGTTTCACTCGAATTCCTCGTTCTCAGGTCAGAGCAATCAGAACTGTCTGTCGTAAGACTAGCAGTCGTACTCCGTAGTTGTCCTCTTTGAAATGGTTTAATTGGAGTCGTCGGATGGAATCGACTGACTGACTGACTGATACAATCAGGGCCAGTATAAATTTCGGCAGTCCTTCTTCCCCTCCTCCTCCTCCTCCCTTCTTCCTTACCTCTCAATCAGACTCTCGCAGACTTGGATCCAATATTCCCCCAAACCTTGACTGCAAAATCAGCTTGAATATCTCGCCCAAACATATCTCCATCCAGTAAATCGGACGAGAAAGAAAAAAGGGTGTAATCAAATACTCCCAAGTACCTACTACGCCAGTGGTGAAACTCCCTGGTCGATAGAATCTGTACTTGCATTGGGACAGGACAAGATTTGACACGAGGGGAAAATCTGAAAGATCGATTTCACCTCAAGATCAAATCCGTCGTCCCCTCTACAATATCGTGAAAATATTTCCATCCGACCATCGACCGGAAGAATACTCCGTCACGATGTCGCAGAAGCCCATCTTTGTGGCTACTCACCCGCGGGCATGTTCCACGGCCTTTGAGCGAGTCAGTCTCCCCTGCGCCCCCCCACCAACCCCCCCCCCAAAATACACCCTTTGCCCCTCCCTCCCCCTCAAAACATTGTATAGGATTAACATGTGGACTAACCTCATGGCATCAGGTCTTCATGACTCAGCGGGATACCATTCAGTGTGTCCACGAGCCGTTTGGCGATGCCTTCTACTATGGACCGGAGCGGTTGTCGACCAGATTCGCCGACGACGAACAGGCCCGTCTGGACAGCGGATTCAGCCAGTCGACGTTCAAGACCGTCCTGGATCGCATCGAGCGCGAATCATCTGAGGTCCGACCCTTTTTCTTGCCCATGTTGTTATCTTCCCTTTGTCGTTGCACTTTATTTCCCCCGTCGTAGTGGTCCGTCGTTCGGGGATGCGCATGCGCTATCTGCATCGTTAGAGAACCAAGGAACAACGTGCAGGAGCAGACGAGAGCAGACTCTGTCGTTTCCCCTTTGTGATGATCTACAACATGTGCTTTGTCTGCGTGGGATCGATCACCTTCGAGTTGTGTTGTGTTGTCTTCGCCCCACCCCCCTCCCATCACCCCTACCTACAACTCCACGGAGAACAAGCCCGCACGAGAACAGGATGGACCGACCGAATCGCGCGATCCAAGCTGTTGGGAGCCCTGCCCTAACCCCCCGCTATACCATGTATCCCCTACCTATGCATCACCATCACCACCATTCCTATACCACGACGAGATACTTACCGACGAGCAGGGCAAGCGCATCTTCATCAAGGACATAATCCACTACCTCCTGCCACCGCACGGCCAACCCGCCAGCATCGCGCCGTCCCTGCACCGCATCAAGCGCGGCGTCGGCACGGAGACGGAGACGACCGGCGCGGTCGGCCCCAACGGCGAGGAGAAGGAAGTGCAACCTTCCCCATACCCGTACGCGACGGCAGCAGAACCCGGCAACCCGACCGTGATGCCACGGGCGCAGCTCTCGGAGTTCCACTTTGCGTTCCTGATCCGCGACCCGCATTACAGTGTACCGTCGTACTACCGGTGCACAATCCCGCCGCTGGACGCGGTGACGGGATTCCAGAACTACGACCCGTCGGAGGCCGGGTACGACGAGCTGCGGCGGACGTTCGACTACCTGCGGGCGACGCACCTGGTCGGGCCGCGGGTGGCGACGCGCGACGATCTGACCGAGCACGAGCACGACTCGTCAGCTTCGTCGTCGCGGCCGTCATCCTCGGCCTCGTCCGCCAGCATGACCGGCGGAAGTGGCAACGGCAGCGGGGACAGCGAGGGGGTGGAGATCTGCGTCGTCGACGCAGACGACATGCTGAATAACCCTGCGCCGATGATCGAGGCGTTCTGCCGCAGCGTCGGGCTGAAGTATGATCCGTCGATGCTGTGCTGGGACACGGAGGCGGACCATGCGCATGCGCGCGCTGCGTTCGAGAAGTGGAGGGGCTTTCATAACGATGCGATCGAGTCTAAGGGCTTGGTGGGCCGGAAACATGTTAGTTTATCCATTCCATTCCCCTCGTTGCACAACAAAACACAACACCTCAAAAGACACAGACACAGGTGTAGAGTGGAAGAACATACCTACCTACCTCCTCTCCCTCAAACCCAAATCCTCAGCCCAAAGCTAACCAGACCCTCAAAGCCCCGCGCCCAAAAATCCGAATCCGAGTTCGACGCCGAATGGCTAGAGAAATACGGCCCCGAAGGTGCCGCCCTGATCCGCAAGACCGTCGACGCCAATATGGCCGATTATCTGCATCTGAAGAGATTCGCCATGAAGGTCTAATCCCCATTACAAAAGGGGGAGGGGGGGAGAGAGACCCCGCAGGATAGGTGCCGTAACGACAAGAATGAAAACAACAAAAAACAAAGACCAGCGGTAGGAAGGAAGCAAATCACCAAGCAAAAAGGAAAGAAAGAAAGAAAGAAAGAAGAGAGGAGAAACCAACCTGTCCTCTTCCTCTTGCGTGATCACGAACGAACTTACCGCCTTGGTTGACGAACATTGACGATATCTTAGCTCTGATGACGCGATTTGATGTGCATACTTGCTTTCCTTACTTGCTCAACTCTGAAAGGGTAAGTAAGGTGCATGCATGCCGTGATGACTATGATCTGTGCTGTGCTGTGCTTGTTTGATTTTTGATTTGTTTGGTTTGGTTTGGTTTATTTTTGCCCTTCTTAGGCTTGGTTGATGCTACGTGACTGCTACAGTTAGTTAGTTCTGTTGAAAGGGTATGGGAGATTGATACTACCTATTCTGACTCGCGGGATTGATTCCCGGTGGATTTCTTGTTGATATTCATATTGAGATTATTGATTTTTGTGGTTACAGGCTTCATGGCAAGTAGCAAGTAGATGCACGGTGTAGTTCGACCGCACACAAGACTTAAGTCAACAAGCCCTCTATTCCTTACAACCTACAATATTCAAGTTTGGCCTGGCACCGCCACATCATGAAGCCCCGTCGCAGAAATCGTATAATCAAGCCAAAAAAAAAACCTTATCGGCCCAAAGCAAAATAAGCCATCCATCTGTATCATATCATATTCCAGATCTCCAATTCATTTCATGATTTCTCCACAGAACACACCTCCCATAATATACTACCCAAGTCCGTACGTAATGCATACGTAAACCAGTCCTCTCTTAGCCAAAAAGAAAAAGGAAATGTCCTCGCGAAGAGGTAGCCAGAGACGGTGAGATTGGTGTATTCCCCACAAACCCTGCTCTCGAATTCTCCCGCTCTCTTGATTCAAAGCCAACAATCATACACAAAAAAAAAACCCCCCTCTAAACCGCACTGTACCCGCCCCGCGACCCCGACCCTTGCAGCGTATTCAGCACCCGACGCGCCCAGTCGTGGAAGAGGTAGGGGACATCGCGCAGCGTGTCTCCGTGCGGGAGGAGGTCCCACCCGCGGGCGCCGTAGCGGTTATAGTTGAGCCAGGAGCCGAAGATCAGGTACGCGGCGATGCACAGGAAGAGGCTATTTGCCCGGTGGGTTAGCATTTCTTGTGTCCAACAAGGCCAAAACTGGACACAAAACACAAAACAAATAGAGGAAGGGAGAGGGAAGCATTCAACATACAGAATGATTAACCAGGTAAAGAACCCCCAGTGGCTGGACGAATCTCCCTTATTGTCCTCCAGGTACTTGTCGCACGCATACCGGGTCGTCCAATCCAGACGCAGCACGTAGGCATCGTCGTCGGCGGGGCCGAAGCTCTTGAATCGGAGACTACTGTTGCTGCTACTGCCGTTGCTGGATTTGGGCGGCTCGCCGTCGTCGCGGGTCTGCAGGTTCGTCCCCGCGACGACGGTGGCAATCTCGGCCTCCGTGGCCGCCTGGAGACCCTCCAGCCCCGACCGGTCGGGGTCACATTGGAACTCGATGACGGCGCCGGCGGTGTGCTTCTTCCCGGCGGCGTCTTCGTAGGTGCCGCCGGCGAGCTTAAGCAGAAGACCCTCGCGGTCGGGGTCGAGCTTCTTTAAGCGGGTGATCTCCGGGTCTTTGGTGCCGTGGCCGAGGGGGTCGAGGCCGGCGATCGGGAAGGGTTGGTCGGTTTCGATGGTGCTGTTTGTGTGGGTTGTGTATTCGAAGCCGCAGACTGAGATCGGAGCACGAGGTTAGTGGATTGGTGTGGTAGAGTAGAATGGAGAGGGGATGCGATGCGACAAGGGTGCAAGGTAGCGAGGGTGATCATGGGGGGTTGAAGCGTACTGTTCTTGGATGTCCCGCAGCTTAAGCGCCCTCGGTGAGCGGCCTTCCCCAGGATGTTGCAGATGTTCAGCACATATGTCGTGTTGACCGTGGCGGCCTCTTCCGGACGCTCAACGACGTTGTAGAGGGTGTGCACGCCGCCGAGGGCGCTGAGGTCGTACTTGACTGAGTCGACGTTGATGTGTTGGCAGTCAAAGCCCGAAACAGTGACGAGACTGGGGAGAAGGAAGGCGGAGGAGAGGAGGGTCGAGGAGAGGCTAGATGGTATTCGCATGGTGGGTGGTATTATTTTGTGATGCTGACGGGCTGTCTTGGGAGGTTGATTGCTTGGATTACCGGAGCTCAGCTCGACAGTTTCGCAGGTAGGATGGGAGAGGAGAATCGAGCGACCGCCGTAAGATTCCTGAGCTAGAATTTCTAGCCGAAAGTCAAGTGCGTGAGTGCGATGCGACGGAAGGATGGTAGGATAGACACGCGAGAAGGCTGATTGGGTTCAGTTGTCGGCGATGATGCGGTGGCCGGAGCTCTTCGTTTCTCCGAGGCGAGGGCGGGCCGAAAGGGAAGCCGACCAGTTCAGCACGCAGAGTCCACGACAGATGGATGCTCGGGATGGTGCAGAGAGGCGGAAAGAGAGATAAAATGGATGGAATGGTCTATCATGAAGAAGGAGAGAAGCGATGGAGGGAGGATCCAGGCGTACAAACAGTACAGTATTGGTGGCCGGATCTGCACTGCGTCCGACCAGCAGCTGACGGGGATGATGTCACCCGACCATGGGCTGAGCAGAGAAGTATAACGAGACTCATATTAACAGAAGAGCCTAGGTAGAGTAATATGCATATACTAAGGTCAACAGACGAAGCATTCTACCACTAGTACAACAGTAGATAGCAAGTAGATCGCTAGAAAGCAGTTAAAGGATCCTGCATAGGAACATCCAGCTTGACCAAGCGCAACGAAGCCATGACCAGCACAGCAAATCAAGAAAGCCATGCCTATCACTATCCATACCAAAAATCATATCCTCAATAACCTAAAGCACCAATAACTTAACCTATGACGCTCAAAGTGTCGTTCAAGTGTATAGAAGAGACCTCTGGTTAATCTCGGTGCACGGGCCACATCAACCCAAAGAAGAAACCTCTCCAGCATCAAATCCCCATCCGATACAATTAACAACAACCACCTCTTCTCCCCCGGGTCTTCTTCAAAATGATCCAAACACGCATGGTACGTAAACTTCTCTGGAAAATCACTCTATAAATCCACCACCACTAAAACCCCTCCAGCTCTCCAAAGAAGACGAGACCCGCGGCGAAGACAACGAAGTCCGCCGCGAGGACCAAGAGAAGATCAACCGGTTCAGTCGCCTGCACCAACGGGAGACGGTGCTGGAAGAGCAATTGAAACTGAAGCAGGTAAGCAGTCGCTTACTTCCTCATGTCCTATTCCTACCATCAAAACTCTTTCCATCAAAACTCCCTCCCTTCGCCTCCCTCCTCACTAATAAGTTCCCCGCCATCCCACCCCTCCCCCCCCCAAAAAACAATATTAACCCCCAAAAGAAAGACAAAGAAGACCTCGAAGAAATCTCCACAGAACTCGAACTAGCCGATGAAGACGATCTGGTTCCGTAAGTTTGTTCCCTTTCCAAATCAATCCTTAATCCCCAAACCCCAACCCCCAATCCGCCCCAAATTTAACTAACACCCCCAGCTACAAAATCGGCGACTCCTTCTTTCACCTCCCCCTGGAAGAGGCACAAGCCCTCCTGGCCACCTCAACCGAGCAGATCGACACCGAGGTGAGCAAGCTGGAAGAGTCGCTGGGGGACCTGCGCGAGGAGCTGCAGCAGCTCAAGGTGGCGCTGTATGCGCGGTTCGGGCGGAGTATTAACTTGGAGACTTAGTCGGTCCTCTGTCTCTCTGGTTGTGGTGCTGGGTTGGGTTTTTTGTTTTGTTTAGTGGTTGGATGGGTTAAGCTGGATGTTGGTTGTATTCTAGTTTGACGGCTTCCAAGGTTATGAGATTCTTTTATTTTCCTTCTTTATTCCAAGTTGGATGCTTATAGTAACTAAAGGTATGGTAAGGTATGGAGGTCGGTTGTGTTGACTCTCTCATGCTTTTCAGCTGTGGAGATAGTTATCGGTTTATGCGACCGTGGAGTGAAGAAAATTGGGTGGAAATCTTTCAAAAAAAGTTCTTCTCTTCCAGTATTATACCTTCGAAGACGAGATCAATGCTATCTAAATAGAAAAGAAACCGCCTATGTGCAGATACTGTGTACAGTACAGAGGAAAAAAAAGAGAAACAGACTCGGTCGAACAACCAACAGGGGGGATATCTACGCGAAATACTATACTATGGATAGTGTGCTGTGCCAGTGAAACATGAAAGGGGGTAATGAAAGGAAGAAAATTTTTTCGTGATCCATAACTTCATGTCACATGCTTTGGAGGGACAAAAGAAGAAATGCGCTTCCGAGATGGAATAATGTTGACATGGGCGTTGGTACAAATCCGTTTGCTGATTTGCTCGGATACAGGATGTATGTCTGCCTCAGGCACGATTGGCCGAGTGCGGTGCGACCAAGGTGAGCTTTGTGAGCGGTCAAGAGAGTGGGCCAGGTTGCGACACACGAAGCCGAATGCCGTGCAGTACCATCCTCCCAGTGACCCCCTAAATAATACTGGCGATCGTCATGCGCGAATGGGATGAGCTTGATTGGGGTGTGGTTGCATCAGAGCTGGTGGCTGTCGCGTCAGGTCCTAGGTAAGCCGAGTCCGCCGGCTTCGGATGAAGTGGTTGTAGTTCTTGGTGTTGCTGTTGTTGTTGTTGCTGCTGCTGCTGTCTCTCGCCCAGGAAGTGCACAGTATGTTCGACCCAAACCCAACCTTTCCACTTCTCCGTAGTCTCCGTCTCAGGACGGGTATACGAGGCGGGACTGCTGATCTGAGGGGACATCGTTTCGAGTTGAGAGCCCGTTTCACTTCCCTGCCAGACCCAGCTGCTCTCGATCGTTCCTTGCATGTCTCCAGAAACATAGGCAATCAATTCCTCATCGCGGTCAGGCATCATGGTCTCGCTGCGCCGCATCAGGATATTCAGGAAGAATGCCAGGTATCGTCCACAGGCGGCATTCACCGCGCGGGAGTCCCCGATCACGGCACTAGCTTGTACGCAGACGAGTGCGGCGGCATATTCCTGGCGGAAGAGGAGCAACAGTACGCAGCGCCAGAGATGAACGCATAGCATAGCCCCTGCTGACGAGGCGAGCAGTGGCCGCCAATCCTCGCCGCTGGTCGTCGAGTGTCCATGTCGCGGGCTCGTAGGCGGGGGCCGCATACAGCGGGAGAGAAGACGGGCGGTATCCTGGGCGGTCGACACACAAAACTCCAGCGCCGAAGATCGGGCCTCGGGGCTGCAGTATGGGGACATGTTGTGTCGGTGGAGAAGGAGTCGCGCATTTTGGAGATAGACGATGGGTGCGAGGGAACGAGGGTCGAGGTATTGTTCGGACCGTGGCGAATACTGCGCGGGAAATGTGCCTAAGCAGGCGTTGAAGTGTCGCTCGAAGGTTTCCAAGGTGGCCGAGCTGATGGTTGGGCTCTTCAGGGTTCGAGACAGCTGTCCGATCGATCGGACCACATGGATGCTTGCGAGGAGCGGACTCTTTTGTGGGCTTTCCGGCACAGGCCCGCCTTCCGAGATGTATTGCTCGTCGATAGGGCATGGGAGGTCGACATCACAGTCCTGATCATTGATCAGTACTGGTTTGCCCATCTCTAGAGCGAGAAGCCTGTGAGTGCATCAGTCTCGGAACCCATTGCTGAACCGTACCGGATTTGGGTGATCCTTACCGGTCCCAAGTGTACATCCCCCACCACACTCGCTTGCGCATCTCGCCCTCCAAAGGTGACCAGGGTCCAGACTCCAAGTGTAATCCAATCTCCTGGGCCACTCTCACAGCCGACCCAATCCAGACCCAACTTGCCGACCGGGAGTTGACCTCGTAGAGAAAGATACTGGCCAGCAGCGCCGCCCGCGCCTGGTCCAGGGTGAAGTTATCTTGCCATACATCGATCACACCGCAGCAAATCTTCACAAATTCTTTGCCTTCCTCTTCTCGATTCGGTTCCAAGGTGTGTAGAGACCCGCATGCAAAGACACCAAACAAGACCGCCGCCCATTCCCGAGGGACACCCAGCAGCGTTCCTGCTTGGTAGACCTTTTCATACTCCGCCACGAAGGTAGGCCAATGAATCACCGGAAGCACGGAATGCAAGCAAGAATAATATTGCCCCAAGAGACGATTGGCCACATCTTTTGGCGGAAGTTGCGGGGGATCCGTCGTTAACAAGGATTTCGGTCCCGGTTGACGATAGGGCGGAGGAACTTTCAGGATACCTCGACCATACTTGCAAAGGTTGACCCGTGCTTCGGTCATATCCTGCATCAAGGGCGCCTTGGGTCGGCGCGGGGGACGATATCCAATATCCGGGAGCTTCAGTTGCGGTTGGCCCGTTGCATCAATGTCGAGATCCATCAGATTGTCCGACCTGAGCATCCCCGATCGTAGTTGCTGTAGTTGGTGCTTGGTGGACAACAGTTGCTTTTCCAGGTCTTGGACTTGTCTACCAGTCGAATTAGCATGTGGGGTCACAGAGGGAACGGTAACACGAACTTAATAGATGACATGCGCCTGTTGGTTTCCTTGGTGAATTGACAGCGCACCTTGCGGTTGGTGCATTCTGTGCAACTGGACGACTCGGAGGCGTCACACTGGGCGGAAGGTCAATGCGAGAGCAGAGTAACAGGGCTGCGGCGTAACCATACCTTGACCTTGCGCTCCCGACACGCATCGCAACTGGGGTCCTTTCTTCGCTGCCGATACGCTCTCTTCTGCTGGAGAGGCTGCTGCGATTGCTGATGATGCGGATGCGGACCAGCCGCCACACCACCCACCGGCTGTAGCATTCCCGGTCCCGGTCCGGGGAGCGATGGCGCATCCGCGAGGATGGATGATGCACCCTCCGCGGGCGAGCCACTGGACTCATATGAACGCGAGTAAGGCGGAAGGGAAGCCGTGGCCGTCGACTGTTGAGGAGTGGGCATCTGCTGTGCCGCCAAGGGTTGCAAGAGATGGGACATGCGCAGTCCGCTGTCGGGTCGACTGGGCGGTGCGGACAGCAGCGAAGCCGCCGGTGGGCCGGGAGGTTGGAGGAGAGGCGCTGGCGGCGAAGTCACCGCGTGCACGGGGGGAAGCTCATACGGTCCTCCCGGCTGGTTCGGACTAGTCGATGAGCGAAAATAATGCGCCTGCATGCCGACACCTGCAATGTAACTTCATAAGGCGAAGGCGAAAGAAAGTGGGAGCAGTTGCGCGCGTGCCAGACGATGCCGGGCCCGTCTGCGGGAGAGAAGCAGGATGCGCAGCGGGACAACAAGCAAAGACCTCCAAGAATTGACAAGACGGCAAACCCTCTTCTTGGATGCGATGTGGAAGGGAACTAGTGTAGATAGTGGCGGTGGGGGAGAGAAGCGACAAGGATTTTTGACAATCAGCCAGATCCCGAAAAAGAACCCAAAATGCCCGATTCAGCTGCCCACTCAGTTTGGAGTAGGATCGGTGGTGGAAGACGGAGGAGGGGAGGAGTAGGAGGGGGGTGGATTATCCGCAATGGCGACGAAGGTAAGATAAAATAGCTGTATCGATCGCACCAATGAATTTGAATTAGAGATTCAATGTTCCAGAGACAGAAATAAAGTTGGAGCGATGGTCAACCGTGGAGACATCTAGACGCGGTAGTGTTGCGGTAGTTCCTGGGTGCGGACAGATGGATGATGTGTGGGTGTGGATGCTGATGAAGCCATACAAGATTACCGAGGTTGGGAGGGGCTGCCAAATTCAAGAACAGCACACAAGGAATCGCAGTGGGTTTCACCAAGGAAGGATGACTTTCGGTGGGTTGGTCTCTGGTAAAGCTCGCGTCTGCCAGGTCGTGCGCATAAGCATTGAATGGAATGAAGGGGTTTTTCCAAGTGTTTGTGTACACAAGGTGTAGAAGGGAAAAGGTGGCCACACTGGAGAGGGGCAAGAGAAACGGGAAGGGGAAAGAGGAGATCAGAAGAGAGAAAGAGAGAGGAAGAAAGAGAGAAAGCAAGCGAAGAAGGCGACTTGCGGCAGAAAAGAAAGACGGGGCGAAAAGAGCTGGAATGAAGAGGGAGAAAAAGGATATAGAGAAATAATGAATGGTGACGGGTTTCGGCAGTCATGGGCAGGAATGGACGATAAGCCCGTCGTTGTCCGTCATACTACTAACTAACCTGCCTGCTAAACTACTTCCTATTCACTACTTAACTGACTACTATGATCGTGCTGATGGGAATCAAAAAAACAAAGAAAAATAAGACAGAGTTGGAAAAAAAAAATCAAATCCCTGGTATTCAGGGATTCTTATTTGGGTTGGTGACTAGAAACTATTTTATTCCTTTATTTTTCTCGAACCCTAGTTCATCTCTATATAGACTCCAGTGATCAAGTGGAAACAATCCCCTCAAATCATGTAGTAAGTGATAAGCGGGAGCAGCAGCAGCAAGCTGCAGTTACAGTTGCTGGCGATTCTCGGCTCCAGACCTTCTCTTCAGCCTTCCGTTCTCTCTTTCAGCACGTTGGTGGAAACGAAACAATTTAGGGGACACAACAGTCACCAGACATGAATGAGTGGGCTGTCAATGCGAAGAGAGGCTGAGATCGGTCACCTATTGCCTCTCTCTCTCTCCCTCCCCTTCCCCTCGCACGACCCGACCATCCATCCAGGGTCCTCCTAGGTTCAGGAAAGGACTCCGAAAGTTTCTCGGCTGACCCCGGTTACAGAGCAGCCAGAAAACATGGCTGAAACGACGCCATTCCATACTCGAATGAGATTGAGGGAGGGGCAACCCGGAGATTAGCACCTGAGCTTACTGCAGAAAGTCTATCCGTCAGGAATCTGCTGCCGACAGGCTGCCACTGGCAGCCAGCCAGCCAGCCAGACAGACAGACTTGCTTTTTAGCTTCCGTCGCATTGTGAGGAAGCGGGTTAATCTGCTAGAGAAACCCGAAACCCATCACCCAACGGTTGCTGCCGACCACTGCAATTTATGTTAATATCTCCTTGAGAGCAACACGAGCAGCAACACCAGCAGCCGCAGCATCAGCAACGAGCACAGCTTGTTGGCCTGGATCGATCGGCTGTCTGCGATTAATGAGCGGTGGGGAATAATGGACCGTTTCTTTCCATTTGTTTTTTGGCTTTCATCTGGAATCATGCTATAAAATCACAGCACTGTAGTGAAATCCCTATTTGAGTCATGTCTACTACGTGGTAATTAGTGGGTGTATAACGGGCCAGGGTCGGTACCAACTCCCGGAGGGCAGACAGAGGCTTGGTTTCTTGGTTGCCCATGGTAAGATGGTAAGGCCAACAAAGATAGATGGATAGATAGGATTTCGGTGAATTCGGTCTAGCTGAGGATCAGACCTCTGGCTAACTGGAAAGCAACCCGAGATCGGCAAGTGGCAGTGTCGTCCTGACGAGATCGCGACGTGGTCAGTTGGTCCCACCACGGGGCGGGATCACAAAGAGGGAGGAAGATGAGGAGAGAGGGTCTGAGTCTGCCAGTCGGGTAGGAGAGAAAGAGGAAAGAGAGGAGCCAGACTCGGCCATCGGAGCCAAGGACAGCAATTCGCTGATCAACTATGGTTCTAGTTTCTAACAATTGACTGTCAGCGTACCAAGTACACATACAACAACCTACAGACGGAGCTCAACTCCGAGCGATTGCCACTGGCTGCTGAGCTGTAGGATTCTTTGATGTACTGTACATACGTGTGCAGCAGTTGATGCAAGTTGGGAGTGACTTAGGGTAAGCTTGCTCGTAACTATCGGATCTATCCCGTAGCCGATGGGATATGTTTAGCCTAAGTTAGTGGCCCATCGATGATCGGATACCCTCAAGACTTTCTCAGGTAAGACTACATCCTCATCGGAAGCCGGATGAACGAAGACAGAAAGAGGGGCTGGCAGTGGAATCGGTATCTCGATCCGGGATGCCCACTTCGTCATTCTCATTATTGATATTATTATTTATTTATTGAATTTTTTTTTGGTGTGGACATACTCCGTAGTATGATGAGGATGGATCAAATTGGGACTCGTCCCGGCAGCAGGTGTGAAAAGTACGTCGACCACGGAGTACGGAACGATGACTGGCGGCTTGACGGGAACGTGGAAAGTCAAACTCGCTTTACCTTCAAGGAAAGGTCAATGGGTCAACGGTTTGATTGGGTGTTGGAGCAGATCGTTGGTTGCTATTCTTATTCTCTTCACCGATATCCATCCAATACCGGGTGTCGCTTCCCCTGAGGTTGAATCCCGATTGATTCCCCCAGAGATTTGTTCCGGTTAAACTTGAATTGCGCCTGTCGTTGCACCGGCCCGGCGAAGAAGGACAAGATCTCTCCTCAGCAGGTATCTATCTGAGACAGGGAAAAAAAGATCTTATCAGCAATTCGATTGCAGTGTGGAAAAAAAAAAAAAAAAAAGAACAAAAATCATCAGCGTGATGAAGAGGGAGAAACAAATAACGAAAAAATGAAATTAGAAAAGAAAAAGAAAAGAAAAAAAAAAGGCCCATCATCACCAGCATCGTGCTGACGATCGACTCGGAATCACTCCTCCGGATCAAGCCCATTGGAGGAACCAAGGACGGCACGAGGCAGCAACCGTGGACGGTTCCACTGGAAGCTTGCGCACATTACCATTACACCGAGACCAGGCTTTGAGGAATTATACCTGCCTGTCGAAGTGCTGACGAATTTCATGATGATGATGATGGCAGCGGCGCTGTGGCTGGGTCTCGTTCACTTCTCGGGCGAAACACGGACGCCATCGCCAGCCAAACCGAAGTGCGGCAGCGAAAATTCTCCGGGCTGCCCACCATCCATCCAATAATGCTCGCCTACTGACCGTCATTTGCGTGGAATTGGTCGGTTAGCACCCGGCCTTGAAGACCGTTTGCCTATGCTGATGGGTATCGGCACCTTGCTCGTTCCGTGCCCAATGCTCTTCGCGAGGTGGCAGTGCGTGGTGCACAGTGCCGTACTACAGACATGCTGCGCTGCCTCTGTGGGATTTAACTCTATGCTCTCGAAGAACAAGCAACACGTCCAGTATTCTTCCCTGAGCATTCAGCCAGATTCCAGGCCCTTTCCCCTCTTCCACATTCTGGCTTGAGTCATGTGTCAACGCCACGGAGAAAGTGCCCTGAATCATCTGGAACTCTTGGGTAACTCCGTTTGTCGCGGGTCTAATAGTCAGCCACCCAGGCTGCCCTTCCTCATAATCTCCTAGAGTCAGAGCCGACAGGGCGATTATATTGAAGCTAGTTGCTTCTTAGGTGGCATGGGCCTCTACCTTTTTTCCCTTGCGTTTTTTTCTTTGTTATCCCCTTCTCTGCAGCATTTGTCCTCAGCTTTTCGGCGTGTCGATCAGCTCTCAGTGTCACTAACTGGGAGGCAGAATGGCAGGCGGAGACAGGGTCCTTCCTGTTTCGCAGCTTGGCGTTGGGACATGGCTGCTGAGTGTCTTATAAGCCCTGAGTTCTTGGCCATCTGCCAAGGCCCAGTTGATCGTTGGATTGCGTACCTGCAATTGTTCCTCGTGTCGATGCAACCTACTGTTGCCCAGCTTTTTCTTTAAGCTCCAGCACAGGCTGAAGGGGGGGAGAAAGACTTTTCCTAAATGACCGGCAGTTGCAGTCACAGGCTGCTGCTTCGGCTGGTATCTTGAGATGACAAAACCCATCATCAACTTTCCTATTGAATCTACTCCTTGTACTTGCTGGAAGATTCATCCCTTTCTTTAATTATCACAGCTACATTGGCCATTCAGGACTCGGTGTCCAATCGAATGGCTCCAATCTACTACCTAGTACCACCGATCAGTCCGTTACTGCAGTGTGCCTGCGCCGTCCTGCGCAGCCGCAGCAACGGACTTCAGCGGTATATACTCTACGGTACCTGGCCATCCCCTTACAAGTTTCAGAGCGTTCGATATTGAGACCATCCACCAAACAATGCGGAAAATATCTCCTTAACCTATCCTGCTTGTTTGGTTTCGCCGCACTGACGGGCAATATCCGCCAGTCTTACGCATCAGTCGCCGGCGTCGTCATTTCGCAGGGTCCGCACCACTTGTTCAGAACTTCATTCGTCGCTCCCACCCGGTCGCTGACAGTAGTGACTAGGCCGTGACCCATCCAGCCTGCATCGGAGTGGATGCGGATGCAGATGCACACCCCCCAGGAAGATGCCGCACTGCCGCGGGTATCGGATTCATTCCAACGCCTGCGCGTCGGTTGCATGATTTCCTTTTGAGTTTCGAAGGTACAGGAACCCAGACAGCTCTGGCTGGACTCTAGACCTCTCGACCTCTCGGAGGGGCAGTAAGACCTGGAGCATCTAGAATCCCGCACGAGGCCGATTTCTTCTTTGCGCTGTGGCACTAATTCTTCCGTCCTTTTTCGAGAACGATGCGATCGGTCGAAATGGACAAGGACCCATCTCACCAGCCAGTCTCAGTCAATGGTAGATGGTGAACCCTCCCCGTCGTCCAAGGTCAAAGATAGACTAGGGCAGGATAGGCCCGAGGGTGGTTCCCAGACTAGGAGGTACTAGTGACTGCATGTCTAAGGTACCAGGTAACGTACCATGCCCGCCGGATATTCTAGCCGAGATCTGAACAACGATATGGTTAGGACTAAGTATCGAGTAGACTCTGGTGGATGCAAACTCCGACCAGTAACAAGTGGCAAAAGACTAAGCTTTTTCTTTTCGGATGAGAATTTTCCGCGGCAGGAGAGAGAGACTATTGGAAGCAAACGAATACTGTGTTCTCACAAACAGCTTTGAAGTCCAGGCTTGCTCAGTGTGGCTCACTTCAAATTACTAATGCTCAGCTCCAGCCTGAAACTATTTTCCCGTTCGGTGTTCGGCTTGTCGGGAAGGTTGCCACGGAGCTAAGGCACCCTAAAGGGAAAAGAAATGAAAAAGGAAAAAGGAAATGTCCTGCTGAGTAGAGAAAATGGAGGCGGATGTCGGGTCTGTTTCCAGCCGTGACCCGTCTCACCGTAACAGTGGTCTAGTACTATAGACTCATAAACCCCATAGGGTTGAGCAGTTGAACCCGGGCCCACGGGCAAGGATGCCTTTTGTGGTTTAGCCTTCATTGCCGGGTATCAATCCCTTAGAACGTCTCACACACTGTCTTGTCTGTCTGTCTTTGGGAGCATTTCATTTTCATTCCAGGGTCCTCCGCCCCATGTGGTCCGTCCCGTGACACTTGCCCGGTTACACTCCGTTAAGAATATATATACCACAGTTAACTCTAGTGTTGCGCCTTGAGAGTGAGGGCTGATGACTATTATTGTTCTCAGCAGGGATGAGAAATCGAGTGGCCCTGGCTGGACAGACAGACTTCTTTCCCTCTCAGTTCTTTCGCCCCGTCTTCTTTCCCCTTCTGTTTCTCCGCCTAGACAAACATGACTCAGTCAGCTAGTCAGCCTAAAATTCAATACCAATCCTCAATAGTCTCTTCTGCTGCTAAATAAATGCAATGGATTAACATCTCGACCGGACTAGTCAATTCTGACGCAGCTCGGCGAGTTCCGTCACGGCACTAGTTGGTTTAGATCGGTCGTGGCCAGTGGACTTCACAATGGCCGGGAAATTCATCATAAGGGTCTGTCTGCCTCTTCTACGATGGCGGTTCTGCAGTTCTCATTCTTTGCCCTCCCTTTCTCTCATTCTGACTGGCCCAACTGTCCCGTGTTGGCGCCCCCCTCTTCGTCCGTCCTCGGCTCTCAGCAAAGCTGGCCGGCCACTTTCAGCGCCTCTCCCCAGGCCAACAAATCTAGTTTCGACTACAGGTGACGAGCAGCTTTACAGGTCGGTCAGATATTGCTCGAGCCTAACGGTCCACGTGGGCCATGCATTGACCATTTGACCTACCGAAATGGAGTACAGTACGTACGTCCTGTCTGCAGAATTTATATTGAAGAGAGACATATTTCTTATAGGTGGGGTGGTGTTGTTCGGCCTGCTACTACTTGCTCCTCACCAGCAGTCATATACGCCGCGAATATGTTTCGTGTCATTTTGTCTCAAGGGTTCCTGTGGATTCTGGACCCCAACGTAACTGACCCTGCTAGGATACATGAATGAATCGCAACCCGAGACCGCCAGCCAGCCCATCAATCTGCCGCGCGAACCGGGCGCCCGCCCCCTTCTTGGTCCATGCCCCCTCAGCATGTGGCGGCAAATTCAAGCCAAGCATCCTAGTGCGATCGTGGACGGTATCTCGTGGTCGTAGACACTTGCCGTGCCAAAGGGACCAAGCGACGCTATTGACCACTACTGCTATCTCGTCTTCACCCGACACTATGCCAAGCATCCTGGCGCCGGTTCTGGTGCCAGCACGCCATTTCGGCAGGAGAAGATGCTGCAATCGGAGTAAGATAATTATCGATGGCGAGGTCAGGTCCGGTCGATGGATCGTTGGGGATCGAGAGAGAGAGAGTGTGTGTGTGTGTGAGATCTTTGGTCTGGTCGGTAAGCAGCGGACCAGCTCCACTTGGAATTTCTTAGCTTCTTGAGAGCTCGGATTTACTTCCGACAGCCTAGTTGGCGGCCGCCGGTTGAAGGACGAGCATCGCTGGAACTGGCTCCTTCGCGTCAAACCGTTTCTTGTTGCCCTTCCTTCCTCCCTATCTTTGGTGTTTCGGTTACTGAACCGTGCGACCCCATCCGGATTGCGGTCTGCGACTTGCGTACTTCCTGAATCCTGAATCCTGGCAGTCTGGATGCTTGCTTGCTTGCTTGCTGACCTGCAGACTGCAGAGCTAGTCTACAGGCTGCCGTAGCCCAAGGTCGAGTTGAGCTTAGCGGCGCACACCGTCCGAGCCTTTCCGCTGACAATTCAGGAATACTTCCGGCTCTACCTAGCAGTAGCGAATCCAATTCAGCCGCACGCACGGTACACGAGTGGAAATAAACCGGCACTATCTACAGTAATTGTTACCATAGATTCGGAAGATAAGACCGGACGACGATTCGCTTCCAGGATCACAGCTTAGTTGCGCAGCCTCGTATTCAATCCAGAAGATATCAAGGCCAGACAGACATCCCCGTGGGCCAGACTTTCGAGTATATCCAACCGGCGCGCTTCCACGCCCGCATCATCATGGCACGGCAAGCTTCGGCCGAACTTGCCAGTGCAGTGGCATGAGGAGGAGAAGTGGCCAGCCCACAGCCCACAGCCCACAGCCCCTGTCATATGGTCTAAATGTACTAGCTACATCCGGAAATATCAATATTAATCCACCACCATCCATGATTTGTTCGGTAACTAGTCTAGTGGAGGGAGCTGGTCAGAGAGGGGGAAAACAGTAACCTCGCCCTATATTGACCCGCCCGCGATTTCAATCTGATTATCTTCCCCTCGGCAAATATCCGTCCTCGACCGATTCGGGAAATGTTCCCTATCTTTTGTATGCATCTGTCGTGGACATTTCCTGATTTAGTTGGTTGATATAGTGCTACTGTATGTACTCACTATGTAGTCATCATCCTTGTTCTTAATGGCTGCTGTATCGATTCGGTCGCTGCGTGCTTGGGATGTTTACCTCGGGGTTGTGGCGATGGCTGGACCGGATGGGAGGATGATGTGCGAGTGAGCGAGCTTTGTGGTGCAAGGGGCTTGTGCAGGTAGCTGGGTTTGATTTGATGGAGGGTTGTACGGTTGAGACAATGTCTATGACGTACGCGAAGGGTGTTGCGTAGGATAGAGCTGGGACTGTTATTCTGTCCGGGTTCTGGTTGAGTCGATGCAGCTCGCTATGAGAATGATTTTGACTGCAACGCCATGCGCGAGTGACTCGATATATGGTTCAAATTGTGTCTTGGGATTGAATTTAGATAGGCGTCGGAGCAGCGTCCTGCCATGAAGAGTTACAGTATTCTGATGATTATACAGACCGGAGGGCTTTTGTCTATAGTGGAAGTCGTTACACTCCTTTCTCTTCATGATCTACCTGCCGTACGGCACCAAGAACATGGCGCAGTGGTATCAGCTGTGGCATCGCGGAGTTATATGATAGTTCATGTCCCGTTGAACCATAATGCATGCTGTGTTCTGCTCATGGTGGATAGGAACGGTGATGCGGCATGGATGACTGCAGGAATCGACAGTAGATATTCTTCTATTCTTCATTTGATACCTCAATATCTCCTCCTACAGTCAATATCAACGCCCGAACGGGCCATCTTAACCTCGCTTTCATCAACAAATCCATTGAATCGAACTACGCGACTCTCCATACATCAATCACTCTCAAAAAGGAACCATACCACAGTCACTACATCTTGTACCTTACCCAACAACACATCAACCACATCAAAGAACATTCATTCCTTACACCAATGGTAAACAAACATAGCAAGAACAAACCAACTGACACACACAAACAACCCCCTCATCCTTACAGGTAACCCAACCTCAATCAGCCCAGTTCTATGCAACCCATCCACCTTCCTTCCCTTCCCAAGCTCTTTTCCCCATTCCCAATTTCAATATATGAATCCCGCAGGGATTGAAAGGCCACTTCCTCTCCTCCTATTCCTTCTCCTTCTTCTCCCCCTCCTCCCACCGCCTAACAACCTCCTCCACAATCCGCCGCAACCCCGCCATCTCCTCTTCCACCTGCAGCCCAAGCGAGGCCGGATCAATGCTGCTCCCCACGTAGACGGGCACGCGCAACCGGCGGGCTAGGATCTTAGCGACCCGGGTGGTGTATTCCAGGCTGTTTGGGGCGGTGTACAGGGTTGTGGAGAGTGGGGTGGTGGGGGATTTTAGCTGGGTGGTGTTAGTTTTTTTGTTTGGGATTGGGGAGGGGTTGGATTATGGGTTTTGTGTCGGGAGGGTAGGTTCATATGGAGGCTCTGGGTTAAGGGGTTTTGTGCTGGGAACGGGGTGTATGAAGGATGGTTTGGGTTGGATGGGTTGAGTGTGTGTGTTGGGGGGGACTCTGCATGTTGTGTTGATGGGTTCGTCATGCGTATGCAAGATGAGCTATGTGTAGAGAATGTATTGATGTGATGATAAAGGGGTAGCAAGGGGCATTGTGTAGGGAAAGTTAATGTGATCCGAAGCATCATGTATACACCCAGATGCTCCAGGCGCATAAGGAACTATGCGTAAACTTACATCAGGCATCGCATAGATCAGACTCCCCATCGGCTTGACCGTCCCAGCCGAGTCACCCGGCGTCGACGTCGCCAAAAACACCATGGCACATGTCTCCAACCGCGTCAGATGGATATGTGCTGTCGTGTGGAGGGCCTGGGGCAGAGGGAAGGAGATTTCTTGGGGGTGGAGGCGGGGTGGCATTGCTGTTGCCATGGTTGCTGAAGCTCTCGGAGGCGGTACTCAATAGAAACAGTGCCTATTACTCTCTGAGTGGTTTATAATTCGAGTAACAAGCAAGTAGCAGTGTTGGTTGCCACCAAGTATAGAATGCTGAGAATGGATGGAAAGCTTGACGAGGTCTCGTTCCGCTTCTGGACTAAACGCCTTTTTCGCTTCCCCGCCAAACCGAACGGACAGAAAGCGGGTCTCCATCTTTTGGCTTCTCTTCTTCACGCTCCGCGCCTTTTTTGCCCTGGGCTAGAAATTTTGGGTTCTAACCTTGCCGTTCTTTTCTTCTTTCGGCTATCATTGTTTGTGTACTGTTTTGTGTTGAGTACCCTGGCGATCCTCTGCACTATGTCACACAACCTCGCTCACTCTGTCGCATCGGAGCCCCGCGATGACTCCGAGGACGTACGCAGCTGGTCCGGCGATTTCGATCCATTGGCCGAAGACGATGAGCGGCGCGTGCTGTTTGCTGCATTGGACTCCTTTAGGTGCGTGTGAATAGCCTGCGTGGTACGGCGGCCGGAATGTCTGGTGTCACCATCTTTATCTTATCATTCGTAGTTGTATATAGCCACGTTCCTGCTCTACGCTTCGTCCCATGGCTACATTCATGACCTGGGAGCAATGGCTGACCCCCACAGACAATATCGGAGAACGGCGCATATGAATACAACGCATCGCCGCCGACAAGCATTCTATGCGCTTCCCTCAGCACATTGGCAGATGCTCGCCGAGCCTCCCTTCTCAATTCTGGAAAACTTCAACCGGGTAGACGACGCCATCGACGTGAATGCGGAAATCGCAGATGCAATCCTCGCTACCGGTCTGTCGTCCTTTGGCCTGTCGGCAGACCCAAACCCGGAAAATCCCCAGGAGTGCTGGCATGGGACTGCTACCACCTCCGATGTCAACAAGGCCCATTCGACACTGCGGCAGTTTTACCGCGACTGGAGCGCCGAAGGGCGCGCTGAAAGAGAAGTCTGCTACGACCCGGTGCTCCGCGACCTGCACGCCGAGTTCGGCGCGCGCGCCGCCGCGGGCCAGGAGATCAGGGTGCTGGTTCCCGGCGCCGGCTTGGGTCGTCTGGTCTTTGACATCGCTCGGGCAGGCTTCTCGCCCGAGGGTAACGAGATCTCCTATCATCAGCTGCTGGCCAGCAGCTGGATCCTGAACCACACGCTCGGTCCCCAGAAGCACACGCTGTACCCCTTCGCCCTGCACTTCTCAAATCTGCTGTCCCGTGAGCAACAGCTGCAGACCGTCATGATTCCCGACCAACACCCGGGCACTGTGATGGCGGAAGCGCAGGGTAACCCGGACGCCGCGCCGTTTGGCCAGATGAGTATGTCCGCGGCCGACTTTGTGGTGCTATACCGCCAGCCCGACAATCGGGAGGCGTTTGATGCGGTAGCTACGGTTTTCTTTATTGACACTGCACCGAATTTGATCCGGTACATCGAAACGATTCACCATTGTCTGAAGCCGAACGGGCTTTGGATCAACGTCGGGCCGTTGCTGTGGCATTTCGAGGACGGGGCCAACCGCAGCCACGAGAACAACCACGACTCTCACGACCAGGGGATCAACGAGCCCGGAAATGTGGAGCTTACTGAGACCGAAGTGTTCTGCCTCGTGGAGCGGATGGGCTTTGTGCTCGAGCAGCGCCAGCCAATCCAGGAACGGCCGTTGGGTGGGTATATCCAGGACCCCAACAGTATGCTGTTGCCCTTGTACCGGCCATCACACTGGGTGGCGCGGAAGAAGAGCCACTGAGCCCCCTTCTTTGCTTCGTTTTCTTGGAAATAATAAAAGTCATTCAGTATTAGATTATTATAAACTATATAGGGTGGATCAAAGCTGGACCCGGGATATTGAAATGGTAATTAATCAAATAGTGAGGATGATGGTATGGAGGGTGTACGAAACAACAAACATACAGATTACACCAGACCCCGAGATGGATTGGGTGGAGACCCGAGGCTGTTCAGCCGCAGCCCGACAAAGATAAAACGGGCGATCGAATTGGCCCATGCCGGGCGAGGCTTAGCGGGCATGGCAACACTGCGACGGTCGGTGTTTGTTGGGGCCAAAACCATCAGGCACTTTTCTCGACTCGGTCCTAGACCCTGCGTAGCCTCGTTTAGTCTCATTTATCGGGTCAGAAAGAAGAGAGAAGAATTAGTTGAGACCAGAAGTAGTGGTTGGGCGGAGAAACAGAGGATGCACGCTGAGCGTAAGTAAGATCAGATACCGTTTGGAACGGTATGGAACGGCGCCCAATGAACGGGCCCGAACTCCGACCCTTGGGACTTTGTGAGCAGAACTGGATGAAAGCCTTAAATCACTATCATTGTTCTCACTCAATAGATGAGGTTAATAATCATCCTCGAGTGTGTCAATCAACCTTCTGTCAGCTTAGCAAGGTCGACAAGCCCCATGAAACCTGGGGGATGGGAAGGAGACGATCATTCCCGAGCGCATTCCAGGGCGCAACTGCATACACTGGGGTGCAACTCTGACAGTCGGCCAACTGACTGACTGACTGACTGACTTTTCTCCTCCATGGTACAGCTTTCTTCCTAAATCTTCTGGAAATCACTCACAAAACAATCAGCATAATTAGAAACAGTCTATCGACTCAGCCCTGTTGACCTTGACTTGACGGTTGCGATGTTATTCGTGTTGTTGTTTGTTGTCCCCGCAATTTGAATCCCCACTTCAACATTACTTACTTTTTGTGCTCCCTTTGATTATCGATCTCTCTCTCTCTCCCTCTCTCTTTAACTACACACTACTTTACACTACTCTAAACTACTCTCACTCACCTGGCTGGCTGGCTGTAACGGGCACTGCCTCTTCCTTCCTTACTCGATTTTCCCGCTCACCGTCTGACATCCTTTCTTCTCTTCTCCTTCTCTTTCTTCTCCCTCCCTCTTCTCAAGTCTCCCTCACCACTCTGGTCTCTTCAGTGCCACTTACTCATTCTCCGACTATCCTCTTTTCTCTCCTCTCCTCTCCTCTTCTCTGCTGCTGCTGCTGTCTCTCCCTCGCGTCCGCCTCTTTTCTCCCCCACCTTGTATCCCCCCCCCCATCTTCCTCTCTCTCCTCTCTCTCTCCCTCCCCTCTCCTCCCCCCTCCCCTTGTTCCTCTTCATCCGTTGCTTCAACGGTTATTCATCAAAGGGACCTGATGAGCTCACGCTTAAACTTCAAATCGTTCACCTTCGGGACGAAGCGCAACAAGAACCATTCCACCTCGCAATCGCAACCCGTGCCGACGATACCAAGCCCGGGAATCAGCACAGCGCCCTCGACCAGCACCCTCGTCGCTCCCCCTTCCTCCACCTCGGCCAGCTCCCCACCCTCCCGCCAGAGTTCCTCTACCACTAGTCTACCCATGAACAATCAAAATACCTTGGGCCGTCCCCCAAGTTATACCTACAACACGGGGGGCCGGCCCACCAGCCCGCTGCCGCCCGGCCCTCACCACCCGCCCGCCATCAACACCAACCTGCAATATTCTCAATCTCCCATGGGAGCTCCCCCGGGCTACGGGCCGCAGCAGCCCATGGCCCCAGGAATGACTCCCGCCCTCCATCAGCCCCAATACTTGCGCAACCCCGCAGTCGAAGTCGAGGGCGCCGGCCGCAGCAAGGCCCAGCTAATCGTGGGAATCGACTTTGGCACCACCTTCTCCGGAGTCGCCTTTGCCTTTGCGACCAACAATGAAGCTCGGGAAGACATCATCACAGAGTGGCCTGGGGCAGGAACTCACACCAAACAAAAGGTGGGTCAACAATTCCCCGCCCCCCAGATGCAGACCCCCTAAATTGCTAACCCATCCTTGGTCATTCCCAGATCCCCACGGTGCTGTACTACGACCAATACCAGAAGGTGGTGGGCTGGGGCCCGGATATTGCGGACGCGCTGGCCCCTACTGGGTACCCCAAGCAAGGGGTCCAAAAGGTGGAATGGTTCAAGCTCCAGCTCATGCTCTCGGGCAATACCTACATCGACCCCATCAACCTGCCGCCCTTGCCGCCGGGCAAATCGGAGATCGATGTGGCCGCCGATTACTTGTTCAAGTTACGACAGGCCATGCGGGCCCAGCTGCAGAAGACCCTCGGCGAAGTCTTCACGCGAGAAGAACGGAACATCCGATACTACCTCACCGTCCCTGCCATCTGGAATGACGCAGGAAAGGCGGCGACTCGGGCGGCGGCCCTCCAAGCCGGGTTCTTGCGCGACGAGAATGATAATCGCTTGACCCTGATCTCTGAGCCCGAGGCAGCTGCGCTCTTCTGTGCCAAGACGGGGCTGTTGAACCTGAAAGTGGGCGACGCCATTCTCATTGTCGACTGCGGTGGTGGTACGGTGGATTTAATCGCGTACGAAGTGGAAGAAGAGTCACCATTCAGTGTCGCGGAGTGTACCGGCGGCTCCGGTGATTCCTGCGGTTCCACTGCTCTTAACCGCAATTTCAGCAACATCCTGAGGGCCAAGATTCGGAAGATGAAGCTGCCTGACGGCTCACGCACGGCCGGAAAGGTTTATGCCAAGTGTATCATGGACTTTGAGAACCGTATCAAGGCGGACTTCCGCAACAACGGCCAGAAATGGGCGGTCGATGTGGGAATCGAGGCCGACTTCCCCGATGCGGGCATTGAGGAAGGATACATGACTTTCACGAATGAGGAGATCCTGCAGTGCTTTGAGCCGGTCGTCAACCGCATTCTCGAGCTGGTGCGCAACCAGATCATTGCGATCCAAGCGCAGAACCGGTCGCTCCAGGTATGTTGACGAATTTGTCGCCTGAAATGTCCCGATACTGACTATTATGCAGAACGTGCTCGTGGTTGGTGGATTCGGTGCGTCCGAGTATCTCTTCCAGCAGATCAAGCTGCACGTACCGCCACAATACCAAACCAAGGTCGTCCGACCGATGGACTCGGTCGCAGCGATTGTAAAGGGTGCCGTGACGGCCGGAATTACCGAGCGGGTGGTCACCCACCGTGTTGCCCGGCGGCACTATTTGATGGCCACGCTACAGCCCTTCAAGGAGGGATATCACCCTGAACAGTACCGAGTTCCCAGTCTTGACGGTCGCGATCGCTGCAAGTACACGCGGCAGATCTTCATGCAGAAGGGAGAGCGAGTCAAGATCGGCGAGCCGGTCAAGGTCAGCTTCTTCCGGCAGGTTGCGCCCGGCGCCACCCTCATGTACGAGGATATCTTGTATGCATGCGACGAGGATGTGTGTCCGGAGTACACGAAGGATCCACGTAAGTTGCTTTGCCTTGGTGTCTGCCTCTCCATGCTAATGAACTCTCGCAGGCATCAAGGAAGTCGTCACGCTTACATCGGACCTGTCCCGCAAGAACCTGGAAACCGACTTCGAGCGCATGGACACGCCCCAGGGCACGTTTTACCGTGTTTACTTCGACATCTACCTGACCCTCGATGGCAGCGAGTTCAGCGCGGAACTGGTGTGCCAGGGCGAAGTGATGGGGCGCTGCAGGGCCAAGTTCCGCTAGTTTAATTCCAAAATTCCTATAAGCGAAGCGGGGAAAGGAAAGGATACAGAAATGATACCCGGTAGAGAGAGAAAGAGAAAGTTGGTCCCAGGATTCCGTCCATTTCCACCGTTCGATGCGATATATAGCTCTGCTTCTGATGATCACGCTGCACTGGGCTGGCGTTCTATCAATTTGTTGTCTATTTGCCTATTGAACATGAATGACTCTTTGGGCTTGACTTTTCAATAACCGACACCCACGAGGGAGGAACCTACCACCGAGTCTCTGTTGGGGATGAAGATGTTTGTTGTTGGTTTTTTGTGTTTGGATGCCTACCTTTGATACCTACCTACCTTGATCTATGAGATCTAAGTTTTGATGAAATACGATGAGATGTTTATTGTAATCGCTTGATCTGACCGCAGATTCTTTATCATTCATGATCAATAGTCATTGAGTTTTTGGCTCCAGCCGGGCTGAGATTCCCTCTCGATCCAAGCTAGACCTCATCTCATATCAAGGAGATAAATCTGGCCTGTAGAATCAGTGCAACACCCACCCCTCTTCTTCCTTCTCCATGTTAAGATAACATCCAGCCATCCCAAACCCAAACCCCACCCTACGAAGCAAACTTACTAACTAGAGCAGGATGAAGCGTGCCTCTCCCCCCCCCTCCCCCCCCCTACAACCACACAACCTGCCCTCATGAAGAAAGGAAAGGGTAAAGAGAGATGGATAGATAGAAGGTTCTCTATCGATTGACTCGCGTGCGTTCTTGGAAGTTGAGGAGCTTAAGCCCGCCCGTTGACTCGCGAATGCTGTTTTTTTTGGGGAAGATTCGTAGGTTAGTTCCATCACTCCGGAAGAAGAAGGAGAAGGAGGAGGAGGAATGACTCTTAGAGTATGTTATCCGCTCTCTTGGTTCTATAGCGGGGTGTACCCGATAATTAAGAGGTTTTGTTAGATGGTATGCTTTGCATGCTATGTATGTATGTATGTATGTCTGTGGAAGAAAGGAACGAGAGAAGGAGAAGGAGAGGAGAAAGACAGGAAGTTCTCGGCTAGGACTCTACCTCGCAGACAAACTATTAAACAATTTTCATTCCCACTTGTCAGTCGACGTCAGAGTACTGTATTCTAGATCAGATATGACGGTCCTGTTATAGTCCCGGAAAGAAACATAAGACGGCAACGCCACGGCCTATCATACTTCTAACAGAACTCTCTCCTATACCCGATTCTCACGACTATCACTCTCTCACTCCAGAGAATCAAGACAACAAGTAGACCTAATAAGACACTTATGTATAGTATAGCCTCACCACAAAGAAAAACGATGATCCCCCCCTCCCCCCCTCCCCCCACCGCACCGTTTTCATCATGACGACAATTGATGCAGATACTAAAGATCCGATCACGCGCCACATCCGAATGATTATCGGCCTGGGGGCGTTGGCAAAGTGGGGTGGTGGGATGGAACGAGTGAAAAACAAGTCCCGACTGCATGGCAGGTAAACTACATGTACTGTAGGTTGGAGTAGGGGAATCAATTTCAGGGAAACTAATGCGTGGCGTTCGTTGACTATTCTTTGCTTCCCTTATTATCTTTTGGACCTTGGGGTTATTGATCTGTTTGATCTATGCCATTGTTGCTCTAATTGCCGACATGTTTTACATGTAACTATACTAACTACTAGCCTTGATCTTTCGCCACAGGGCGTTTTCGCTTACGAGAAGATGAAAGAAACCAGCTCTAAGCACACCCCCCCCTCCCCCTTTCCCTTGCCGTCACTGCCCTACCCTGGTCTGCCGTTCCGAATGATCCGAGGTCCAGCACAGGAAGCAGCATTCTTTGGGTAGACTATGAACACGGAATCAATCGCAAGTGGCTCTCACTGCGGGCTTTTTCGGGTGCAAGATGGCGGTGCGCATCAGATCTTATTGGAGATGCATGTTTGCTTGCAGACCTATCAGATTGACGTCGGATGGGGCTTCTCCGAGATTAATATATCGGAGACTGGGGAGCCTTGAGGCCTAATCTGACGTGGTCTCTAGAACGATGCTTGTTCGGTGTAGATGTTGTAGTGATGAACACCATATGGAGTTTGTTTGAACTCAGGTTACTGAAATGCTTCTGATGCTTTGGACAGATTATAAACCCGAACCACAGGGTATGCCTGAGTACCCTTTGATTGGCAATGCCAACCAGCTTCAGAATCCTGACAGGTTGGGAATGACAAGGCTGAATGCCAGGATGCTAGCTTTGTATCGGTTTGTCGTTCATTAGAGCCCAACATCCGAGGAAGATGCTGATCGCAGACTTGTAGCTTGGCTGGTTTCTCTGGGTAACTTTCCATATCTCGCTACCATCATAATTCCGTACTATGCTGACAGATGGGTGACTATTTCATCTCACGCAAGAATCATGAACTCAGCAGCAACACTCCGAGGATAATCTGGAGGTCTATCCCGCTGCGTCCTCTCCACAATGAGGCGCTGCGGAAGAACAAAAAAGACAGAGCTGAGATGACCAGGGTGGGCGAGGCGACTCTGTGTTGGCTCCGACAGCTGTACAGACACAAACCCAAGCGACACCCCACATCAACGATAAGACCTTCCTTTTGCGGTGAATATGACCGCATGATCTCTGGCTCTCGCCCGAGAATCCCAGGTTAGACAACCTCGGCCCCCCTTGAATGAAGCCAGACGAACGCCGCAACCTTGTCCAGTCGACTGCAAACAAGTAAGAGGCGTGCATCATCATTCCGAGTGTAGCTATACTCACCAGGATACAGCTCCTCTGGCTGTCCACGAGACCCTGCCTCCGTACGGCTTTATATCCTTGTCGGTCCGGGACAGGGCTTCCATGCACGACATTCGGTTAAATCCTCAGGGGCGGCTGTCAGTCATGGCCATCAGTCATGATTTGTGACCCAGCATAAGCACATGCATGTTAAAGCCCACGTTGGCCGAGTCAGCACGGTTATTGAACGATAAACCCCGGTATCATGGAGCAGAGGCCGCTCATTCGAAGTGGCTTGCGTGGTTGACTACCCGCACAGGCAGGTCTAATGTAGCCTTTCTCCCTCCTGATGATGTCAAGCATCCCAGTCTTGCTCGCCATTGTGGTTCGAATCGGACGAAATCTCATCTTTCCTGAGACGGCATCCTGCTCTGCAAGCCCAATCGGCCACGCCGGATCTTTGTGGTTGATAAGCCCGGCATCATTGAAACCAGCCCGATCAACACTTTCGTGTGAACGAGATCCTGGTCACAAACATGTCACGCTCGCGACAAGCACCGTCTCGGTCATTCTGGGCGTTTCGCTGACTCGGCCATGATGTTCACGATTCGTGTTGTAGGTCGACGCGGGCGAACCACCGTTGCCGCTTGCAATTTCGGCGATCATATCGTGGGCACGGTGCATGTCAGGAAGGTTATAACAAGCTCTGTTAAACCGATGACAGGCCGATGATATGCATCTTTTTCAATGTCAGCATAATGTCGGATCCACCAGGCTCCTGATTGAGCATCCTGTATTATTTTCCAAGCTTCAGGCTGTCTCCAGCGCCTTTGTTCACGACCCAGTCACTGCTGGTTGGCCGACATGTCTCCGGCTGAATGAGTGTTGATGCAAAGAGAAATGCATCTCTTTGACGATACCAGACGCACAAAGAAATGTGTGGTAGCTTTCAGCTAAATGGTGGCGGCGACAGGAGCGAAGTTGAGAGCGCGTCGTGGAGAAACAAATCGGGAGCACGCAGGATCACATGATGACCTATCACCTGCAAAGCCTGCCATGTCACATGCTGTGCTAGACCTCGAATCCAGGAAAAGCAAAGAGACAGCCCGGAGACCGGAGACCCTCGAACGGCCTCATCTGAAGGGAGTGAGAGACAGAGACTGGCTGGCCGCTGGTTCCGACGACCCTCCTGGGGCTCCAGGCAACTTGCCTTCTCCGCTCCTGTACCGTTAATCTACCTCGCATCGGAGGGTGTCTGCAGCTATCAATTTTGGGATAAGACCACAGGGGCGAGATTTAGCCATGGATGTGCATCCTTGCTCTCCCTACTATGATGTGCGGTGACATTAACTCCATCCCAGACTTAGACTTAGCATTGGCCATTGTCCTTCTGCCGATCTTAGACGTTGGATAAAACCAGCCCTGACACAAGTACAAACTTCCCTGCTCGCCCATTCTTTATCCCCGGGAAGGTGTAGTTACCAAGCTCGGCACTATCTAGTATCATCACCATGCGGAGAATCGTGGAGAATCATTGCCTTGCACCGGCTTAGCCAACCGTCCGTGCCCTGGCGTTGTAATCTCGTAGGCTCATCTGTGGCCTAGTTGAAGCTCAGACAACGGATCGGGGCTTCCTCTGAGGCCTCGAATGCTCTGTCGCTCGCTTGGTCTGTTAGTGTGAACTAGAAAGAGGAGACTACTTGATCTGATGCAAGACTGGACTCAAGAGGGCGAAGTTAACACTATGGAGTAGTGCCGTTTGGCCCGCTGGGCTCGCAATCCTGGCCCACCCTTTGATTATCATTGCTGAAGTGTAATTTCTTTTTCTCGCACCGCGTGCCGGCTTATCACCTCGGAAGTTAATGTCCTATCCACCTCGGCGTTGGGAATCCTGGCCAGGCCTTCTGGAGACGATCGCGGTTGAAGATGAGAATGACCGATCCATGTTCATAACCCAATTGGGGGAGGTGGGCATCCGCTAGAAAGCACTAGGTGCTCCTATGGTCGAAAGCCTGCGGTAGACAGCCTAACACGAAAGGCAATAGGAGCGTTATCATAGGCTTTTTACCGGCCGTTGGTGTACCTCGGAGGATTTGACATCGTCGGTGGCGGGTTAAAGTCAGAGGCAAGCGTTGTAAGCCTTGGGAGTGAGAGAGAATAACCCGTACGGAGTAGTCGATGGTGAGAGGATCTAATGTTTGCCGAAAGGGCTTGAGACGCAACTGAAAAGAAAACAGGAAAATGAAATAAACGAATTCAAAATAAAATCAGAGTTCGAGGGGGTAAGAAAAAGCAATGAAAGGCCAAAAATGGGCAAGAAAGGAAAGAAAGCGAGGAATTAAGGTAAAGATCAGAATCAGGGAATAAGCAAAAACAATGAAAAAGGTAAAAAAAAAAAGCGCATTCCTCCTTGAGACACCACATCGGCAGCACCCTGAATGGAGCAAACGTACCGGTTCGCTGCGAATAATTAATTCCTTGCTGACCTGCGGCAAGCGCGCTTTGCGCGACCTGAAGCGGTTGCAGCGCAAGACCCCAGATGGAAAGAGAGTGGAGAGCTTGTCTTAGACGGACGAGGAATCTGGATTCATGTTGGAGAGGTGGATCGCCCGTCGAAATCTGGTAGCCTTCTTCTTTCTTTCATTGTTATGGTGGGCATCTTGTTGTGGTTGTCGCTGCTGCTGCTGCTGCTGCTGCTGCTGCTGCTGTGGGCACTTTTATCGCTCAATGACTAGCATGTTACTCGTCTGCAATGTATGCAATGTATGTATATGCACATCGCATCCAATCTCGCTAGTTGGTTTATGGTGTAGGGACTGCATCCCGCGGGGAACGCAACAAAGGACTGGCTGTGACGGCGAGACGGACTGCAAGGACACCTCATAGTACGTCAGAGTCGATGCCATACTTTCTCTGAACGACTTAGCCTCCAGATAGTGTCACTGCCGCTCCGAACCAGTCTGACCAGTCGCAGCGTCCGAAACGGCCAGCAGGCTCGGCACGTCAATGAAGGCTGATGGAGACCTCCTGGGTGCCTTCAATCGGTCTCCATCCAGCATGGTAGGCAGCCTCCGTAAATTTTCACAGCCGCCTAATTGATGACATTCGTCCTCTTACGTTGGAGCTGATGACCAGCCGATGCCGAGCTGATGCCGGCCCACGCAGGATCCCACGCGCTTTCTCTCGGCCCATCGCTCACTCCGTCGCACAGGGGATGGACGATGTAGGATAATTTCTCATCAATCCGGTCTGGAGACACGCCTGCCCGGCTTTCAGCAATGGGCTTCCCGCATGCTGGATGGAGTGCGCCATTTCTTTCTCATTCCCTTCATGTTGTTGAGTAACCGATCCCTTCTCTCCTGCGTCCGCTCCGGGGAATAAAACACGAATACCGCTGGGGCGGAACCGCAGGAACCTGTTAGACAGGGGATTCAATGTTCCCTGAACTCGGATCGGGTTCAGCTCACGAGGTCTTTCCAATCGAGGCGCACGGACAAAAATACGCGTGGGCTCCGTCTGATGATTTTCCTAGGATGGCGCAGAGGTACCGTCACAGCCATGATTACCCTTTTTACTACCCCCGTGGTATGTGAGTAAACGCATTAAGTTCGCACCACACTCGCTCAGCTCGAGCTAGCAGATAGGCAATGGTACCGTCGCAAAGACACTTGGAGGCTTAGTACATGCTCTGGCTGCGGATCTAGAGCGGAGACGGACCTGCGCATCGTTGGGTCTACTAATCCACTTAGAGTTCGCCTCTCGATGGATCCTCCTCCCCGCGTTCACCAGAAAGCCTAGTCGACCTTGATTTAGAGAAAATGCTGGATAATTTGGTTGGATCATGTGGATGCTGTCAGGTCTTTTTCTTTTTTCGGGGCGGCGAATTGCGGCTTTTGCGGGGAAAGGCAGAACGTATCAGAAACCAACCCAGTGTCCTGAATCCGGAATGTAGAAGTCCCCTTGTTGATATCGTCTGACCTAATGATGATCCTGGACGCTATAATCTACCGTCATGGATATAATTGGGGCCATTACCCTCACCGGGGGAAAGGTTTCGCCATCGTTAGTGCGGCCCGGTCTGGTTTGCATTGCGAAGCCCTTGATATATAAGAGTGGTCAAAGTTTCTTTGCAGACCGGCCTCCCACTCTTTCAAATCTCTCTCTTTTGTGTCAGGTCAGACCTTATCGTACTTTGTCTGTGAAGTTATTCTTGAAGGGCCATGAATAACTCCATATGCGCTGGGGTTGCGTTTGCATTTCTTTTCCTTATCATTTCGAAGTTCCGAACGAGCCTGTTCTCAAAATGGACGTCTAAGCCATGCACAGAGGTGAACTGCAATGACCTCAAGCCATATCCAGCCCAGCCCATCAAGGGCCGGGAGCGGTACCGAGTGATGATGGATGTCCGAAGGTTGGACGTGGCAAATTGGCTCACTGTCGACAATAATTACATGGCCGAGCATGTCGTCCGGGGCCAATTACTGGAGAAAGAGAAGAGCAAAGTCTTGCAATGCCTTCCAGAGTCATACGACGCGTGCATGGAAGCACTGGAAGAGGTGGTTGACTTTCTTTGCCAACGGTTCTCGACTGTATTCGAACGAAAGAAGTCTGGCGACGAGTGGACTATTCACAATAAGATGACGGGTGAGACGTTTGTCTTTGGTGGACAGAACAAGGAAGTCGATCCGCTCGAGGTTGCTGTGAGGTTGACAATGGAGGACCTGAGTATCCTGATGAAGAATGAGGATGATGAATACTACCTGTCAGTAGCCCTTACTTGAATCCCAGCAGTACGGACTAGAACAGTGACTGACATCTCGCACAGAGCCGCCAGCGCAAGTCTTTTCCCTGTGGGCTGGACAGTGCAGGAACGTATCGGATGGACGATCTCTAGGCTTCACAATCCTGTACCTTTGTGGCACCAGCAAGTCGCCAATTCGGTCAGCAAGTGAGTTATTCTATGAAACCTTGGGCGCAAACATAGATGGAAATTGGCAAAACTGACCCTTTTCGATTCAGATTCCTGGCTCGTCTGACTCCCGAGTCACCAATGGAGAGGTCCAACTACTTTGTTGAGGTGAAGCGACCAGACGAAGAACTATTCGATATCCTCTACCGTCCGACCTCATTGTCCGAAGACAATCCAGATCCATCACCGCAGGATATTGTGATTCGACGTGAGCGTCAGACCTTCCGTCGGTTGCCGCGAACGGGGGCGATTGTATTTGGTGTCAAGACCTTTCTGACAACCTTGGAGGAACTGCCGATGCAGGAGTTGCAGAATCTAGCGAAGGAGATCAAGAGTTGGCCCGAGTATGTGGGAGAATACAAAGGCCGCGAAGTCTGGGGACCCAAAGCACTCGAGTTCTGTGAGAAGAAAACTCGGATGATGGAGAAGCAGGAAGTCTAATTAATGAGGAAGCTGAAACGGAGAAAGGAGGGAATGAAGGAAGGATGGAACCAGCATTGGTGGTATTTTGCCTTTTGCGTTTCGCATCCCTTCATTGCATTTGGCCAGCAAAATCGCGAGGGCGGATGTCTGATGATTGCTTGCAAAAGTCACTGTCCTTAGCATAGCACCTGTACTTTTGAGCCTGTTTTGTCTGCTTTCCCTCTATATTGTTTCGATATCTGTTGGTCGGCTGGTCTGCTTGTTTTCTGTTATTGGTTTCAAGGTGGTTCTACTCATTGGCATGGTAGAGACTGGGTGGATTTGTATGATTTATGACTGTTATATCACTGAACTTGTATGAGGATGAAATGAAGTATTTATGAACAATGTATTATCTGGAAAATGTTTCCGAGTGAGTCGAATGACATACAAGAAAGAGGGACATCAAAATATATCCGCAATAGATCTGAAGGAAGCAAGTCATAACCTGTGAATAGATCGTCTATTGGATATGCAACAAAAAAAGGATTACATGCTAGAGTGACATTTTCAGGGGTGCAGAAAGGGTATAATATGTATGTAGACGTCACATCCCTCAGATCTTTGAGCGTGGCGGCTCATCCTGCTTGAGCCGTACGACACCCTGTTTCATCTCCAGCATTAGCACTGACTCAAATTGAGGCGGGAAGGTCGAACACGTAGGACAATCATACCTCTTGCGTGCATGTGGCGATTAGAATTCCATCCTTGGACCAGATCTTCTGGAGGGCCAAGCCTCTTCCCTCACCAGCCCACGGACTCTCCATCTCGGAAAGCATCCATTCGTCTGCTCGGAATGCCCAGGGATTATGGAAGTGGATTGAGTGGTCGAGACTGACCATCATGCCCACCTCCTTGTGCTCTTCGGGATCCTGATTCGTAGCCTTGCTCAGAGCACCCTCCAAGCGACGACGAAGCTCCACGGTCTCTTCCTCTTTCAGCTCCTTGAGCGCACGAGCGATGTCTTCATCATCTAGATCCGACGGGTTCTTAAGAGCCCTGAGCAGCTTCTCGAGTTCGGCCGGCGAGGAGAAGCGTGGTATATCGTGGACTCTGGATACCGTGCCAATGAAATAGCTGTCGGTGATGTATGCAAGGGCGGACAAGTGGGCACGGTGTCCTCCTGCATCGGAAATCTTGCCTCGTGATCGAAAGAACCGTCTGACCTTTCTGTCCTCCGGCGGCAAGTGACCTACAATTGTCAGCTCTCGGCCCCTAATTCACCCCAGAGCTACGCATTGAATACTGACGATTTACGATTCCCGCTTTTTGTGACTCAAACGGCCCCCCGTCCGATTGTTGGAATGCCCTTTTGGCACCAGGTCCCGAGTCCTCCGGTAGCGCAACGGACGGCATGGATGAGGCATGCTCGAGCTTTTTCTTCCCACCGCTGTTGGCTTTGCTGAAGCTCAAGGTGGTAGTGAAGATAGGTCGGCCACGCTGCCTGGCTTGTACGGTGCGGGTGATGAAGCTTCGGCCGTCGCGGACTCGTTCGACGTGGTATAGGATGGGGATTTCGGAATCGCCGGCCAAAACGAAATAACAATGCATACTGTGGACGGCGAAATCGGCGGGGATGGTTCGCATCGCAGCGGCAAGAGACTGGGCGATAGCGGCACCGCCGTAGATGCCGCGCGCGCCCGGAGGATGCCAGAGCGGTCGGGTATTCGTGAACACATCCTAGTGAAAAACAGGTGGGATTAGGATTGACCACTCAGATAGAGGAAGGGATAGTAGTTGACATACGTTGCCCACGTCAACCACGGGGGTCAACTCCAACACGTTCTCTATCGGCGCTTTTGAGGGGTCCAGCGGCGGGGGTTCGAACAAGGTTACGGATTTGGCCATGGTGAGCGCGCGTAGTCCCCAACAAGCACGAACGATGGTCGGAGAAACCTGGGAAGCGCGGGATAGGAGGAACGTATCTTTAAATCGTGGCTCGGAAAAAGGGTTAGGAGTCAGGAGTCAAGACAACCTCTTGGTGGAAAGGTTGGATGGAGTCTTGACCTTCCAAGTCCCGCCATGCTGTTCCGCACGGTCTGTCCTGATCGGGTAATTGCCGAGGTCCCATTTATGGATCCGATTATGAAATGATCAGCATGGCTGGGCTTATCTTGGTTCATAATACACCTTAGACTGGCATGAAAGAGGATTAAGACGAGGTAGTTCAGTCTTGACCTCGGCATGGCTTTTGAACTGTGATAAGCAGCTTGTCAGATGACAGCTGTTACACAGTGGCTTTATAAGGACTGAGTCCCTTGTGATAGCGTCGCACTCATCGCCATATAAGGATCTCATGAACATGAAATCACAGTTTGGTGTATACGAGGTTTGTCATGACTAAATACCGTTGCCTCGAGGAATAGGTCTATCAAAGCGTCAATTACACTGGGCAGATCACTTGGAGATAACAAATTATCACGAAATGCTTCCATCGTTAGCGTCGTCCCAATTGAGTTGGAAGCGGAAAAGCGAGGAAAATAAGATATAGGAAACCTATACGATGCTACGAGCTTGAAGCCTAGATCCACAGCTACCGATGTTGCTTCCGCTACCTCAAATCATACCGACAGGTGACGACTGGATTGCTTCGCGAACAAAGCAAAGAACATGGATAAGTGATTAAACTATAGATTAGGGCATTAGTGAGCATGGTATGGATGCACAAGACCATAAGGCTGGCTGTTTCGTACAATAGCACCAAGTTCGAAGCACCAATGCAAAGACCCTTGGAGAGTCTGAAACCTCTCATCTGAGGTAATTCTCCTCCCGAGGAGGGGGTACAAATGTATCCCAGCCCTTGCCCGGATTGACTAGCTCGGGGGCGTTGACTTGAAAGGTCTTCTGATACGACTTGGACTTCCTCTTTTTTGAGGACTCTGGACCCAAAAGTCGTTGCAATTGCTGTCGCTGCATCTCTTCCTCAGTCAAGCGCGGCCTTCCATGATCGCCTGCAAGAAACACACCGGGGACGTCCCACGCATAAGCACATAAAGCCCCAAAGGCAGAAAGAATAGCAAAGGCACTAGGAAGACCCAGACTGGTAATCTCCAGGCTGCCCATTGGAAGCAGATTTCGACACATGATATTAAGCAGAACGTTCAATAGAGCGAGCAGATTTGAGCTCAGGCAAGGTCTGAAGGAGTCTTAGCCTGATGAAGTGAGCGATCGTCAAGGAGCACGTACAGAAACAACGAATTGAGCAGGAAGTCGCGGTTGTGAGGCTGGAAACAGACAACTAGGATTGACAAAGAGTATGCAATGGCGATAAGAAAGAAAGCCGCAATCATCGTGGACGTCTTGTCCGCACGGGATTCGGCCTTGTCTTTCCCGAATGCCAGTGGGAGCACCAGATACCTTGGAGAATGAGCTGATCAGCACCCCTGTTTTTGCGGTATTTGGACCGACATTCAATGACACACCCCACGAGAAGCACTTGCGACGAAAATGCCGCGGAAATTTTCCAAACTCGACTGGCGGGCTTGAGCGAAACGTGTTGCTCCTGCGATACGACAGGCAGTGCCTGAATTTGAGGGGTAGACACTGCAGACGATCCCCAGCCTAAAGCTCCCGTGGGGGAGAAGGCACCGACAGGAGCTGTCATCGGTGTGGTCATAAGAGTGCCTCAAAGGGACGAGTGCGAGGAGCAATATGTAAGGAGACAGTATAGGATACAACAAACGGCGGTCAAAAATGCAATGACAGCGACACTGCGCGAAATTTGCGCTGTATGATGCAGTTGTGGTAGTAGAAGTGACGGTGATGCAGCCGATGGACGGATTCGAGGCGCATGGCAGGAAGGGGGCTTGGAGAGCAACAAATGCGAGTAAGAAAATAAGAGGTCAATTATAGAACGTGGTCGCAGGGGTTTGTGCATCACCATCGCTGGTCGATTCGGTCAGCACCTCCAACACGGCGGCTGATAGACAGCAGCGAGCGAATGGCGTGGAGCCCATGGCTGCATACTATTTTAGTGCAGCTGTTATAGCTTCATTTTCCGGTTGTTCAGGAGTCCTTCAGTGTCGATCGGCCTGGTGTAGCTCCACCCCACGTGTTATGCAGATTAACATTCTTCAGATGTGAGTACGAGAAGGTTCCCATCTCTGTTTGTATTGCTGAGTAGTTATGTTCTGTGTGTCTGACAAGTAAAATGCCTCACACCCCAGGGTGGGTAAGATGGGTAAGTTGCGAGCGAGATGAATCGAAGTGGTGCGGGGGGATTTTGAAATCGGCCGAAGGATTTGCTTTTGGCCCGAGCACTTTATCAGCAACAACAGTTGAATTGAGTGGCCCCACAGACTTGCAGAACCTGGCTGGATCGTTGAAGTCAGCTTAAGGGATCTACGCTGGTCAGGGGATTCAGGCCATCAATGTATTCAGGAAGCTTTCTGCTATCTTTGTTGCAAGTGTGTTCTGGGACTACCAAAGCATGACACCCAATCACACTTGCTGTTTGGACTAGGTTGTTGCCCGCCCTATGAACCAAGTCAATGAAAGAGCAAGCTTTGTTTCATTAACAGCCTTGCACAACCGATCCGGTTAAATGCTGTTTGCTCAGGGTATTACGCCGCGTTCACTAGCCCGGTACTTAACCTCAGCTAGTTCGATTCACAACAGATTCGCCGAAGCTGAAGCAGAAGAGGTTACTTGGGGTACAGTTTTATGCTCCAATCCATTGCCACTAGCAATATTAAAGGAAATAAAGGAAATACTGCACCGCATAATGGAATACCGCACAGCACAGGGCTCGAGTCCCATGGCGTGGCCAAACCATGATAGTACCTCTTGAGCAGCCACGATAGGTCAGTAACCGCGAATATCTTCGTGATCGTATATGGTGTGTGTCTTAGCTCAATACTGCCACTGATTGGGTCCGACTTCGGCACAGCTCTCGATATATGATGAAAGGTGTCCCTTCTCTCTACTTTTGCATTTATTCAACGCTGAGGCTCACTGCTCGTTCGGGAAGCTTCATTGACATGAGGATACAATGGCTTGCGGGATGTTTTCTTGATATCATATAGAATGGCGAGGTGCGCGAAGGTCTATCGCCGAGAGTGCATCAACCAAAGATACTGACTGTTTTATGTACAGAAAGTCAAGCAGCTATTAGCGATCACTTGTTCAATATTCGCTTATGATAAGACAGTCGGCCACAACGCGAGCTCAAACTGAATGACGAGGTCTCTTTGCATGTTAAATGAATAATGCTTGGCTGCATGTAGCCTTATGTCGCTCAAGGGCAGCTGCGTATTGATTAATTGCTCCATCGGAGTATATTCCTTCGCACTGCCGTGCTCATGATAACAAGATTTGCGAAACTGAAACAGCCAAAGATAGAAAGCTCGTGCGAGCCGTCTTCATCCCAGCTCTTGTTTGACCGGAAGATTTGTACGCTGTGGTCTCCTCTCAAGACTGACTCTATTCGATGCCGTTGAACAAAAGCCAACGTTACTTCATGAAGCTATACGTATCACCACGGCCCCAGAAGTCAAACCTTATCCAATCATCGATCACTTGTCAGGGAGGTACCTTCACGTCAACTTTTTCCTTGGCAGCGACGAGTTGATCAAGACTCCAATAGTAAGGATATAAGATGAAAACATGCGCCCAGGATATACATTGACAGCTCGAAATCGCTCCGTGGGATCTGCATCCGCTTTGATAGTGAGGATAATATCCCATAGACACCGACGCGGAGATCTTGCGTGCGACCAACAAGGCCCTGGGGCTGTTCCTTCGTTCCAAAATCGGTGGACCCTGGAAATATCCATTTGTTATCAACCTCGAGAATCGAAGCTAGGTAAGGCGTGCTGCAGGCGTTGCCAGTGTTTCTGGTCGGCTGGGACGTGTCATCCAGAAGCTTTCACCATGAGGGCATTGTTTGAGTCATCATGCGGAGGATCCTGATAGGGAACCCTATGCAATGCCATAGAAAAGTCGGGTTAAACTAGACAGAGCTTCTGTCCAAAGCCGAATAACCCATCCGCCTTAGTGGATATGATTCAATTCGAGATGACGATCGGGGGTTTGATCCGTGGTTTTGTACAGCTGTTGTGAAGAAGATGATTACGAGACTACGACCATAGATGACTAGAGGCACAGCGGATGCAGAGGCGAAGATCATGAACACCTACGATCACCTTGATGGAGGCAGGGTTCGAGGATCCAGTTATAGCACAGGCTCCGATCTTCGGTCGGCTTCCCGTTGACCGAAGGGAAATAATGCGCCAATCACGGACCTCGGCGGGCTGGGCAGAATTCAAGGGCTATCCAGGACTTCCAAGTTCAGGGTGCGGTCAAAGAAAAGGCCGTACTACTTATCAGTCGGATAGCTCTCATTGTGGATGTGGATACTGAACAGATGGAGTTAAAAGAATAGTCAGGGGGGAACAGCAGCGAACAACAGCAAGAAGGAAATCTGTCTTCATGGGAGAATAAGACTAGGTATGAGGCTGACATGCCAGCCGTCAGGGACGTGTCCAGTCGGATACAGTTGACCGGGAACGTGTATGCCTCAGGCGATGTAGGGTTTATTGGTGACACCTTTTCGCTGACCGATGTGAAGATCGAAGAGAGTCAGTTGTCTGTTAAACAGTTTTCAATTTTCTCGAGAGTCCAAGTAGTTAGTACTGTACCTAGTAGCAGGCCAGTCAGTCAGCCCTATCTCAATGCCCAAGGGAACCACCCTACCAATGTTCTACTCGACATTACTCAATTCTTGGCCCTATGACGATTTTGCCATCCTCTCTCTCTCTCTCTCTGCCCTCTTGTTGACCGGGGGATCGGAGTTAAGCGGTTCCAAGGCGCCGTGCATTGGCCGCGAAAAGTTTTCGGGTCCCGCTGGTCCGCTAGTACCAAAAGCAGAAAGCCCCGGGCCATCCCTTTCAAATCCTCCTCTCTTTCTCCCTCCCGTTGCCGGCCGCCTCCATTTTCTTCCTTTCCCAATTTCTGCAAAGCTTCAATCGCTTCGCTCTTCTTTCCTCCCCTCTCTTTCTCCCCCCCCACACTCCTCTCCTCCTTTCCGTTTTGTTTTTCTATAACATTTCATATACCCGTCATACATAATGTCCGTCACTACCCCTCCTGTCGACGCGCCTACTGGCCTCGGCCTCTACTCCAGATTCGCCTTCGCTGGTGCTGTCTGCTGTTCCGTTACTCACGGAGCTCTCACTCCTGTCGATGTGTAAGTCGGACACCGTCTCGTCTCGCCTTCGTCGCAATTGAACGCGCTCGGAAACCCGCCTGTGTGCGCGCGCTCGATCGACTGCCTCTCCTGCCATCCGACCATGCCGTTGCTGACGTCCTATCTCTCGTGCTCTACAGCGTCAAGACCAGAATCCAGCTTGACCCCGTCACCTACAACCGTGGTATGATCGGTGGCTTCAAGCAGGTCGTTGCCAACGAGGGTGCTGGCGCTCTCCTCACTGGTTTCGGTCCCACCGCTGCTGGTTACTTCCTCCAGGGTGCTTTCAAGTTCGGTGGTTACGAGTTCTTCAAGCAGCAGTGGATCAACCAGCTTGGTTACGAGACTGCCTCCAACAACCGCACCGCTGTCTACCTCGCTTCTTCCGCCACCGCTGAGTTCTTCGCTGATATCGCCCTGTGCCCTCTTGAGGCCACCCGTATTCGTCTCGTCTCCCAGCCTACTTTCGCTTCCGGTCTCATGAGCGGTTTCGGTAAGATCCTCAAGAACGAGGGTGTCGGTGCCTTCTACTCTGGTTTCGGTCCTATGCTCTTCAAGCAGTATGTTTTTCTCCCACGTGGTCAGGCTATGCGCCGTTGCTAACTCCCGGCAGGGTTCCTTACACTATGGCCAAGTTCGTCGTTTTCGAGAAGACCGTTGAGGCTGTCTACGGTTACGTTGACAAGAACTCCGTCTCTGATGGTGCTAAGACTGGTATCAACCTTGGCTCTGGTCTCATTGCTGGTTTCGCTGCTGCCATCGTCTCCCAGCCCGCCGACACTATGCTCTCCAAGATCAACAAGACCCCCGGTGAGCCTGGTGAGGGTACCGTCTCCCGTCTCGTCAAGATCGGTAAGGAGCTCGGTCTCCGTGGCTCTTACGCCGGTATTGGTGCCCGTCTCTTCATGGTAAGTTATTCCACTCAAATGGATCCCTTCGATCTTGGATCTGGAGACTAACTATCTATACAGGTTGGTACCATCACCGCTGGTCAGTTCGCCATCTACGGTGACATCAAGGTATGCACATCCCTTCTTTACAGTTGCCCATAAATAAATGACTAACTGTCTTTCCCAGCGTATGCTCGGTGCCACTGGTGGTGTTGAGATCGGCAAATAAATGTCGAATTGTACGATTACTTGAGTATGTTAGATCTTCAGTTTTGATACAATGCATATATGTTAGATTAGAGCACGGATCTGAAGCTCGGGGAATGACTCGCCGAGCTGCCGAGCCTCCGCAGGCGGTATGCGCCCTCCATTCGGACGTCCTTCGTATTGTACCGGCTTAGGAGCAGCCGATCACACTTCCCCAGTGCAACTCAAGACGACCGCGCCGGTAGATGACAGTGTCATATCTCAGCGATCTACGCGAGTGTACTATGTACTTGTACGAGCATGTCAAGAAAATGGTACAGAAGCGTACAGTAGAGTGAAAGCACCGATAGCCCTTTACGACGCTCAATTCATCCACATCAGCACGCTCGGTCTTGAACGACCAACCAGATACCGTATCCCTCAAAAGTACACACTAGGGCTGGACGATGAAGACAGCTGCTTCTGTGGCTATTGTGCTCTTCGATAATCCGTAGAAAGCGTGCGCTTCCGTCAGGGAGGCAGCTAGTGATTCGATCTTGTTGCTGGGCAAAGTTGATGGGAGATATCCGGCTTGTAAGAGCTTGGTAGACGCCAGTCCGGGCGTATAGCCGCAGGTTGATAATCAAGCTGTCGACTGAGTCAATGCCTAGTTCTAATTATTAGTTGCCTTGGAGCATGTAGTCTGAGCGGAAGATCCCACATCAGAAGCCAGACACTTTGATCCCTTAAAGCTGTGAGTATTCAGAAGGATACATCTGGGGATAACTACCGAACGGAGAGTCTTCGACACATTGAATTATTGTTTGCTACGATGGAACACCGGTACTCAAGCCACCTACAAGACTGTGCACACTGCCTCTTGGGCTTGTTTCTCACGGACATGACGAGGAGTTGCTCGAGCTATAGACGAGGCGTCAGTAGAACTGATATCTGTCGATCTAGGCCTAGTTCCATTGCAGTTAGCGCGAAGCTCCACCCATATCCGCTTCGGTGCCTGAGGATTGCCACTCACCCTCCGCCGCCCCCGAATCCGTGCTTGTGCCTGGCCCCATGATGGTTATTGATGATCATCATCTCTGATCACCTTTGACCATGCTCTAACTCCTCCCATCGCTAGTCATGTCGATTCTATATTCCGGGCTCCTTCGGGCCCTGCCTCTCGTTCTTCTCTTCTTCACAGCCATCGTCGCTGCCGAGCATACCTCGAACTGGGCCGTCCTCGTCTCTACCTCGCGCTTCTGGTTCAACTACCGCCACCTCGCCAATGTCCTCTCTCTCTATCGAACCGTCAAGCGGTTGGGGATTCCCGACTCGCAGATTATCCTGATGCTTCCCGATGATATGGCCTGCAACCCCCGCAACGCTTTCCCAGGAACCGTCTACAGCAACGCCGACCGCGCAGTCGATCTCTACGGCGACAACATCGAAGTCGACTATCGGGGGTACGAAGTCACCGTGGAGAACTTCATCCGTCTTCTGACCGACCGACTCGACGAAGATGTTCCACGCAGCAAACGGCTGGGGTCCGACGCGGGAAGTAATGTTCTGGTATACATGACCGGCCATGGAGGGGACCAGTTTCTCAAGTTCCAGGACTCCGAGGAGATCGGGGCGTGGGATCTGGCTGATGCATTCGGCCAGATGTGGGAAAAGAAGCGCTATCACGAACTTCTGTTCATGATCGATACCTGCCAGGCCAACACTATGTACACGCACTTCTACTCGCCCAACATCATCGCTACGGGATCGAGTGCCCTCGACCAGTCCTCGTACTCGCACCATGCGGACAGCGATGTGGGTGTAGCAGTGATTGACCGGTGGACATACTACGTGCTGGAGTTCCTCGAGACGCAGGTGACGAGTGCGAACTCGAAACAGACCTTGGGCGATCTTTTTGATTCCTACGATGAGTCCAAGATCCATTCCCAGCCGGGAGTGCGATGGGACCTCTTCCCTGGCGGCGAGCAGGAGGGTCGTCTACGCACGGTGGTGGACTTCTTTGGAAATGTCCAGAATGTCGAGGTCGAGAACGTTAATGCAACAGAGCCCGGCTCCCTCCAGGAGGATCTCATCGAGATCGCCCGGCTTGTGGAGAAATGGCGCACTCACGACCGGGACCTGTTCGCAGGGCACAATGATTCGCTTCTGCAGGATGGGGCGACCGCTGCTTCCCCGGACGCTGGTGTGCACCAGTCGTCTCCGCACCATACCGTCAAGATGAAGGTTGGACCCGCGAGGATGACCCCGGAGTCCACATGGGAGAAGCGGTTCATCGGGCTGACTGTCTTGGGCGCATGTGCGGCCGTCTGGCTCGGCGGCTCCATTGCAGGCGCGACCTCTGCTTGACTTCGTATTGTATAGCGTGTGACGTTCTTTTTTCTTATCTTCATTATACCTAACCCCGTTCATGATTGAACTTTACTACCACCAAGAATTGCATATAGTACTTGCCACTTAGTACGTTGTCGGATAGCACATGAGAAATCGCCTCAGGGCATATGATGCAGAGAGAATGGCGCGAACTGCATCCCATTTTATTCAAGAACAATCGCAAGTGTAGATCTACCGGAGGAGTACGTGCGCCCGATTATGATATCATCGCTCTTAGGACGAACTCAATCAAGGCAGTTCAATCCTTGGTATAATTTACCAGGGGATATAGTTAGTCGAAGGCCGTTCGCGTGTGTTGAACCATAAACAATGCCTCCTCATACAGACCAGATAAAAGAAGTATACTATAACGCGAGGCACGGATTTTTAAGGTATTGTGAGAGATTTGAAACATTTTCCACCCTTTCCTCGCAGCTACGAGCAACTAAAGGCATGCCGAAGTTGGCCTGCCCCAGTCAAAAGAAATTCTTCAGTGGAAAAAGAAAAAGGCTTGGCGGAAATCGCCCTCCGCACGTGCCAGACGCGTCGTCGGGCTGGAGATGCGCGCGACGGGTAAGTAACGATTATTACTTACTGCGTGCGACTTTACTTAGCCGCTCGATCGAACTGCCTGTCTCTGCTTTATTACTACTACTACATTTCCCCCATAAACAATTTACCCCTCTCAACAATGGAGTCCTTGTCGGTCTAGAGATCCTTATTTCGAAGACTCTCCTGCTTCTCATTTTCTCCTCCATTGTTATCTTCATTTTCTATCCCACAGAGTCGGGGGCCTGTGGAAGGGGGCCCTTGCTGCTACTACTACTACTACTACTACTACTACTGCTGCTGCTACTGCTGCTGCTCTCTCTTCTCCCTTGATCCTCCACAGACACTATCATTAAATCTTCTCGCGCGCGTCTCGTTATAACACCATCCCCGTAACCGCCCGGCCCTTCCCTTCCACGTCGAGTCGAGGAGCGAGAGCGAGAGAGAGGGTGGGATTTCGCCGCGCCTTGTCAACTGTCCGGGCGCCATGTATCTCCCGCGTCAGCTCATATCCCATCTATACCTGCAACTGCTCCGGTCGCACCACCCGCTCTCGCCGCCGGTGCTCATCCTCGTCGCCCTCGAACCCGATGCGCTCTGTGCCTGTCGCATCCTCACCGCCCTCCTGAAACGCGACTATATCCCGCACAAGATCCAACCGGTGGCCGGGTATGGCGATCTCGCTCGCGCCGGGGAGGAGTTGGTTAAGCCCATGCGGACGACGAATGGAGGCAGCGGGGGCGTCGTCATCTGTCTTGGGGTCGGGGGCTTGGTGGACTTAACGGAGATCCTGTGTTTGGGTAGTCCGGAGGAGGAAGACAATAATGCCGTGGACGACGAGGGGCAGGGACAGGCCGAGGATATGGGCGGCGTGGAGGTCTGGGTGTTCGACGCGAGACGGCCGTGGAATCTGTCGAATGTCTTCGGGGGCGAGGCTGCGACTGCCGGTATAGCAGGCCACCAGAGTGATGGTAATGCGCGACGGAGACCGCGCGGGGTGGATCGAGGGTGTATCACATCTGGGTACGCGTCGGGGAACGGTGGGATTGTGGTCTACGACGATGGGGATATCGAGGAGGAGCTGGGGAAGGAGAGGGAAGCGTACTGCGAGTTGATGGCTATGCCGGAGGTGGATGAGGATGCAGAGGACGATGACGACACTGACGCGGACGACTCTGGGAGTGATGGTGAAGCGGACCACCCTTCTAGCTCCGATTCGAAGAAGCGGAAGTCGTGGTCGCGTCAGGACGATGAGGATGAGTCGGACGACGACGACGGGCCGCCCCGTCAGCGCAGGAGGAGTGATTCGGTATGTTCTTGTCCTATGGTGCTGCAATGGGTTATTGTTCGAGACTAATCGTGGAGTTCTCTGCTGCAGGGTTCATACATAATCTCGTCGCCGAGTCGTCCTCGGAGGATGGGGCATGACTCCTCGAACTCCTCACGCTCTGTTACGCCAACGTCGGACTCGCCGTCTCCATTACATCCGAAACCGCCCTCTACACGGACATTAAGGCGTCGGTTGCTCCGGATGAGAAGGAAGCATGAAAGTCTACTGCAAAGGTACTATAGCTCCGGGACGTCCTACTCGGAGCCGATATCTTCGCTTGTATACTCCCTCGCATCCGAGCTTGGTCGCGAAGATAACGATCTACTGTGGCTGGCCATTGTAGGTGTGTCGAGCTTGGAACTCAGCGGCCGCACGATGTCCGGAGTAGGCGTTTCCAACGCGCTCGAGTACGGTGGCTCAGCTGGATGGGGCGGAGAGAGAGGCGAACGAATACGGCAGATCATGCGAGACGAGGTTCATCGATTAAATCCTCCAGATCCTTACGAACGCGATATTAGAGGCGAGATAAACGGCGTCATCCCGACTACCGCCCGATCACCAACGGACAAGTCCATTCGATTATCCCCCGAACCTCGGTTCATTCTCATTCGACACTGGTCACTCTACGACAGTATGCTTCACAGCCCCTACCTGGCCTCCAGACTTCATGTTTGGACGGAAAATGGTAAGAAGCGATTACATAAACTGCTCGCAAAAATGGGCATCAGCCTCAACCAAAGTCATCAAAATTATACCCACATGGACATGGAATTGAAGCGCGTACTACGACAGCGTCTGCTCAAATACGCACCGATGTATGGACTCGATGGGCTTGTGCCTCCCGAAGCGTCTGGTCATGCTGCCTCGCGCGAGGGATGGGGATTCGTCCGCTGCTGGGGCTGGAAAGCTTGTCTTTCAGCGTCTGACGTGGGTGTTATTATCGGTGCGATTTTAGAGGTTGGCCCTGAGGATTCTCATGGAACATGGGACTCGAAACGGCTTTCGAAAGCTGCATCCGAGACTCATGGTGACGGATCCACCGAATCAGACCTGTCCAGTCTTCTGCCTCGCTTTTGGAGTGCATATGATGCTTTATCGCTGACGTCGGAGTCTCCTACGCTCCTTCTTGGCTCGCTTCCTCTCGCACAACACCTGCACCGTGCCATCCTACGGACGGGGACCTCTTTACTGGCCAAGCATCAAATCCGACACCTGCGCGCATTCCGCATCGCCGTTGTCAAGGATGGCCCCGATGTCAAGTTGTTCACTAATCCCGGAGCGCTGACGAAATTGGCTCTCTGGGTTGCAGAGGCGATTCGCGTGCAAGAACGAGAGCGAGCAGATACCGTCAAGATCGGCCGCAGACGGGCTGTGGGTACGCCGTTGGTCCTTGCCGGCCTCGACGAGGATCGAGGGCTATATGTGGTCGTCGGTACAGGAGGCGGAGGAGGTGTGGTCGACTTTGCTGCTCTCACCAAACGCCGCGAGGATAGACGACGGAAAAAGGAAGCCAAGGAGAAGAAGCGGAAAGAGCGGGAGGAGCACCGAGCCAGACGCGCCAGGGAGCGTGCAGCAAGGGATGACGACGAGGACGAGGCCGAGGAAACCGAAGAATCGTCCTCCGAATCGGAATCCGAGTCCGAAGACGAGCAGGACCTGGGCGGCAACAAGCACCTTCTGCGCAATCGGTTTGGTATCGCTTTCCAGGAGGTGGTTCAAGAGACCAGCGCCCGGGTCCGCATCGACAGCTTCGAGCACTGCGTGGTTGAAGTGCAGAAGGAGGATCTCGGAGGCTTCCTCGAAGCTCTCAGCTTCCGCAGTGTGGTCGGCTGATAGCCGCGATATGGGGCTATATTGTTCTTAAGTTCATGCCACGGCACAAACCCCAACTCTTCTTACTATACCATGCTCGATAATCATCTTGACGTGCGTGCTAACACGCCAATCCTCCTATTTTCCAGTCGTATTTGAGGCGGCATACCGAATATTTTGATACTCTGTTTTTTTTTCTTTTTCGCGTGGGATGCAGCAGCTTCGAGGAGTGGCTGGGACTTATTTCCTTTTCTTTTCAGGTTTTTTCTTCTGTGAGACATAAAAAAGGAGGACATGCATAATGACGGGTTGATCAACCATCTTCGTTGCGATTATTCATTCATTCAACTTTCTTTTCCTTTCCTTATTGTTGTTCAACGGGTATGATTCCTTACTTCTTTCTGGCTGTGTGTATTGACACTTTTGGATATAGCTGCCATTTTGTCTGTCTGTCTGTCCGTCAGTCTGTCAGTCACTGTTTACTTCACTCATGATGACCGATTTGCATCTCTCTTGCACATGTCATGGCGCTTGTGGTGTTTGGGATTGGATTGGTCCCGCTGAGGCTGCTGTCGAAGTCTTGATTTCTCGTGTTTTTTTGTTGTTTCCACTGTGCATAGCATATAGCATGCAAGATATGAGTTTTGCTTTTGGACTGTCGACTGGATTTGGTGATGAGGGCGATGTCTGAGACAGACCCGGATTGCTAAGAGTAACCTGAGGTATTCATGTGAGGCTGCTGGCTGTAAACTCGAAGGACTAATTCAGCTTGTTTTGTTACTCTGATCAAGACAGTCGCTAGTCTGTGCTGTCGTGCGGAAGTTGCATCGCTGTCTTACGTGAGGGGCACTTATTTTGCTGCCCCGATGAGAAGAAGTCAAGCTCAGTGGAATAGACGGTATCTCTTCGAGGCAATAAGTAACTGCCGCCAGAAGTCTAATATTGCAGCTAGCTATATCTAAGCTGGATGATAATACAAGAGTTGCTCCAGATTTAATTGTCTTGTCACAGCCAGGGGTAACATCGCTGACATCCTCGTGCAATCCTAACCACCCATGGTTCGTTCTCTCATGGCCTGGCTTCAAGAAGTTCTACAGGGCCGCCGACAGCCTAACGCTCCCCATTTGTCGGGGTGGTGAGCGCTGTCCGCCTTTTCTGCCTCTGCCACGCGGGTTAACGCCCACTTAACCATATACTCCGACCGCAGGAGTTGATCCGCCGAGGGCCGTTCAGCAGGTTCAAAGGCCAACATAGCCTGGAGCAATTCCCCCAACGCCCGAAACTCACCCGCCGCAACGTCCCACTCGCACAACAGCTCCGTCTCACCGCGGCCCATATCCCAGAGTCGCCGACGCAGCCGCCGGAAGACGGGCGTGCTGATGCGGCGGAAATCAGCGACCCATGATCCGTCGTCCTCGAAGAATTCGGAGCGCTTGGCCCAGGCGTTCCACCCTCTCGAGGGCGGATGGCCCAGCGTATTAACCATCTCGGCGACGATGTCGTCTCGGTCCCAGGCGAAGGTCTCGAAGAGTGGGCGCTCGCCCAGGACCTCGTACAGGCTGACACCTAGGGTCCAGATATCCGCGGCGGTGGGCTGGGTGATTGGTTCATTGAAGAAGTCTTCTGGTGGGGCGTAGAGGGCTGGGGTGTGGAGTGTCGGTGCGGTTGTCTGTGATATCATGAAGGACGTGCCGTAGTCTGAGATGATGAGCTCTGGGTTATCCTGCTCGTTGGCGGGCATGCGCATGGCCATTGGGTAGATGGCGTGCGGCGGTGCGTGGGGTGACCCCGGCTTCTCGTCCACTCGCCGGATAGGAACCATGTAGGGTTGGCGGAAGCGCTTGTATAGCTCTGCTGTGCTTAGGTCGTCGAAATTTGGTATGCGTATAAGGAAGTTTCGCAAATGCAGTTCTGCCGGCGATTAGTGTACGGGATGGATAAACAGAGATGCACAGCCGAACTTTCTTCACCTCCGTGACATATGCCGTTTGCATGTAAATATGACATCTCGAGAAGGAGTTGGGCGGCAAGTGATCTAGCAGCATCTGGTGGAAACATGAAGTTTGGGCAGTCCTCCTTGGACTTAGCAATACTAACGCCAGCAGGCTCGCCGACCAAGCACCGGTGATGTCCGTTTGGGCCGGTGAACGAGAATTGATCGGATAGTCGTGGAATGAATCGCTATCCAGCATGAGGAAAGTCGCTCTTCATCAGATTATATAGGATTTCTGCCTCATGGCTATCTGGGGATGCTCTCGCAGTCAATATCTTTAGCGATACGTAGCGCCGCCGTTGCTGATCCCGAGCGAGCCAGATGGTTGAATATCCACCAAATCCAAACTTGTGAACGGCAGTGTAGCGGGCCACTATAGAAGGTGTCTCCGATGAGAGTCGGGTGGTATCCACCGGGTACGTAGTTCTCAAAATCTTCGACATCTACCTCGGATGGTATATCTCTTCTGTTGGTGAAGTAGCCATGGGGTGGAGGCATCGGAATGAGGGTTGTGACAGACGGAAGCTGCGGTGGGAGCTGGTTGTTGGCGTACTTCTCCATCGGCATGGGAAGATACCTTGACTTTCGTCGACGAAGTATCACGGTTTTGGAGAATAGGCGAGGGAATTCTCAGCTAGGGTTCATGTTCATGTGCATGTCCTTGCAGAGGTCATTGAGTGACGAGAGACGCATTATGACTGCCAGTAGCCACTGAAGATAGACATGCAGCCATAGGCTCAATATAGAGCGCAAGTCTTGAGCCACGAGGTTGAGATCGACGTCCAGTTAGTTGGAGTTCTTCACTCTTTCAAAATCGTAGGCCTGTAGCATTTGTATTGCTCACGTGGTAGCATGTCATGCCCCACATTGCAACCCCTGGACAATGGTAAGAAGGACCCGAAGGCGTGCAGAGACTTTCTCGAACAACCGTTCGACTGAGCGAACAACTTTATGGTAGGAGATTCAATGATAGTAGAGACAATTTCTCCACCCAGCGGAATCTCAAGCCAGAACAAACGCGGGTAGGGGGCGGATAAGTGGGTAAGAAAGCCTGTTCATAGATTGAGCATGTGTAGATCGCAATGTAAAGCTTGACGTCCTGCGAGGAGAATAGTTTGACAATTACAAGTGCACCGAACACACACAATTAGTCAAGTGGCCCGTGGCCACGAAATGTGTAGCTTTATTCGACTAGACCTAACTGGCAGAGACACCAGCACCTAAGTCAAAGCATGCAAGACAGACATTATGTACAGCGATTGATCGTCAATCCCAGAAAAAGAAGCTCCAAATGATACCCTGCATCCTTACGGCCACTGAGGCATGGGAGCATGACTGTCCGGCTCTTACGACAAATACAAACCGGCAGCGCCTCATCGAAGCGAGGCATGACCATCTGTCGTATGCCCATTGGCTGGCTAGCCACGCAGAGTACGATGTGAAGACTGGAAGCATGATAAAGGAAGAGGATTAGGGCAGAGAAGTATAGAGAAACCAACCTTGGAAGTTTTGCCGGCAGGCGTGGATTGAATCGCAACGCAAGCGATCCGGATACCAGATCAACTGTGTAATCGGTCAGACACGGCTGCGATTGTGTTTTCATCAATGCATATTCGTCCAGAGCAAGGGAACGGCTAAATGTGAACCCAAATACCGTTCTTGTAATTCTGGTCCTTGGCTTGACTTTGCATGGGGAGCCCGCCCCGATGGAATTGCATATTCTCAGAAGCTCCGAAGCCCCACTCACGCGGGCGTGGAGGCAGCGCTAGCCACCCCATTGGAGACGCCGTTGGAGGTGACTTGACGCTTGGCAGCCGGGTGGGATGCGTCCTGTTCAATCAGTTGATATCAGTTATATCCAAAGATGGGATCTGACAAGTTTCACACGATCCGCGAAGAAGCGCATTTCGTAAATGGGACTAGCGCCGCTTCGTGCTATACTTTGGCTATCTTGTTTGCACTTACGTCCAGTGAATCGATGGTCCGCTTCTGGCCGCTTGCGTCGGATCTCTTGATGATCTTCTTCTTCGGGCGAAGAGGTTTCTTCTCTCCGGGTTGGAATACATCGTCGGGTAAGTCGAAACTGTTGATGGCAGTCAGCATGAAGATCGCGCGGCTGGCCGACGAAACACTTACCTGCGAACATGGGTGATTGCCACATCCATGACCTCAGGCTGATATCCAGGCCACGCAGTGCAGAGAGACTTGAACAGCTGGGCATCGGACGAGATGTCCAATGATCGTGATGCACCTTCAATTGTCAGCGGAGCCACCAGAGAGGCGCGATTGACATACCTGGTTCGAGTGGTTTCAGCTCCAGCCCGATATAGTATGTGGCCGTGTACATGACTCGGGTGTCCTCTGCAGCTTTCTCTTCTGTGGCCGGGACCTCTCTGTTTTCAGCACCATTTTGCGCAGCGGCTTCATGGGCTGCATCCTTGGTCTCATCGGTAGTCTCCGTTTTGATCTCTCTATCCTGATATTTGGTAGAACCAGTCTTAACGGCCTCGATTTCTTCCTCAGAAGAGACTTTGTGCACCCTCTCGAAACCTTTAGGAAATGGGTGGGCGACGGCGATCGTCGCTTTCCTGTCAAGGGCACCAACAAGGTGGCGGATTTTAGATTCCACAAGACCGGACCAAACCGACTCTGCCTCCTTGGTCCTGCTAGAAGCCGTGATGCTGAGGTAGTACTTGTAGTCCTGGGTGAAGAACGTGTGTCGTTTGAACAGATCATTCCAGTTAAGTTGCTTTGTGAAGATTTTGTCTACAATGTCACCACCTCTCTGTAACTCGCGAAGAATAACAGTTTTGGTTGACACGGAAACGTTGTGGGTGGCGCACATGGAGGGATATGCCGGCGTGATGATGGGCATCAAATGGAATCGGTCACCGTTGTAGATCTAGGATCACATTAGCCGCTCATCCGATGAATGTGGGTTCTCGGCCAGCTTTACCTTCGGATTCCACACTTTCATTTGTAGGGGGCCATCTTCGATCGGCTTCAGTAAAACAGGCTGAGGCCAAGCCCACTTGGTCATGATGCGGAAGAACTTGCCAACAATAACCGATCCCGTAGCCTGGGGGTATAGTTGACACACTCTTGCAACAAGCATTGCCCAAGCAACGCCACCGGGAAACCCAACAACGTTGGCGTAAATCGCTCGCTCTGTTTGAAACATGGGGTATTAGCACAATAAGCAAACGAGAATGATCTGCATTCACAAGCACTTACGCTGTGCCCAAAGTTTGATGGCACGCAAGGCCAGGCGGAACGTTTTCTGCTGAGGTACAAGCTCCAGGATCTGGTCGGTGACACGAGTTCCGTTGAGCGACCGAACTTCTTTCTCGTCCAAGCCCCGCAAATAATCATTGTTCTTCAAGTCTAGACTCATAGGCACGGACGGTACGATCAAGCGCGCAAAGATCAGATCGATACTGATTCCCGAGAGCTCCATTTTAATAATTGGGACGAAGGCGTCGGGAACTGGAGTCATTTTCTCGATGGCCCCGGGCGGAGCAAGTCGTTCAAGAACGGGAGGGAAATCAGAAAAGAAATCGTCGATTACAACATGCTTTGGTCCGACGACCAGCGTATCGATATCCGACCCTATTGGAAATGACCGTCAATATAACTTATACTGGCCGATGCAAATGATTTAGCGAAACTGACCCGGCCCATAGACACCAAGGCGATAACTTCCGTATGTGAGGATCTTCCCTCCGGCTGCCTCCACGGCTGCAGGGGAGAGACCCTTCTTGCGGCTGACGACTTTGACGAACTCGAGGGCGACGCGTTGAAGCAGTTGAAGGACTTGTTGTCTGAGTAGCACTTGGAGTATCAGCATCCGTGTCAAGTGAGTCCAGTCGACTTGACGTGAAAGCTCTCACCTTCGTTCAGTCTCCGCAGGACTCTCGAAATTATTCTGCGCCTTCAACTCGGAAATCAAATCATCATTGGCGGCAAGTTCGTCTGGGGTAGGTAGAGCAGTAGAGATGGGAGGGGTGACCCCCCACTGCCTGGCTGGTGGTGCTGTCATGTTCACTCTTTGTCTGCCAGGTGTTACAGGATAATGCGGTTGCGCCGATTAGGCGCTAGGAAGCAGCGACTAGATACGGAGTGGACGCGAGAATAAAGGAACGGCAGCAAGCGTGAAAAAGAAAATCACCAAGTATGGTGGGTGAGATATTTGAAGTGTGATAAAAAGAAAATGCAAAAAGGGACTTGAAGGGAAAGTAAGGAAGAAGAGGCTGGCAATGTAACAACTGCTTTGATCGATTCGGAGTTGGAAATGAGGAGGCGCTTGAAGGTTTATCGCCGGCCACCAGATCAGCCGCTGATTCAGCATTCCAGCCCATCACGTGTTGATTGCTGATTTCGGGAAACTGCTCAATAACTACAATGCCAATTCCACTCATACAAAGTCTGTTACTGTTCATGACGCTGAAGACTCGCGCAACTAATTTCAGCGATCGTGATCAAGGCTTCCCTAAAGTGACCGACTTGAGTCTCGGACCTAAATCCTCCCCGATGGAAGGAGCTGTTTCCTCGAAAAACTCCCTCAATCTCGTATCCAACCACCCGAAATCATCCTTACTCAATCCTGGACCACCAGCCCAATCTGTCATATCATGCATCAGAGGCAGTACTTCTAAGCACACAGGGAAGGACTTACGGCCCCAAATTGATGGGAAAACGGCGAGAGTGCCAACGCCCGGCATCATACAGGCAACCTCATATTCCGAGTCCTCGGGCCTGGGCAGTCAGCCATGAGCTTCCGCTCCATGATAAGATAAAACATGCAGTATGGGCATACTCACGGGAAATATAGGTCGGTTTTCCCAGGCAACACCAAGACCTTCGCTTTTATAGAAGCCAAGGCCTTCTCGAAATCGCCGTTGTAAAGCTCTTGGTTTGCCACGTCTCCATTTTGCCATGTTTGCAGCATCGTCAGGAGATTGGCCGGATCTAGAATGCAGGACATATCAGCCAAGGCTCCGCGGCCGTCATTCGCGCTTGGGTATGCCAACCTTTCGAAAGCGCCCAGCTTTCCCAGAAGTTCACCATGAAATCCTCCAAATTCTTGTATCCCAAAGCAGTCTCATATAGCTTCTCCCGATAGAATGCTTGCGAGAATCCCCTTCCAAAGATTTGCGACGTCAGAATGCTGCCTGCTTGAGCCTGGAATAGGGGAATTTCGATGCTCACCAGCCAGCGTAACCCCTACCAAAAGCCTTCAGTCCGACCTCTTTCTCCTTGTCGCTCCAGATTCTATCTGACTGGTCTGCTTCGAGAACACCAGCATCTCCGGATCCTGCCGAAGAGATATGCTTCGCCGCTAGCAAAGCACATTTCACGCCCTCGAGGAACACCTGGTTGTGGATCGAGGTCCTGGCGGAGCCGCAGAACGGCACGACTAGATCCAAGAAATCGGGATACTGCGTCGCCCACTGGAAGCTTTGCGCGGCTCCCATTGACCACCCGAGCACTGCGAATAGATGAGTGATGCCTAGATGCTGGGTCACCAGCGTATACTGAGCGCGGACATTATCGTAGATGGAGCATTTGGGAAAGGGGCTTTGGATGGGGTAATTGGAAGGCGACGTTGACTGGCCGTTTCCAAAGAGCGCGGGAATCACTATGAAGTAGTTGCTCGGGTTGAGGGCCTTGTCTTCTCCAATCAACCAGAAATTGTCGGAGATTTCTGAGCTCGGTAGTGTGAGTATGCAATCCATTCATGGAGATTCAAGGCTATTGCAGTACGTACCGCCAGAGAACCACGAAGGGTAAACGATCGCGGGCAACCTTGGATCCCCAAAGGTTGTATATGCGATGTGAGCGTCAACTAGCTTCTCCCCACTCTGGAGCTCCCAGTCTCCAAGTTTGAAGGTCTTGTAATCATGCTTCGTCATCTTGCTGAACGGATAGGCGGATCCACAGATTGGGTTGTAGAGCGATTTGCTGCTGTGCGATGAGTCTGATGAAGTACTGGCGAGTCACAAGTAGAGAGGGGGGTGGGAGGGGTCTATAAACCTTGTATTTCCTTGTCTTGTCTTATCGAGGGCACCTGATACAGCTCAGACACTAGAGGAGATGCTAGTTTGTACTCCCTATTTTGGACTGAGTTCCCGCTACTGGTACTGATGCATATTCACTTCGTTATTGATTATAGCTAAAACACTGATCTACTGTTATTCTACCTAGCCGCTGGAGAGTAGCACGCTTAACGATCGCATAAATGACTGGTTTCCATGGGTTGAACAAGACAATCGATATTACTGATCTCAAGCTACAATTGATTCCTGACCATTGAAGAAGTCATATCGCTTTCGAAAAGCAGGACGTGATTTGGCTTGGGTTCGCGATGTGCTGCCACAACGATTGCGTTGATGATAAGCACATGAATGCTCCCCCAGTTTCCGTCCCGCCGCGGGGTCGTTCCGGCCGCTTACCCACGGGATTCGGCACGGATAACTTATCGGCAGTGGGGGTTTAATGCCACGCCTTATTAATGCTCTCACGCTCTGTAGCTGCGTGGTGTTACGGAGAACGTCTCGAGACGTCATAGTGGAATTACGCCTCGGTCAACTTAGCTCGGCAATCACAATCTTGGATTCTTGCCCGTCCTTCAGCAGTTTACCTTAAATCCCGTTGCACCACCGCCTCTCATCAATCGCTTGGCGCCGCTCTCTAAAGCCTATCTATACTCTTGCGTGAGTCCATTGTCCCATGAATTTGCAGTCATGGCGCCGTGATGCTGTACGGACTGTGATGACAACAATGATCCAGCAGCGACAGCTGACAATCGCTAACGCAATCCAGTACCCCCCCAAAGAGTTTCCCATCATTATTTCCGAGCAAATCACCTTCCTCGTTTCCATTCGCAATCTTCAGCCATGTTCAAAGTTCACGACGACTTTGAGAAAGTCCAGGCTTCTCGGCCGGATTTTAACCGGGATATCCCAGTCACTTTTTCGAAGCCTCCTAAACCGGACTGGAAGGAGGGAGATGGTGGCAATGATGGCGGCGAGAGTCTGAAAAAGAGCCATGTGCAGATTGACCCTTACGAGGAAGGGCGCCCTGTGACATCCAACTATAAGCTTCTCATCTCCGGGATGGTTCCTAGACCGATTGCCCTCATTAGCACAAAGTCGAAAGATGGAAAGACGGCAAACCTGGCTCCATTCAGTTACTCCCAGGTTATCAACCATGACCCTCCGCTTTTCATTGTGGGATTTGTTGGGTCCCTGGACAAGGCGAAAGATACGCTGAAGAACCTGGCGGAGACCGGGGAATGTGTGATCAACATCATCTCCGAGCACTTTGTTGAAGCAGCCAACGCGACCGCCATCAACGCTCCTTACGGCGTATCGGAATGGGAGATTTCCGGATTACACCAAGAGCCCAGTGCCATTGTTCAACCCGCTCGGGTCAAGGAATCCATCTTGTCTATTGAAGGGAAGCTTGTCGAGACCAAGGAGTTCGAAAGCAGATCAACCCCCGGGAAGAAGGCTAGCGTTCTCGCGATCATCGAAGGGGTTCGGTTCTGGGTTAGAGATGATGCCATCAACGAGGATAAGAGCATTGTGGACCTGAAGGTTCTCAAGCCCATCAGTCGATTGGGAGGCATCTCGTACGGGCGGACCACTGATGCAATTGAGATTCCAAGACCGCAATTCTAGACGGTGTACGGAGTAGCGAACTCAGGCATCCAGGCGATGAATTACTCGGGAGGGATGTCTGGGACATGGCTGCGGAGATGTGGTAGGGCAATAGACAGAGTATGTTGTTGATTTGTAGAATAATATAGAAATATAAATGTCACGAATAGAGATGTCGCTTTTTAGAATCAGGTCTGAAGGTAAAAACCTGAAGGCCATTACTCATTCATAGTTGACTGTTCCAGCGGATGAGGGACGGGGAGCCGACCGACCGAGTCAGGGAGGTGTTTTCGCGTGGAGTCCACGGTGGAGCTGCGAGCTCGGGTTTTACCCTCTCCCCCCCCCCACCATACGGAGGAGAAGATGGAGCAATCGAGCACAGAGCACAAGAGTCCTCCTCCACTCTCAGCTTCCCCCAGACTTGGGACAGCTGAGAGAGTCCAGACCTTCATCAGACCTCCAGGCGACCGACTCTCCTAGTCAAGATTGCTTGTGCTCTTTCTATCTTTAAGATGAGGAAAAAGACAAAAGCAATGCCAATTCTTTTCTCTCACCCGAACAGCAAGCCGGCGAGATCTTGGGGTGGCCAAGTTCCGTAATGAGGCTGTAAGGGAAGTGAAATACTTGATAGTCACATGGCAACAATTATTCCATCAGCGCGGCGGGACCAGTCCATTCATTTTCTTTTTCCCTTTCACATTTTGGTCTTTCTTTTCTCCTGCTTCCAAGTTGCTTCTGCCGCCCTTCCATGAGGTACTAGAACAAGAGACCTCGTTCATCTTTCCAATCACATCCCTCGTCCACCTTTCAAATCGATTACCTGGGCGGATCCGACCGGCCGAACCTGGTCGACTGGAGATTGTGTTCAAGTGTTCAAGTGATACGAAAGGAACCCGCATCGAATCACTTGCTAAGCGGTCAGGCTAGAATTGCTTGGGCTTCCATTTTCGAGGTGGCTTCTTTTTCGACGCGGCCTGTTAAGGCAGAAAAAGGAGTCCAAAGCTACGAAGCTGAGGTTAAGCTGGCGCACTTCAACCCAACGAGCAAGCAAAGTCATCGCTGTGGGGGCTCCTGGGAGGGCATGACCAGGAACCTCGTACCTCACCTTAAGTTCCACCGCTAGTCGCCCCTCCCAAGAAGTATTCATATCTGTTGTCCTCGAGAAAAAGAAGAAGAATCGAGACAGTCTCCCCTCATTAGCCTGCCTCCGATCCCGCGACAAATCTACACCGGTCATATTCGAAACAGCGCTTGTCCATGGAGTTTCCCCCCCGTCGAGTGCTTTCGTTCAGAGATCTCGTTCTTCGTCCTTGCCCACGACTTGTATACTCCTCCCAGCCTGCGATCCCCCTGCGCATCATTTGCGGGTACGATCGATCGCCATAGAAGTTCTAGACTCACCTACCAGGTGCCCAATGTGTCGTGACCCCGGATGATCATCCGCTCGCCATGAGCCATCCTTCTCCCCAGAAGAACAGCGGAAACATTGTTCCCCCTCCGCGACAGATCCGCTTCGTCTCGACAGACGGTCAACCTCAAACAAAGCGACGGCGAGTCAACGCAGCGTAAGTCTTGAATGCTATCTAGCCCCAGCTGGCTCATTTCTCTCACTGTGATCAATCATTAACTTGTGGCTCATATATTCTTTAGGTGCTTAACGTGTCGCAAGCGCAAAATCCGGTGCTCTGGTGAACAACCAGGTGAGTGAAGGCCAGGATCCTCGCGGCCGCAGGCGATCGCTAATAGTTCGCATTTGGGCGCATCAGTGTGTAAGACTTGCTCCGACTACAATCATGTATGCCAAGGGTATAGCGAGTCGACGAGCCATGCTCGATCACAATCGGACTCCGGAACCCGAGCTCACACGATCACATCTCTATCCATTCCTATCGAGAATAGTTCGCGCGTTGCTCTGAAAGTGGAGGCTCGCTCCCCGGGTCCCTCACGTCGAGCGACCGTACCCTCTAGCGATCGCAACGACAAGCCTACAGCACAACTTACGTCGTCGTTGGAGGTGAAGGAGACACCATTGAGAAAGGATGTGTCCTCAGGAACAACAAAAGAACTTGAGCAGCAACCGTCTGCAGAAAGCCCAGAGAGTAGTATGTGATTGTCCCCCCGCGTCGCTCGATTCATGGTGGTCATCTATGCTTACCATAGTCTTTTAGATCGCACCTCCTTGAGTTCCAGCGCTCGCACGCACGTCCCTTACTTCAGGTATTTTGGGCCAACCGCTATAGTTCCTGGCTTCAAGCAGATGGTTCGGATTCCCCAGAGCGGATGTTGAGCCGGCTCCGATGCTAATTTATTCGCTTGCAGGTCGTCCAGGTTCGAGGGTCTCGCAAGAGTAATCCCTCGTTATCATCAGGTTTGTTTCACTCTGCTTCCCATAAGCCTGTTTGGTGTTCAAACATGGGTAGCTGATGTATTGTAATTACACATGTAGAGTCCTTATCGCCGCTTCGGAGTCCTAAATTCCCGAATGCAGGTGGTACTCATGGAGGCGTTTTGCCCGACACCCGCGACAGTCGTGATTACAACACTATCCCGTTCTATGACCGCGACGATACCCTTCCTGTCAGTAATCTCGTGATGCATCTGTGTGATCTGTTCTTCGTGCATCTAGGGTGCAGCTTCCCCTTTCTACAACGAGACAGATTTCTGAGGGATGTGAAAGATAAGAAGGTAGACACAATGCTTGTGGATTCTATCTGTGCTCTGTCTGCGCGGTTCTCTCTCCATCCACTATTGAGTCCGCCTCAAGCTCCCTCGATAGATGGATCCGAACCAGAAATGGATATGAAGAAATCGAATCGCGGTCAGCCGTTTGCTCATCGAGCAATGAGTGCTTTGGTCGATTCCCTCTCTTGTCCCACTATCTCCGTCGTACAAGCATGCCTTCTATTGGCTTATGAGGAATTCGGGTCGAACCATGATAGTGGCCTCTGGATGTATTTGGGCATCTCTATCAGGATGGCGCAGGACTTAGGAATGCAGAAAGTGCAGGGCTTGGAATACAACTATGGTCAGAGCGGAGTCACCCCCAACGCAGTGCTGACTGGGCAAGCTGGGAAGTTGAGAGATGATCAATATGACGAACCACAATTATCGCCAACCCCAAGGAGCCAGCCACGGGATGCGGAAGGTCGACGTGCCTTGGAACGGGAGCGAGTGGATTCCTTCTGGAGTATCTTCTTTCTCGATCGAGTAATCTCATCTGGCACGGGAAGGCCGGTTACCTTACGCGACGAAGACATTGAACTTTGCTTCCCCCTTCAGTCCGAATCGAGGTTGCCAAATGGCTGGCCGGCACCATTCCCTCCACTTATCCGCATAATCCATTTGTACGGCAGAGTGACAGACCTCATCAACGGGATTCAGGATGTCAAGCACGTTACTTCGGAAACATTGAAAATGCTAGCTGGCATGGAAAGCGACTTGACAGGTAACGATATCTAGATTTTCGAGGTTATACACAGCAGCTGACAATGATTGAATCAGGCATATACCAACGCCTGTCTCCTAGACTCCACTTCAACGCAGCGAACTTCCAAGCCTATGTCAAGGCGAAAGAAGGAACAAACTTCATTCTTCTACACTTCGTATGCTTGACCTTCCTTATTCTTGCAGCCCATGGCCACTAACCCAAAATAGTGGTTTCATACCTTGATAGTGTTGCTCCATCAACCCACGCTTCTCCATTCCTTCGGAGGGACAATTCAGCACCTATATCCGAACAGCAGGGAACTTTCAATGTCTTCAGCTAAGACCATCGCTGACATCCTGTCTTTCTCGGAGCTGGTTGATGGAAAGAGTTTCATCGGTAATCCCTTCACAAGCCAGCCAATGTACATTGCAGCATGTGCTTTCCTTATGGAAAGTGCCTATTACTCCTCCCCATCCTCGAGGGCCGGCTCGCCTCCCATCCAGCCCTTGCTAGCCAATCAATCCAGTGGATTTGTGATGCCCAGCATGGACCCGGCTACCGGCTCTGAACGGAAACCTACCGCCAAGCACATTCTCCTTGCATCAGCTGCGAAAGAGAATTACCAAAGATGCTATAAAGCATTGAAAGCACTCGAGACCTATTGGGAGGGCACAAAATATATCCTCACAGTCTTGGACCAAAAGGCCAAGGGGATCGTGGATCCACTCTTGTATACTGTGGAGGAGATGGAGAGTACTGTTGAACTATCTTCGGTCCAGCCGCTCGCCGCACCACAATGGCGACGAACGCAGTCGTCAAGTGATGGAGCGGTTATCGATCCACCAATGTCTGGGGCCGATGCATCAGAGGATGGAAGACGGTCTCCAAAAATTGATCCCAGTCAAGGTAAGACTCGTCACAGTTCCACTACCCCAATTATGAAGCTAACAGTCCCCGAGCTATTGGATGGGCTCTTACTGGTGCTACAAATTCCTCGCAACCAAACCTAAGCCTCCTATATCAGATGCCCGCGCAGACAGAGTCAATCCCAGACAAGCCAGCATATTCATCCCAGTACAGCCATAGCTATCCTCATGTATCTGTTCAATCGAGTGCTGGTGGGAATTCGAGCTCATTCCCACAGGCCATAGAGCCGGCCCGGAGCACAGCGGCAACCCCGGGGCCATCGATGGCACCAGCATCTGCACAATACTCACCTCTGGCATCTTCTGGTAGGGTTACAACTTCTGATGCCAACCTGCTACTCGGTTTAAACACATCTTTTCCTGGCCCGGCTTCCCGCCCACATAACCCTCGGTCGGCTTTCAGCCATGCAATGCCTTCCTCTTCATGCGGGCTCGAGAGCCACGTACCAGCTTATCATTATGGTATCCCTTCTACTGCGAGCGACAACCATACAGGGAATGGACACTTGATCGCACAAAATTCCATTCCACAACCTGATGTAGGGTCTCACGCCGGAGATGTGTTTATTGAGAGTCAGGATGTTGACATGGCGATGCTCCAACAACAAGATCAGCTACCCTTTGCTTTTAGTGGCGAGATACTTCCATGGCTCGAATATCTTCCACAGGACGTCCTCAACTACTTTGGTGATAATCAAAACTACCAAAATATGCTGAGTCCAGATGATGAGACCCCTCGACCACATTAAGTTTTTGTCCACATGCTCTTTTGCATGATCTCTGCGCTCTGTGGTCATTTCTGAGACCAATTTTCGGTCCTTTAATGAGAAGACCGACGTCGAGAGGGCTCGTTTTGACTCTCTTCTTCCGCTTTATTGTTCCGTATATCTGTCCTTTCCAGCGACAAGCATTGGCTATCAGCATAGTTTTCTTGGTGCTTTAATCTCCTTGAGATTGAGTTTGTCTCACTAGCCGTTGACTTCATTTGAATGCATATTGGGAGGCTCTTTGATGTTTGTCGCTTGAGCGTAATGACTGTCTTTGGCCGCTTGCTTCATGCCATGTATTTACCTGTACATTCAGAATCCGACTTCATCATTAGAATTTTGGGCGCTTCGTCTTTATCATACACCGGTTCGAACTCGCCGTACTGGTACTTCGATCTCCGGGCCCGCTGTGGGGTTGCGGTGACAGGACCCGCCTAGACCGCAGTCCCGCAGGCCCGCCCATGGAACTGAATCCCTTGATTGTCTTATGCCAAGAGCCCCAAGGGATTGTCAGGGTCTACCTTTGTACCTTCAAGACCCAGCAATATAACCCCTTCCAGATAGTCAGTCAACCTCCCGCTGCCTATAGCAGTAATGGCTAATATTTCACTGTATCATCAACTCAGCAGGTTTCTATGTTCCGCAATCAACATCATCAGCTGCATCTACCTCGTTCTATACATCCTCTCCCTCCGCTATTACCACAACCTTAGCTATCGCGATCCCACGTCCTTCTTCTTCGACCCCGACCGTGCCTACGCAAGACAGTACTCTACCAAGCGAATTGCCGAAGCCGAAGCGTTCCTTCCTCGCCTCCTCCAACAATCTAGTGCCGCCGCCAACGAGACCACACGAAGCGCAACCAACAGTATGCGTAGGCATCGTGACAATCCGTCGGCGGGGCGACCAATACGTCGGATTGACAGTGGCATCACTCCTAGACGGCCTCAGCGACTCCGAGAGAACTCAGATCCTCTTGTACCTCCGCGTGGGCAACACCGACGCGACAGAGCACCCGATCTTCGCAGAGAAATGGGTGGAAACGCTCCCCGACCGTCTCCTGACGTATTCGCCAGATGACCCCGACTTCCACAACTACAAGAATGGGAGGCCGGCGGCTGGTATCGGAACAGATCCATCTACGATTTCACAGCGTTGATGCAGAGCTGCTACGAGACCGGCGCCGAATACATCGCCATGATCGAAGACGACACCCTGGCCGTCAAGGGCTGGTTCCCGGCTGCGTTGCAAGCGCTCGGCACCGTTCAGGAACGGGCCGCCCGTCGAGGGCAGGAGTGGTTGTACCTTCGACTGTTCTACGTTGATGGCCTGCTGGGCTGGAATGCCGAGGAATGGCTGCATTACCTCGCTTGGTCATTCATAGTCTGGGCGGTGCTTACAGGGATAATGGTCGTCTCTAAGAAACGAGTGTTCAAGACGCAGCTCTGGCGTCTACCGGCTTGTGCGATCTGGTTAGCCTCCTGCGTCCTCATACCCGCTGCCATTGCCCTGCATTTCATGGCTGGCAGGCAGACCATGTGGCCCATCTCCGCCGGCGTGCATGAGATGAACAAGTACGGTTGTTGCTCGCAGGGCCTGGTTTTTCCTCGATCGATCGTCCCGCGCTTCTTGGAGCAGACAGATTTGACGACCGACTGGCTGGTTGATATGATGATTGAGACTATTGCGGACCGCCAGCACTGGACGCGCTGGGCCGTAGTGCCGCCGTTGCTGCAGCATATCGGCGCGACGAGCTCGAAGGGGTATGGGTTTGACAACTCTGCGAAGACGATATGGAATTTCCGGTTTGAGGAGTATGATAGATAGTTGCCTATATTGTGAATAGCGAGAATTGTGTATTCTGCTGAGGGAAGGAATACCAGCGTAGTCAGCGATTTTCGTCACCGAGACGTTGAGAGAGCATCGTCCCATATAGCACTAACTACTGCCCTGCAGGTGTATACACACTAGTTTAGAGTATTGACTAAGATATATACCCGGTATCTTAACCTATACTAGTATTGGAATCTTATAAAGATATAACTTGGGCTACTAATGACTGACGTCCTTAAGGTCTGCCACCACACCTCAGTTGGGCCAGGGCTTGTTCCACCCCATCAATGGGAGGCCCAGCGGCCCCCCACTGCTCGCTTGGGTTATTCTACCCCCTGACTGTCTCCTGCCGAGACATTGCTTGTTGCTTTTGCAGCATGCGTATTCGTAGTTAATGAAACTAATATGCGTTACGCGGGCATTTCATCAATATACCAGAAGATCCAAAACCTTTCCTTCAAATATTGCCAAGTCCTGACCTGCATATCGCTGTCCTCATCAGAGTCTTCTGGCTCGGGAAGATTTCTCCGACCACCACTGATCTGCAGCCCCTTTTTTCTGCTCGTAAGTGTGCAAAGTGCTTTCCGCTCTTCGCTATCTCGTGCGACATAATCCGTTTTATGGCGACCTTATTATTGATCGTTCTGCTGTCGATCACTGACCTGAAGAGTTTATACCTTCAGGCACACAGCAGCAAGTAACGCGTGTACAACACGGATCACGACGAACGCGGATTGCAGTGGTAATTTGCAAGAAAGTTACTACGAAAATGACTGGCTAGCTGCAGTCCCTTATCTATAGTTCGTCGACGAGTCTCTTCCAGTCACTGGTTCTGTTGCCACTAACTATCTCTTTACCAATACATTGTTATAACGTGTACTTTCTCCACGGTTCTCCCCGGCATCCAAATTAAGCTATCCGTCCTTCTGCAGCTCCACCGCCTGGAGTTCCAAGTTAATTGGTTTTTGTGTGTCCATCAATCAAACCGCCATCTGCCGATCCGTAGCACTAAGAGCCATATGAAGGAAACGCTCTACGCAACAATCTTTGGGTCTGAGCACAGAAGATCATCGCCGATATTCTGGTTCTCGTTTTCGGCGATGAGAGATTTGGGGCAGCACCGAGGTTGGGCAGTTGCTTTGATTTTGCGGCAGCTTTCCTCGAATTCGGCAGTATTTTTCGAACTCGAAGCTGTGTGCTCATCGCAGGTCAGTTAGACCCTATCAGAGGTTTTCAAGGGAACTAGGGTATCATCTTACGAGCCATGCAGACGCTGTAGGGATAATGTTCCGCAGTCCATGGCATGGTAAAGCAGCATGCAGGAGTAGGCTCAAGAGGGTTGCCGTTGCCGGTTTGACAGACAGAATCAGCGCGCTCGCTGAGGATAGCAGGCTGAGCCAAGGCAACGCCTGCGGAGGCGGCAAGAAGAATAGTGGAAGTCCTCATTTTGATTTTGATAAAGTCAACTGAGATGTAACGAGGGCAGTCGTTTTGTTCGAAATAGCAGGTGCGAGGTACGGATATTTAAACATGACATTGGCGTCCCATCCATTCGATGAGTCGACCACAAGTCAAACATTCCCAGACATCAAGCCGATCTACAACTACTACAATAGGGCGGTGATATAACTATCGCTTTCCTATTTAGTCATCTTGTCTGTAGGTTTTGCTCCTTTTCACTAACTCCGCAGTACTCTTGTGGGGATTGCTCCATAATTCTCCGCTGTAATACAACGACCCACACCTGCCCAGTAGAATACGAGGAGTATGAAAGAATCGTAGTGAGGTAGCTGAACTCAGCTGAATCACCTATCGTCACCGCAAGTTCAGTCACTCGTAGCAGAAAAGTCAAAAACTTTTAGCCCCATCACTCCACACCCAAAAGAACACATATACAAAACGAAGCAAATATCACAGCTTCCTAACACTAGTAGAACTCTATTTATTGGAATGTAATGACATCGACCTGGCTAGCTAGTCATATTCATCCTTCTCTGAGAGATTTTTCAGCTCCACTGATAATAGGGATTCGTGAGAGTCACGTCGAACTAGTACTGGGACACACCGAGATCTTCGAACCTCTTGTGGATCCCGATTCGAGTTAGCTTCACTAGCGCCTGCATATGCATGGTAAGTGCATGTTGATATTCCATTGGGTGGTTCCATTTACGGAGCTCGGCAAATTAAGAAATCTGCCGGCAAAATCACACGCAGAAGAATTACATACATATATTATCCCCTGCAGTCCTCAAAAAAGAAGAATTAAAAAGATTTCCTAATAAAGAGTTCTAATTATAATACCCTCGGCCTCTAAGCACCCTAGCATCCTTATATAACAAGAGGCTATTACGTGATAGAAAAGACTGTAAGAGTCCCCGAAGAAGCTTAGAAGAAGAGTTGTTAAGCTTAGGCCGGGGGGTAATAAAGAAGATCCAGGTGTCTTAGTAGGTAGGCGGTTACCGCTGCGGTGAGAATACTTGTCAAAAGTTTTCTATTTGCCGAGTGGCCACAATTCCGGCTGAATCCCAACAAGATCATCTGTAAATCCGACCCACCGACTGCCGATCCTTCCTCATAAGATCTGCAATACGTTTATGTTGTAGGCCCCTTTAAACCCCAGGATCTAGCAATACACATGTAAAGACTATAGGTACTCTTGGATGTGTGCGTTAGCGTTGCCCGACGCTTACCCCCACTCTTACCTATATAAATCTCTCTACGTACCCTGCCGACCCTAAAACTTTTTGACATATAAACACTCAACATCGTACTTCAAATCTAATCATCCGAACTAGATTACAAAGCCCACCCAACATGAATTCCCAAAAAAACAGATTAGAACTAGTGAGTTCTTAACTTTTTGAATCTACTTTCTAGCGACTTTGAAGCTAACTATCTAGCAAGAGATTCATCGGGACCTATGAGAATCAAATATTCTTCGAGCACTGCATGCAGTGGCATAGAATGAAGCCAGCGTACATTTACCTTACTTTGACAGATAAACGTGTAGATACTGATGTTTGTGATAGCCTGCAGCGCCTCTACGGCAGATTTGGACTGCCCGATCTCAATCAACAAATGGGTAGAAGCAAAATGGAATGGAAGTTTCTGGGGTCGGGGCCACCCTTCAGAGACATGGTAGTGTGTGTATCCCCTATGCCTCCAAATTCATATCGCTTATCATAGATCTCGTACGAGAGACGGTAAACTCAGCTAATACTCGCTTTGTACTAGGTTATATCTGCCAGAGGATTCAGTGTTCGATATCGAAGCTATGAACAAAGTGAAGCCGAGAGAGGTAGACCCCAAAAACTATGTTTTCGACATGGAAGTTTCTGCCGTCATTGCCCCAAACCCGTATGCCTAGGTACTCTCGACACGTGGTGTGAGATTATCAATAGGACTTACTTCTGATCTTGATGAGTGATAACGCATCTTTATCTACTGGAGTGAGTGATCAGTTTGAGCTGAAAACCATGCATTGCACAACTATCTACAATATCTTCGTGAAGATCGCGGAGATAGACATAGTGCCAGAAATCATTTGCAATCATTTGGACTGTTTGCATTAGGTGGGGATAGCATCATAGGTGGGCACTGCAGACTCCAATTCGAGTAGACAGCCCAATCGACGACACAAACAAACACAAACAAACAGTTGGATGGGCAGGGATCCACTTAGTGCTGTTGCTTCACTCCCTCGCCTTCCGGCCGCAGGAGGGGAGGGGGTAGCCATTCATCAAGCAGATTACAAACCACGTTCCAAGTGCCTTCATTATCCCACAAACATTTAGTCGCTCTTAATTAATGAACCCAAGTATGCCTTCTGATACTTCTGCAGATTGTGCAGAGGGTTAGATAGATAAGTGGGCTGCTTGCCTCTTGGTGGCATTTAGTCTATGATACTGATCGAAACACGAGAGTCTCGGTGGCTTCCTAAAAGTCTTCCCTTTGACAGCTTGTTTCTTTTTATCTTCTCCGAGGGCTGAAAAGACTGGCACCTCCTTTCCTGATGCTGTTCGAGGCATGCCGTCGCTTCTCCTAAGTTAGACGTCAGGCTCGACTTCGGCAACAGTGGGCACTCGGGGTAGATCCAGCCGGAAATACCGGGCGACCTCCTGGATACAGCTCCAAAACACCTCTGTATCATGTTTTGAGATGCCAACCCGTCTGGCACCCCGACTATGCCAATGGGGTTCGATTTTCAAATTCTGAATCATGATGCTCGCCGGCACGACAATCTCGGTTTCGACGTCATTCAGGACGGTCCGGTCCGAGAGATACAGGCCGTAGGTGATCTCGGTGGAAAGCCATTGGAAGTCTTTGTGCGCATCGAAGAGGCTTAACGTGGACCTTTCGTCGCGACCGTAGACCGAGCGGAACCATCTTGTGGCATTCTCGTGGTTCTGTGCGTCGCATTGCCACTTCTCGCGGGTCATGGTGTAATCTTTATCCGGCTCCTGCTCCACCTGGCTGATCGCAATGATACACTCAATCGGCTTGCAGCATCCCACAATCGAGACACATTTGATCAATGCTTCTCGAATTCTGCGGACGAGTGCCTGCCGCTTGGCGGACGACGTGAATTCTTCTTTTTGGGTCAAATATAGGTAGAGATCGCTTGCTAGCTCGGGGTTCGGGCCGGTCCCAAGTCTTTTGCTTTCAAGTTGGCTTCGATTCTGTGGAAAAGGTCCACAACAGTAGCGGCGGCCTTTGCCGGTTGAAACCCGGGCTCGGTTTTTTGCTCAGTGTTTGACATTGTGGCAGACTTTGATGATCTGGAAATGGACGAGGGGAGCCGAACAATGGTTATGGGCTTCAAAGGTCGTAACTACACATCTGTCAATTTCTTTTCTTCTTGTGATACCCGGAGCAATTTATACTCTCCACTACCTGGCTATAGCTACTGACTCAAGACACCAGCCCCCCTCTCCCCCTTTTCCTTTACGAAAAGTCACGATGCCAGAAGGGTATAACCGAAGTTCTCCATCAGGAACCCACTGGGCAGGTGTCTTAGTCTAGGTTACATCCAAGGCCTGACCCAGGATGACGAACGTAGGGAATGATCAGGCATTTGTTCTACCTCTGATTGGTCAGCTCTTCTTCTTGACTTCAAAATCCATCCGGGCTTCGATGGCCCCACTAAGGGAAGATCCGCAATGTCTTGGCCGCGAGACACGGTGAGAGCCACCCACAGATGTCCAGCTCGGGGGAAGATAATTGTAGTCAGTGGTCGGAGTTTATGGACAAGGTATACCGACGAGTGTGGCTGGGCGTGGGTAAGTGAACAGTTGATATATCAGGACTAGGGATGATTTCTCTGGGGCAAAAAGGCTACCCAACGGATGCCTGGGGCACCAACGTGGACTCCAAGAACAGTCATGTGACCTTGTCAATCCCCCGCGTTTCACAACCAACTCTTGATTCATGTCTTTCCAACGCATCTTTTACTCGATCTGGCTCAGAAAAAAATATGAGACTCACAAGCATCAATCAATTATCATGGAAATGTTGCCCAATGAGCTGCTTACCTCTATCGGCGAGTATAGTCGGGAGGGAAGGTACCGCTCAAGATCCGTTCGGGCCCTGAGCCTATGCTCTAAGCGCTTCCATCATGTCTTTCAACCGCTACTCGATTCCGACATCCTGCTTACCGGAAATCCCCTCACTGCCCGTGATGTCGCTCTAATCATGCGATTCTGGAAACGTCCAGCACTCGCTTGTCGGGTGCGTCGTTTCGAGGTCCTGTGGGAGGAATCTGCCAACTCGCGGCGACGCCATGGGACGTTCAATACGCAGCAGCCTGAAGCCGTGGTCTTCATCGAACACGCTCTGACTGAGATCTTCGGCGACCAGCAACCGCGTCTCAAATGCAGGTGGAGAGTGCATCTGTACAACCTGAATACAGAGGCCTGGGCGGCGATCCTCCTCGTCCGCTTGACTCGTTTGCGGACCCTGGTGCTGAGCCACAGTGAAGACGAGGGATTGGTGGCAGAGATTATGCGCAGGGCTGCGCAACGGCAGCGACCTTTCCATCGAGCGCCACCCTTCCCGATCCTCCAGGAAATTCAGGCCGAGGCCGCGTGGAGCAGGGCCTGGAGGTAACCCGGTTCGCAGGAGCCCTTTTACGCGCTCCCTTGGGCCGCTGGATTGGTGAACACTGCGACATTTGCTATGTTGAAAGAACTATAAGCACATACGACCACAGGGTGTGGAAACCAGGGCTTCCCGTCCGCTCAGCCGTACTTAAGCCACACGCCGGGAGGTTAGTAGTTTTTCTTTTCGTCTTAAAGGTCCCTTAAATTTCTTCTTCCTTTTCTATCTCTTTGTTCTTTTCTTTTTCACATGCCTCTACGTTAGTATATAGGCCGCGTGGATGATATCCTCAGCATGTCCAAAAAAAAGCGCCAGGCAGCCGGGGGGTGAAGGATCTGGTCATCGCTAAGAATATGTCAAAAGCTGACTATAACTTGCCCGGAATACGCACCACTCGTCAAACTCTTTCACCACGGCCGGAGAGAACTGTTAGTTTTCTTCTCCATTACCTTAGAACATTTGCTCCTCTTTTTCATCAAAATTTTCCACTTACTGCCAGGAAACACCAATACAAGGAGATAACCAGGAGCAGAAGATTTTATGTTAACGGCCGCGCTAAGTACATATACATAGTACTTATCAAGCAGCATAGATAGAGCAACGCGCAGCCATTAACCAAAATTCTACAGTTCTCCCCTCGCAGCCTTCCAAAAAAACACATTAGCCAAACTACTGGATCACATCTCTTCATCTTCACAATTTCCACCGCATTCCGTTGCACTGGGCCGTATCATAAGGCGATGCATCTCTTGTGCGGCGCCTCTTGCAGGCTCGCTGCAGCCCTAAACCCCGAGACATATTCGGCCGAAGGACCAAAACGCTGTCCACTCGGTCACGGACCCTTTGAAGTTCTGTCTACGTAGTGGCAAAGAATCTAATATCATTAATTATGTCCTCTTCTCCTTCTACATCGTCTTCATATTCTAGGGAATAAGGATCGCTTTATTCAATAGATACAAGCTTCTTTATTCCGTTTCGCTTCAATCCCAACTCGTCATCTACCATTCTACCTCATTCCCCTCAACAAGTCGCCGTGGTAGCAGGTTATTTGCTCGGCTCCGCGGTCAAGCGCAAGTGACCCTCCCAGGTACCGCCATGGGTCATCGTACAGCAACCACGGACAGCGCCGGCGGCGTTGAGGGCGGTGGCACAGTTCTCGACGGCGGCCAGGATCGTCTTCTTCTCGGCGGTGGTCTCGCAGTTTGAGCCAGAGGTCGTGGCCTCATAAGCGTAGCCCTCGACATAGCTTTCTTCGGAGTCGACGCCGTAGGTGACCGAGCACGAATCGGCGGTGGACTTCGCCTTGATGATCGCGGCAATATACTGGTAAATGTTGACGCCGGCCTCGGCGGCTAGAACGACGGTCGAGACGCCGCCGACCACCGTCGCGTAGGCCACCGCGGTGGCGATCCCCGTGCGCTTGGCGAGTTCCCCGTCTTGCGCGTACAGGCTCACGTAGTCGGCATTGACCGTGTCAAAGGTCACGGTCAGGTTGGTACCTGCCCCATCCCACTCGGTGGACTCCGGGATGTAAGTTATGTGAGTCCCGTTGTAGCCCGCAAGGCAACGCCCAGCAAGGCCAAATGCGAGCAGACCAGAAAGGACTTTGCGGGAGAGGACCATTCTCCGGTTCGATATCGGATAACGGCCGCACAAAGATCAAGGATAAGAGTAAGAAAGATAATATACCCGTCGGCAAGCATGGATGGGACTGCGAACTGGCGGAGGAGCCGAGAGGTATGACTTGAAAGGATTAAATGGGATGTGTGGGAGACAGAGCGATGGCAGTTCCTGGTGAATGGATGGCCTTTTATATCCGTTATACCACCTTCTAAAAAGCACTAGTTTTGAAGCGAGGCAGTTGTTGTGTGACTGTTTTTCAGCTATCGTGCTTCACGCTCCGAATTCTTGTAGAGCAGCGATTTTGGGTAGAGGTAGTCATACGGCAGGGAGCTAAGTCGGGCTTCGAATCTCTTCGCTTATCTCCCCGTTGCGGCTTTACTGTGGATACAGTACTCCTGGGAAACTATCGACCCGGCTTGGCAATTCAAGCTTATCTGGGCATCGGTCGGGAATCGGAAGGTGTCCGAATTGTGTTAATTAGTTGGTATCGGTGTGGAGAGTCTTGACCAGATATGTATGGTGTCTCTCCGTGTGGTAGTCATTTTAACGCACGATTGTATAGGTACAGATCTCGACCCGATCGAATCTTGATATTGCATCTGACGAACCATTGCCTTCCGTTTTATGGCTACCACTGCGAAAGCGCCTCTGTCACTGAATTCGACTTGGAGGTACCACTTCAAGCTATACACAACAACACCACCTGATGGCGGCTAAAGACAATTCCGCGGCAACCGTGGTGGAGGAAATCTCTGCGATTGCTATTGCTATACGTAACGTGCGCCGATAAGTTAGTGGGGCAGGATTGGCCTTAAGCTTATTCGAGGCTTAACAACCTTCCCTTTAGTCTCCAGGCTGCGTACGGATCATTCCCTGGCCAATCGCCTACCCATCTTGCGTTGAAGAGGATGGGAGACCAAGACAGAAATCAGTCTTTTTAGAGCAAAGTTGGACATATCCAGAGTGACACTGCAGGACACGCTCGGCCTCATGTACTACGAAAGTACATATAGGTTGAATTAGTCCAACCATTTTGATCCCTGAGTCTTTTATTCCTGATTGTCAACGACGCACGATTGAACATGCAACAGGTCCTTCCCCGGACTTTTCCGAGGACTGAAATCAGAACAGATTGAACTAGTCGTAGCTAAATATCAACGAAATGAGGCTACTCAGGAGATGGCTTCGGGACTTGAGATGTTGATTCCTTGGTGTTGACTGTGTTGGTTACTAACTGACTTCTCTGTGTGGGGGAAACTCGCTTATAGGCCTAAGTCACGTGGCCAGATTACTCAGGCGCTGATACTAAAGTGCCACTGGGCCGTTACCAGCAGAGGCATTGATGCCAGGAAGGCGGCCAGCAGCCCCTTGTGAAGTTGTGAGCAATTAAGAAATTACCCCTACAGAGGGCTTTACAGAGGTAACTCAATCCAGTCTTCTTTTCGTCCGCGGTGGAATTACGGGCCCCACTCGAAGGGCGCTATGGAACACTGGCGTACTTAGTACCAGAGGATATTGCGAGATGTTGACAATATATGTATCTAGACCTACACAGCATCTGTGCTCAAATGTTTGATTATAGAAAGCCTTTCATGGTGTTCTGATCTAGCCACTTTTTTTGCCCTATCTTCTTATCCCACATACACAAGTTATACGATATACCATCCAAGAGGATATTATTACACTACTATTGCGGTTCAGGTTGGTAGAAAGTATTTATAATTCCTAGGTGCTATACTTAACAACTCTGATATCCCATGTTTTAGCAACGTTCACGAGGAGATGTATTAATGTAATATCTGTAAGAGGGTTAGAGCGTCTCGGTAAAGACTTCAGGTGAGAGTCCTCCTAGAAGTCAATAACTCATCTATCAGAGTTCAATCCGTAACTAGCGCGCACGATTAAGGAGGTTCTCATGTCCAGTGAGATGCTGCTATTGCTCTCGAGTATAGAAATGGCGTTATATGGATGGTGTCTTCTAAGAACCACCATCTTAGGTTAGAGCTCGATTTGGCGAGTCCGATTCACTTTTACTTCGGCGTGTTCACGGTCTTATACTTGCTCCGCCAGAGTTCGATATACTGCCATACTGCCATTAGCCACAGGTGTAAATACGGGTATAGCTATTAACTTATCTCTTTCTTTGCACTACCAGTTATTTTTGATATATCTTACTAATCTGTTAATGTGGCTTCTTAACAAACTTTATGTGGTAAGCTCTATTAACTGGAGATCTTGTATATTGGTAAGCTTTATACTAAAGTAGTTATACAAGGTATCGGAGTTAGACATGGCAGAACTAGCTCGATAACTCGAGGCTCACCCGGCCAGCTTGCTGATTAAGTAAATTAAGTCCTACTCAACTGTCATGGTTAACCCGCGCAACCGAGTGGTTACCGTGACGGAACACCCATGCCTTAGTCATGAAATAATTATAATGTCAATGATTTAGTAGAATCTGTATTTTAAATATCTAGGCCTTACTATATTCTAAGAAGATAAAAATTAATCTATATCTATATAATACCAGTACTTTAATTTTATACCTAACTGATTTTTTCTCTTTATAATTTTAATTCTTTTTTTTTAGCTACCTATAGAAGAAGAGTATAGGATATTATTTTAATAACTATATTCTAGAAATAATTCAGAATTAGAAACTTCTTTTATAAATATTAAATCTTCTATTCTAATTATCTATAATTTATCAGTAAAGAACTTTATTATAATATAAAATATTATTAATAAATTTTAAGATTATTAATAATTATAGTAGTAAACTACTAAATTAAGATAAAAGATTTAGTAATATAATATTAATCTTATATTAAATTATTAGTAAAAAACTTTATTACCTTTAAATAATTTAAAATCAGATATTAAAATTAAGAATATTCTTTAATTTAAATTATTTTTTAATATTTAGAAGTAATAAGAATAGTTCTATAATTTAAATTATAATTTTTAAAAAATATCTTCTAAATTTAATACTAATTATTAAAAAATTCTTAAAGCTATTAACTATATAAGTATTATCTACTAATAAAAATAATATTAATATCTTAAAGAATTATCTTTAGAATAAAAAAAATTTATTAATTATTTATAATTTTTTTTTATTAAATAAACTTTTTTTTATAAGAAATACTACTATATTTAAACTAGATATAATAAATTAATTTAAATAAATATAATAATAAAATAATTAAGATTTATATAAGTTTTATACTTATCTTAATATATTAGAATAGTATTTTTTTAAAATAATAAAAAAAAATAGAGTTTTATTTTTTTTATTAAACTACTCCTTAATTTTAATTAATATATTAAAAAATATATTTACTAATTATCTGAAAAATATAATAAGATAATATTAATTATTATTTATTATTAGAATCTATATTTACAGCAGTAAAAAAAAATAAAAATAAAAAAATTTAAATATATTATAAAAATAATTTTACTTTAATAAAAAAATATAAAGATCTCTAAAATCTTATATTCTTAATTAGATTTAAAAATAATTATATTATTATCTATATAATAATACTAAATATCTTATAAACCAGTATTCTAAAAAAAATAAAAAACTTAACTAAATCTAGAGATTATAAGCTAAAAAAATTAATTTAGAAAATTAATTAAAATTAAAATTTTACTTCTTATCTTAATCTAATTTTTTAAAATAAATATAGCTAATAAAGCCTTAGTACTTATATAAATATTAAATATTAGTAAAATATTTATAGATATAGATACTAGTATTAAATATAATATTATTAATATCTAATTTATATAATATTTTTTCTTTACTAAAATTTTATTATAATCCTTAAATTTAAAAGTTATTAATAATAAAATAATTCCTAGTTATAGAATATAAAATATCTCTATTAAAATAATTAATTTAAAAAACACTTAATAGTAGTTTACTAAATTTTATATAATAATTTATTATAATTCTAATAATATCTTTATTTTATTATTTATAACTATTATTAATAATTATAAAATTTATTTAAGTTTATAGAATAAGATATAATAATTTAAGTTCTATAATATATAAGAATTATATTCTTAAAAATTTACTAAAATATATTAAAATTATATTTATATATATACTTTAATTAAATTACCAGAGAAGTTATAGCTATTTATAAAAAATAAAATATTAAAATATTTATAAAATAATAATATTCTAACAGAATTTTAGGATTTTTAGGATATTTTTTTTAACTAGTTTAAATTATTATTTAACTACTATAAGAATAATTATACTATTAATTTTATTAATAATAAAAAATCTTTATTTAGTTCTATTTACTCCTTATCTAAAAAAGAATTATTAGTTTTAAAATAATATATTAATAAAAACTTAGAAAATAAAAAAATTTAATTATCTAAAAATCCTACAAGATCCTCTATTTTATTTATATTTAAAAAAAATAAAAATTTATATTTTTATATAGATTACTATAACTTTAATAAAATTATAATTAAGAATTATTATCTTCTTTTATTTATTACAGAAATCCTTAATTATTTTATAGAATATAAATATTTTAGTAAAATTAATATACAGAATACTTATTATTAAATTTATATTAAAAAAAATAAATAAAAGATTATATTTTAAATATATTATAATTATTTTAAATATTTAATTATATTATTTAATTTAACTAATATCTCTATCTTTTTTTAAAATTATATTTATTCTATATTATATAATATTCTTAATATTATTTATATTATTTATTTAGATAATATTCTTATCTTTTTAATAATAAAATCTAATTATATTAAATATATTAAATAAATTCTGAATTAATTAAGAAAAATAGATTTATATATTAAAATTTTAAAATACTTTTTCTTTTAAATCTAGATTAAATTTCTTAATTATATAATATTTCTTTAAGATATTACTATAAATTCTTAATAAATTAATATTATTATTTTCTAATTATTATTAAAAAGTTTTTATAAAATATAAGTTTTTCTTAAATTTTATAATTTCTATTAATAATTTATTTATAATTTTTTATTACTTACCTTATCTTTAACTAATTTATTATAAAATAATTAAAATAATAAGAAACCTAGTTTATATTATTTTATACTTAATAAATAACTAGTATTTTATTAATTTATTAATATATTCTAAAAAATATTATTATTTTATTTTTTTAATTCTAAATTATTAATCTAAATTAAAACTAATATCTATAAAAGTATAATTATTAATAAAAAATCTATATTTATTAATTAATTCTGGTTAGATCTCTATTTCTAAATTAAAATAAAAAAAAATTATTAATAGTATTCTATTCTTAAACTAATAATTAAATTAAAAAAGTAAATTAAGTCTTAGAATACTATTTAAAATATTTTATTATAGAAAACTAAGACTACTAGATTAATATACTATTTAAAACTAAATTTATTTATAATAATTATAAAAATATATTAACTAAGATTATTTTTTTTAAAATTCTTATAGATTATATACCAGAGTTTTAATTATAGATTAAAAATAATTTTATAAAAGTAGAGATATTATCTACTATTAAAAAACTAGAAAAACTTAATAATTTTTAAGAAAATCTATATTAAAATTAGTAAAAAACTACTAAAAAATAAGTACTTTACTATAATAATTATTATAATATTCTATTTTTTAAAAAAAAAGAAATAAAATAATATATATTTTTAAAAGAGATAACTTAGTTAAATTATTTATTAAAAATCTAAAGTTTAAAAAAATAATTTATAAATTAATATCTAAATTTATTAAATTATTCTAAATTATAAATATAATTAAAAAATAAATATTTTATTTATATCTACTAGTAAAATATAATTATTTATATAATATTTTCTATATATCTCTTCTAGAATCTTAGAAGATTAAGAAAAATAAAACTAAATTATTATCTATATCTAATCTAGATAATAATAATAAATAGAAAGTAGAATAAATACTAGATAATCTAATATTATAAAATAACTAGTTTTACTTTATAAAATAGAAAAAATAGTTTTTAGAATATAACTAATAATTATTAATTAAAAACTTAGTAAATATCCTATAAAAAATATATAAATTTAAGAAAGTAAAATCTAAGAGAAAGAAAACTAAATAATAAATAAATTATTATATAATACTTATATAATTTACTTCTAGAATAATTATAAAATTAGATAATATAATATAAATATTACTAGTAATAATTTTTTTATAATTTTTATATTTCTAGATACTAATAACCTAGTACTTAATAATATTCTTTATATAAAAAATAAAAATATAGTAGAATACCTTTATCTTTCTTATAAAATTAAAAAAATATTATATTTAGTAAAGTATTTACTAATAATATTAATTTTCTTAATATATTTTATTATCTTAACTAGATTTAGTTATTTAAGGTCTTAGCTGGATCCGGCTATTAAATTTATAAATATATATATAATATATATAGAGACTAATAATAAAATAATATAATATAAAATCTAAGATATATAATTATAAAGAAAAATATAAAATAATAATATATTATATTTAGTTAAACTACAGATATATTTACTATATAATTTAAAATATAAGTATAATTAATATTTATTTAGTAATAATAATAAAAAAAAATTATATAATAAAATATTATTACTAGTAAAATATTATTAAAGTAAAAAAATATCTATAAATTATATATAATCTAGATAGGAAAATTCTATTTTATTTTATTAATTATAATCTTCTCTACTCTATTTCTATTAATAAAATAATATATAATTTTAGTAATTATAGTATCTAAGTAAAAAATAATAATATAAATCTAAAATAAATAGCTGGTATTATCTAATAAAAATATTAAAAATTTATAACTAATTCTAGTCTAAATTATAAAAATATAATAAGATTTAATCTAATTATAATAAATATTTATATTTTTCTATTAAATTATTAGTAAAACTAACTTAAATTATAAAGAATATCTATAGTTATAATTTTTTTAGTAACTACTATTAACCTATATTTAAAATAATAAATATATTTTATATCTATAAATATTATAATAAAAAAATATATAATAAGATTATATAATTTACAGATAATAAAGTTTTATTTTTTATTATTATTATATTAAAAAAAATTAAACTACTTAAAAATTATTATTAACTTCTTAATATTTTTAAGTATTCTAGCTATAATTTATAATATAATTAATTAAATTCTTTTACTTAATATAGAAGAATTTATAATAGTATAATTAATCTTTTTTATAATATATTAGTAATATTTTATATTTAATATTATATTAAAATAATAATTAGATTTAAATAATTTATTTATTTCTATATTAAACTACTTTATTAAAGTTCTAAGATATTTTAAATAAAATAATATCTCTGGATTAAGGAGTACTATAAATAAAGAATAATAATTTATATAAATAATTATTATAATAAATAATAGATTTTATATTTATTTATTAATTTCTTGGTACTGCTAAATAATAAAGAATATAAAATAATATTTATATATATTTTAATAAATATTTACTAATAAAAACTACTTAAAAATAAGTATTTTATAATAAAAAAATAATAAAATCTAGAAAATTATAATATTAATAAAATAAAAAAGAGAAAAGAGAAAAATATAAAAAAACTATTATTATTATAATAGAAATAATATTATATTTCTAAAATAAAAAAGTATTATTAGAGATATATTAATTTAATATAAATTAATATTATTATTTTTTACTATTAGTTACTATACCTATAAAAATAATTAATCTAACTATTAAATTAATAGTATTATACTACTATCTTACAGCTAAGAATAATTACTATTAAAAAAAAACTAAATTATTATAATTAATTTATATAACTAAATAATTACTATAACAGAATACCTATATTTTAGTTATAAAATAATTATAATATTAATAATTTAGTAGAATTTATATCTTAAATATCCAGGCCTTGTTATACTCTAGGAAGGCAAGAATTAGTCTATATCTATATAATACCAGTACTTTGATTCTACACCTAGCTGACCTTTTCCCTTTACATCAACTGCTTAGTAAGTATCTAAAAGAGTAGTAGATAAAAGAAGTATAGGTCTTAAGTAGTTATAGAGTATTATTAATCTTATAAGTAAAGCCTTTTTAGTAAATACTTAGATTAATAGTATTAATACTTAAGAGTATATTAATATTAGGAAGTTTAAGTTAAATATAAAATAATTATTAAAATAGGATTTAATATTTTTTAAAAACCAGGAAAATAACAGGTACAGTGGTATACTAGTAAGATAAAAATAAAATATATAATATCAGTAGTATATATTTTATTTAAGTTATATAACTAGATTATATAAACTTAGATAAGTAGTCAACATAGTAATTACTTCTCTAGTATTTAGTCCCGGAGTAATCCGGGATTACTCAAGAATTACTTAAAATATATACTTTTATACTTCTTTTATGCTCCCGGCTGCTCAGTAAGCAAAAAGCAGTGCTTAAGTCCGACCTAAAGTAGAAAGGGAAAGTCGCTCGATTTCCGCAGTAATCCAGTTCATTAGTGGACTAGTAGCAGTGGTTGCCCGGCACAACCAGGCGGTCAAGCATCGCCAACAACGCATCAGGTGAAGAGGATCTACACGATGCAGGGGAGATTCTCTTCCAAGAGAGAAAAAAACAAAATAACAAATCGGTAGCATGTATCTTTGACACTCTTCAACTTCTCGGCAATTTCTCTGTGTTCGATCTCGATAAGAAGTGTGACCAGTCAACTACACTGGGGCAGCAGTTTCACGAATCCACCACCCCGGGACCCTTGGAAACAAAAGTAGATTGGGCAACTTTCGCTGTTTCTTACTGGTGCTCCGATAACAACGAAGTGGGATTTACCATTCTCTTTTGTCTTCCACATTCCAGTCACTGCTTTTTTTAGAATTTCGGGTCCGCGAAAGGTTTCAAATACAATGGAGGATCATCCTTATGGCAGTCAGTTTACTGACTACGCAGACGACTCAGAAGAGGAATCTCAACCCCTCTCGTCAGGTTCAGGTCCTTTCGGTGTTGCCCGATCCCCGAATTCGACCTCCCCGGTCGATCCAGCCTTTCCGCCAGGGTTCGACCATCATGCCGACGGTAGCTCTCTCATGGGAGACGCACAGATGCTGATTCAAGACGGATATCGATCGTCCGGATCTTCGACACGACACTCCAGTGAGAACCTCGGCGGATACCTGGACGAGGACCTGGCTTGTATGAGCTCGGGAGAGTCCAGCCGCTCATCGATCTCGTCAATCCCTGCTTCGGCGTACATCAACATGGCGGAGGGATTGAAAGCGACCGTTTTGCCCGAGCACAGACATTCTCACCCATGGGACGGGCGTGACATGCAAGCGCATGGGAGGATGGACGGCACGCTGCGACCGACCCCGGCCACCAGGCAGAGGGAGGCCGCGTTCCGGAATCCGAGCTCCGTCAAGGCGATGCAAATGCATACTGAGGACGAGAGGGACGATGCCTTCCTGACACCGCCGAAGCGCCGGGCTGGTCAGCGCTACTCGGACATCTCCATGCGCTCGGTCGGCTCATCGCCGTTACGGAAATCCCAGTTCTACTCGCCCACAGGGTCGGCTTGCAAGCAGAAACCGAAGAAGGAATACCCCCTTGTCCTTTTGCATTGTAACTTGCTGCCCCCATCGCTTCCGGTGCCAGGCGCGGCGGCGTATCACAACCAGAAGATTCTGAGCGAGGTGCTCCCTCCGGTCTTCTGGCGCCGATGGAAGCTATTGGAGGAGAAGGTGGGCTCCGGGACGCTTCGGGAGCGTGGGGTGCTCATCTCGCATCCGGAAGACCTGTATGACTTGCTTGAGGAGCGATTGTTGGAGAGCTTAGAGCTCCAGCGTTCACGCCTCGACCATGGTCACTTTATTGGGCACGATGAGACGGAGTCGGAGAAGGAGGATCGTTTGGACAGGGAGGACAGCGCCACGGACGGAGAAGAAGGGGAGGCATGCCCGGACTGTGGCGGTCATGTGATCCGACATGGCAACGCCGGGCGCAAATGGGAGATCAAGGTGTTCGCGGCCAACGGACTAATGAGAGCTGGCGCTTGGGCCGCAGCTTGGAAGGAAATGGAAAAAGTGGACGTCGAGGTTGGTCTGTGGCTGCCATCGGAAATCCGAAGGGAGTTGGAAAAGAGGCTCATGGAGGAAGAATACTCCTACCAACTCGACCGCCAACTGCAGGTGCCGCAGCTGCAGGTGCCCGGGGGCAGTGACTCAGTCGATCCCTCCCGTCCCCAAGCCCCACACGCGCGCACGCCAAGCTCAGTCACAGTTGATCAGTCTTCCACAATTGAAGAAACGAAGTCACCGTCGCCTCCGGTTGTGGAGAAGCCTGCACCGGTCGAGAAACGACAGCCAGAACCATCTTATCCTCACCCCTCGAGTGATGAGATTGACCTTCAGACATTGTTGATCAATTATGTCCGCGTGCTGGCTAGTGACCGACGCAATGTGACCATCGCCATTTTGAGCATTCTGGTGGTTTTCTTCGCAATCCAGTCGGCCTCTCATACAACTCCCTCGGCTCTCCGTCCGTTCCCCCATGATTTCATGGAAGCCGAGTCTCATGATCTGCCTGTTGTTTTAGTCAACCCAGTTCAGAACGCCCACGACAACATTCAGACTGACTCCGTGAGTCAGGCCGCTGAGATCCCAGCGAGCCCATATACCGATACCATTGCTGAAGCAGTGCCCATGTCGGTGAGTAGCAATTCAGATCCGGCGAGCACGAGTGTTCAACCTGCTCTGGTATCTGAGACCGTCGCTGAACCAGTGCTCATGTCTGCAAGTGACGTATCAGAGCTCGTGAGCACGAACATTGAATCTGGTATCGTACTGGACACCGCCCATGAAGTTGTGCCGTTGTCTGTGACTGACATTTCAGATTCTGTGAGCACGCGGGTTCACTCTTCTGTCTTGTCCGCAGCAACTGCCCCGATTGCAATGTCCGAGCCCGACAAGGAACTTCATGAGTCGGTCGAAAGCTCTTTGACAGAGAGTCTTCTTCCTTACTCTCAACCTGATCCGCAACCACCCAAGTCCCTTTACACGGCTGTGGAGCCATCATTGAGAGCGATCGCCTTGCTCGAAGGGCAGACCCCAATTCTGGATACTCTGAGCCCGATTATGGAACTATCGCTGGACAAATGAATGACCTGATGATTGTAAATGTAGGAATCTGATTTATGACCGACATGAGATGATTTGATATGCGGCAAGGAATTCGGGCTTCGTGTGGTTCTTCCAAGCTTTTCCTGCTTTCCACTTGTTCCTTTCCTTCCAAGATTGTTTTTAGCCTTTCCATGTATTTAGTGTATGTTAACCAGTGGATTGTTCTTTCCCAAATGTGCATCGTACAACTCAATTATCCGCACAATAATTGACAGACTGCGAGGCATGCGATATGATGTGTGACATTGACATGACTCGTTCTGGCTCTTCCGGACCCTCCACTGCGGGTATGCTATCAATAATACATGAGTAGGATTCAATAGATGCTTCCGGCTGCCGATCACCTTCGTCTTTCGCCTTTCATTTGACCCATAGACCTCGAATAGAGGCTCTTTTCAATTTTCACCTTGCAGCGCCGTCCCGATGGGCTCTCTAATATGTCTTCAATCATCATGCTTCAACAGCGGGTCTCAAACCTCCACGCCCGGTCGCTCGTATCGAGCTGCTCCTCTCTCTCTCTCTCTCTCTCTCCGCATACGGCAGGTCATCGTGAATTCACGGTGAGCCATTGAAGAATCCCTTACTTGGCTTGGACCAAGATTGACAGCCAGAAGCTACTGCATAATGTGTGCGCGCGCAGTGTCGACTACAAAGATGGGATCTATAAAGAACGAGCCCCGGCGCCGAGACATCTTGGTGCAACAATTTCTACGGATAGAAGCCGTGAAGAAGCAGGTCATCGCTACCGGTTCGAGGCTATTCGCAGGTCGTAATTCTTCTTTCTGGTTTCATTTCGTCGGCCGGATTTTTTGCTGATATTCCCTATCTGTCCGGTGTAATTTCTCTTGTGATCTCTTCCGTGTCTTTTACTTCGCCATGAAGCTTTCTCCCAGCAAGCTGGCCTTGTTGTCAGTCGGCCTAGCCCATTGGGCGTCTGCCCGTGTGGTCCAGTTCCAGATTGATCTGACCTACGAAGATCATGAGGTTGCTGGATTTGTGCGCAAGACGATTCTCAGCAATGGGCAATTCCCTGGTCCACACCTCCAATTGAAGCAGGGCGACGAGGTGGAGTTTCTGGTGAACAACTCGATGCCTATGGCGACCACTGTTCATTTCCACGGTAAGCTTTTATCCCCTCATATTGGTGTGAGAAGTTTGCATTGGGCTCATGGATCATTTTCACAGGTGTTGGGCAGCTTGGCACGCCATGGTCGGACGGTGTGCCAGGATTAACCCAGGAGCTCATTCAGCCCGGGGAGCAGTATCTGTACACGTGGACGGCCAATGATTATGGTACCTATATCTATCACTCCCACTCCAGAGCTCTGCTGGATGATGGTTTGTATGGCTCAATCTACATTGAGCCTGCGGAGTCCGTGGAAAGACCGTTCGATTTGATCGCCGAGAATCCAGACGAATTGCAGGCAATGCTGGACGCGGAGCAGAATACGCAGCCGATCTTGCTATCGGACTGGAAGCACTTCGACTCGACTGAGGTCCTGCAACTGGAGAAAGACTCTGGGGTGGAGAACGTCTGTACCAGTGCCGTTCTGGTCAACGGCAAGGGTTCCGTGTTTTGCCCTCCTCAAGAGCATATCAATGCGATCACAACACCTGCCCAAAAAGCTCTCGTGGGTAATGGAACTTTGACTGATATGGGGTATGTCTTCTCTAGGAAGAACTAATGATACTTGTCGGGGCGTCGTGGCTGACCAGGAATAGATGTGTTCTTCCTAGTTCTATCGCGGAATCATTCCCGATCGATCCTAGCAAGCTGCCAGATGGTTACTATAAAGGCTGCATGGCTAGCGAGGGGCCTACCGAGGTCCTAAGCGTGACCGCTGGGTATCAGAGTTACGATTTAATCAGCATGGGTGGAGTGACTGCCCTCGTTTTCTCCATCGATGAGCACCCCATGTACGTGTACGCGGTGGACGGCCGCTATGTTGAGCCCATGCTGGTCGATGCCATCAATATCCCTATCGGATCACGATACTCGATTCTAGTCAAGTTGGATCGGCCCGCTGCAGACTACACTGTCCGTGTTGCCAACAGCTACACAACTCAAGCCATCAATGGCACGGCTGTCCTGTCTTACGAAAAGCAGGGATCCAGCGGATCTGGAGGCTCGAGCAGTCCCTCCCAGCCATACATCACCGAGGTTGGGAGCAATGCCACTGCCAGCACGGTCTTCCTGAACGAGACCAACGTGGTTCCTTTTCCTGCGGTAGCACCCGCTGTCAACGTTGATCGCACATATTTTATCGATATTGAACCATACAACTCATCCTACACCTGGAAAATGCACAATGCCAGTTACGCATCATCGAATGAGCAGCTATTCCCGGTGCTATACAACCGCAGCTCGATCCCAGCGCAGTATACTGTGTCCACACTGAACGATACCTGGGTGGATCTCATTATCAACATAACGACTGCCGGTCAGCCAAATCATCCTATTCATAAACATTCCAACAAGTACTTCGTTATCGGATCGGGCCAAGAGGCATTCACCTACTCGTCAGTGGCAGAAGCCATGCAATATATCCCGCAGAACTTCAATCTGGACGCGCCTCAGATGCGAGACACTTTCTTCTCGCCCGCCTCCGCGACGGGCCCTACCTGGTTGGCTTTGAGATACCATGTGGTCAACCCTGGCCCTTTCCTGATGCATTGCCATTTGCAGATGCATCAGAATGGAGGCATGGCGATAGCATTGCTGGATGGAGTGAACGCTTGGCCCAACACAACTGAGCATCGAATGCCAGTGAAGGCTACCCCATGAGGCGGGATGACCCTTTTTGCTTCCATGTACACACAATGTAAACAGTATTTACCTTGATCTAATATTATTAACTTTCCATCTTCTCAAGTCTGCCACCTGGATCTGACGTCGGTGGGTATGGTTTGGTGCTGTCTCCACAGCGATGCGTGAAACAGCAATCATAACACCGCTTGTAAAGAGTCAGAGCTCTAGTGATCACTTCTTCTTTATGTGTTGATTTTATCTTTCACATCCTGTCTCCTCCTTTTCTCTTTCCTTCACACCTAACCATTTTCTGTTTTTCTGTCTACAACACTTCCTCATCTCGCGATAAACATTCTCTCCAGATATCCTGTTCAGACTTCAAAGGTCTCCCTTTCAGCCTAATACCTTCAAGCTCACTGATCAGCACACCGTTGATCAGTCCCAGGTACTGAGCTGAGCATGCCACCCAGGTCCACGGTTGCGGGGGGTGAAGCCGTGGATAACGAGCATACCCATCCCGCGAGGAACGCGGGTCTCGCGGGTCTCGCGGATCTGCCTTGTGAGATCCTGAACTCCATCTTTGCATACGTGAGTCTCACCCCTCCTATGAATACACCTTCGTCTGTCACGCTGATAATCACTACTGAAGATTGGTAAAGATGGGCTTGCCAAACTGGCTCGTGTCTGCGGAAAGTTTAACGTCGTCGCGTCTGCCCTGTTGTATCGTCGTCTTTTTTGTCACTCGATATGCATAGAGGATGTCGTCCTTACGCACAAGTCGATGGACACTTTCAACGCTATACTCGAGACCATCCACGCGTATCCAGAGAAGTACGCCAACTTGGTGCAGACTCTGCAGATCAACTCTGTGCCCCCTAATGAGACTGAGCCCACACAGGCCTTGAGCCCAAATCGGGATGACAGTTTGATCAATCCTGGCAGATTCTTTGAGAGCCTGCTGAGAATCACTTTGAGTCGGACCTTGAACCTGACACGCTTCGAGTAAGTCTTTCATTCTTCTCACACCCCCAGCACAGGGCTGTGCTTTGTTCGGGCTGACCGTGAACCCCCGCTTAGTTGGAACATACGTGCTGAGCTCCATCCGAGTGTGTTTCGCGCTCTCAGCCGCATCGATGCGTTGCAGCATCTCTGCGTTCGCTATCCCAAGATTCCACAACTGGAGCTCACCGATAAGCTCATCGTGGAAGAGCTGCGATCTTTCGTTAAGGATGACCTCTCGAATCGCGAGGGTCTGCAGAGCGACTACCTATATCCTGAGTCGAATAAAACCATGGCTGCGTACCGCGAGATCATAATGCCTGAGGCTACAAAGACCTTGGCTCGACTCTCGGACCTCAAATCTCTGGCGGTGTTGGACATTGAAGACATGCGTGCTATCGTTGAGGTGGCCAAGTGCATCGGCCAGAGCTATTCCACACTCAAGACACTGAAGCTGTCCTTCTCGGAGGAGCGTTCCATGATGACTCGTCGACAGTCGTTTTCGTATTTCATGCCCGCCCAGATCGGTCCCAACGTAGCCCAGATGCAGCCGCAGACAATCCCGGATCTGCTAGACCAAGCCACTCCCACTTGGGAAGTCGTTTTCTTAGAGCAATCCGTCCATGAGACTGTCCTTGCTTACTTTCTCGGTGCGGGACCTCGCCTGGAACGGCATGAGACGAAGCTGGGCCAGAAGAAAATCCCTCAGATGATGAATGACCCTTCGTCGCAGAGCGTGCATGATAGAGATTTCGTCAAGGCCATGGGTTTGCTCGCCGGAGCGATGCCGAAGTTGAGCGCGGGGGACTCTGAGTTGTGGAAGTCGCTTCACATACTCAAGCACGTCGAAAAAGCAGCAAAGCTATATTTACAGCTGAACTCGCAGTCCCCCCAGCCTGGAATGCAGTCCTCACTAACCCGTCGTTCCCCGAGCAGTCGTACTGTCACTCCAGGACTATTTGCATCGAGCCGCAGCTTGCACTCGCTCACGGACGTTGCGGTCGACCATCCTGGTGCTGTTGACCATGACAGCATTTGGAAAGCGTGTTTCGGTGACCTGCAGATAAGCGTATTTGAGAGGTCCGTTGAGCATGAGATCGATAGTAGTATCAAGGAAAAGTGGGCTCTCAGGAATGTCAGGTCCCACGGGACTAGGACCAGGTCTACGTCCGCGGAAAGAAAGTCTCATGAAGACTATGTACGCGCCAAGCACGGCATGACTCTACAGAACCTCTCCATTCATTTGATTCCTGTGAACCCGTGCGTACTTGAAGCTGCTGTCGATCTGGTCTCGCTCAAGCACCTGTCGCTATTGAACGTCGGTTCTCAAACTTCAACCTGGAAACTGCTGCAGGACTGCAATGAAGTGCAGCCTCTGCAGTTGGAGTCAATCCACACCGACCATGTTACAGAGACTTTCCTGGGGCTTGTCAGCACTCTGAACCGTGTTACAGAACTCTTCCTATTTGAGCGTAGCAGCCAAGCTTTTCATGCTCCTGGGTTCCACGAGACAAGCCTAGTCGGTATCTCGGAAATCCGGCACGACATCCTGCAGCACCATATTAAGCATCTGCGACGCCTTGTCATTCGTAACGATGAGCAGAAAAAGTGGGCGATGGATCCGGCAACAGTGTGTCTCGTCTGCACCAGGGGTGTAAACCTCATTGAACTGAGCGTTGGAGTGAACACCAGTAGTCTCGTGAGTTATCGTCCTGCATCCCTTCGAGTGGTCTTTTCTTTCCCTTCCAGCCCATTTGGTGGTCTGAGCCTCAAACTGACTTCTATACAACCAGCACATGATGAACCAGCAACTCCCTGGGTTGACCTCGCTTGTTGCCCTGCAGATGGACTGGCACACCCGCAGGACGTGCACCAGGACACTCCGGGCGGCGCACACCGGTATCGTGGACAATGTGCTTGGAATCCAGAAGACCCGCATTGAATACGTTGCTATGTGTTATAGCAAGTCCGGGCCCACTGAGCACCGTGTGATGCGCATCAAAAACCGTGCTGCTCAGCTCAAGAGTTGGGCCGCCGGCGCCGGCGCCGAACTCAATGTCGCCCCAGCGGTAGTCCATGGCAATTCACTGAGCGCGTACCAAGCTCACCGTGCAGCGGCGGTGGCAGGCACGGGAGTGGCGGAATGTCCGTTCATCGATATGCAGGACATCGAGGGCATCAAGATGTGGGAGAGACCAAATTGGAAGATGAAACTGTAGCTGTTATTTTACGGTTACAGTTTGTCGTCTCTGTCTTTCTTCTCTCTCTCATGCTGCGGTCTCTTACCCTTTGGTCTCCTTTTGACTTATGGTTTGCCACTGTAGCTGGACAGCCTCGGTTTCGGTCCATACTTCGGTGGAATTCCTGTTTCTTATGTTGTTGTCAGCCGTGCCATTGAGCTTGAAGCTCGTTCGTGTATGTAGGCATCCGGAGTGTAGACTTGATGTGTATCGTCGTCATCAAGATCACAGGGGGGAAGAAAGATTAGCACCAAGAGAATAAGAACCTACATAGAGATAACTTTCTTCCGGGCATTGTAGATCTCTTCTCTTACTTCTACAGTAGAAACAGCAAGCAAAGCAGACAAACATGAAGGTATTTGTTAGTCATCGCGACTCCACCGCCCGGACCAGGAAGTGCCGCGATAGGACGACATGCTCCGTCATCTCTTCTCTTCTCTCAGCATCCATCCATCTCCATCTTTCTTTTGCCTCTCTTGTGTGTCACACATTCTACTCTCTCCCCTCTCTCTCCTACAATCAACCAACCTCTATACATTCCTCCCCTCACACAGACCTCAAAAATGGGTGGAAAGAAAGGCGGAGCCGGCGAGAACTCCAAGAAGGCCGCCGGCCAAGCTCGCGTATGTTTTGCCTAGTACCCCGCCCCCGCCTTGCGCATGAATACGCCAGTTCATAACCACGGCACAAGGATACCACCTGGGGCCTGGGGCTCGGAGTACGGAATACTGATATCTTTCAAATGAAAATAGAAAGCTGAAGCGGCCGCTTCGAAGAAGGCCTCCGAGGACGCCAAGCGGGCGGCCGACGAAGACAAGCAGTGGCAGAAGGGAGCGAAGGGTAGTTCTAAGAAGTACGTTCAGATCCATACCTTCCAGCATCCAGCATCCCAACCCTTCTAAAAGTTTCACCCACCAACTTCCCTCCGATTCGGTCTCAACTAACCACAACAAAAAAAAAAAACAGAGACGACGCCGAAGCCAAAAAAGCCGAAGCGGCCCGCAAGAGGGCCGAGCGCGACGCCCTCCTAGCCGCCGAAGAAGCCTCGCAGCCCTCGAAGCCGAAAGGCAGCGGGGCAAAACAAGCCTCGAAGAAGAACGCCTCATCGGCCCCATCTCGCGGCCTGGACTTGTCGCAGCTGGATGATAACGCCCCTACGAAGAGTAGTGCGGCGCTGAACGCCTCGGGTATCGACAACGCGCTGGATGCGCTGTCCCTCACGGGCCGCGAGACCAGCAAGGTCGACCGCCACCCCGAGCGCCGGTACAAGGCGGCGTATGCGGCGTACGAGGCGCGTCGGTTGCCGGAGATCGAGGCCGAGCAGCCCGGTTTGCGTCGGCAGCAGCGCATTGAGGTCTGTCGGAAGGAGTTTGAGAAGAGTGACGAGAACCCCTTTAATCAGGTGCATGTGGCTTTTGATGCTAGTCGTGAGGAGATTGCTGCTGTGCGGGATGCGGAGAGGAGGAAGGTTGAGGCTAGGTTGGCGAAGTAATTGGTTTCGGGATGATGATTGAGTTTGTGTTGCGGTGATGGTGGTGAGGTGTATATACCCGGTTCTTTTATTTTTCTTTTTGTTTTTCATTGGAAGCTCAGGCTGGTGCTGGATTTGCGCCTCGGATATGGAGATATGGGACCAGATAGATCAAGAGGGAAATGACCGGGAAAATGAATGTGATGAATTAATCAATCCCCTTTGCACTACCTAAAAGCTAAGCAGTCGAAATGAAAATGGTATCATGCAGTCTAAGATCATATATATCCATACAAGAAAAGAAGCGACGCGTAAACACCGCTGTCAGATAAATCACCCATTCATCACAGCCCGCACATCCCATACATACAGACTCTCATCCCATCCCACACTGGCACACCACCCCTCATTTCCAAACAGACACCAATCCACACCCGTGACAAACTCCGTATGCTGGCCCATGCGGCCCAACTCCACCCCCATATTGGGCCCGGGTCCAGCGCGCATCACGTCAACATCGCCGACGACCCCGGCGGGCGACTGATCACTCCAAACGCGGCAGGTCATATCGTAGCTGGCACTGAGCAGCACGTTAGACAGATGCGGCGACCAGGCGACCTTGCGGACGGCGTAGTCGTGGCCGAGCATGACGGCCTGCGGGCCCTGGTGCGGGGCTCGGATATCGAAGGTCCGGATGGTGCGGTCCACGCCGGCGGTCGCCAGCGTCGACGGCCGGTATTTGTTCCAATCCATCGTCAGGGCCTCAGCGGGCGCGCTGGCGGCAGCCAAAGCCAACGGCGGCGGCGCCCCCGGTTGTACATTTCCCATTGCTCCTGCCCCTCCGCCGCCAGGCCCGGCGTGAATCGGGATCTGAAGCGTGAGATGGTTGGAGGCCGACGCCGGAGTGCGCAGATCGTACAGCCGCAGGTACGAGTCCGAGGTGACGCACGCCAGCAGGTCGGGCGAGTGCGGCGAGAACGCCGCCGCGTACGTGCAGCTGTGCGTCGGCAGCGTCGCTAGCGAGTGCGGCCGGTGCGGCGACCACACCCGCATCGTCCCGTCCCAACTGCTCGAGCTGAATCGGTCCTTCGCTACGAGGTTCCAGTGCACGCTGAATACCTCCCGGTTGTGCTCCTTCCAGTTTTGTACCGGGAAGTCGTTCAGGCTTAGGTCGAAGAGCTTGATGCTCCCGTCGCCCGACGCTGTTAGGACTTGGTTCTCGTGGATCTCCGACCAGGCGAGGTCGTATAGAGAGTCTTGCGTTGTGAATCTGGGGGTTGACCCGGGGGTTGTTAGTTTCGCTTGGGTGTGCGGGAGGCGGGATGAGATCGGAGGGGCAAGGGTGTCAAACGTACTGCTTTGCTGGTACGATGCCGTCGGGGGTCAATTCGAGAATGAGGAGTCGTCCATTGCCCACCAGGCCGTAGTTGGCTGAGGCGGCTACCGCCAGTCGGTTGTCAAAGAACGGAGAGTATTTGACCGCGCAGCCGTTGAAGCCTTCTGTGCGAAAGTGAAGCATTGTGACTGATGGAATAATCGGGTCGTATTGGTGCGGGAGAAGACGATCGGAGGAGATGTCAAGAATGGCTTGTCATGGCGGGGAGGGGCGGAGAGTGAGGGGAAGTTCAAAGCCAATCGATAGAAGAAGAGGAGGATATCACCGATCGGTAGGGGAGAGTGCAAAGGAAAGATAAAGCGGTGCGGGGGAAGATGAGAGGATGAAGTGGAGGGGAAAGCCGAGGTTCGGCGCCCCGACGATCTTCACCTGTCTCGTTTGTTGGCTGGCATCGCACGGACACATCACTTAGTACTTAAGGGTCCAGCTACAAACTTGGAATTCCCCTTTCCTTCCTTCATTTGTAGATTGTACCGTACCATTGGGAGACTCTGCAAGGACCTATACACAAACCAACTCCGGCGCAATGTCAACAAACCCATTTCTCCATCGCCAGAGCGTCGTGGATGTCACGGTGACGCCATCAGGGCCCGACTTAAACTTTGTTGACGCCGAAGTGTGAAGAAAATTGGAACTCGAGTCGCATGGCTTTCTCACCACCATTACAACCACCCCTTTCAATTCCTCTCTCTCTCTCTTCTTCTTCTCCTTGGGAAGGACACCCAGCTAATCACCCATCATGCCCTCCGCCTGGACCGACGACGCGACAAGCCCACAATCCGACTCATCGCGAGCGGCCGACTTCCTCACCACGGAAATCTACAACATCGGTGCGCAACCCGGGATCCGCTCTCTGCCCCCGAGCCCCGAACGCGATTTCCTGGCCTTAACCTGGGGTCCGGTCGTCTACCGAACGAGCTACAGCGCCCTCTCCGAGCGGATGCTACCGCTGTTCCTCCGTGCCCTGTCCACCGAAGTCCAGGCGGCCATCCCCCGCTGTCTGCCCGGCGCACCCAAGCAACTCCAATTGCTTGAAACGAGCTATGCCTGCAAGGTCTTCAGTGATGAGACGCTGTATTCCGGAGCCGACATCAATGCCATCCGACGCGCGTTCCACGACTGGAAGCGCGCAGACCTGGCTCTGCCCATGATGGAGCTGCCGGCTCGGCTGCGGGTGTGTATGGTTTTGGACGAAGGGGTGTTTCGGGCGCTGGAAGAGATGAGGGAGGCGCGAGAGAGGGAGGGCCCGGTAGGTGACGAGGAGGTGAAGGGGGCAGAGACAGAGTCGTATGCCAGCTGTCCGGTGGTTATGGTGGAGGAGAACTTCCCGGATCGGATGAGGCGGGACTCTAACCCGGCGCATGGCGAGTATCCTGGATGGACGACGGTGGCGCTGTCGACGGTGGTGGAGGTGCTGGATGGCTCAAGGTTTGGGAGTGGGCTGAGTCGGTTCCATCGCCCCGGGAAGGTCTATCAAGGGGCTGGTCGGTGGTCTTGATGTGCTGGTTCGATGCTCGGTCCGTTGGTTTCTGGTTTGTGATGAATGGTTGGCGTTGGGATCAGTGTATAGAGCTGGGATAGACATAGACGGAATTACAAAAGCTACTGGTGACCTGAGGATTAGACTCAATGTGGTAGACAGATAGGTGATAACAGGTGATAGGGTAAGGGTTGTCTCGCCAGACTGTAATTGTGAGTGCAGTCTCATTTGCGTCTACTCTGAAAGAAATTATGCTAAGATCCAGAATGCAATGTGCTAACCAACATAGCCAATGATCAACTGACGATATTCCGTTCCTTCACTCGTCCATGGCCCGGCACGCACGTTCTACTGCCAGGTCTATCACGACAAGTCAGGTTACCCTTCATTCCAAAGCATATCCTTATCCACAGCCTCGCCTTTGTAGAACATAGCCTTTTCATCGCTTGGGATCTCTTGATCCGGAGGAAACTGCTCATGCCACGCTATAGCGGCCTCAATGTTGACCTTCGGCAAACCCTCGACATAGATGCAGTGAAGCAACAACGCTTCCAACTCCTGAATCCGCTCGGCGCGTGTCAGGGGCCACTTGCGGCGAAGCGCAGACACCCTTGCAGTGTGGACGGCCGTGACGGGATCTATACCTGGGTATTTGATCTGCGCTTCGTTAAGTTCCTATTGTGGGTTTCTCTCGGTGAGTAGGAGGCTATAGTAAGCAGAAACAGCGCGCTAACCTCTTCAGTCACTCCTAGCTTGTAAAGGTGTATGGCATCCGCCGTGTCACAGTAAGGAAAGATGAGACCCGCAAGACTGGCTTGCTACGCTCAGCCAATATCAGTCAGTGCTTGTTCTCAAGAGAAGGGTGGAGGACTGCGAACCAAGCGCAATGCTGTTGCCGCCTGAGGCCTGAGTATGGTATTGTAGGTTCTGGCAAGACTCTCTTCGTTACTCTGTTCAGTTGTAGTTAGTCGGGAGCTGGCAGACTTGAGTGGTAGGGCTACCTCATCGTGAGACTGGAGTTCGTGGCGAGCATGATCTCCTTCAGAAGCTGAATCAGAAGCTGAATCGGGGACTAGATCGGGGACTGGGTCCGAAACTTCTGATCTAGGTCCTTTCTTGGTGTTCTTGGTATTCTCCATTCTGGGGTCTGAGTTGGAAGGCATGGGGTTCGGGGTATGGGTGGGTGGATTGAGGGATGAAGCTATCAGGGAGGGAATCAAAGAAATGTGTCATGGAGAGACATCAAACGGAACACAAGATGATGGGAGAATGAAGGGACAGAGTCACGAGACTGAGGCTCTGTGTGAAGTTATCAAGCTTAAGCGAGGCTGTAAAGTGCAACTTTTGCTGAGCAAACAGCTGGGGATGGACAGTTCGATTGTGATGATGTGTGAGTTCTCACGATGTCCAGACTTCAGCGCTTATTAGATCTACTGCTGATCTTCAAGTTTCTCTACTCAAGCTGGGAGCCATATGTTGGCGTCTACTATGTATATCTCTATAGCCAACAAGCTCAATCCACAGATGAAGCGCTCTGATATAGTTCTTATCGAGATCTCTCAGTGCCCGCCCATTGGTCATATCGAGAGCAGTCACGTGGCGATAAGACACATCCCCACCCATGGCTTTGTAATCTTCCAATCCTTTCGTGATCAATATAATAGTTTCTGGTTCGATAGTCTCGAACTCCTAGAAATCAGAAGAAAAGTACTTCATGGACCGGTTTGTGTCCAGAAAAAGGGCCCGGAGCCCGCCGGTTCACGCCTGCTTGGAAGAAGACTGTACCGATATGAAGCTCGCACGCCTGGCGTCACTCTTCCCGGACATGGCTCTAGATGCATTAATGGAGATTCTACTTTCCAGTGGCGGCAGTGTCGAGACAGCTTCCACCACAATCAAAGCCCAAGCCTCTCTATATCGCATCAAAAAGCGAGCCGTGGCCGGTGCCCCCGCCATTCAAACGTCCCTCAGTGCCCATATGCGAACCTCCAACCCAGACGGCAACAGTAACAACAAGAAGCGAAGACCACTAACAAGAAAAGGTAAGACGCTGCACCTCTACAGCCCCAAGGACATCGCCGCGCACACGCCGTGCACGATCATCCACAACTTCCTGCCCGCGGAGCAAGCCAACGCGCTTCTGCTCGAGCTCCTCGACGAATCCAAGCACTTCTCGCGCTACAAGTTCCAGCTCTTCGACCGCACCGTGCAGAGCCCCCACTCGGCCAGCATCTACGTCTCGACCCCGGAGCAACACCGCCAGCACACCTCCGAGTACACCTACGGTGGAACCTACCGATCCACCGTCCGCCAGATCACCCCGCACCTCCGCGCGGTATCAGGTAAAGTCCAACACGCGGTCAACGCCGAGATCCAACACCGCATCCGCACCGCCTACCCGGGAGGCCGCAAGCTGAAGTACCAGTCGCCGAGGGAGTGGCAGCCCAACGCGGCGTTCGTGAACTGCTACGACGGGCCCACGGAAGCCGTCGGTTACCACTCGGACGAACTGACCTATCTCGGCCCGCGGGCTGTGATCGGGAGCCTGAGTCTAGGCGTCGAGCGGGAGTTTCGCGTCCGGAGGATCGTGCCAAGTGACGACGGCAGCGGCGATAGCGACACCGATGATGCTGCTGCCGCCGCTGTTTTTGAGGCGACATCAACATCGGAAGATACTTCCGAGAATCTACCACTAGCGGATAAGACATCCACCACCAGTCCCACCTCCAAACCCACAATCCCTCGAACATCATCATCATCATCATCATCACCACCACCACCGTCCAAAGCAGACGCCCAGGGCCAAATCTCCATCCACCTCCCGCACAACTCACTGCTAGTCATGCACGCCGAGATGCAGGAGGAGTGGAAGCACGCCATCGCGCCCGCGCAGACCATCTCCCCGCACCCGCTGGCCGGCAATCGCCGCATCAACGTCACATACCGCTGGTACCGCGACTCGCTGCACCCCCGCCACACGCCGCGGTGTCACTGCGGCACCCATACCATCCTGCGGTGTGTGCAGCGTAAACGTGGGACCCGGGGCCGGTATATGTGGATGTGCTATGCCGGGTATGCGCCGGGGAAGAAGGGGTGTAGCTTTTTTCAGTGGGCGGAGTTCGATGATGATGGGGAGCCGCTCTGGGAGAGGAAGTCGGTGCACGATGATGATGCGCCGTGGTTGGAGAATTTCGTAGAGGGGCGGGGGCGGGTTGTGAGTGGAGATGGAGATGGGAGATCGGTTGTTGGTGGACAGGGGGATAGTGTATAAATACCCGGTTGATTATGGAATCGCATTTCATCGTGGCATAATCATGCCGTTTTGCAAGCAGACTCCCGCATATATCCTTGCTACATGGCGATATGATGTACATTTGATAAGCAAAGAGAGGATATAGTTGAGAAACCAGGATTAATGCAAAGGAATGTATTGTAGGTCATCTTGCCAGTGGTCTAGCCTGTAAATCGCCTTCATGATTCAAGCAAGGTGTAGGGCAATCTTAATCATGGTCCAGGCAAATGAGCCATGTTCATGAGGGTCCCAGATCAGCCACACTTCACGCCTAAACAGAAAACAGGGACCGACCCGTAACCGTGAGTATTCAGGGCTCATTAGAGCACATCCTTCGACTACCCTGTCTTAACACCGTCATCCAAAACTCCACATTCAAGCCGGACCCCACGTCACGTTATTCCAAAACATCTCACCAGAACAGGACCCATATCCAAGCAAAACCTGATACCCCATCTCAGAAGCCACGAAACCGACCCAAATCCTCATCTCCTCCCTTCCTTTAAACTCAATCCCCGGGGATCTAATGACCCGGACAAGCCTGCTCCATATCAACATCATCAGGATCAGACTGTTTCTGCTTCTTGCTTCGTGCCTTCGTCTTCTTTAGGCGGTGGTTATGTGGCATCAGCGCCCGGGAGATCCGCCAGATGCGGCCATTTCCCCGGCCCTCAGTGTTACTGTTGCTGCTGCTGTTGCTCCCATTCCCCCGGAAGGAGCGAGATTTGCCGCGCGAGCTGCAGTACTCGGAGCAGGCAACTGCTAAAGCGAAGATGCAGCAGATTGTCACGATGGGGACGAGGATGAGGAGGCAGACGATGATGGTGGTTTTGTAGTTGGATGGGGTGAAGGTTCGGGTTTGGAGGGGGGTGTTGGACATTTTGAGTTTCTGGGAGGTTTTGTTTGGTGGGTTTATGTTGATGATTAGATTCTGGTATGGGTTGGTTTGGTGGAGGTTTGATTGTTTCTTGGGTTCTTGAGATGCGTGGAGTTTGATTAATCGGATGGTTTGATTATGGTGGTGCAGAGGCCGATGTCGAGGTTAGGTATGGGAGGCACGGTTTGGGAAGGTGCGGACAGAGTCACGGTCATGGGAGATGAGAATCATAAATGAAGACCATAATGATAGTCATGATGACGCTTGCTCTCCATTCAACGAGTTCATAAGTAAGGAAACAGGTACGTAGTTATCAGATCAACTGACTCATATAAATACAATGGGTATATCGAATCCCCCAAGTTTATTCATGCACTTCCTCCTTCCGAGGAATCATCTTCTCTTTCACAGATGTAAGCGTCGCTTCGTCCAAACGCGAGAATCGAATCTACGTCTTGTCAGCAAATACGTTCTTTGAGGTAATCTTCAACAGCCACATACCGGTTCATCTGCCCCTCCTCGCGTAGCCCCATACAACGTCGAATCCGAGATGCTAGCCTCGATCTCACTCTGCACACGTCTCACCCAGATTCCATCCCAATGCCAATCCCCAGGAAGCCTGGCCTGCGGGCTCCCGCCTTTCTTCAAGCCCGCGAACGCGGCAGCATTGTCGTTCCCCTTCCGATGAGCCTTCCACGCATGCCACGCGCTCGGGTTAGCCGCCGCCTCTAGCGGCAAGGAGTCCAGGACCGCCTCATCGTCGAATGTCGTCCGAATGTAATCCAAAAGCACCGCAACGGGAACCGTCTTCGTCGCGTCCACCGATCGGTCCACCACCGGGGACGTGGGCTCCGTCTCGTCCGTGGCAGACCGGTCCGTGAGCGAGGTAGGCGTCTGGAGGTCCTTGGAGCCTGGTTCCTTGCTTGCAGGCGTGTCGGGTCTTTTCCCTCCCCCGGCGGTGCTGATGGTTGAGTTGCGCACGCTCACGGCTCTGGACGACGCAGTCGACGGGTTGCCGCCGCCCCGTTTAGCCCGCCCGAACCAGTGTGGGAACCCATGGCGCAGACTGAATCCGCCGGGCGGTAACCGCTCGTCGTCGGTGGCGCTGACCGGGTCCTCGGTCGAGGCACCAGTGCTGAAGGTATAGGTAGTCAGAGGTACAATTAGCGGATGGAAGACGTCGGTCGCGAAGTTGACCATCGGTGGCATATCGGGGTATGAATCGGGGAAGCGGATCTGGAAACGCAGGACGGCTGAGGCATATGGGCCTGTCATCGACAAACATGGAGCGGGTTAGCTTCTGCATGACTTCAATTCACCTGCTGAAAGCACGCGGACTTCTTACCAGAGCGCACAAAGATGACGCCAGACCAAAGCGTGGGGTCACCAGGACTGAGGCTCACGTAGGTGCCCGGAGGGGCTGCATGTTGCAAACTTGCACTGCCGGTGCAATTAGCATGAAGCTAGGATCCAGATTCGACTATGAACTGACAATTCCAGTAGGAGCTGCTGTTTTCGGAGGGATGGAATGCTGGGTAGGCGGGTCGTCGACATGATGTACTGTTATGGCTGGAGCGGAAGTCGGTCCATCGGTCTGGCTTTCTTTAGGGGCACGCTCGTAGCCAATTGTTGATCTCCGCCTTATCCCCGTTATCTCCACCCCGCCTGCCCTCCGTCGGTCCCGCACTTTCCTACTACGGAAGAGCTACAACAGAGAAGCTTTAGGCATATTCCTCGGGAATTCTTGCAAACAGACTTTGTTCGTCATAATGTCGCGAAAATTGCGGTCTATCTCTATACATGCATACAATTTGAACGCTAGCACTCGGCGCTCCAAGGAGTTCAAAAGCAAAACACGTCACAACAATAGGCAGTTTATACAACCCGATCCAGAATTACCTCCCCTGTGGATGTAATGAGGACCTTTCCAGGTTTGTATGCGGTGAGATGATTCCCAACACTGTCATACCCTCCCCAATTCCCTCATAGATACCACCGGCAATACCTTCGACCCACCAATCTGTGACATTCATCATAGTCGAGCGCACTCTTCCGTCATACAAACCCAGGACCGTCGACCCCAGGCTCATGCTTCTTTTGCCCCAGCTATCCACCGTGTCCAGCGTCGTGGCAATGACGCGCTCGGTGACCCGGTGAGATCGCTCATACTGATAGACCCAGGCGAGGAGTAACTTCAGATACGGTATGAGGTACCGCACGAGAACAAACAACTGGATGATGACGAATGCAAGCAGACGATGAAGAAACGACCGTTTGGACGCGGTACACGGACAATTCGTGTCTAGATTCATCGTGTCGGGCCTCATGGGCCCTGTTGCAGGCTGGCTTGCATCGAGCGGCACTAGTGTGGACGGCTGGATACTTGTCGGCAAATTTTGCCGGATGGTTGCGATCTCGTCATGTGTGAGTTCTGCTGGTAGGGCGTCCAGCAGATAACCCACGGCATTGATATACAGCGAACGGGCTAGGCGGCCGTCACATCGGGGCTGTTGCGCTTCGTAACCTGCATTGCGAAGCAAGCTCAGCGCTGAGGATAACAGTCAGTTTCGATACGATACATCGCAATTGACCTAGCCCATCGTTCACTTAACACACTCCTTCTTGCAGTCAAGTGAAGAGCAGAGCCAGATCATCCGATGCAAGACTAATTGGTGTTGTCACAAACCGGGTATTACTCTATTCCACCGCAATCCCGACTCGGCTTCATATCTCGACGGTGGAACGCCAAACGCATCACCAAATCTACTCTCATCGAAGACAGTAGTGGTCTCACTCATATCCGGAGACTTCCCCGATACAGACGAGCCGCAGGAGTCCCGCTCGTTGCTCGGACTATCCGCTGTCGCAGGGCGCGGGTAAAGGTCCCCGGCGGGGTCAGGCAGGGTCTTGTAGCACTCTAACTCCGGAAAGGAAGACGACGACGGCATTCGCGAGTGCACGGGAGCACTATACTGCTCGCCAGCTACATTTGTCTTCAGGTTGGCGGTGACACCTGAGCTGATCGATCGGTGGATCGAAGAGTACAGACTGGGGAGTCGCCGCCGGAGAGATGCCGGGATGACGGGGAACAGAATGGTGAACGCCTGAGGGGAGACAATTGTGTCTCGCAAGGGATTTCGATCATCCATGATAACCATATTTGCCAGTCAAGCCCTGTCTTCGAAGATTGACAATAAAGAAGAAAAAGGGAGCGCGCCTGAAGAGTCTGCGTAGGCCTGACGCAGACTCGCGGGAAAGAGTTGTGAATCCCGCTTCTTTTTTTCCTCTTTTCTTGGGCCTACTGGCAGTAACAGGCCATGGCGAAAAAGCACGTGGCTGTGTCAGACCGTTGAGAAGCAGCGCCTGACGCATGAGTACCATTCGATTGTGCTAAATGGGGGGGAGAGACAAAAAAAGCCGCCCTCGAAAAGCGCCGGCGTGCAGTTCCGAGTGGAATCACATGTCAATAGACTTGTCTCGACCTGACTCGGATTTCCCCTCTCCCGATAAGAGCAACCCGCTTCAATCCCGAACCAACCCCGTCACACAGCCTCATCATTCGTCACAATTTGCCAGACAACAAGAAATTCAACGATGACTCGGACATGTCTGCCAATTACACTAACGCCAAACTTGTATAGCATGCAAGAGACAACCTTGCCTCTATAGTCTGGCCCATCCTAGCCAATCGGAGGCAAGTGGCACGGTCGTCAGAGTTACACGACCTACGCCCTACGCCCTACACCTAACAAGCGCAGAGCAAGGATCCTGTCCATCCAAAAAACATATTATATTAGAACTGGCTGTCGCCTGCGCGACTTGTGCGGTCAAACACTAAAGCAGGTTTCGCTTGAGGAACACTGAACGCTCACAAGACGGTTACATGACTAACTAGAAACAAGACCCGAAACTTTTGCCGTCATAACCCTGATCGTCTGACAATCTGAAAGACCAAGCATCCACCCATCGCCTCCATTCAAGCATTCCTGCCGGGATAATATAGATCCCCTGCCATGTTCTGGTTTGGTTCGGGGCCCGCATCGGACATGTACACCTCGTTTTGCTTGGGACTGGGAATTGGAATGGGCGCAGAAGCCATCTTTGACGGGACCGATGGTTGTCCCATGGAAACTGCCACCTGTGCCTCGTGCCCATGAGATACAAAACTATTATCGCCTCTACCGTCGCCTTCAAACCCGAATCCCTGCAGCTCCTCCAATGGCATTTCATCATACCGAGAGTTCAGTTGTTGAAGGAATTCTGGGTCGAATCCCATTTGCACAAACGGATCAACCGAAGCACTCAGTGGAGTAGAGAATGCAGTAGCTCCAGCAGACACACTGCTTCCCCAGTCAGAGGACAGCCCTGACTGGGGCCTAGTGGGCACGATGCTGGAACTTTCAGCGAAGCTACCGAAGGAGCTCCCAGGTGCGCTTGCTGGGATAGAGGATCGACTAGTTCCGGGAAGCGCTGGGCTCTGAAACCCTGACGGAGGGCCCATGGGGCTGAAAGGTGGTTGCGAGCGACAGGCAGACCGTGCTAGCAAGTTTGTTTCGACAGGCGGTTGTCGTAATCCGTCAGTCGTGGCGAACGGTGGCTGCATACCCAAGTCAGAGAACTTGATGTGTTCCGAGCCGGGAACTGCTTCGAGGCCAGTATCCCGCTTCAGAAAGCTGAGCCATACGGGGTTGTCGGCACAGGTCTGATGCCAACGGTCATCAGTGCCGTATATGATCATCCGAGCTTCGTCCTGAATCATCTGATCCGTAGGCAAAACGCCTGCCGCCACATGGTTGTGTATAAATGCAGACAGTTCACGCTTCAGCCGAATGAAGCAGTTGGCATCTTCCGCTACCATGAGACCGGGATCTTTCTCTACTGCAGAGGAAGGCTTGAAAGGCTTGAGGGTCTTTTGATCGTGGCCAATGAGGTAGGGTGGCATGGCGTTCTCAACAAGGTTTAAGATGAAAGGCTCAAAACCCCAGTCTCCTCGCCATTGAGTCATGTTGCTGCCGTTTTTGAAATGCGAGGCCAAGTGATCAACCCGGTCCTTCCAGGTGGAGAGACTGATTCCACAGAATCCACATCGCGACTTCAACTCAGTGATGCTACTTCGCCATGCATCCATGGATGGGAGAAACTTGACATTGTGCATGAGCCGAAGGTGCTGATTGAGATGATCCTTCCGGTAAAAGGAGCGTTCTGCAGATGTCTTTTCTTGGCAGGCAGTGAAGTTGTGTGACTCTAGATGGTCCATGTCTGGGTCAATGGCCAAACAGAACACGCAGCGATTGGCGCCGCCGACAGAGGCCACTCCCCCGAGCGGCGAGCAGGTCCACTTCTCCAGTGCTAGATGAAGCGACTTCTCATGGCGCTGCCAATCATACTTTGTCTGAAAGGTATCTGTGCAGAAGGTGCATTGAAATATCCGGGCGTTGCGGGCCTTCTGTTGATTGAACAGGTTGACGGGCAGTGAGGGCTTCCGACGACGACGCCGTTCCTTCCGTTCCATCGAGCCAAAAGACCCCAATGAGGAACGGTGTGAGAAGGCAGACGCAAAGGAGAGATCGGATAAGGAAGAGCGACTGGCTGATTGACTGGTTTCATGACTGCTGACTGATGGAGCATTGAATAAATTGGAGTTGTCATGGCTTGAGTCATTGCTGGACCCAGTCTTCCGAGAATGGGAACGCACGTGACCGGGATGGAACGAGCGCGGCCGCTCAGGATTCAGCGATGTATTGTTCAAAGCTCGAATAATATCGGAGGTAGCAGCAGGTTCGTTTTCGGGGGGCGAGTGCTTCCAACGTTCCAGGGGCGTCATGGTTGCGACGTCTCGACGTTGCTGTTGTCCGGGGATATCTACTGCTCCGGGCGCCGGAGAGCTGCTGCGCGGCGGAGGACGAACTTTACCGCGTCGCCGAGCGTTGGCGAGCCAGTTGCAAATCTGGGTTCGTTTTAACCCCGTGCGTTGCTTCAGCTCGTCCTTTTCTTGATCAGTGGGGTAGGGATAGGCGCTATGGTCCAGCAGCCATGTCTTGAGGATGCGGACCGCTTCGCGCGACAATCGGGAATTGCTCTTCCTTGACTGGCCGTCCGCATCCTCGGCGATGTACGAATGAGACTTGAGCGCCTTCTTCCCTGTTAGGCCACCCGTTCCATTGTCGGTGTTCTCGGCAATCGGGTGTAATGTATCCAGGAACCGGCCGGGAGCTTCGACCTGCTTTGTGAAACTGCATTCACGCCAGAGGGAGATGCAACAAGTACAGCCGCTTTGGCGCATAACTCCACTCTTCGCAACGAAACAATCTAGGTTCATATGCCTGCAGAAATCACAGGGCTCCCTGGCACGCCTCATTGGATAGACCCCATTATCCAGCAGAGAATTGGGAACATCCACCAATTGATGTTCCTCCAGACCCTGCTCTGGTGGGTCATGGGGGAGATCTAAGGGTTCGTCCTGCAGAAAAGCGTTGTGGTTCGCAATGGCATCACCCTCATCAATTTCGAATTTGTCGGAGGCGATGTCATCCTCACGAACAAGCGACTGCGAATCATACGAAGCCTCGTCGAAGTCGAAGTACTCCATATCTATCCCACACGGGAGAGGTACTTCAGGATAGGTCTAATCAGAGAAAGAAAGAGTCACCGCGGGCGGGGGAAGGGGAAGCTTCCGAACAAGCTAAAGACTATGTTCTTGTTCGAAAAGAGCAAAGAGGACGACCAGACGAGCAATAGCAGATAGCAAGAAAGGGAAGTTCAAGTCATGAACTGTAGAAATGGATAAGCGGGTTGGCGAGCAGACGGGACGGGACAGCCAGCATGACTATGATTTTCGTCTGGGGTATGAACAGCACGCCGGAACGGAGAACCCTGGTCGTCTACTAGTTTCTCTCATCCTGTCTTGGGGGGGAGGGTCAGAGAGCGAGGGAGCGTTTGCCGTTAGACCTACTGATCCGTGGTCAGTCATTGATCATTGATCGTTGGTGTCCGGAGAAGGCTGCGTGGTCCGGACGACAGATGGGCTCAAGATCAGGAAAAAACTGGAGCCCATGCAAGACTGCACGCCCTTCCCATGACAGCGCCTTTCCTCTTCAGGGCAAGCGGTCTCGGTGCGTCCTCCCAGTCTCACGCCCACGCTAGACTCAATCAGGCAGGAATGATTCATCTCACGCCAACAACACGATATCGGAGGGGAAGTTCGAAGCCTTCGTTTAGTTATCGCTCAACACCGCCGCCCACTTGCTCCTCCTCCGCGATAACCTTCCTCCAGGTACATGCCAAGACGGTGCACCAGTCTCTCCATCTGCCGTTTACCCGCTATCAAACCATCCCAGCTCGTCCGCTTTGTCTATCGGATAAACTAAGGGATTCGCTTCCCTCGCCTCTGCTCTGCTGACCTTACTCTTGCATACTCCCTGCAGGTGTCAACACGATGTCAACTACTACATCCATCACAATCAATGCATCTGCAACACGAGCATGCGTGGGTGACAAATAAACCGAGGAAGACGATAGTTCACTCGAAGGATAAAGGTAGACGAAGCCACCAATAGATTTCCTCCATACATTTCGGCACCGGCCCGACGACACCGCATTTTCACATGACAATAACGTGGCGGCAGCAAGAGCGGGAAACAATCATCCACGGAACGAAGTGAATCTCAGATCAATCTTACCCAAGCCACCCAGGTGTATGTGCTTTTATATGAGCAAAGACCATGGTCAAAGCTCTTTATCGATCACATTGACTCTCTCGCGTGTAATTTCCCTGCGGCCATGTCCGAAAATCGAACACCCAAGGAATCTCAACATCCGATCCGATAACCTTGCGCAACAGCACAAGACTAAAAGAACATAAGGCTGGTAGCCAAGACTCATACCCCCACCCGGGCCCTCAGGATGCCAGGACCTGGGAGCAAATTCGTGAAAATTCACTTTCTATTGCTAAAGAAAATCCCAGCACAGTCCCTCCTATGCCAAAAAAAAAAGACAGTCAAAGACGCACAAAAAGAGGAAATTGAACTCCGATGCGGGGAATCGAACCCCGAGCTGCTGTGTGAGAGACAGCGATGTTAGCCATTACACCACATCGGAGATTGTTGAATTGAGGTTCAATTTTTGGCATTATGACCCGGGGATACCTTTGAGGTCTTGTTTGCTGGTTCTGCTGTTGACGCACTCCTGTGGGTCCAGTAGGTTTTTCACTGAAGGCAGTAGATTTGTACAGACCATGCGGGGGAGCTTCAAGTGGCAGATTCGATACATTGCATTGGACTACTGTTCTAGTGCGAGGCTGGTGCTCAGCTCACTTCAATCCACCCTGCTGGATTGGATATAGTAATTGGGTCACTGGGATATATTCCGATTCAGATCAACGATGATCTCAACTACATGTTCAAGCCATGGCAGGAACGAGGTCAATAAAAACCACCTAGACCGAGTAGACCTACATCATTGAAGAACAGCCCACCTCGAGAAATAGACACAGAACACAAGCGAATAGGATCCATAGTCGAACTGGCGTCAGGATATGAAGGGAGCAAATGAACTACGCCCGCGGGATAATCCGAAGAAACTTGTATCCCCACCAAGCTAGCTCGACACCCTCAGAGCTGTCCCAATGTCTCTCGTGATCCAGGCTTGCAGAGCTGTGTGTTTAAAGGGGGCGGGATTCAAGAATAGGAGACAAAACCACTAGCTCATCTCCGCAATATCTATACAATCTTGTCGAATACCGAGATTTAGTCCAGTCCCAGAATGAGCATGCGGTTCACCACACAACCTGCGCAAGCGTCATTGACCATAGAAAGCGACTCCTCAAAACCGCGCTAAGACAAGAAGTTCCAAGTACCAGTGAGTGCCTCACCCAAGCGGTCTAAAAGCATATCCCGCACACGATTGTAAACTTCATCAACGTCAGTTGCACCGGGATAGTGTATCGCTACGTCACCCTCCCTACTACCGACAGGCTAGCCATCCTTACAGAACACCCTCACGATCACAACACATATGATAAACCAGGGTATATTTTTTTCTTTGGCCAAAGAAAAAAAAAAAGTATGTATAAGTGAATAGATAAGCCGGGTTTCGCCCGAACCCATGGGTTGTGGTTCAATTCCAGTAACAACCAGAATTTCCTCCCTCCCTAGCCATCAATCCACATCCCAAACAAGAGGCCGACTCACCCCTCACCAGGCGGCCCGTTATTCCCGGATCCACCGAAAAAGTACCCTTCCAGAATGTCATAATTGGCGTTTTCGCTCCAGTCATGCTGGAAGTCCATCGCCATGCCGAAGCCGAGGTCGATGCCTACGCTGTGGCCAACCCCGTGGCCCAGGGAGGGCATTGCCTGGAGATTGTCTTCGGGATTGTTGTTGTTGTTGTTGTTGTCGTCGGAGTTGCTGGGGACCTGGCCTTCTGCTGTGCCGGTGGGGTCGAAGTCTAGGAAATCGAGACTGATGGAGGTAGGGTGGTCTTGAGGGAGCGGGTAATGGGCGCCTGCGGCGTGGTTGGGGTTGTTGTTGCTGGCGCCGACGCTGTTGGGGGAGGCGCTCTGTTGCGGGGAGTTGGCGAAGTAATACTGCTGTTGTTGTTGTTGTTGTTGTTGCTGTGGATGCGGGTGCTGTTGGGTCTGTGGTGAGACGGGGTTGTCGTATGGGGAGGCGTAGTATTCGAGGGATGGGGTTCGTTGGGGATGGGGCCGGATAGAGGACCGATCCGAGGGGTAGTTGGATGCGGAAGGTTCGGGATAGTCGGGTCGAGGTCCTCGGTTTCCTGGTGCTGGTGCTGGTGCTGGGTAGGGCTGCATGGGTTTCCTGGGCCCGTTGTTGGGTCGGTCGGACACACCGGTATTATCGTTGAACAGATCCCCGAGATTCATGTCGAAACGCGGCAGTGGGCGCGGTGCTTGTCGTATAGATCCGCTGCCCTGTCGGCGGACGGGGGCTTGGACATGGCGAGCCCGTGGATCGACCGGATTGCCTCCGTATGCTCTAGTCTGGTTGACGTGGAGCGCGGCGGCCTGTCGCTGGGCGGCTTCTGCTTGGATGCGGCCAAGATCAACCTGAGATCCGAAGCCGGTGGTCGAAAGGCACATTTGTACGGTGGCTTTGCTCATTCGCTCGAAGGCATCTCGACATGCCTCTGCAGGCGGACATTTATGCATGAGATCCCCCAGAACGGACGTGGCAGCGAGGACGGTGAAATCGACCTCGTCAAGTGTCTGCAGAAAGTCAGGAAAATGCGAACAAGGGAATTAAGGAGAATATGGGTGCGTACCAAGCGGCTGCGAACCAGAACCGAGTGCCATATCGCATACAGGAAAGAAATACCTGGCACTTTCGTTAGTATCTGCCTACCGAGTGCCAACTCAACATCACTTACCCGCCATGAAAATATGGTGTGTAGCAAGATAAGTATAATTGACTAACCGCACCCGATGCATCTGGCGGTAGATTCGAATCACTTTCTGCCCAGCCTCGGCGACCTTGTAATAGATTTCATCCTCATCCTCCACCTCATCCACATTAGAGAACGACGGACTAGACACGTCTTCGGCAGGCATAATCTCGTCGGCTAGTTCTGCTGGAACTGTCAAGCTCTGCTGGTATAACATGATGACAGCCTGCCAGTAATTCAGCTCAAGGAACTCAACAGAAAATTGGACGCCTGTGTCTCGGCGGGTCGGCGCACTCTGCTGCCACTCTGCCAGCCGCCTATGAACGTCTTTGCGCCAGGAATGAAACGAGTCGAAGCCCTGAAGGAAGGGAGATACGATATCGGACCGGATGGGTCTTTTGACGGCATATGGAGACCGTTGTCTAAGGAATCGAGCTTGTTGGTGTTGGAGCACGTCCTGGATTTCCGACTGCAACACTCGCAGCTTGAAGTAATGGTGTGCTGCATGCTTATAACTTGGCGCGCCTTCAGGTGGCGTCACAATCCCTGACTTGGTGATATATTTGTCTTCGAATTCGCACGGAAACTCGGTACTGATGGACTGATCGCTGATACCGAACGGACGACCAACACAGCAACTGACCAAACGATCGAGGCTATATACACACCACCACAGACGACGACGGAGATCACGCACCCATTCGCGTCGCCCCAGTTCACGGGTATCGACTCGCGTCTTAGATTTATCCGTGCCCTTGCCCTGGGTGCGATTGATAGTTTCGTCTCCCGGTGCATCAATCTCCGTACCATCCTCATAATGCAAGCCGAGATCAACTGCCAGTCGCATTGCCACGCCCACGATATACCACAGCCCAGGAGCCACAGGTCGCAGTAGAGCAAAGCTAGCAAGAAGCAGCACCGCTTGCAATTCCTCCAAAGCCCCCGACCCGTCTCCCGAGGCAGTATTTCCCAGAAATGACTCGAGGTGAATGATCGCAGATGCGTGGTACTCTTCCGGTTGATGTTGATGGCTCGATAGTCGAGGCCTCTTAGAGCTAGAGGATGTGGGCGAGTTTTCCCGATTGTCTCTTTTCACGTCGCCTGCTGGCTTATCCTCAAAGATGATTCCCGCACCTATCGCGAACACAATATTGAGGGTGTAAAGACTGCGCGGAGAGCGGCTCTTCTCATCGACTGCATACGTCCGATCGAGCATCTCCATGAAGTCGGCCCGATGAAGAATGGGTATCTGCGCGTTTGCATGCTCAAAATAGAGATTGACCAGCCTTTCAGCCAGGTCCCGATCCGGAAATGCCGCACACTTCATAGTCGGCCTCGTCTGTAAACCGAAGAAGGAGTCTCGCATTGTGCTGCCGCCAGTCCCCGTGGCACTGTGCGGTAGGCGTTCATTGGGGCGCATTGGCCCACGCTCGGCCACATTTCCCGACACGGAGCTTTTGACGGCAGCGAAGACCACACGCGCGAAGGAAATTCCGGATGTTGAGCCAAGATATCGTGGATCGGAAGTCCCCTGTACTGACACCATGCCTATATTCGACACGAGATTATGTATTCGCCAATTGTCCTCTTTGTTGGCATCCTGATTTCTTTCCAGTTCCTGTCCGCTCGAACCATCCCTGTCCTGTCTCGAGACCCAGGTTTCCTTCTCCTTTTTCACCCCCTTGTCAGTTCCGTCCGCAGTGGGCTCTTCAGCTGCAGAAGCTGGGCCCTCGGAGGCCGCGGTCGGTGCCTGAGGCGCATCAAGTCTCGCCTCAACTTTCACGGCTTCTTCTTCATCGAATGCAACCGGCTCCTTGTACTCGATTTTATTGTCCATCAACAGCTTCTCCAAGTAAGCCACACGAGCCTCGAGGAAGTAAACATAGCTGCGAGGGATCTCACGTTTCGTGATGGGGTCGTACCCGACGCAGCGGACGCCGGCCTTCTCGCAGGATTGACATCGGGGAAGTCGCTGGTCGCAACGGTTCTTTCGCAGACGACACCGATTGCAGGCGGATACATTGCGGAAAGAAGAGGAGTTGGAGGCTAAGGAGGACGCGATGGGTTTTGCGGGGGTGGGCGCATCACGGGCGGCCTGCTGCTGAGACTGCGCCGGAGACTCCGCAGGCATTGAGGACGTATCGGTGGCCGAATGCGGTCTTTTCCTCCCCGAGGAGGTCGGTGAGGGGGGAGAGGCGGGGTTCAGCATAATGGGAGAGGCACGGCGAAAGGAGGCGCAGTTGTGCGAGCATGTCTTGAGGATGGATTGCTAGAGATATCGGTCACGCGAGAAGGATAGATAACAGAGAGCCCAAGTCCTGAAGACAATCGAGTATTCATGGTAGAATCATGCGCTGACTCCTGCTCTATCTCGTCGATCGAATGACTCTCCTCAATCGACACGAATGAGATGCAGGCGGTTTGGTTTCGGGTCGCCAGTATGGTATCGTGACGGCGACTTATTCGGTCGGTTATTATTCGGAAGGCAAGGCACAGTCGCAGCCCATGACGCAGGCGGTATTTTCGCACCACGAGCGCTCTGAAATCGGGCGGGTAATATGTTGCGCGAAGGATCGGCGTAGATCAGGGGGATTCTTGTGAAGGACGCACGAAGACAGCGCGGGAAGAAAAAGAAAAAGACAAGCAAGCGCCGAGGTTGAGATAGGGCAAAACCTGGTGGAGATATTGGTGGAGGATAAGTCTGGGTCCGGGAGTCTAGTTCTGTGAGCGGGAGAAATTCATGTCAGCACTCACTGGTTCGTGCTAATCTAACTTGGTTAAGCCCATGACTGACTGAGGGCGAGCCGATGAGGGGATTCCGCTGACAAAGAACGAATTGATGGTGGCCCTGCTTGAAGTAAGCATTATTATTCAATCAGTTGCACATATATGTTGATATATAACTTGAAGTATATACCTCTTTCAGCAATTCGAGTCAAATAAGAAATCAAAGGATTTGTGCCAGAGTATGTATAGGATAGATGGTTGAAAGATGCCGAGGTGATTCTCCTGGTTGTGCTTCGGTACCTGTCACGTGATATATCGACTCCCCAGCCGAGGTCTGATTGGTTACTGATATGCCCGAGGTCCCATAATATGCCCCATCACCACAGCCGTCATGTATCCATATCCAAGCCTCCTTTGTTCTTCTCTAGACTACGACCCTAGAGGGTTCAAAGGACTAGATAGATCGTTAAGTCTGTGTTCTGTACTGGCTATAGAGCCCAGCACATGTGGATCTCATTTCTCCAGCGGAGACCTGTTCCTAGGACACCAGGAACTAACCGAAACGAAGGCTCTTCCCCAGGTGACACTACTAGGCACAACCTTGAATCATATTGTACCTTATCTAATCACAGTCCTGGGATAGATCGGCTATGCTTGCTTACTCAAAACAGCAACAGGAGACATGAGGGTTGATCGAGTGGAAGTTCGGAATAGCTTCAGCATGCCCCTGACTGAGGAAGCAGTCCAACAAGCAGAATCCAGCGGGTGATTCCATCACCCCTGGTCACCCGAGAGATCCGGGTGAAAAACTTTCCCCTCGTTTCTCCTGACGCCTAACCAACTCATCAACCCCCACGGACATACACAGACCAGATGTGTCGTGATCTCAGTATAGTAGGTATGAGACTAGGTATGTGAGAAGAGGGGCACTCACGGCGGGGCTCGGCCGGCTGATCCCCCTCTCTGCAAGCCCCGCACCACACTACCAGATGACGTGAACGCACGGCGACAGCGTGGTCGACCAGACCACTGCATCAACGTGCGTGAGGCTTGGCCGACTTTGCCGCTGAAGGAGAGGGGAAGACCAGGTCGCATTGGACAGGACTGTCAGAGAGCCTACGATGGGAACCCCACGGCCGGGCAAATGGGAGGGGTAAGAGAAAAGCACCATGGCAAGCGCGGCTACTAGCGCTCACTTTGCTCGTTCCAAACTACAGCAAATTACACCAGTGAGTAGAGGACGTAATCGGATCAAGCGAAGCAAAAGCAACTGGGTTTCATTTGCCTCGAAACAATCGGGATCGTGGAGTGAGAGATGCTCCCATCCTCACTCCAGCCCTTCCGCAATGGATTTCTCTTCTCTCAAACTCTTGAGTGGGATATAATAAGCGCAATAGCAGACAGTGAACGGAAAACACAAACAGCCTCTCCAATGCATGAAGTCATAGATGCCCAACGATGCCCATGCTAATGCCAACAGGAAACAAAAACAGAAAATGTGAAACAGACTCGCCAGCCCTCATGCTTTTGTTGCATAGTATGCACCCGGTCTATAAACTGCGCCATCAACCCATCTTGAATCATGGTCTAAAAAAGGAAAATACAGAAAAATAGAAAGAAAAAGGCAAGCCACCAACCACAATATCCACATGGTAAAACAGAGAAAGTTAAGCATGACGTATGAAGCCAACAGTCAAAATGGAAGAGGAAGAGAAAATTCAGGGGAATTGTGAGGAGCAGTGCGTAGAGATAATAAATGAGAATACGTAGGAGGCTTCAGGCGTCTACCTCGGACTTAAGAGGCTCAGCCACGAGTAATTGTGCCGACTCAACTTGAGGAGTGACGTCCAGCTCATCAATGCTCGTCCGCGCGGAAGAGAGCAATCTCCGCACCTCTTCGGGAGTACCATCCTCCTTACCGGCAATTAAAGAACCCCGCAGCACATTGCGATCCGTGGTCGTATCATCGGACTGGGCCTTCTTTTCCGCCTCGTTCTCTCGCTCAGACTCTTCCATCCAGAAACTCTCGAAGGCACCAACAACGCAGACAAGACCGCAAGCCCACCACGCCAGCACAGAGTATCCACTTTCGAGACCTCGCGAGTGCAACAAGCCGGTGATCGTTGGGCCAAACGCGCGACTCAAGCTGGCAGTGGAGGCTGCGGCACCATTGATAGACCCGAGCACCTTGGAGGACGGAGCAGCGTTGGCGAGCAAAATCGCCGTAGCGGGGAAGGCTATGACATGTAGTGTGATCTTGCTGATCAAAGCCATATAAGCCGCACCGAGCTGTAGCTTCTCCGGCAAGAGGATGAGGTAAGGGACCATGAAGTACAATGGCGGCCAGACCAGCAAGACGAAGCGGAAGACTCTGAGCGTGCCAAATCGACGAACAACGAATGGAAACAACCAAAGTTGCGCAATCATCGAGTATACCCCTTGCACCGCAAGCATAAATCCGATCTTCTTTGTCGCTAGCCCCAACCCTCCGGTGAACTTCAGGGGGAGCACGGCATCTTCGGTGGAAGTAGGGGTACTGAGGAAGACCGGCATGAGTTGGTCAAAGGAGACGCTGTGACTGATGACGATGTCAGTACCCAAAGGTGATCCAGAGGTAGATACCGGGATTAGACTTACTATGCGAGAATCCCGTAGGCGATGATGTTGAAGACTACTTGTTTCGTGAAAGCCTTGGGCTTCTGCCCTTTCATCTGCCCCTCAATGTCGTCATCTGTGGAGAGATCATCTGATTCCTTCATCGGACCCAAACGAGGGGAAGACTCAGCACTCCGGTACTCTGGGGGTGCAACATCGTCGTAGTCGAAGTAATCATCATCGGTAGTTGCCGCCTTGACTTCCAATCCCTCTGCAAGATTGACACGGGATCCCTTGAACTTATCGACGAGCCATTTGCCTAGCTCCAAACCCGGGTCGCGGCGATTTCTCTTCTCGGGATGGGTCTCCTCCAAGAACAACAAGCCGACGATGATACCGGAGGCGAGGACAACAACGCAGACCAAGTTGGGCAGCAGAAATGGGAAGTTGTCGAAAATGGTTCCGCGCTGGAAGAGCCAAGGGTAATTGTCGCAGGGCTGTGCCAGCGCACCACCCATGGCGGGTCCGATGATCGAACCTAAGCACCAGACGAAAGGCATGATGGAGTAGGCCCGAGGTTGGTGCTCCTTGACCGTGACAATCTCCGCAACGGTCGTTTGAAGGACTCCGATGTTACCATTCAGAAGACCTCCTAGGGCCCGGGCGACCATTGCAGTCGCCAGGTTGGGAGCGAATCCGAACACGATCATGCTGATGGCGGTGCCAATCAGACCCATGACCAAGACTGGCTTCCTGCCAATCCTGTCACTCATGCGACCCCAGAACATACCGGCGGAAAATTCGGCGAAAGTGAAGGCCGAAGTGATCATCCCCGCATACAGCGCAATCTTACGATCATTGTCTGTCACCTTGAACGATTCAACCATCTGATATACGTAGGGGAAGATGGACATGAATGCGATGGGCTCGCAAATGCGACATAGCGCTAATCAAGCCGTCAGTCATGACAATCTAGATATTCCCCAAGCGCAAGTTGCGCGGCAGGAAGAACAGAGAAACCCCAAAGAAAAAAACACAACGGAATAATAATAGGGGGATGGAAAAGGGGAAGGAAAGAGGGGGGGGGGGGAGAAACTGGGGAGGGGCAATGGAAAGAACCGAATGAATGGTCCGACAACAAACAATCCAGTACCTAGCTCATTTTCCGATAACTGTTGGGCGCAAAAGCAGAAAGCAAAAGGCCAAAAAAACATTGACGGAGACGTACCTAGCACGAATAGTTGCCGTACAGGGAAAGCGGACCAATCATCGGGGCGCTCGCCTTGCCGACGGCCTTGTAAACACGACGGGCGTTTAAACATCTTGTCGGAGGAACTGTCTCGTGCAATGCCAACCGCCACGGGGTGATAGGGTTATATCCACTTGCTATAACCTCGGATGCAATGAGAGCAGGTCTACTTGCGAGTTCGACTGGTCGAAAAGGAATGTGTCTTCGGTGCTGTAACCGAAGGGAGGGAATGCTGGGTATAGTTGTGATAAGATCGCTGGCTGCGTTGAAGAAAGGAGAGAGGTTGTTGGTCAAAGGGGGCTCAACATTTCCTCCCCCTGTCGCAAATTCAATGGTGAGATTCCCGTTCGTTTTTCTTTCTCTTCTGCTGGTCTTCCTTTTTGGTTCGGTGCTGGTCGAGTCCCGCGAAACGGCTAGGCTGTGTAACTGCAAGGGAATCCAATGACGCAAAAGTTTGATTCCAACAAACCGGTGGGTTGTTTCTGGAAATTGCTCAAAGGGCTGAAGAGAGAAGACAGAGAGATAGATCGGTGTATCTCAATTGAAAGAGATCTTCAGATTGACCGTCTAGACAGGACGTCGAAGGAGGTCAGATTGGCAGTGTAGTACTAGTAGGTACACTACTAGATTTTGTATATAGTCAACGGACGAATTGAGAACGAGGAGGGAAGACAGATGAATGGAGGTTGAGAGCAGTCAAAAGGTCTGTCAAAAGGAGAGGCAGGCCGGGCAGGGGAATTAAATGTAGTATTTGAAGTGGATAGCCTCCTGATATGTGATCAGGCGAAAGACTAAAAAGCGTCAACGGTTCAAGATAGAGTCCCTTTTCGGTTACAGCTGTACAAGAAGGATGCAGATGCAAGCGGGCAGCAAACAGCTGAGGATAGGAAGGATCCACTTTGAATTATTAATGACAGTATTTTTTTTTCTGTCTCTCAGGATCTTAATGCGGATTGAGTATTATTATAATTATTTTTGGGAATTTTCCCCCCATGCCTGACGCTATCATTTTCTCACTCATATTTTTTCCTAAAGTATGATGCAGGTGGGCTCCCCGGAAGGAGAGGGAACGAGAGATGGATCGGAGCCATCTGACACGGCGGTACGGGCAACAAGACTAGATACTGGGGTACCACATACTAGTTTAGCCCTCCGAGTTGACCGATGACAGAGAAAACAAAGTCAGAGAAAGAACCGGAATCTGGGAAAGAGTGGGACCAATCGCTGCATGGAAGAAAACGCAATCCATCCAAGGTACGGCTGTCCTGTACATCGATCCTCAGGTACTAACCTAGGGTTGCTCCTGCGTCCTGCTTGGGTACGTCGGATCAGGTGCAAGTGGGAGTAGTTGGAGTCAATACAATCCATACACATCAAAAACAGCCCGGTTACTTACTATCATGTAAGAGCGGTATGGGTTGGTCCATTTTCTGACGGAACAAAAAGAAAATGGAAGGGTGAGAGGAGAAACCCACTTCTCCATTTTATCAACTAATATTGGGGAGAAAAAAAAACCCATAAATCATCCTCGAATCACGTAAAACCGTCCTAAGGGAGAGGGGATCAGATTCAGATCGGAGCTGGATTTGTATTCATCGATCAAAAGCCTACTGCCAGACCACACTAGTCTACAAAAAGGGAAATCCAACAAGAAAACCAGAGGGGGGAAAAAAGAAAAAAATAATAATAGAAAAAAAAGGGTAGAGAAGGAGAACGGATTACAGCGAGGGAAGGGAAGAACTTTGATTTGGAAAAAGAAAAAGTGATGAATAAGAAAATCAAGTTTAAAAAATAGAAAAAGCATATGAGAGAGAGCAAAGGAGAATCAGCAAATTGCCCCATTCCAGAGCCGCCGCCGCAACAGATTGACCGGTAGAGCCGTAGTTAGAGGGCCCATGATGGACCTGAGCCCTGGGGCTCCGGGGAACAGTCAAAAAAGGTGTGTAGCTAAAAAGCGCGCTAAATTGGCCCGTAAGGCAATGATGATCGGCTTTCCAGAAGTCTGGTTTTAGTGTGACTTTAGTGAGATGATAGATCTAACAGCACCTCCTCCTCCAAGCCCGCACACTTGGAGTCATCCCGTCCTTCCCCCTCTCCCAGAAAGTCCCATGTCTCAACAAAGAGAGGTCAACTCAATTCTGGTGGCTAAGAGGAGGGGGAGGGAAACGCGACTGGAAAGTACTGTTGCGCCTCCCCTCTTATCGAACGAGGTCGAGTTCTGGAAGAATTAGCCTAGTGCCCACCCACTCTTATGCTTAATGGCCGACGAACAGGTAAAATACTAGTATGTAGGGGGTCACTTTGCGAATGTAAAAAAAAAAGGTACGTATCAAAATAGCTAAAGGCCACCGCCGACCAGACAAAGAACCACAATTATGACAACATTCAGCGAAAATCCGCTTCTTCAAGTACTCACGTATGATGCTTCCAGGATCGATGTCACTTGACCTGGAATGGGAAATTTAGCCAACAACCTAAGTTGCTGCGTGCCTGCACTGACGGAGCGATAACAAGCGGTGAATTTTATGGACTGCTGTTGACGAATGACACTAAGAGTGGAAGCAACCAAGAGCCGTTCTGTCGGGCCAAGGAAGGGCAGCATCAGAGATAGTTACGATCCGATCCAGGGTAGAGCCTACTGAGCAGAACAATAGGGGAAGAATGAGGGGTCCAGCCGAGGAAGTTATTGTGAGCAAACTTGGGGAGGAGAAGGGAATAAAGACAATTCGATTTGAATTGTTTCTATTCAGACTGGGTCTTCAATATGGAAGTTCGCATTACCATTTGCCGAAGTGGGCCACATACTTTGCGAATGGCGGCGAGCTTCACTCCTTACGGTGAGGAGGGACACTATTTCATTTCATCGCCCGGACCTGCAGTGGGTCGACAATGGGGGTTGATCGGGAAGAGGTAACAATTGATTGACATTTAGTGAGATTACCGGGGCTATGAGGATAGCGAAGCAATGCGGGAGAAGAACACTTTGCAACTGAAGGAGACTACATTACTACTAGGTAGGTCGACTCCGTTGTCTGCTAAATCCGTAAACTTCGGGCGCGAGTGATCTTGTCTCGGATGCGTAATTGTGCCTCATCTTCGCGGGAAAGCGCAAGTTGCAACAGCTGCCAGTTCTGCTTCCCCTGACTGAATTGGACCATCCTGCTATAGTTAATGGTCGCTCGGCTTCTTGAACAAATGCTCCGGAAGTTAAATGCGGTCCCCAGCTCCAGATAAAAACATCCGTGAAGTTAGCGTATATTGATCGGTAACAATACCGTACATGAAAGAAATTCCGGGGAAGTCAAGAGGGATGCCAGATGTTCAAGAGTGTGCCGGCGGAAACCATGGGAAAGAAAGATAAGGGCCAACATCCTAGAGTAGTATTGAAGAAGCGCGGCAGCATCGTTTCCGCCATGAATGTTGGTGCTTCGAGCGAAGCCGAATTATCATAACAAGTTTACCAGCAAATCTGAACAAGGGTAGACAACAAGCAAGTAGCACCATTCAGAGTTTCGAAAGAGCCGCCATTCTTTCATGCATAAACCACATTCTGAGCTGCCGGTCATTCAGTACTCTGCTAGCTGAAGAACGAATCTGCCTCAGGTTCCTTTGACGTCACCACATCACCCTGCCGCTAAACGACCAGCGCTCCTGATTATTCCCCAGCCGCTCGAATAACAGATGCAAAGACCTGAAACAGCGGGTAATGCGAAGGGAGGGGCGGGGGAAGGGTGAATGGGGAGGTTCCAGATACCTTATGATATGTATGTATGGAGCCAGCGATCCGGATACCTGTTTGTATCCAGTCAGTGATGCTTAGCAGGTCTCTTACGTGGCTGGCTACCTCAGTGGTGTGGTTCACTTTCCAGCGATAAGGTCCTAAGCTCTAGTGTCCCTCACTAGGCAGTATAGTAAGGAGCAAAGACAGACAGACCTTCTCACTATGAGAGTCTCGGTCAATTGCGGTTTCGTGCTGCAATCTCCAAAAAGTCGGTAAAAAGGAAAGGATGGTGAACCTAAAGCGCGTTCCCCAGGGACAAACAACACTAAGGACGGGTGGAAGTGGGAAGGACCAAGGCACTGGGATCTCAATTCCAGACGCTACTAGCCAAGACGTCCCCATACCAGGGCCAACGTATTTACCACCCTGTTACCGACACACGGTACCACGACAGCCCACCTTTTGCTGCAGCAGGGAAATAGTGCCATGCTGTAGATATCATAGTGCCTGACTGAGTTAGGTTAAGATCTGGAGCCACGCGAGCCAGATGAGGATCAGAAAGAAAAACAATGGAAGAGTTCAGACTTCAGAGCTGCAAGTAATTCTTTGACTACAATCACAGTATGTATCTGTGCATAGCAGTGGGGCTTTTATGATACAGACGATCGACTCTGAGCCTCCACCCTTTGCTCTCAGAGGAGCCGGGGAAAAGGATGTGATAGTGAGTGATACGGGCAATAAAGCTTTTTTCCCCTTTTTCTCTTTTTTATTCCCAATTCGCGAGGAAGAGCATTGCACGACGTCATTATGCTTGAACAGATAATGACAAGCAGCAAAGAGCCAGTCGGTGCTTAGAGGCCATGAAAGACAACCAGAAACTCGGGGCGCAACCCAATCAGAAGGTCAGAAGGACTCTGTGCCTCTGACCGCCGAATGGATTACTCTCCGGTCGACCGCTGCAGGCCAGTCTCAATGCTTGTCCTGTCAGAGGCCAGAAATTAGAAGGCGAGACTAAGGAGGTAGGTAGGTACCCTACAGAGTACCACGCGGAGAGATGCAACTTAAACTCTGACCCTGGAAGCTTTGAGAGCCTTCGAATACAGTTTCCAAAGCAAACAACTGAGGAAGCAGAGAGGCAGGTGATGTCTCCAAGAAAGCCTATGCGTAAAGACAGCACGCCGGAAATTGTGACTAGCACTACGGAGTATTACTACCTGGTACTATGGGAGGTACTCACGCCATCCGTAGATCACCAGCTCAATTGCTTGACGGTCGCTATGCTGACGTGCTTAAGAAAGAGCTCTCCTAGAATTGTATGCAAGCAATTGCATTCAGCGTAATGTATGTAATAT